GTTCCTCTGGCATGGTTTATTCAGACTGCAGAACTGTCTCTTCTCCTCGGCACGGGGTGTCGATTTTCTTTTTTGCAACGGGCAAAACAAACCCCTGAGTTATCACCTTGCTCATCAAGGGACAAGGGGACCCGAGGGTGATAGAGGCAGGCTGCACCTCTCCTAATAATCCAGCCCATCGAACCCTAGAATTGTAGAGCTGGAAGGGAACTTGAGGGTCATTTAGCCCAGCCCCCTGGAATGCAATTTCCTAATTCAGGGCAATCAGCTGTATTTTCTAGGAACCAGCAGCCACCATTTTCTTGCAACTCGGGGGCGGTGGAGGAGAACGTCACAACAGAAATGAGAGGGCCGTCATGGGTGTCAACACTAAAGTGGAAACACTTTGAAACCTGAAACTCCAGCTTCTCTTCGTGTGGCTGGAACATGCTAAATTTCTCTCCCCAAGCACCAGTCCCCTGGTGAAGTTGCAGCCGAAGCTCCTCTTCTAACAGGACTAGCCCCTTGCCAGACTTTGATGTTCCTCGCCACTAACAGGGTTGCCAATCATAGGCCTGCCATCTTCCACCTTCCTGACAGAGGCCTGGGGGTGCTTTAGAAATGCTTGCAGGCAGAAATTCTGCCATTGTGATGGGGTTTTTTGTTTTGTTTTTGGCGCTGTGGGGCTGGAGGAACAGGAAGCACCTGTTGAGTTCATGCGGGTGTTTTCTGAAGGGTGAAAAGAAATGCTGACTGGATTTTGCCCGCCCTGTGTTTCAACTGCCCATATTCGCTTGCGTTTCACTTGCTTTGCCACAGGATGTCATGCAAAATAAATTAGCCATCTCATGTTTTGCCCTCTTCCCCCACCCTCCTAGGTTATTAATAAACTCATGTATCAAACCACCAGGCTTGTGTGATAACTGCTCTGGATTGTGTGTGGATGCTTCGGCCAAAAATAGCCCCCTCCTAGGGTTGCTACCGTATTTTTTTGCTCTATAAGACACACCAGACCACAAGACGCACCTAGTTTTTGGAGGAGGAAAACAAGAAAAAAAAATTCTGAATCTTAGATGCCAGAACAGCAAGAGGCATCGCTGCGCAGTGAGAGCAGCAATCCCTCTTGCTGTTCTAGCTTCTGGGATAGCCGCGCAGCCTACATTCGCTCCATAAGACGCACACGTCTTAGGAGGGAAAAGTGAGTCTTATAGAGCAAAAAATACGGTACCTTTCTTTTTACTTGCCCTGTTCTTCTGCCTTTAAATTCTGCCTGATTTAACCAGGGCAAATGTCTTTCCCTGTTATTTAATGCTGGGGGGGCAGGGAAAAACTTTCTGAATTATTTCCTATAGGGAGAGTGTGGGTCCCCCCCCCTTCAGTTTGCTTTTTGATGTGAACATAAATCTCACATCCCAAAACACTTTATAAAATGACACACAGATCTTCTTCCAACGTTGCACCTCTCTGAATTTTTTGCGATGCAGTTCTCTGGGGGAAAATGCCTGTTGTTTTTTTTAAAAAGGGAAATGGCTGTGCTGTTTTTATTACCAGTATTTTTTAAAATATTGCTTTAATTCTATTAGAGTTTATTTCCATTTTTAATGATCATCTTTGATATGTTTTTAGCATTTTGTATTTTATCTGTGTTCTTTTAATTTGTGTAAGCTGCCTGGAGTCCTCAGCTGGGGAAAATGCTGGGTATAAATAAATATAATAATGGTGATGGTGATGATAACCCATAAATGTTCACAAATATGCATGTACTAGGGGGAAGCATGCCACAAGTTGCATACGTCAGTGAAACCAACAATAGAAAAATGCATTATATCAGAGAAAAAAGCTTGCAAAGAAGTATTTATTAGAAGAAAATGTGCAGTAACGTGCTGATGAATTTTCTTGAGAACTTTTTTTTCTTTAGCAAAAAAGTTGCAACCGAATGCAGAAATGTGGTGAACTGAATGCAAGACAGGGAAACTGAGAAAAATCTGAAACTGAGAGAATCACCTATCCCTACTGGGTTGATCCAGTACAATTAAGAAAGTAAGAAGAGCCCTGCTGGATCAGGTCCATGGCCTAACTGGTCCAGCATTCCGTTCTCACTTTGGCCAGCCTGATATCTGAAAAACTGGCAAGCAAAATTTGAGCCCTCCTGTGGTTTCCAGCAGCTGGAAGTCAGAAGCATTGCTGCCCCAACTGTGGAGGCAGAGCAAAGCCATCATGTTTAGTAACCACTGATAGCCTTATACTCGAAAGAATTTGTCCCATCCTCTTTTAAAGTCACCCAAGCGGGTGGCTGTCGCTGTCTACTGCGGGAAGCGAGTTCCTCAGTTTAACTCTGTCCCACATGTAGGACTTCCTTCCTTTCAGATAAACAGCTACCTGACTTTTAGAAGACACCTGAAGGCAGCCCTGTTTAGGGAATTTTTTAGCGTTTGAAGTTTTATTGTGTTTTTAGTATTCTGTTGGAAGCCAGCCATATGGGCAGGGTATGTATAAACAAACAAACAAACAAACAAACAAACAAACAAACAAAAATTATTATACACAGCCACCTTCAGATGTTTTCGGAAAGTCATGCAAATTGGTTATCTGCTGGGAAGGGATTCCACAGGGTGGGTGCCACTACTGAGAAGGCCCTCTGCCTGGTTCCTGTAACTTCACAACTTGCAGAGGGAACCACCAGAAGGCCCTCGGAGCTGGACCCCAGTGTCCGGGCTGAATGGTGGAGGTGGAGACTCCTTCAGGTTTACAGGACTGAAGCCATTTAGGGCAGCCTTTCTCAACCTGTGGGTCCCCAGATGTTGTTGAACTACAACTCCCATCACCCCTAGCTAGCAAGGACAGAGCTCAGGGATGATGGGAGTTGTAGTCCAACAACATCTGGGCACCCACAGGTTGAGAACCGCTGATTTAGGGCTTTATAGGTCAGCACCAACACTTTGAATTGTGCTCAGAAACATACTGGGACCCAATGTAGATCTTTCAGGACCGGTGTTATGTGGTCTCGGTGGCCACTCCCAGTCACCAGTCTGGCGCCTGCATTCTGGATTAGGTGTAGTTTCTGAGTCATCTTCAAAGTTAGCCCCATATATGGCACATTGGTGTAGTCCAAATGGGAGATAACCAGAGCATATGCCTTTCCTTCTGGATCCTTGTTAAAATCTGGGATCTGCCCTTTACCAGGGATCTGCCCTTTACCAGCAGCTGGAACATGCTGATGTGAGCAGATTGGCTGTGTTTATCTCTGCGCTGTGAAAATCTTCGTGGGCTCATCGCTGCAGATCTAGCTGCTCTTAAAGACTCAAGAGCAGAGCGGGCTTTCTGGGTGTTGAGATCCACAATTTCATCACAAGAGGTTTACAGCTGGGCTGGGCAGACTTCTGGGTCCCAGAATCCACTTGTTTTTGGTTATGCTAGCATCCTGGAATCTATCAACTGGAGTCATATTCAAGGCAAGCAGTTTGGAGGGAGGATGTCAGCATACTGGCAGAACGGAGGAATGGGGTGCCTCTGAGCATGCACTGAGCACAGGAATTTGTTGTCAGTTCCAAAACTGGGTTCAGAGTCCTGTCACTCAAAAAGACATTCCTGGTTTCAAGCATTATTCATCTCAGCAGTCTGATTTGGGAGAAGAAAAAAGTCTTTTTGGGGGGGTCAAGTTTATTGTTGAAAAGTTATTATTGCACATCCACCCAAGATAGACCAGTAGGTCAGTAGATCCCAATCTACTTCTGTCATGGCCTTGTTTTACACATTGCAGAAGGTCCCTGCTCTGAGGAGCTGGCACACTAAAATTTAAAGCAGAAGATCACCTTAAACTACAACTACCAACAACCCCAGCCAACCCTACCCAGGAAAGAATTGCACTAGGTACCAATTACCTGCCAGGCTAAGGTGTTGGATTCTGGTTTATAAAGGCCTGTACAGCTCAGGACCAAGATACCTGAAATATCACCTCAGCCCTTATATACCCAGTCGATCGCTGCTCTGCGGGTGAGGGGCTCCTGCTGACAACATCTTATCAGGAGGTTTTCTCCTCACTGAAACAGGGCCTTTAGTGTGGTGGCACCAACCCTTTGAAATTCCCTTCCAATAAATATTAGGCCTCCTTTGTCTTTCCAGTGCCTACCTGAAAGCATTCCTCTTCCAACAAGGCTTTTCAGTAGAGATCTCTCCCCTGTCAGTATCTGTGGTGGAGTTTTTAGATGTTTTAATTACCGGTACTTTGTGTGCTTGAAAACCTGGGCTCCTTTGGGAGGAAGGTCGAGGAAAGAAACAACTACAGTCGTAGCTCGGGTTACAGATGCGTCAGGTTACGGACGCTTCAGGTTACAGACTCCTCAAACCCTGAAATAGTACCTCGGGTTAAGAACTTTGCTTAAGGATGAGAACAGAAATTGCACGACCCCGGCACAGCGGCAGTGGGAGGCCCCATTAGCTAAAGTGGTACCTCAGGTTAAGAACAGTTTCAGGTTAAGAATGGACCTCCAGAACGAATTAAGTTCTTAACCCGAGGTACCACTGTATCTGACTTTTAGAAGACACCTGAAGGCAGCCCTGTTTAGGGAAGTTTTTAATGACTGATGTTTTAATGTATTTTTAAAGTTTTGTTGGAAGCCCAGCCTGGTGGGCGGGGTATAAGTAATAAATTGTTGTTGTTACTGTTATTGTTATTATTAAATAACAGCCCGGGAGACTTTTGCATCCCTTGCTAAGATCCATAGGCAGAAAGTGCTCATAAAGGCATAGGAGCAGCGAAAAGTTGGCAACATCTCTCCAAAAATGCACTAGAAAAGGGGCAAAGAAAGATGTGATAACCTTACCCAGGAAACATTTGGGTTTTTCCCCCTCACAGCACAGCCGGATTAACCTCCTCCAGCCATATGTCTGAGTGACAGCTGTGCTGCCCGGTCTCTTAATGCAATTAGCAGATCTTCTTTCCCAGCTCTGCCTGATTCAGGTCAAGAGCAGCAGGGTGGGTGGGGGAACAGAGGGCGACCCCCCCACACACATTGGGGGTGATGGCCCTGCAGACTCCGCTGCCTCCCAACCTGCGGAGGGGGCTGACAACTTTCAGTGGGTCCCTCTTCATCAACAACAAGACTGGCGACTGCGGCCTGGCACAGAGCTACCACCCAGGTATGATGAGATTTGAGGAGTGGGCTTTAATAAGATCTGGGAAAGCTTTTAACCATGGGTAGGCAAACTAAGGCCCGGGGGCCGGATGTGGCCCAATCGCCTTCTCAATCTGGCCCACGGACGGTCCGGGAGTCAGCGTGTTTTTACATGAGTAGAATGTGTCCTTTTATTTAAAATGCATCTCTGGGTTATTTGTGGGGCCTGCCTGGTGTTTTCACATGAGTAGAATGTGTGCTTTTATTTAAAATGCATCTCTGGGTTATTTGTGGGGCATAGGAATTCGTTCATTTTTCCCCCCCTTCAAAATATAGTCCGGCCCATAGCTGTCAACTTTCAGATTTGAAAATAAGGGATCAGCAGCCTCGAAAATAAGGGATCAGCAGCCTCACCTGTCCCGGGGACAGTCTACGGGATATCTAACAATCCGGGATAGCAGCGGGAAACGACGCTGGAATAAGGGAATTTCCCGCAAAAAAAGGGAAGGTTGACAGCTATGGTCCGGCCCCCCACAAGGTCTGAGGGACAGTGGACTGGCCCCCTGCTGAAAAATGTTGTTGGCCCCTGCTTAACATTGAACTGGGGCAAACAAGGATTCCGATGAAAGCCCTTCCCAAGGGGGTGGTCTCCATGGCTGTAGATCAGTGGCAGAGCATCTATTTACAATTTTATGATTATACCATTCTGTAGTTCTATAGTTTATTTGATCTGATTTAATATTTGGAATATTAAATCGTAAGAGTTGGATGGGACCACAAGGGCCATCTAATTCCAGCCCCCCCCCCTACAATGCAGGAATTTTTTGCCCAACATGGGGCTTGAACCCACGGTCCTGAGATTAAGCGTCTCATGCTCTACCGGCTGAGCTATCTCAGGAATGAGATTTCCAGCAACAAATGTTGAGCTCAAAGCGGCTCACAACAACATTGAGAACAACAAACACTGCAATTGCTATAACAGCAAAACGAGGCAGCATATTACGAAAGCAAAGAGCAGAAGCAAATTAAACTGTTGGGACTATGCCAAAATGGCAAAAACTGACCGGAAAGCTCAGGAACCAAGAAGACCAAAACTTTAACAAAGAATCGGGGAATTTTTTATAATTTTTCATGGAGACCACTGTAAGCAGATGAAAACATTAGCAGGATTGCAATAACACTTGTAAGGTAGCAAGTACTAGGGAGAAAATGGAGTTATATAAAGTATGGACTATTGAAAAAGATGCAGTAGAAAAGGTTTAAAAATAGGACCCACTGAAGGGAAGGTGGGAAGTTCAGAGATTTGGAGGAATCTTTAAATGTGTATGTGTATGGTTGTATTATAATTTTATATTTGTAAAATCAAATAAAAATGATTTTAAGAAAAAAAGAAGAAAAGAAAGCAAAGAGCAAAAGCAAATTCATCAAAACAATTAATATGATTTAATAAAGTGGTCGTGATTCAGTTCAGTTGAATAAAATTCCTATATACCGCTTGATATACAACACTTCAAAGCGGTTTCCGAAAAGAATGAAATTACCGGTTAGAAGCAGCTGTTTAAAACATTCAAAAATAACAATAATAAGTCAACAATAAGTGACAACTCAGAGTAAAACACAGCTCAGCATTCTACATTTCTGGGTAGGCTTGCCTAAACCAAAGTGCTTCCCCCCCCCAATAATTTTTATTAAGTTTTAAACAATTATACAATTATAACATATACTGCAACAAACGTTGCACAACAAAAAACAACAACCCCAAAACAAAACAAAAACTAACAAAGGAAAAAGAAAAGAGGAAAGAAACCACATCTGAAAAACAACAACAAACAGCTAAACAACACAAAAAAACTTAGTTATTTAAAAATCCAACCTTATAAACATGTTACTTGACTTCCTATAGTCCCTCCCTTCTGAATTCCCTTGTATATGAATGTAACAGTTTTCCAATATCATTATTAAAACATAATATTCCAGTTATAATCAAATTTCTTCACTTTTCTTAATGTTCTACATCCTGCAGCAGCAGGAGGCCCCATTAGCTGAAGTGGTGCTTCAGGTTAAGAACAGTTTCAGGTTAAGTACGGACCTCTGGAACAAATTAAGTACTTAACCCGAGGTACCACTGTACTGGGAAGATGCCTTCTTGATGTCAATCGGCAGGGAGTTCCGAAGTGCGGTTATCACTTAAAAACCTGTAAAAGTGCTAGTTCTGCAGATCAGAGCAGTTGAGGGGGAATGCAAGGGGCAAGATGGTCTCGTAGGGAAGCTGTAATCCAAACCAAGTTGACGTTTATAAGGGTGGGATATAAATTCAACAAGTTAAAAGCTATGCAAGAGCCCCTGTTTGTTTCACAGTCATTTTGAATGGTATTAACTGCCGACTTTGTATTCAACCTTTGGGCAATCCCTTGGCAAGCTGCCTTATCCAAAGCTCTAATGACAAAAAACACAACGCCATTGGCAAACGGGTCCAGAGGAGGCTGTTTTCTCCCTGAGATGCTGCTGCTGCAAACTTTTGGCATCTTTTCCAGACCACACGGTGCTTTCCAGTCTGCCGTTACAGATGATGCTGTACTTCAATGCCTTCTTCTCCCCGTTCTGGTGCCTGTCGGAGGGGGTCATGCTGGAACTGAAGGTAGTCAGGGTCCCCCCCCCCTTTTCTTTGTACGTTTCCGAGCACAATTCAAAGTGCTGGTGCTGACCTTTAAAGCCCTAAACGGCCTCGGTCCAGTATATCTGAAGGAGCGTCTCCACCCCCATCGTTCTGCCCGGACACTGAGGTCCAGCGCCGAGGGCCTTCTGGCGGTCCCCTCACTGTGAAAAGCCAAGTTACAGGGAACCAGGCAGAGGGCCTTCTCGGTGGTGGCACCCGCCCTGTGGAATGCCCTCCCACCAGATGTCAAAGAGAACAACAACTACCAGACTTTTAGATGACATCTGAAGGCAGCCCTGTTTAGGGAAGCTTTTGATGTTTGATGCATTACTGTGTTTTAATATTGTGTTGGAAGGCGCCCATAGTGGCTGGGGAATAAATAAATAAATAAATAATAATAATAATAATAATAATTATTATTATTATTATTATTATTAACCGGAGCTGTAGTTCGGCAGAAAAACATCTGCCCTACATGTGGAAGGAGGAGACCCCAGATTCAATTCCTGGCATCTCCAGGTGGGGAGGGACAGACCAGCCTGAAACCCCAAAGCTGTTGGGATCAACTCTTTTTTTTGGGGGGGGGCATCATCTGCTGAAGATTCTTTAGCTGTGATTCCCTGCATTGCAGGGGGTTGAGCTAGATGACCCTAGGGTCCCCTTCCTACGCTACAATTCCATTTTTCTAAGTTAGAGGAAACACGATAGTCCTTTTCAACTAGTTTTCTCTCTTTCTACCCTCCTTCCAGTATAGCCTACTGCCCGCTTACTATCAGTTCCTGCTGGTCAGTGCATACCTGATGATCATCTCAGCCGAAGGCCTGCGGCTCTACCTGGGGTTTATTGGAAATCTGCAGGAGAAGGTAAGGCCTCAAGGCAGGGAGGACGAACCTTAGGGCTGAGAGCCAAGTGTGGCCCTCCATACCTCTTTGCCTGGCCCCCAGGATTTTCTCCAGGCCACACCCCTCTCTTCTTCGCACCCTCCTCCTTCTTTTTTTAAAAAAGGTTTTTTTATTAATAATTTCAACATATCAAAAGATCAAAACATATCATATTCATTATTTTCCCCCTTTCTGCCCCCACTTCTCCATCAAGCCCTCCCCCCTCCCCCCCAGACTTCCCTCAGCTCCTCTCTCTGATTTTTCAACACATATTATTCTCTGCATACTGTGAAATTGTAGAAATCCTTATATTATCTATCTGCTATGTTAACAATCAATAAATGTGTGTATGTTTGTTCAAAACCTGCCAAGGAGTCCAGTTCATTTTGTTGTCCTTTTACGTAATTTGTAAAAAGTTCCCATTCTTCTTTGAAGTCACAGTTGTCCTTATCTCGCAGTTTATATGTTAGTTTAGCCAGGTTTGCATAGTTCATCACTCTTGTCCCTGTTCCTTTCTTCGCACCCTCCTTCAATGTGTTTTGCGCTGCCAGTCAGTGTAGACCATTACACAAAACAAAAGAATTGCCGTGAATAACAAAAATCAAAAAATTTAAGGAAAAATTAACCTAGAATTAAACAAAGACTTAACGAGATGCCGGCTACAAAACTCTTTTCACTGAACTAATCAGTTTCCTCAGAAGGAAATAAAGAATTTTAAACCTTAAATGATTTTAAGCGATATCAAACAAACTCAAGAGTAGGGCTGAGATGCTTCCTTGAGTTTACAAAAAAGGTATAAAAACCTCAGTGACAAGTTTTAAATATAGCCCTATTTAAGAGAACATTATAAACCTTAAATGGTTTTCAGTGATTTCCAGCAAACTCAAGAGCAGGGCTGAAACGCTTCCCTGAGTTTACAAAAAAGGTTTTAAGAAAAACTTACAAAGGAATACGAGAGAAGCTGTTTAAGTTTCAAACAAACTCAAAAACAGGGCTGAAGCGCTCCTGACTGCTGATGTTAAAGACTGATACAGAGTGTTTCCAATCACAGGTTTTTATACAGTGGTACCTCAGGTTAAGTACTTAATTTGTTCCGGAGGTCCGTACTTAACCTGAAACTGTTCTTAACCTGAAGCACCACTTTAGCTAATGGGGCCTCCTGCTGCTGCCACACCGCCGGAGCACGATTTCTGTTCTTATCCTGAAGCAAAGTTCTTAATCTGAAGCACTATTTCTGGGTTAGCGGAGTCTGTAACCTGAAGCGTATGTAACCTGAGGTTCCACTGTACTGTAAGGTGAAGGAATTTTTAAAGGGACAGAACATCTAGTTCAAACAAAGGGCGGGTTTGATAAAGTTTGCAAAGAATAACAAGAATAATATTAAATAGAGTTGTAAGAAATTATAAGAAGGAACTGAAGTCAATATAAGAATTGAGACATCTGGAGGGCCGAGGCTGAGGAAGCCTGGTGTAGGCAATACTGGGCTGGATGGATGGGTAAAAGGCAGCTTCCTCTGTTCCTTGGCTCCTGCAGGTCCCGGAACTGGCCGGCTTTGTCCTTCTCTCCTTCCTGATTGAGACGCCCGTCCTGCTGTTCATCCTGACCGACGAACACATCATCCGCCTGCCTCTGGAGACGGCTGTCCACCTGGTCCTCCTCTTCTTCCTTGCCTCCGAGATCACGGCGGCTGTCTTTGCTCTCAAGGGGATGACCAGGCAGCTAGCCAGGCAGTTCTACCTGAAGCAATTCGAGGAGGGGCCCGGCGGGCTGGGCCCAGGTGCGAGGGACAGCCAGCAGGGGGCTCGGCTGTCCGTCAGCCCTGACTCCGCCCTGCTTTCTGCACAGGGGCGCTAAATGAGCGACGGGCGGGGGGTGTCTTCCCTTTGAGGTGGTGGTCCTCACTGAGGGCCAGTGTGCTGTTGTCGAGTAACATCTGAGAGACCAGAGTTCAAATCCTCACTCGGCCACACGAAGCTCACTGGGGGACCCCGGGCAAGGCACTATCTCCCGGGCCAACCTGAGAGCCTCACAGGGTTGTTGTAGGGACTGAACTGAGAAGGGGGAGGGCTGTGTATGCTGCCTGGAGCTCCTTGGAGAAAAAGGTGAGATATAAATGCAATAATTATGTTATGTACTGAGTTGAATAGGATCCAAAAGGCAGCAGCCTGATTGGTCCTAGAACAATAGGATCCAGAATGCAGCAGTCTGATTGGTCCGCAGGAGCCACCCAATCCAGCTCCAGGTGAAAGTGAATCTGCAACCTGATTGGCCTACAGGAGAATCCCAGAATTAGCCAATCACATGGGGCCCATTGTGTAAATAATGTATATAAAGCAGACATTTTGGGGGAACTGGCATTCCTCACTACTATGAGCTGAATAAAGAGCATGAAATCCACACTCGACTCCGAGTATATTTCAAATTAAATAAGAAATAAATATGCAGGCAAACCCTAAAGATGTGGAACTCCCTCCTTACAGAGCTGCGTCAGGCATCATCATTGCACATGGTTCATCGTATATCAAAGATGCTCCTCCTTTGCACAGCATGGCTACATTTGAAGCTGTTTCATACTTCCACCAAAGTATCCTGGGACGTGTTTGCTTGTTAAGGGTGCTGAGAGTTATGAGGCGAGCCCCCTTTCCCCCTCCCAGAGCTGCAATTCCCAGAGTTCCTTAGGAAGAGGGATTGATTGCTAAACCACTATGGGAATATATATGTGTGTGTGTGTTTTAAACTGTTTTTATTATTATTATTGTATATCGCCTTGAGAGGATTGTGTAGAAGGTGATTAATAAACTGATGGTGGTGATAATAATAATAATATATTAATTTTATTAATTGACCTGGGACCTGAGTACTTGATGGAGCACCTGTCGCCACATGCCCCAATACACAGTTTACAGTCAGAGAAAGAGAGAGAGAGACCCTTACAGAATCATAGAATGGGAAAGGGCGCCGAGGGTCATCTAGTCCAACCCCCTGCAATGCAGGGACCTTCTCATCGTATGTATGCTGAGCACCTTTTCGGGGAGGTGTGGTGGGCTATAAATTTAAATAGACGCCAAGAAAATGCACCAGTTCCCCACGTAAGTAAAGAAAACCTGCAAGTCCCATAGCAAACGGTGAAAAAAGCAGGTTTCATCTAAAAGTGATCTTTAGGCAGAAGCAGGAAGATAAACTAATGTGGGGAGGTTTTGATTCCCTCGACAGAAGTGTGGCTGAGAATTATTCCAATGGAATCTCTATATCTGAGAGAGGAAGAGAGGAAGAGAGAGGGGTGGGTTTGATGGGCTTCCCCCACCCTGGTATCTGAGACCCTTTATACCAGCCCTCCCCAAACTACAACTCCCAGGGTTGTTGGGAATTGTAGTCCCAAACCTCTGCAAGGCATCTATATCTACCTCTGTGTTGTTGCTACCCTCTGAAGGTTTTGGACTACAACTCCCATCAACCCCAGACAGCCCAGCCCTGGGGCTGATGGGAGTTGTAGTCCAAAACACCTGGTTGGAGGAGTCTGTTTTCAAGCGATACCCCAGTTGGACACCAAATGCATCCAAAGCAGGGAGGAGAGATCTTGCCCGTCTGCTTGAGCATCTATCCCACATTAGGTCTCTCCTGAGATTTCTTGCCCATGGTCTGTAGGGCTAGGTGGCTGCGTCAACTTTGGTTTTCGGTGGCTTTGCCTGGAAAAGCAGAACAGGGAACATATTAGAAAGATACTGTGGGCATTGCAAAAGGTTCAGAAAAGGGCAAGCAAAATGAAGAAGGGGACTAAAGAAAGGTTACAGTGTTTGGGACTTTTTAGTTTAGAGAAAAGGCACACGAGACATGATAGAAGGGACCAAAGCAGGCTTGGCAGGGAGACAGCAGATAGAGAAAAGTTTTTCTTCCTCTCTCAGAACACCAGAACTCATGGAGTGCCAATGAAGGTGAATTTTGGACGATTTAGGACAGAGAAGAAGAAGAGTTTGGACTGTGATATGATTTCATGAAATAATGATATTGGAAACTGCTATATATAATTACTAAGAAACTCAGATGGAAGAGATTTGAGGAAGTCAAATAATATGTTTATGAAGATGGATTTAAATTAATTAATTAAGTTTTAGTTTATGTGGTGATTTGTTGTATTTTATGTTTTATATTCTTTTTTCTTTTTCTTTTTTCTGTTTCATTCTTTTCCCTTTATTATTGTTAACTTTTTCTTCTGTTATGTTTATGTATGGAAAATAATAAATATTATTGTGAAAAAGAAGAAGAAGAGTTTGTACTTGAGATCCCGCCTTTCACTCTCCTTAAGGCAGGCATGACCATAGTCCATTTCGGGGGCCTAATCCGGCCCTCTGGTCGGTTTAATCCGGCCTCTGTGGCAGTTTATTTCCTGGGGTAAAATCCCCCCAAAACCTCAACAACGTCAATCCTAAAAGAAGCTCAACAACTTTGGTTGGCCCTTTGGTCAGCCCCCACGGCCCTTCACTTTGCCAAATCTGGCCCTCTTTGAAAAAAGTTTGGACACCACTGCCTTAAGGAGTCTCAAAGTGGCTAACAATCTCCTTTCCCTTCCTCCCCCACAACAAACACTCTGTGAGGTGAGTGAGGCTGAGAGACTTCAGAGAAGTGTGACTAGCCCAAGGTCACCCAGCAGCTGCGTCTGGAGGTGCGGGGAAGCGAACCCGGTTCACCAGATTACGAGTCCACCGCTCTTAACCACTACACCACACAGCACAGAGTTAAACTGTGGAACTGTTTCCCGTAAGGACCTCCAACTTGGATGGCTTTTAAGCATGATTACACAAATGCATGGGAGATCAGGCTATCAATGGCTCAGTGGAGGCACTGTGTGGCTGGAGGCAGCAATGCTTCTGAATTCCAGTTGCTGGAAACAGCAGGGGAGAGAGGGCTCTTGTGCTTGAATCCTGCTTGTGGATTTCCCATGGAGGCGTCTGGTTGGCCACTGTGAGAACAGGATACTGAGCTAAAGGGGCCATTGGCCTGATCCAGCAGGTTCTCCTTGTGTTCTTTTACTTTTAATCTGCCCCCACGATCTGAGGGCTGTGTTTTAGCATGCAGAAAAGCCTGCTTTTACCAGGTAACAGGTAAAGGACCCCTGGATGGTTAAGTCCAGTCAAAGGCGACTATGGGGTTGTGGCTCTTCAGGCCAAGGGAGCTGGCGTTTGTCCACAGACAGCTTTCCGGGTCATGTGGCCAGCATGACTAAACCGCTTCTGGCGCAACGGAACACCGTGACGGAAACCAGAGCGCATCGAAACGCTGTTTACCATCCCGCTGCAGTGGTATCTATTTATCTACTTGCACTGGTGTGCTTTCGAACTGCTAGGTTGGCAGGTGCTGGGACAGAGCAACGGGAGCTCACCCCGTCACGGGGATTCGTATCACCGACTTTCAAATTGGCAAGCCCAAATCGGCAAGCCCAAGCTCAGTGGTTTAGACCGATGTCCCTCTGCTTTTAGCAGGGACACCCCCCAAAAAAAATTAAGTAAAGGCTTGGGGAGCCAAACACCTTCAGACACACAATCCCTCTCAAGATCCCTGACCAGTCGCTGCCAGTCCCCAGGGAGCATGAGGGGCTGCTGAGGCTGCGATTCCCCACAGCGGGACAATGGGGCGTGACAGCGAGTGCTAAATGGGACGGAACCAGAGCATGCAGGCAAGGCAGCAGCAAAGGGATGTTTACAGCAAAGGGCATGGTGGAGAGAGAGGGACTTCAAAGGCAGCCGCATCCACATAAACAAAGCAAGAGGCCAGATCAGCCCACATCCGATCGCTGTTACCTCCTCGTATTTCTCGCTCCGATAAAATTCGGCTTTCGTATCGAGATACAGCAGGACGAGGTCACAAACCACGGCAGCCTAGGATGGCAAGAATCAAGTACGACATCATTCAGCATCTAGACCAGCCTTGGCCAACATGGTGCTCTCTGTTTGTTTGGATCTACAACTCCCATCAGCCCCAGGGACATCGTACAGCTACAAGGCCAGGGGCTGATGGGAGTTGTAGTCCAAAAGGGCCTTTTTTATTTTACTAGTCGTACTTACAGCTCCAAGGAAGGCAGCTCCTGTTCCCAAGTTGACAGCGGTGGGAATGATGCTGAACTTCCCAGCCTGAGTAATAAAAAGAGTGTAAGGTATTAGGGGAGGGGTAGTAACTCGGGGGGGGGGTGGACACATGCTGCACTCCTTCTGGGGTTTTTTGTCTGTCTTTCATCCCCACCCTGCACTCAGCTCTCATCTGTGGCTCTTAGAAGCTGTCAGCACATGACAGAAACCACACCCTGGGAACGGCTTCGACTGGCTGGCTAAACCAGGTAAGGGTAGCCGACATATCTCAAATACTTGGTGAGTTAGGGATTTCCCCTGTATTATATAGAAAGCTGTCACCTACAGTCAGGGAACTGCCATCAGTGCTGGAGGGAGAGAGCAAAAGCCAGAGGGATTCCAGAGAGCGTCCCGGGATTGGGAGAAGCAGCCCATCTTCTGGGGAAGAGAATCAGCGTAGCACCAGTGGAGAAGGGGGGCAGATGGGGGAAACGGGGAGGTGGTCCCATGACTCCTTGCCTGGGACCAGCGGGGAGAGTAGGGGTCCTACGCTGCCCACGCCCTCCTTGCGCAGAAGGCTTTCGCGCAGAGAGAGTAGGAGGAGACTAGGCGTCAAAGAGCTTCTTGGCTGGAAGAAGTTTAAGAAACGCCCACTGACGGATTCTGCCAGCGATTGAGTCAGCCACGGGTGAGTGGCTGTCCGGACAGAAAAGGTTCACTTAGGCAACCCAGCCAGGTGTTTGCACCCAGCCAGGTGTAAGCACCGGCTTACACACGAGCAACCCCTAGAACCATTACACCTACTAAGTCAGGCCACTGGTGCACTGAGCTTCTGTGGTAAATAAAAGACACAAATAACTGGGAATATAAGCTCCCCCCCCCCTTTCTGCCTGTGGCGCAACAGAATATTAAGGAGGTGGGCAGGGGAAGGACTAGACCATGTGAAAAATGAACATAATATTTTAGCTGCAGTTCACTCATTTTCAGCTATGTATTCTTGCTATTAAAAAAGCGTGCCTAGACATTCCGTTGTTGTGCCCATAATCTCGGTTTAAGGTGCCCTTTAGCTCCTAGCTTTCATATCTTAGTTTCTAACACTTGGGGGGCAATGAATGGGATCCCTGCAGAGCAACTCCTCCCCTAGGGATCCGCTGCACATGGGGCCTCAGAGGTCCTTACCTGGCCGTGGACCGAAATATCAAAGCGGATACCATAGAGTTTCAACAGGCTCCGAGACTGCTGGTTCAGGGGGTCCCGATAATAGGAGGCGGTTCTGAAGAAAGAAAGCAGGCAGATGAGCAGCGTACTTGCAGAAGCTGTGGCTTGGTCCACATGCTACTGGACCACGTTTGAGGCTCTTGTATCGACTGGCAGGGCCCTTGACAACTTGGGTTCAAGATACTGCGAGGAGTGCCTGACCTCTCATATTATTTATTTAGTTTTTGAATATATTCATATCCCTCCTTTCTGCCAAGTTGGGGTGCAAGTTGGCTTAAAAGCAACATAACGAAATGCAAAGTGATATCAATGAACTAGCTAAAACAACCATGAAAATACATCAGAACACATGCGGAACCAGCTATTAAAACACCGTTTGCCCTGACAGCATCACCTGCGGTTCAGATTCCAAAGGCTTGTCTGAATAGGAAGGTATAGGAGCGCGGGTGGCGCTGTGGTCTAAACCACTGAGCCTCAGTTTTTTAGCGCAGCTCTTTCCCAATACATATGCAATTTCCCCCAATATACAAATTATTGCGAAGTAGTTTCCCCTGGTGCATTTGCGTATGTTCTTTTCTTTTGCTAACATATACATTTTTCTGCACATTTCTCGGCATTGCAAAATTCAGAGAAGTGTAGATTCCGAAGGGTTGCTGTGTTTCGTTTCACGTACTGTTTCAGTAAGTGTGAATTGGGCATGTTCGCCTTTATATGCAAGCAGAATTGAATCCTCCCCCTGCCCCGCATCCCTACTTAAGACAGAACGGCTGGCTTGCGCACTGCTTCCTTCGCACCCTCCTGCCTGCTGCCCACCTGAAGTTGAATTTCTTTTCCAGCAGAGTGAAGGAATAGCAGGGCCTGCATCTGGAAGGAGGCTGGTCCAAGTCACAATCCCAGTCGATCCGCAGGCCGATAGCACCCCCCTGTGTGGGATCCACCAAATGCCACAAGATTAATGGGGGAGATGAACAGAGGGCACTGGGATCTATTAGTACTGAGCAAATAATAAAAATAAAAATAAAAATAAATTATTTATACCCCGCCCTTCCCAGCCAGAGCTGGGCTCAGGGCGGCTAACACCAATAAAATCATAGTAAAAACATAATGGGGGGAAAGGGGGGGGGAGGAAAAGGGAAAAAAAACAATTTAAAATACAGGTTAAAATGCAATTTAAAATACAGCCTCATTTTAAAGTAGCTGATAAATCAAAACCATAAGGGGAGGGAAATATAAGGGTCAGACTGAGTCCAAACCAAAGGCCAGGTGGAACAGCTCTGTTTTGCAGGCCCTGCGGAAAGATGTGGAAAGTCCCGCAGGGCCCTAGTCTCTTGTGACTGGCCCTCCGCGCTTGCATTTGTGGGATGGGTTGCTGAAGCAAAAGGGGAGACCTACCTGGTGAGCCAGCTCCTCAAAGCTCTCCCCAGCTGCCTCGACCATGTCACGAATGCGAAAAACGGGGCAATAAGGGTCATCCACGGCATCATATCGACAACCCTTGAAGTAAGAGCCATCCGTCGTCTTCAGCGTGTTTGTCCTGAACGAAAGCATGAGAAAAATTAAAGTCTTTCGGAAACCTGTTGTAATAGCAGCTTGGGAGAAAGAGCCTTGGTGGCACCTTTATTTGCAATTGAATTGTTTCCTTTATTTATATGCCACTTAATGCTAAAATAGGGACGCGGGTGGCGCTGTGGGTTAAACCACAGAGCCTAGGACTTGCCAATCAGAAGGTCGGCGGTTCGAATCCCCGCGATGGGGTGAGCTCCCGTTGCTCAGTCCCTGCTCCTGCCAACCTAGCAGCTCAAAAGCACCTCAAAGTGCAAGTAGATAAATAGGTACCGCTCCGGCGGGAAGGTAAACGGCGTTTCCGTGCGCTGCTCTGGTTCGCCAGAAGCGGTTTAGTCATGCTGGCCACATGACCCGGAAGCTTTACGCCGGCTCCCTCGGCCAATAAAGCGAGATGAGCGCCACAACCCCAGCATCGGCCACGACTGGACCTCTAATGGTCAGGGGTCGCTTTACCTAATACTAAAATAGTCACCAAACAGATGACAAAAACAGCGCACGGAGACACACCCCATGAAGTTGAAATGCTGCCATATCATATAGTGCACAAAACTGGGAATTATAGTGACAGAACTACTTAAATGGTATAGAAATTAATTTATGTATGCTACTACAGCAGCAAGAATGCTACTTGCTCCAAAATGGAAAGAAACAGAAGTCCCAGCAAAGGAAGAATGGATACAAAAACGTATGGAAAATGCAGAAATGGTGAAACTTACCGGAAGAATAAGAAATCAAGATAAAGTTTTTTTTTATTATAAAGGAACGGAAATGGTTTGTTGAATATTTACAGATAAAAACATTGGCAGTATTATTGTAATAACCTGCAGTTTCCAAAGAGTATATATTTAATGTAGATAATTAAATGAGCAAATTAAATGAATTTGGATATGCAGAAGATACTAAAAAATAAATTTAAGGAACCGCAGAAGGAGGGGGAAGGAAGTCAAACTTTGATATATTAAAATGATTGTAAAATTATTGAAATATATAAACCTGAAAAGTATAAATAAAAACTTTTTTAAAAAAACAAAAACATCTGCAGTACAATATAAAACAATAACATCCCCCAAAAGCAAGAACCTGAAGAGATATTTTGTGGCACTGTTACAAACTTTGCAGAGTTTCTAGACCATACAGAAACCTGCACAACCTATCTAACCTGTGTCAACAGTGGGCTGTGTGTTGGTGCCACGACTGACACTCCTGTTTGCAAACAGTATCCCAAACCCTCTGTGAAAACTGTCCCCACCCTGCTTTAAAGATCTCAGCCCTTACCTGGTGAAGTTAAACCTGGTAAAGTTGACAGTGTTTTTAATAAAGAGAGTGAAATTCTCCGCTTCAGCCAAGAGTGGTTTCCTAGGTGGAAAACAGAATAGGTGGGCCTATGAATGCATTCATGGAAGGAACGGGACCATTTGGTTTTTACAACCTGTAGGCTGTTGGGGAATAAGTTAAGCTACCTTTCCATGAGAAATTGGAGTTTCTAGCAGATGTCTGATAATACGTGGTGGCTGATTCTTTATTTACTTATACATACAGCATGGCATTTATATGTTGCTTGGTTGTAAGAAGTAGAAAAAAAACCTTGAAGCAGTTTAGAAAAGAACGAATAAATAAATAAAACAGTTAAAAGCAGCTATCTAAAACATTCAAAAAGTAATTAAAATCAAAGATTAGCTAAAAACAATGGCACCAGCCTACATATTTGTTAGGCTTAGCTAAACAAGTATTTAATTTGGTGTGGTTTTTTTAATAATTTGGGCAAAGTTCTCTCTTGGAGACCAAAAATAGTGTTAATTCCCCCCGCCCTTGAAGGTGGTTTGAAAGAGGAGTTGGTACCAAGTGCGATGTAGTTGCCTTACTTTTCCCTCTGACTAAACAGGTTCTCAAGGCTTTTGGTATCATCTGGGGGAAAAACTGCAATGCCTATTTGACCAGCAATACACCTTGTGGGAGGGGCCACCTCTCTCAACCAAATGTCTTCTTTGGTTAGCAGCTACTGCCTGTTCCCCAGCTGAAGATGTCTGGCTGGCTTGCGGTGGGTTTGGGGGACAGAGATACAGGTAGCCGTTGAAACAGGATCAAAGAGGACAACTTGCATACCTGGACAAGGTCTTGTTTTCCACCGGACACCACCCATAGATCTCACAGGTATTATGGGATGCATCAAACGGGACACACTTCCCTGTTTTTACTCCTGCAAGAGAACCAAACCACATATCAGTTATGTCTTCTTTTTACCGAAGCCCTTTATTCCTTTCAAGGTGCACTGCAGCCCAACTCCCCCATGTAAAGTATTGCTTTAGCCTATATTTTTGGAAACCACTTAGAGGTTTTCTGACACTCAAGCTGTATGTGCATGCTGTTAAATAAATGAAATTGGGAAAAGCAGAAACTGAGAGATACTGAGATTGACGTATTTGGCCATTAGACCCCGGAAAGCTCAGATAATCCTGAGCTAGATGGGCAAATGGTTTAATTCAGTATGAGGTGGCTTCATCTGCTATTATGTTTTAGAAAATATTCGCTATGCATTCCGACACCTCTTGGAATAATGTGGCCAAATTTTGCCTGCTGGTTCCTGAGATACAACTGGGTGCTGTTTAAATCAAGGTGGCTGACTGAACTTTTCCAAACTGCACTGATTTCCTTTTCCGACAAAATTGTATTAAATTTTCTGTTTTACATTTTAGAATATTCGTTTAAACAACCTTAAAATATCAATGACTTCTTCTCTTTCCATGATTCATTTTGCATAACATAAATCCCTGCATATTTTACATAAACTAAACCATTAAATATTCCATTATTACATCCATCAAAACTTATTTACACTGTTGAATTTATCTTAATGCTTGCCAACATTTTCAAGTGTACATAATTTCCCCCATATAATCAATAAACATTTTCCAATCTTCTTTAAACATTATGTTCTTCTTGTTCTCCTGTTCTATATGTTAGGTCCACAAGCTGTGCATATTTCATCAATTTAAGTTGCCATTCTTCTTTAGTTGGGACCTCACTCGCTTTCCATTTTTGGGCTAACAAAACACGGGCCGCAGTAGTGGCATACATAAATAACCTTTTTTGACACCTGGGAATTTCTGTCTGAATTATCCCCAACATAAACTGCACTGATTTCCAGTTGGCACCAATGGTTTGGAATCCTTCAGCAACAACAGCTAACAAGGCTGCTAGTAAGAAATCCAGCGGTTTTTGTAACTTGTGGCACGGCTGGCTGCTTTTGGGGAATGGAGGGAAGGATGCAGAGGAGAAATGTAAAAACAAGAGGGAAGCTTCCCCCAACCCAGTGCCCTTCAGATATTCTTGGATTGCAACTTCCATTGGCAGGGCCGGCCCCGTACATTTTGCCGCCTGAGGCGAAACGGAAAATAGCTCCCCCTGCTGCTGGTTGTGGAAGGCTGCAAGAGGGAGCCTTGCAAGCTGTAACTGCTGAGAAACTGGTGCTAAATTCGGCGTTCAGATGTGGGTGATGTAGAGAGCAGCGGGTAGGGACCAGGACTGAAACAGACCTCCTTACCGTTTCCGTGGACCACCGGCTGTCCTGGCGAACAGTCCTCATCTCTCCTGCAATTCCCATCGGGGATGGAAGGATGCTGGAGGAGGGGAAGACAATTGTTGAGTAGGAAAAGCATCTGCAGGGGACCCCTGTGAGAGGGTCCGCTTGGCATGCCTTTATAAAGCTCTAGCAGGAAGGGGCACCCACAGACCTGACACAGGGTCTCAGGGCATCTTGGCCAGCACCTTGCTGCTGCGATGATGTTGACAGGCATCCCGAAACTCAGCTCTCCAGCTATTTTGGGACTACAATTCCCATCATCCCTGACCACTGGTCCTGTTAGCTAGGGATGATGGGAGTTGTAGTCCCAAAACAGCTGGCGGGCCGAGTTTGGGGATGCCTGATGTTAGAGTATCTGAACCGACACAGAATAAACTGCTGTGATGCCTAAAGGTAAAGGGACCCCTTATCATTAGCTCCAGTCGTGACCGACTCTGGGGTTGCAACGCTCATCTCGCTTTCCTGGCCGAGGGAGCTGGCATACAGCTTCCGGGTCATGTGGCCAGCATGACTAAGCCGCTTCTGGCGAACCACAGCAGCACACAGAAATGCCGTTTACCTTCCCGCCACAGCGGTACCTATTTATCTACTTGCACTTTGACGTGATTTCAAACTGCTAGGTTGGCAGGAGCTGGGACCGAGCAACGGGAGCTCACCCCGTTGCGGGGATTCGAACCGCCGACCTTCTGATCGACAAGCCCTAGGCTCTGTGATGCCTACAATGATGCAATCTGGTCTATGATTTGGGCTGAGAGCAGGCGAATGGTTGAGAGGTGCTTCTCCGGGGCTCGGGCAGAGAGGTCAAACTGCACAGCAGGGGTGAGGGAGCTCCAGACTGAATGCGGCCCCCAGAACTCTCCACCTGGCCCTCCCGAAGCCACACAACCCCTTCCAGGCAGCGTCTCTCCCAGGCCCTGCCTTGCACTCTCCTCAAGAGTTTTAGCCTAGCTGGGACATGTCCTTTTTTAAAAACAATAAAGGTTTGTTTTCATTTCGTTTAATACTGTATATAAAGCAGAGAGGACAATTATAATAACTGATGACGATCAAAAGATGAAAAACAAAACTGTAAAATAGGGACACAGAATGAGTACGGTTGCACATGGGTTAAAATAACAAAGTCCAAGTAAAATCATGTATGATCTAGCTGAGATTCCTGAATTGCCTGGGGTTGGACTAGATGACCCTCGGGTTCCCTTCCAACTACTGCAACCCCTCCAACAATTAAATGATATTTTTGACATTTGCAAAAGAGTGCAATACTACCTGTGTAGTAATTTCAATGAGTTTCAATGATTTTTCTGCAAGAAAACTGAAAGCAGATTTTGTTATGTACTGAAGTTAACCCTGGGCCAGCAGGGGGATACTGTAGATAGTTTTCACTCAGGTCCATATATGCAAATAAGGGATTGAAAGTGACATTCAGTGATTGGATAGTTACAGAAAATGGTTACTGTTGCGTTCTAGTGGAGCTCTATATAAGCAGGCTGGCTGAACCCTTTAGTTCAGTTCTGATCTGGCCTGTAAATAAACAAGAGCTGTTTGAAGAATCGCTGTGTCGTCTGATATGTTCACCCACAACTTAACAGATTTTAAGGGTTGTGATTCCCAAATTCTAGTCCAATCCTTGGGAAGAATTTGTGTGCCAATTCTAATAATTTTTCTATTTGTGTATTAATCTAGTTCCCATATCTTTTAAAGGGGAGGGGTGTGTCCTTGAACCCTTGCTTGCCTGGATAGAGAACGGCATCGGATGTGATCTCTGCCTTGCATGTTACCTCTGCACTGGCACCAATTTGTTGTACAATGGTAAAATTTACGTTTGTTGCTCCACACACTTTTGCCTCTGGCCCCGCCCACCAGTCGTACCTGGCTCCAAAAGGTTCCTGCCTCCAGCAACTGTAGAGGAAGCAAAAAATTACCGATAAAGAAAAGCCAGCGACGTACCTCTGGACATGATCCTTGCACTTGCTTCGGAGTAGCAATGAAATTGGTCACCACAAAGAACACGTTTTCGCCCTATGAAATGTTTCAAAACACGTACATTCAGTTGTTGGTTGTTGTTGTTTTTTAATGCCCCATATTATTTGTTTTAATGTGCATCTTATTGGTTTTATTTTTGGTTTAATGCTCTTGTTTGTTCTTATATGGTACACTGCTGAATTTTTAAGAAACAAAGTGGTGTATAAAAGATTTAAAATAAATAAACAACACAACTTTACCAGTATTAGTAACTTTACCACTACTTTACTACTGTTTGTAACTTTACTCCTAGTAGTAGTATTACTACCACAAACTTCTCCGTCTCAATTTTCCATATGGCCTGATCCAGATGGGTAATTCTTTTGTGGCCACAAGGCCAAAGAAAGGATACCTGAGGGGGTTTCACGTAATCTGCCACATCCCAGATTCGGTCCCCAAGCTCTCGGACGCGTGTGACCGAAATCCCTTTCAGTTTGGTGATGACTGAGATGTGAGGGTCAGTATCTTTCTCCTGGTAGCCCTTTTTGGCTAGAAACACCCACCTGCGAGGCAGCAGAAAGAACAGGGATCCAAGATGCTTAACATGCACACTTAAAAGAACCCTCCTTCCATGCTCCAGATATGTTGCCCCACCCTTGGAGATCATCTGCTACAATTGCCTCAGCATTTCCAGATGGCTACAAGGAGCGGGGCCTTTTTCTGTGGTGGCACCCCTGCAGTGGAACACCCTGACCAAGAAGCTCCTCAACCTTACTCATTTTCATCCCTTCAGAGATTAGACTGTTATTTAGTGTTCGACTATGTGTACAAAGGAGTCTGCCCTTTTGAAGGCCTTTTCCAACTTTACAATACCATAAATAAGCATGGATTTGAGCCTGCCTGTTCATTAAGGTCCTCTGCAGCAGGGAACCCCGGGAATGAATGCGGCCCTCCACTCCTCTCTATCTGGCCCTCAGAAGTCTCCGCAGCTACATCTCTCCCCAGCCCTGATTCATGCACTGCTTGGACTCTGCTACGTTAGTCCGAAAACAGCATATTGAATGCATTATAAACACACAACACCAGATGGCGCCAGAGAGCAAAGAAAAATTCTATGCAATTTTCTATAGCGGTTTCCCCCCCTTTTGTTATAACAATTTAACTTCTGACTTCTTTATAGTGTTTCCCCCCTGTGTGTAGATCCATCCCTTGAGTGTGTTTTGCCTGTCTTGAACACTGATCATGCCCCTTGTTTAGGAGGAAGGTCGTGAGAGCTGCACAAGTGTGTGTCGAAACTAACCTACTGGGAAAAGGGGAAATTTGCATTTGTTGCTCCACCCACTTTCGCCTCTGGCCCCACCCACCACTTTCATGTGGCCCTCAGTCATGTGGCCCCCATCCCTGAGCCTCAGCATGCACGATTGCAATAACTCATATCAGCTGGATGGGCGGGGTATAAATAATAAAATTCTTATTATTAAGCCCGGAACTATTTCCCTTTGCAGCCTTTCTTGAACTCGGTGCCTCACAGTTGTTTTGGACTGGGGTTGCCATCTTCACTCAGCGCTGGCTGTGCTGGCAGAGGCTCATGCAAGCTGAAGGCAGCACACATTCCTGCCATGCACTTAAAGCCCAACCCTAAAAGACCCTGGGAGCTGTAGTTTGTTGAGGGTGTTGGGAATTGTAGCGCTGGGATGGGTAAACTGCAGTTCCCAATATGCTTGGGGGCGAGAGAGGGAGGTGTTAAATGTATGGTGTGTACCCAGCCTGAGTCCAAAAACTGCTTTGAGGTTTTGTTTTGTTTGACAGTCCAGGGTATATGAATGTTATGAAATAAATAAATAAACTTATTTACTCATTTCATAACATTTATACACTGCTTGATTGTAAAAAAAAACCTCAAAGAGGTTTATAAAAAAGATAAAACAATAAAATTATCACTAAGAATAATAAGATTTCCAAAAAGTTAAAATAACAAAAGACTAAAAGCAAACTGAAACTTTCACCAGCTTTCTAAGCACCTGGGTCAGCTTGTCTAAACAGGATTTTTTTTATTAATAGCAGACATTGAAAAGAATACAGTACAGAGAAGGTGCCTGCCTTATGTCAATAGGCAGGGAGTTCCAAAGTTCCAGGGTGGAGAAGACTGTGTGTTGCTTCCCATTCAGCGAATTGGGGACTGCGAGCAATCTACCTGCTTTTACCACCGTGATTCATTTGGGCAAAAACTCCGACGTTGGCGTTAAAAGGCAGAGGAGCAGGGCTAGCTGGAGGAATGTGGCAACCCCAGGCATAGGTGGAACAAGGGTGGGATGTGTGAGGAAGCTGGATTCCTGCATGGCTGCAGTTCCTCCTGCAAAAGAGGCTGCTTCTAGGGCACTTAAAAAAGAGAGCCAGAAGTCAGGCTGGAGGACCGTAAATCCACCCAATGCAGCAATTCACCATCTCACCAGCAAAGTCTCAGAAACGTCAGTGACTTGCGATTTCGAAGGCTTCTCAACACCCGTCTCGCTGCTTCTGCAGCTCTTACCCGAGGATGTAACCCACGATCCCGAGCTGGATCAGCCGGTGCAAGACTCCGACCTTCCTATTCCTGGTGAGCGCAAACTTCTCTGTCTTATAATCCAGAAAGCCGAAGCAGGAATGGCTCCAGGAATCCCCCATGGCCGGCTGGCTGGCTGTGAAATCCCGGCAGCAGAAGCTGACGGAGGACGCCACATCCTCCTGGCCTGCTGCCCAAGTGGAGAAGAGCAGGCAAAGAGGCAACTTTTCAGAAAACGCCGAAGATGTGAGGATCTGTGTCAGCATCTTCCAAAGCAGCAAGGAGGGGAGGGTAAAATAAAGCTGGCCTGATAATGGGCGACTAAAATTGGAAAGGAGGGTCAACAAGGACGTGGCTGTTGTCTCCATGGGCTAACTGGAATCAGAACTGTAGAGCTGGAAGGGATCCAAGGGTCATCTAGTCCAACCCCCTGCAATGCAGGAATCTCAACTAAAAAACAACCTCTGCTGAAAAACTTCCAATGAAGGAGAGTCCTCCACCTTCTGAGGTACTCCGTCCAGTGCCCGGACACTGAGGTCCAGCGCCGAGGGCCTTCTGGCGGTTCCCTCACTATGAGAAGCCAAGTTACAGGGAACCAGGCAGAGGGCCTTTTCGGTAGTGGCACCCACCCTGTGGAACGCCATCCCATTAGATGTCAAAGAGAAAAATAACTACTAAACTTTTAGAAGACATCTGAAGGGAGCACTGTTTAGGGAAGCCTTTAATGTTTAATAGGTTATTGTATTTTAGTGTTTTGTTGGAAGCCGCCCAGAGTGGCTGGGGAAATCCAGCCAGATGAGTGGGGTATAAATAATAAATTATTATTATTATTATTATTATTATTTAGGTTTGATGAGGCCCTTAGCTACTGAAGGTAATGGGGCCCTTTATATGTCCAGCTGCCCTTTGTCAACAACAAATTGTTGCTGTTTTTTATGTTGAATACAGTGGTACCTCGGGTTAAGTACTTAATTTGTTCCGGAGGTCCATTCTTAACCTGAAACTGTTCTTAACCTGAAGCACCACTTTAGCTAATGGGGCCTCCTGCAGCTGCTGCGCCGCAGGAGCACAATTTCAGTTCTCAACCTGAAGCAAAGTTCTTAACCCGAGGTACTATTTCTGGGTTAGCGGAGTCTGTAACCTGAAGCGTATGTAACCTGAGGTACCACTGTATATGCTATATGGTAATTTATGGACTTAATATGTATCTAAAGCCCTTTGCACATGTTGCCATGCAACCAGTCCATGCGGAATGTAGGCACCCTATATATATAAAGGTAAAGGGACCCCTGACCATTAGGTCGAGTCGTGGCCGACTCTGGGGTTGTGGTGCTCATCTCGCTTTATTGGCCGAGGGAGCCGGCGTTCAGCTTCCGGGTCATGTGGCCAGCATGACTAAGCTGCTTCTGTCAAAGAGAAAAATAAATACCAGACTTCCAGAAGACATCTGAAGGCAGCCCTGTTTAGGGAAGCTTTTAATGTTTAATAGACTTTTGTATTTTAATATTCTGTTGGAAGCCGCCCAGAGTGGCTGGGGAAACCCAGGTAGACCGGCGGGGTATAAATAAATTATTATTATTATTATTATTGCAAAATAAAATAGGAAATATCATCACAAATTAAAATGACCGCACCTTTCCTGGTGTTTTGGATTTCTGGGGGCAGGGGCATCCTGGCATATGAAATGTAATGGTAACATTTATTTCCCTTTATTGAAAACATATTCATAGTAATATTATACTGGGGGGGGCTATTGGGCTGTTGTTTTTATTTTTATTAGGCATTTTGTGGTTTTATATCTTGATTTTATTCTGTGAACCGCCCTGAGACCCCCAGGGTATAGGGCAGTATATAAATTCAATAAATAAAATTAATAATAAATAAATAAAATAGTAATAAAATAAAATTGCTTTGTAACCCCGCAAACCAACCCCGAACCCCGCTTCCGAACAGATTACAATTTTAATGCGAAATAAGCCTCGGGGATTTCCGAGGGGGATTCGAACTCGCGACCCCTGGAGCAGCTCAGGACAAAGTTTCTAACCCCGCTTGACAAGGCGAAGCTCGGAAGCGATTCTTCGTCGCCCACAAATACTTGATAGGCTCGCCTCGTCAACCCCACCCCCCGTCCAATCGGCTTCCGCGATGCCGGGCTGCGCCCGCCCCTCCCTGCCGCGACGCCGTTGCCACGGCAACCGGCTGGTAGACTAGGCCCGAGCCGCGCCCATGCCGAAGCTGCCGCTGTCGCCGGTGCCCGAGCAGGAGACCGACGTCGGGGATCGCCTTCCCAGTCGCGGCACTCCTGCCCCCGCTCGTCTGGGCTCCGGCGGCTCAGCGGTGAGGAAAAAAGAACCGAGGAAGAAGGCCGCGGTTTTAAGGAGGAGCGGGAGGCCTGCGGGCTGGTGGGCGGGGGACTAGCGTGTGACGTGGACCCTGGGGGTTTCTGGGAATTGTAGTTCTAGAGGGAAAGGCTGGGGTATGGGAAGCTCATGCAGCGCCTTTCTCTCAACGGGGTTAAAAATAAGCAGCTAGGAAAAACCCACAGGCAAAAGGACACCACTTGTAGTATTCCTATAGATGCGATTGGACTACAACTCCCATCATGCACAGCTGCCAGCATGGGCAACGATCAAGGATGAGGCAGTGCGGTATAGTGGTTAGAGCAGGCATCCCCTAACTCGGCCCTTCAGCTGTTTTGGGACTACAACTCCCACATCCCTAGCTGACAGGACCAGTGGTCAGGGATGATGGGAGTTGTAGTCCCAAAATAGCTGAAGGGCCGAGTTTGGGGTGTTTGACTAGAACCAGAAGGCCAAGGCTCATACCCCCACTTGGCCATGTGAAGCTCACTGGGTGACCTTGGGCCGGTCACTCACTGCCAGTTTAGCTTACCTCACAGGGTTGTTGTGAAGATTAATTTAGCTCCTTGGAGAAAAAGGTGGGCTATGAATGCCATGGTTAGAGTGTTGGACTAGGTGAGATTTTAAAAGATTCAATCAATAAATCCAGCCACATCTGGTTAGCAAAGCAGGTGCCTTTTTGGATGTTGCTGCACTACAACTCCCATCATCCCTGGCCATTGGCCGTGCTGGCTGGGGCTGATAGGAGTTGAAGTCCAGCAGCATCTGGAAGGCGAGAGGTTCCCCCAATCTTGCTTTAGAGGACTCTTCCCCAACCTGATGCAACTCATACTCTCCAATGTTTCCTCGATGAAAAAGGGGACATCCCAATTCCATAATGATAATTTTACCGTTTATACTCCACACATCTTACTGGGTTGCCCCAGCAACTCTAGGTAGCTTCCAACACATATAAAAGTAAAGGGACCCCTGACCATTAGGTCCAGTCGTGGCCGACTCTGGGGTTGCGGCACTCATCTTGCTTTATTGGCCGAGGGAGCCGGCGTTCAGCATGACCAGCATGACTAAGCTGCTTCTGGTGAACCAGAGCAGCGCACGGAAACGCCGTTTACCTTCCCCGCCGGAGCGGTACCTATTTATCTACTTGCACTTTGACGTGCTTTCAAACTGCTAGGTTGGCAGGAGCAGGGACCGAGCAACGGGAGCTCACCCCATCGTGGGGATACGAACTGCTGACCTTCTGATCAGCAAGTCCTAGGCTCTGTGGTTTAACCCACAGCACCACTCGCGTCCCCTCCAACATATATAAAAACAGAATAAAACATTAAACATTTTTGCCTAAACAACTAAACAGCTGAGCCAATAGATTTATTAAGAGGATACAATGTTACGTATTGTGATTATATGTAAAACTAATAAAAATTATTTTTTAAAATAAATAAATAAACATTTTTTTAAAACTTCAGTGTGCAGGATTGCATTTAGATGGCTCGGGGGTCCGATAACTCCATACCCTCCAACGTTTCTCTAATGAAAATGGGACATTCCATGTTCAAATCAGAAACCGGGATGGCTTCTCTAAATCAGGGATGTCCCTGAAAATAGCAACACTTGGAGGGTCTGGCAACCATCCAGATGTTTTGGGCCAACATGGCCATATGATGTTGGGGCTGATGGGAATTGTAGTCCAAAACACGTTCTCAGTACGTCTGAACAGAAACAACGTCCTCCTGTGATTGTTCCAATTCATCACTCAGCACTCTGGCTGTTTGCTATCATTGTTTTCAAATCGACTCTCTCCTTAGTTCCCAGGGTTTGAGTAGATGAATTTTGACATGACTATTTGCTTGGAGTAAAATCCTATGCGTATGTCTTTCCTCAGACTTCTTTAAGGCCCGCTGACGAGCCCCAGACTGTACATGAGGAAAGTGGTCCCTGTTACCCAGAGAATGCTGGAAATGATTCTGAAGAGGAGGAAGAGGAGGAGGAGGAGCAAAGGGATGAAGACTGGGACACAGACCTTGAAATAGAAGGTATGACTTAGAGGAGGGGGTGATGGCTGATCTGCGGCCTTCCAGATGTGCTTGGACTGCAGCTGCCTTTGGCTGGGCTTCATTGGGTACTCACTATTTCTAGAATTATGAGAGAGGGAGAAACAACTTATTTCTCGCCTTGTGACATGCAGTATAGTGGTACCTTGGGTTAAGTACTTAATTCATTCCGGAGGTCTGTTCTTAACCTGAAACTGTTCTTAACCTGAAGCATCACTTTAGCTAATGGGGCCTCCCGCTGCTGCTGCGCCGCTGCTGCACGATTTCTGTTCTCATCCTGAAGCAAAGTTCTTAACCCTAGGTACTATTTCTGGGTTAGCAGAGTCTGTAACCTGAAGCATATGTAACCTGAAGCGTATGTAACCCGAGGTATCACTGTACATCTTTTGTGATTCTGAAGGTCACAATGCCCTTGGGTGGACTGTCCATTAACTGCAGATGCTTTAATGGCTTGCCTTACGTCTAAATAGCTTTCTTGCTTTGCAGAGTTATCCCTCCCTACGTTGACTCTTTTTTCTCCCTCCCAACATTAGATTCTAAGACATCCCATGACCCAACAGGAAAAGCCAAATATCTCAACACCTGCCGAATGCATGGCGTCGTTCCCATTTCATATTTTTTACGCCACATGAAAGATTCTGAACTGACCCTGAAGCACTACGGCCTTGGACCCAAGGTATCAATTCCCATCTGCCCCAGTAGACCGGGCTGTTTTGGACTACAAGTCCCATCAGCCCAAGTGAGCGCTAGCCTTGATTGTCAAAGGCAGTGATGCTTTTGAATACCACAGGAGGGGAGAGTGCTCTTGTGCTCAAGTCCTGGGTGGCATTTGGGTGGCAACTGTGAGGACAGAAAGCTGGTCTAGATGGGCCATTGGGTCCTCCTATGTTCTTATGACCACAGCCATGTGTAAGAGCGTTGGACCCAATGGGACTTTGCCCTGATCCAGCATGGACAATCCATGTATTTCTTCACTTTTCTCTTCTGTATCTCAGGGAGCCAAAGCTCTAGCTCCTTCCTTGGCAAACAACACATCCATTGTGAAGTTAAACCTGAGTGACAACTGGCTGGACGGAGAGGGAGCAGCAGCCGTGGCCGAGATGTTGAAAGAAAATTGTTACATTTCAGGTGTGTCCCTTAATTTTGAGGTTTCGAGAAGGTCTTTGTAGCAAGGACGTGGCAAAATAGAGGCCTTGTGACAGACAGGCCCGAGCTGCTTTTGCTGTGGAGGTTTTTTATGGTATAGCACGGTGTTTGCTGACCTAGCGTCCTCCAGAAGTTTTGGACTACAATTCCTTTTTTTAAAAATTGGTTTTCACATCTTACTTTACAATTCAGATGTACCAAAGCTGTTATGTACTGAAGTTCTCACCTTGGGCCAGCAGGGGGATACAGTAGATAGTTATGCAAATGAAGGAGCGAAAAGTGACGTTCAGTGATTGGATAGTTTTAGAAAATGGCAACAGTTACATTGTTCTGGAGCTCTATATAAGCAGGCTGACTGAGCTCCTCAGCTTTAGTTCTGTTCCAGCTTACAAATAAAGAGCTGCTTTGGAAGAATCGCTGTGTCGTCTGATATGTTCGCCCACAACTTAACAAAAGCCAACACCATTTCCTCCCCACCCCGCATACATTTACATTTCTATTTCCTCAATCCATCATATTGTTCTTTTCTCCTTCCTCCCACTTCCCTCTGCCCCCACTCGATTTCCTCCACATTATACAATTTACAATAATCTTTGCATTCTACAACCTTCTCAAATCATCTATATATTCTTATTATCTTTCCTTACTAATTTTTCTTCCATCCAGTACTTCACATTTTAATCTAGGCATATTAGCATATATTTTTTTGAGCAATATTTTGCCATATATTCATCAAAACATTTCCACTCCTTTTTAAATTTTTGATTCGACTGATTTCTTATTATAGCAGTTAATTTTGCCAACATTAAATATTCATTTAGTTTACAAATCCATTCCCCCTTTGTGGGTATAGTTTGTGACTTCCACCTAGTGACTTCCACCTAGTAGCAATCACTATTCTAGTAGCTGTACTTGCATATAGAAAAATTCTACAATTCCCATTAGCCCCAGCCAGCACAGCTACACACCCATCATATAGGCATGCTGGCTAGGTTGGATGGGATTTGTGGTCCCAAACATCTGGAGGGCACAAATTGGTGAAGACAGGTAAGAGTGGTTATAATGTCAAGACCAGGACCTGGGAATCTAGGATTCAAATCCCCCGTTAGTCAAAGCTCTGTAGGCCTCCCTGAGCCAGTCTCTGTCTCTCAGTCTTCCGTACCTTGCAGGGTTGTTAGGAAATAAAACCAAACACACCCTCATGAGCTGCTTGGAGACGAGGCAGGAAATAAATGTAACAAATAAATACAAATAAAAGTGCCTAGCCCTCAGTGAGACCTAATAATAAGTGGAACAGCCCTAAGAAACCCATCCTCTCAGAGTTTATGTTCTGTATCCTGAGTGTGGTTATTCCTTTTTTTGTTTGTTTTCCAGAGTCCATGAGATAATATAATTGATATTTTTATGGCAAAGTGGGATTAGGGGAGGTGATTTTCTCCTTTGAGGAGCTGTCAATATGTTCAGTTTTTCAGAGGTGACCACTTCTTGACCTCCTCCGATCTGAGATTGTTCAAGGGGCCAACTGAAGGCCCTGGAAAGGTGGAAGGGGAATGGGTCTGAAATGAGAGACGGGTTTTATTTTGTGGGAGTCGGGGCTAAAAGTCTGTCTTGTTCTTCCCTCTCAGATGTTGATTTGTCAGAGAACAGGATTGGAGTGAAAGGGGCGAAGGCTTTGTCCTCCATGCTTGGGGAGAATAGGACACTACTAACCCTGAAGCTCTCTGGAAATGAATTAGATGAGCGTGCGGCCAAATACCTAGCAGATGCTTTTGTGATCAACAACAAACTGGAATCCCTCGATCTGAGTCATAACATGCTTGAAGAGCTGGCAGGTAAAGCAGCTTCCCTTGCAAAGAAAGGCAGAGAACGGCCTTTGCCAACTTTGTGCTCTGCAGATGTTTTGGACTACAACATCCATCAGCCCCTGCCAACAGTAATGGCTCTGCCTGTTGAGGCTGGTCCTAGTCCTAGTTTCCCAAAAGAGCTGGAGGGCACGAGGTTGATGAAAACTTAGTTGTTCTGAACTTCCCCTTTAAGAAAGAAGGTATGGAGTGGGGAAACTTTTTCAACCCAAGGGACACATTCCCTTATAGGCCACGTGCCGGTGGTGGGTGGAGCTTGGGGCAAGAGTGGGTGGGGCTATGGGTGTGACTCCATCTGCGCCAAACAGTACATTGGAAGCTGTATCATACCACTTTAAACAGCCATGGCTTCCCCCACAAAATCCTGGGGGATGTAGTTTGTTAAGGGTTCTGAGAGCAGTTAGGAGACCTCTATTCCTTTTTAAAAATAAATAAATATTGATTTGGCTTTTCAGATTAAAATTTTACAATCATATATCAAACATAAATCATAACAAGAAGATTCCAAGGAATCTCCTGGACTTCCATCTTCCCCTTTGTGGGTCCTGTTATTAATCATTTCCTCCTGCATCTTTTATGATGATCCAAATCTTTTACATCTCCATTATATCCAAAATTCACCATTAAACTACAAGTGATATTCAATCCCACTAACGATTTTAACTGTTTACAATGGTCTTTAACATAAGTTATAAATTTTCCCCATTCTTTATTAATATTTTGGTTTTCCTGATTTCTGATTCTTCCGGTCATTGTAGCCATTTTGGCATAGTCCATCAACTTCATCTGCCATTCATCTCTGGTAGATGAAGCTCCCATCTCTGGGCAGGAAACCTCTATTCCTTTTCCAGAGCTACAATCCCCAGAGTTCCCTGGGAAGAGGGATTGACAGTTAAACCACTCTGGGAATTGCAGATCTGGAAGGGGAATAGGAGATCTCCTACCAACCTGGCATCCTCCTGATGCTTTGCACCCCCTCCAAAAAAACCTTCTGTCAGGCCCAGTCAATACAGTCATAGGATGCTAAGGCTGATGGGAGTTGTAGTCCAAAGCATTTTGAGGGCACCAAACTGGCAAAGTCTGCTTCAGGGACAATTAATATTTGATCAAAGAGCTGTGCTCTATTTACATCTGAGAACTCACCTGCATATTTTTGCTAGCAAAGGGATTTCCAGATGGAAATATCACTTGATCTGGGTTTTTTAAGTTATTTGCAAATGTGTGCTAACAGCTGTCAATATTATTTTCCAGGGTGCAACAGCCATGATTGTTCCCTCCTCTCCCTCATCCTCTGTACCAGCTCCTCTTCTGCTATTTAAATTTCTGCACCGTTCTGGATTTCTTGTGCTATAGTAGTCACTGCCTCCTACTTCTCAGTCCCCTTTTGCTATTCTTACAGCTGCCTTTCCCTTGTCCTCAGCTCCTTCCCTGCTGATGCTTGGCATTCTCTCCTTCGCCTCCCTAACTGAAGAAAACCTCCTTCTGTGGCTGATCAGGTCTTTCTCCCTTCCCATTTACCTTTTGATGAGGTCACAGGGAGTTGATGGAAAACAGGAGGGGACAGAGAGAGAGATTGAGAGAGAGAGCACAGGAAATAGCAACAGTCTAGGCTGAGTGGAGAGAGAGAGAAAAAGGAAGAAAGGTAGGACGCAAAAAAGGTTTTAAAATTTATGTATTATTAATATTGTTTATTTATTTAGAGCATTTGTACCCCACTCCACAACCAAAAAGACTTCCTGGATAAGACACCTACCCACAGGCTTGCAATTTAAAAAACCACACGCAACACATAAGGGAAGAAGGAAAACATACAGACAATAATAAAAATGATTTTCATCCATGAATGGTACAAACAACATCAATGCAGTATTAAAAACTTTTAGGGCCTTGAGTTTATCGAGTTTATTGAGTATATGGAAAATAGCTCTGTACAGCTGAAAACGCTGGCAGCATTAAGATAAATTCAACAGTGTAATTATTCTTTGATGGATGTAATAATGGAAATAATGGTATAGTTATTGTAAAATATTCAGGGATATAAGATACGCGAAATGAACCACGGAATGAGAAGTAGTTGATGATATTTTAAGTATGTAAAATGTTTATTTGAAATTGTAAAACAGGAAATTTAATAAAAATTATATAGATAAAAAAACTTTGAGGGCCTTGAGCTTGCACCAATTTCCTCCAAATACCTCCAAAGGCCCAAGAAAATTGGTATGTTTTAACTTCGCAGCAGAATCCCCAAACAGTAGTTTCCATCCGTCTGAGTGGAGAATGAGAGCACCCCCTGCCACCTGACTGCAGCTGGAAGAGCCAGGGTGGAAGAGCAGTCCTACCTACCCCATCCAAATTAACGCAGACACCAATCCACCAGGAAAGTCTCATCTGCAAGCCTTTTGGGTTTTGGTTTTTTTGGTGTGTTTTTTTTGGGTGGAGCACCAGCTCATTTCAGCAGGGCTACTGCAGGAGATCTTCCCATCTACAGCTTTTAAAACACAGAATAATAGAATTGTAGAGTTGGAAGGGACCCCAAGGGTCCTCTAGTTCAATCTAGTCCAATCCCATGGAATGCAGGAATCACAGCTAAAGCATCCATGACAGATGGCCATCCAATCTCTTGTTGGTGTTCCTTCTGGTTGGAGAGCCATGTAATCTGTTTTCTTTCCCCCAAGGTGCAGAAATCTGAAGTCCATGAATTCCTGCATTGTAGGGGGTTGGACTAGATATCTCTTTGGTTTCCTTCCAACTTTGCAATTCTATGATTCTTTGAACTCCCCTGAGGTTTTTTGCTTCATACATACCTGCTTCCTGCAGAACGCTTTCTCTTTGCTTGCGGTTTCTATTAATCTCATCCCTCCCCTTTTTCTTTCTCCATGGGGAGAGAGATCAGTAGCGTGGGGGGTATTGGGTCATGCTGATCTCCGATTGTGAGATTTCCAGCACCCTAAGTCAGGGGGCACGTTGGCAAATATTGGAGGGAGCTTCTGGATGTTGCAGTTCTTCTTATCTAAGGCTTGTGCTTCTTGGCCCATTTCTTGTGTTCTGCATTTAACCAGGTGGGGTTCTTGGACCAGCAATTGCAGAAAACGTTGGGCTGAAGGAGCTTGATCTCAGCTGGAACCACTTCCGGGGCAAAGGAGCAGTTGCTATTGCCAAAGGCTTAGGGGTAAGAGAACTGCCTAATTACAGTTCGGCTACAGTTGTAATGTCATGTCTTAAGCATCTGTTCTGCATTTAGAAGGTCTCAGGTTAAAATCCTCAGCATCCCCAGCAAGAAGGCTACTTCCTGAAATCCTGGAGCGCTGTTGACAATACTGACCTAGCTGGACCAGTGGTTTGAAGTTTGTAGTTCGAGTAGAAGCCCCTGCTTTGCTTGCAGAAGTTTCCTCCTGCCTGAAACCTTGGAGAGCTGCTGTCAGTCAATGTTGACAATACTGAGCCTGATTCAGTACAGGTCAGCTTTCCATGCTACTTGCCACTGAAAATATATTCTCACCAGTGCATGAAAACACCTTGTGTCATGTTCAAAGGGATGCTTTGGTTTTCGCTGTTCCAAATCCTTCCAGATTACAGCATTCCTATTTCCTTATTAAAAGCTTAGGAATTCTGCTTATGCGTCTCTGTTGTGAATATAGCAAGGCAACCCCAACTGGCCCCTGGCATAAAGAAATCAGGAGTAGGGAGGGCCTTAGCACATTGCCATATTCTGTTTCAAAAAGGTTGGAGGAGGCAGAGGAGGAGACTTAAGCAAAACTATTCTTCCTTTCTGGATCAAAATAGACCAATCTGAGTGATCAGGGGTGGCAACTTGCAGGATGCCCTGAGACCCACCTCCCTCCAATGTAATAATTTTTATTTTATTTTATTTGCTGGATTTCTTACCCACCCTTCACTTTAAGGTCTTAGGATGGGCTATATCATTATACACAAGTTTAAACAATTTGCAGTCAAGCAGAGTGGGCCCTAAAAACGTGCATCTCCGATGTCATATGATTAAAGCTGTACAGTGAAAATGCCAGATGCATTTCCGTGGGGAGGGAATACCTGGGCTGCCAAACTTAGTACACAAGAGGGTCTGGAAGGAAGAAGGTGGTCTTTTAGATATTTCAGATCTGTTTAATCCTAGGGTGTCTGAGCAGGTAGGACATCAGAAGAGGCCTCCTGAACTAGCCCATCCAGTCCTGTTCTCACAGTGACCACCCAGATACCTGTGGGAAACCCTCAAAAATGTTGAACCCAGAGCTTTGCTAAGGCTGCGTTGCTCCTTCCCTCCTCAGGCCAACATCTTCCTTCGGGTGCTGGACCTTTCGTACAACGGCTTTGGCAACGGCGGAGCGACTGCCCTGGGTGAGGCCCTGAAAGTCAACAACGTTCTGGAAGAGCTGAACGTTGGGTAAGCGCACTCAGCACCCAGGTTCTGCTTGGCATCCTGGGTAGATCACAGAGATAAGAGAAGGGAAAGGGAAATGAGACGGTTGCGATGGTTTCCTCTTCTTCTTCTTCTCCTCAGGAACAACCGTATTTCTCTGGAAGGAGCCCTCTGCCTAGCTTTGGGCCTGAAAGAAAACAAAACCCTCAAGATCTTCAGCGTAAGTGGCTTTTCAGAGAGTGTCTGATCCTCTAGTGTAGTAATGGCGAAACTGTGGGCAGTGGCAGACCTTGGGGTCTCAAATTTCAGCGACGCCCAAATTCTGTGATCCCCGCTTCTTGCGATCCATTCTAAATAATAGTTGTGGTGCCCCTGAGGCTCTGTGCCCAGTGCGACTGAACTGATCGCCCTCCCCTAAATCTGCCTCTGCCGTGGGCCTCCAGGTGTGGTTAAATTCCAACTCCCAGAAGCCCCAGCAGGCAATGTCAGGGATGATGGAAGTTAGAGTCCAGCAGCTTTTGGAGAGCCACATGTTATCTGATCTAAGAAGTAGCATTCCATACCACATGCAAAAGATGGAGGAATTCCTCTAGTGAGAAGAGAGATTGCTTCTTCTGCAATCCGGGTGGAAAGTCTGCGACCCTCACCAGGTGTCATTGGACTCCATCTCCCATCAGCCCCAGCAGGCAGCATTGCCAATGGCAGTTGGGAGTCCAGTTGCCCAGCCCTGTTCTTAGTGCTTTGCCCTAAACAAACCCGGCACGTTTCTGTTCTGTGACCTGCAGGTGGCCAGGAACCCCATTCAGAGCGAAGGCTGCGTTGGGATCCTCAAAGCCCTCCAAGCAAATCCTAATGCTGCCTTGGAAGTCCTGGATTTTTCAGTAGGTATCAGTCAGTGGTTGGAAGAGTGGTGTGGTATGCTTGTGATGTAGTGGCCCAGTCTTCACCAGCCTGGTGCTCTCCAGTTTTGTTTTGTTTTTACTAGAGCTTTCAGCAGTTCCACGGTCACAAAACCACACTGAGGCCGCTCGGAGTTGTAGTCCAAACCATCTGGTGCAGGCACCATCTTGGCAAAGGCCATAGTAGGCAATGTGGGATTGGAGAAATATTTATGTACAGTGGTACCTCGGGTTACATACGCTTAAGGTTACATACGCTTCAGGTTACAGACTCCGCTAACCCAGAAATAGTGCTTCAGGTTAAGAACTTTGCTTCAAGATAAGAACAGAAATCGGGCTCTGGCGGCGCGGCGGCAGCAGGAGGCCCCATTAGCTAAAGTGGTGCTTCAGGTTAAGAACAGTTTCAGGTTAAGAACAGACCTCCGGAACGAATTAAGTACTTAACCCGAGGTACCACTGTATGCAGTGAATCTTCTCCAACAATTCCATGCAGGGACTGGTGTGCCCTAACTGAGGACAGCACTTTGAATAGAGGTTCACATTACATAGAAACTTAGGCTATAACTGCACAACCTGGATTGGCTGGAAGGTGATGGACTCCCACCAAAATAGAATAGGGGGATAAGACCCCCTGCCACACACCTCTTTGAGAACTGTCTCCACCATGCTCTTGATGTGGGAATGGAGAGGGTATCTTTTCTGTCCCTTTCAGGAGATTGTTGTCAAGCAGGACTTTGCAGGGCTTTGCGATGGCATCCAGGTAATTTTCCCGAGCCTTCAGATCAAGCACAACTGGAGCAGCCGCTCGTTCAAAACAGACCCGTCAAAGGTACAGAAAGCCCAACCCCTTTGCTGGGCTGCAGGGTCTTTTTTGATGGCTCTCGGTGGGTTCTCATCATCCCACTGCCGCCTCTGATCAAATGGGTTTTTCTAGCATAAAAAAAAGCAAAATACAGAACTTCCTGAATCGCAGGAGACAGCAGAGGAGAAAGGGGGGAAGGGGTGTCCGAAGAACAACGATGCCCCTAGCACACCTTCAGCTCTTGGGGGGACAGACCCAATTACCCTCTCTCTACCAGCCATTGAGCAAAATCCCGGGGGGGGGGGAATGTTAGGGGAAATAATGCAACACTTTCCCCCAAAGGCATTTCATTTGTTCTCCAGACCCTCCCTCCCTCCGCTAACTGGAAAATTTATAGTAGTGTCATAGTTGCTGGAAGTGGCATTTGAAGCAGTGGTCACTCTTAAGGACCCAATATTGTTAGCCTAACTTTCTCCACCCCCCATTGATTCCTGGGGCATGTCTCCCAGTTCTTTAGTCCAGAGACACAGGGGTCATCTTCTCCAACCCCCTGCAATGCTGGTCATGTACTCCAACTTGTCTGCACTGGGTTTCTACAGCTGGCCCCAGGACTCTCACACGACACATTGGTGGATATTAAGCCAGGGCTTTCAGCTTCTCTGGCTAGAGCCTGCCTTGGATACCTATCCAAGGGATTTCTCTCCAAGGGCCATTAAGCCAAATCTGGTGCTTTGCAACTTCTTGGCTGGGAAAAATCATGGGAACGAGTGATGCCAGAGAGGGTTGCCACTGACATGGGATCCTTCTTTTTTGTAGGTTTTCTGAGAAGACACCCGAGCTGCGGACAGCCCTGGGAGGGATTGCTCATCTTTCCTTCCTTGGCTACCTACAAAGTGAAGAAGGAGCCCATTAGGCGACCCTCTGCTCTTCCATTTGCTGACAATAATGGTGTGTGTGTGTGTGAGTGAGTGAGAGAGGGAGGCTGTGCTGTTTCTCCCCGTCTTTTAAGCATCTGTTAAAAACACTTCGGTTTAGACGTGCCTACCCAGATGTTTAGAAGGTTGATGCGAGTTTTAATCTGCTTTTGGTCTATTGCTATTTTAACTTTTTGAAAGTTGTAAATCATTGCTGTTAATATTCCTTATTCATAACATTTTATCCTCTTTGTAAATCACTTTGAGGGTTTTGGAGTTCTTGTTTCTTACAATCAAGAGGTGTATACATTTTATGCATAAAAATAAACTCACAGCCAAGGAACAGGAAAAAAAATCTTTATATTAATTGGCTTCTTTGCCACAAGCTGTCGCACAGAGCAGAGTCACAGCATGACAGGTGAAGGCAGTAGCGAGGAGGGCTACTGCTACGAATCTAGTGATGGAAGCAAGGAAGCAAAGGTCAGAGCACAGAGCAAAACAGCAGGCACTGCCTGTGGGATTCACCAGCAAACCGGTGAGACATATGTGTGACAAAACCCAGTTTCCAGCGTCTCATAAGCAGCTGCACAACCTCCCTCCATCTGTAGGTGAGAGCAAGGAAAGACTTTTGCTCTCTGGGCTTCCATTGCCAGCAATCTGCAAGAAAACCCTGCCTTCCTTCTCGGGACCTCTCTTGGCCTCTCAGTGTTTTTGCCCTGGCCTCTGAGACAACAGAAGCTGATGCATCCAAGAGTCAGCGTGAGCAACAGGTAAGTGATGCCACCCCTGATGGCGTGTCAGGCACAGTGGCAGCGGAGTCCCCAGGCAAACTTTTATACGGGAAAGATTGGCCCTTGGGATCTGCTTCTGGGAAAGCCAAATGCACACAGGTGAACACAGCCTGACAAAGTGGGGCTGGCAGTGGGTTGTGAAGGGCAGTTGCCGTGCTCAGATTCATGCTAAGCAGTTGAGCAAATACTCAGCCGGTTCTTTGGAGAAGGAGGGCAGCTTCACGAGAACAGGGAGGCCATTTTGAGATTCCTAAGCAGCCTGCGGCCTATGCTGTGGCAGGAGGTTTGGCCCTGAGTTAGTGTGTGACCCGGTGGGTGGCAGTATAAACGGTCCTTTTAAAAAGGCTGTGAAAACTTTGCCAGTCTGGTGCCCTCCAGATGTTTGGGACTATAATTCCCATCAGCTCCAACCTCCATACCCATTATGGACTATAACTCCCATCAGCCTTTGCCAACATGCAGAGGCATACATAGGCTTCCTTGCACCCTTGGCAATTGGTGTCCCCACCCCTCTCTGAAAATAAATGCATGACATAATTCAGTAGTCACAAATGACTCTTAAACCGGGTGTTTTAACAGCACAATCCTATAAATGTCTACTCAAAAGTTAATCCCACTGAGTTCAATGGGGTTTACTCCCAGGAAAGTGGGTACACAGGACTGCAGCCTAAATCTGGCAAGCCAGAGGCAGGAATTTTGGACAATACTTTGCTTGCCTTCCTGTTACTTCTGGCAAGGTGCCAGCAGAAAGGCAGTAACTTGGAGGTTGCACTCCCAGTGCACACTTTACTCGGAAACAAGCCCTGTTGAAGTGTCCTGGACCGCTGAAAGCCATCAGCTGGGGAACCCCCAAGGGAAGAACGCTCAGGTCCTGGGGAATGGTGATGGGACAACAACGAATGGTCAGAGGGAGAAGACTGGGAAGAGGCAACAGGGCTTGGTGAGAGGAAGAGTCGGTGGCAGAGAGAAGCCCAGAATCGGAGGCAGAAGCTGAAGTGGGTGATGGAGAGAAGGGAGGCCAAGAGGCAGAGATGAGTAAGGCTGGTGAAGAGTCATGTGTGTTGCCGCCTCCTGCTATGACAAGTTACCTCTCCACCTTGTCTCCCAGAACCAGAAGAGAGCTGAAACGGGCAGAACAGTGGCATAGTGTCTGGTTGTTTGGAAAAAGCCGTGGAGTCGAGGGGACTTAGACAGCTGTGGGGAGGTGGGGACTTTCTGCAGCTGATTCATGGGGCCAGGCCTACTGGGGGTGAGCTGCTATGCTTAGTAGACCCGGCACTTGGCCAACTCTCTGAAAATTGTGTTTTTGCTAGTAACAAGTTAACTCCAACTTTGCCGGTGCAATTTACAGCTGGCTGGTTCTTTGACACTAAGTCAAGGGCCCTTGCTTTCTGGGTTAAACCCACAGCATCACATGCCCCAGAAATTGGTCAAGGCGGGAAAGAAACCAGGGGAAAGCAACTCGGCTGTGCTAAATGAAGAGCCTCGCCTGACATTTCTTAGCCACCACATCAGCTGAAAGTCCCTTCTGGGGGCACGCAGTGGGAGTGGAGGGTGGGACATAGTGTAGAGAGGACAGAGGACCAGGCAGGGATGTTGTCATGGGGAGCCCCACTGCACAAACTAACCACCAGCGCTGCCAGGAAGGAGGCTCTGCAGGGCTGCTATGACGGCGTCCAGATTCCTCTGCCAAGGCGCTGAGAGAGATGCCATTTTTGTGCCCTTTGTGCCTGTGCAGTTGGCAGGGACCAACCTGGCCAATCCCTAGGTATGTCCCAACCAGCATGGCTGTGTTGTCTGGGGGCGATGGCGGCGGTCATCCAAACCAAGCTGGGAGGCACCACATGGGGGGGGGATGAGCAAGTGTTTTCCTCACTCAAAATTGAACGCAACAATTCCATTTTTCAGAAAGACTTAGCAGTGCAGCCCCCCTCCAGGTCTAATCAAAAGCAAAACCCCTCAGAGTTCAGTGAAACGTTCTCCCAGTTATCTGCTGCAAGTTATCTGCAGCAACCCCTAAGTTCTGTGCTATGGAATGAATTAAAGACAAACCCATAAGTGGCCATAGAGGAAGCTCCCTGCTGGATTTGTGCACGAGTCCCTGGCTGTGGCCTTGCCATGAGCCTCACCATTAGCAGGTGGGGTTCTCTAAAATAGGTACAATTGGATGGTTTAGCCACTGCTACTGCAGAAACCTGCCCTGGAAGAGTCTCTGACATGGAAACAGGGCAGATGGTCTCCCAAGGACAGGTATCTACTTTATGAACCAGTGGATTCAAGTCACAAGGAAGGAGATTTCAACTAAACTTGAAGAAGAACTTTCTGATGATAAGAGCTGTGTAACAGTGGTGGATTCTCCTTCCTTGGAGGTTTATAAGCAGAAGTTGGATGACCATTTGTCATGTATCATTGGTTGAGATTCCTGCTTTGCAGGGGGTTGGATTCGATGACCCTCAGGGTCCCTTCCAGCTCTACCATTGTATGATTTCACCTTTTTGTATATAGCCCCTTTCCACTGGAATATTTCCAGAATGAGGAATGGCCACACACACACTTAACTTTTCTAGTGTGATTTTTTTTTTAAGTACATGTCCAAGTTCAATTCTGGGAGCTCCTAGTATTGTGGGGCATACTTGAGTTGTCACCAATTAAGGTATCGTTTGCCTGGCTGGCACCTGTTCAATCCATGCCACCTTTGAGCTGCTGAGAGGGGGGAGCTGGTTATCGAACACTAAAAGGCAGAAGGGGCTGAGAAATGGTAAGTTGATTTGGTGGAGAAGGTGATAAATCCCTTCCCTTCTTCACCAACCTGGACTTTAACACCTACCCCCAAGCTCTTTTAACTTCCAGACTGGATTACTGCAATGCAGTCTACGTGGGGCTACCCTTGAAGACGATTTAGAAACTTCACTTAGTCTAAAACACAGCAGTCTGATTACTGGCTAGGGTAATACATTTAGATCTCCCGCATTTTAAAACAGATGCACTGGTTGACAGCTCGCTTCTGGACCCAATTCAAGGTGCTGATGTTGGTGTTTAAAGCCCGAAATGACTCAGGCCTCAAATACTGACAGACCACAGTGTTCCCTAGAGACCATCGGGTTCTGAGATCAGCAGGGCAGTCCCTCTTGGTAGTTCCTCTGCCCTCAGGGGCTTGGGGTGGGGGCGGTCTGGGAGAGGGCCTTCTCTGTGGTGGCCCCTAAACTGGAGAAGTCCCTCCCCGCAGAAGTGCATCTGGCACCTTCATTATGCAGCTTTTAGAGGATCCTGAAGATGCACCTCTTTACTCTGGCTTTTGACGTGAGGTGTATATTTTTAGTACCCAACATAGTTATGGTTGCAAGTTGTTTGAAATTGCTTTTAATGTTGTGTTTTAATGCCGTAAACCACCCTGGACCTTAGGGTGAAGGGCAGGTTGTCAATCAATCAATCAATCATCATCACCATCAGGCTGTGCCGGCTGGGGATGATGACAGTTGTGGTCCATGCTTTCTGGCATACACAATCCACCAGGCATCATTGAGAGACAGACACACTCACAGTGCGAAAATGCCTTCTGCCTCGTTCCACGCAGAGATACCATTTACTCTAGCGTATTTTGTGGCAGGCAAGAGACAGCTTTCCGTCAAAGCAGAGCCAACACAGTCTCGTCTAACGGTCTGGGAATGAGAACCGACCCCTGAAGCTGGCACAAGATGCCCCTCCCATCTTGCCCTTTTGTACGAACCCATCAAACAGGAGCCACCCCAAAACAATCTAAATTGGACACCTGGAATGAAGGTTGCAGGCAGCCAGGGCAGCAGCCTGGAGGAAAGAAAAGGGGGGAAACACGTAGATAATGGAATAGTACAAAGATAGCCCGCCCCCCCATCCGCTGCGGGTTGAGACGGACTGTCTGCAGATCAGCTCTCGGTTCCAAGCTGGAGGGCAGGATAGACTGGGCAGTTTTCAATGGCAAGATGGGTCCAGCTTTCCAGAGCAGAAATACAGACCAAGCAGGAAAGCAGAAGCAGTGGATCTCTGCTCAGTAGCACTCCCAGAGTCTTCCTGGCTGAGTCAGACGAGGGCTCCTTTCTGCCAAAACACTGGAGAGTGGTGGGTGGGCTGGGGGTGGTGGTCAAAGGGAAGGGTCTCCTCCAAGTTAGGCCTCTCCGCATCACCTCTTGGCTTCTTCCTCGCCTGCCATTTCCTCCAATCCCTGAGAGGGCTGAGTGCTGGGCTGCACAGCCTGGACTGTCTCTTCCAGGCTGCCGCTTGGGAAAACCACGTAGCGGGCACAGACCGAGTGTGCCGTGGGCTCGCGTAGGTTCTCTTTGCTGTGCCAGATGCCGTAACCAAAATAAACCAGCAAACCTGGAGATGAACGCACAGAGAGACAGATCAGCAGCCTTAACCCCCCAAACCCAGCACCAGAGCCCAGAATGGTGGCATGCATCTAAGACCAACCTTCCCCAACCTGGTGCCCTCCCCGGGTGGTTTGGATTACAGCTCCCCATCAGCCCAAGCCAGCTGGCACAGACTCTCATTGGCCCCTCTTGTTTCCTGGCAGATGGGAAAAGGACAGACTCTGCTTTTTCTACTTGCAGGCTTTTGGTGAAATACGATGGGCTGCTTTAAGGTAGAGGGACCCCTGACTATTAGGTCCAGTCGTGGCCGACTCTGGGGTTGTGGCGCTCACCTCACTTTATTGGCCAAAGGAGCCGGTGTACAGCTTCCTGGTCATGTGGCCAGCATGACTAAGCCGCTTCTGGCGAACCAGAGCAGCGCACGGAAACACCGTTTACCTTCCCGCCAGAGTGGTACCTATTTATCTACTTGCACTTTGAACTGCTAGGTTGGCTGGAGCAGGGACCAAGCAACAGGAGATCACCCCGTCATGGGGATTTGAACCACCGATCTTCTGATCGGCAAGTCCTAGGCTCTGTGGTTTAACCCACAGCGCCACCCGCGTCCCTTGATGGGCTGCTTTATATGTTACTAATTTCCTATTTTTTCTCAGTTAATGATTATCTTGCTGGTGTTGATTTCCTTGTGAGGTTGTGTAATTTTCAATACTTTGCAGAGAAATTGTTATTCTACAGTTTCGTTTTTGACTTTTTGCACTTTGTATTTCTGTAGGGAGAAAGGCGTCTAACAAATTTAATAAATGCTGATTCAAATAACATCTGAAGGGCACCGCTTTGGCTAACCCCCAGTTGCAATGCTTAGATCCAGCTCCACCTGCCATTATACATATGTCAAGGACTGCCTATCTCCAGATGAACCAACCAGGACCCTGTGATCAACATCTGAGGCCCTTCTTCATGTGCTCCTTCTGCGAGAGGTCCGGAAGGTTGCAACACAAGACCTTTTCTGTGGTGGCTCCCCATTTGTGGAATGTTCTCCCCAGGGAGGCTCATCTGGCGCCTTCATTACATATTTTTAGGCGCCATGCAAAAACATTCCTCTTCTCCTAGGCCTCTGGCTAATTAAACAATCTATGGCCTTTTAAACTGTGTGTGTGGATTATTGTTTTTGTTAATTACTACAACTCCCATTAGCCGTAGCATGAGACAACTGCTGACTGAGGGTGATGAGAATTGCAGTCCAAACTGTCTGGAGGGCCCCAGGTTGGGGAAGACTGCTTTAGACATTAAGGGTGGGCAAATCTGTCAAATCCGGTTTCTCCTTTTCCCAGCCTTAAGTTCAGTAGTTCCCCACCTTCCCATAGTGGTCTGCAATTTATTTATTTTTTAAGTCCTCATTAACATTCATCAGTATTTTGGTGTGAATTTCTCCTAATGCACACATGTTCTCAAAGTCATTTCCTATAATGGAATGGATTTTTGTCTGCTATCCTCTTTAATTACAGGGGTGCCAAGTAGAGGGGGACAGCCCCACAAATTTCCAATGAAAGGGTCGGGGTTCCCAAAGTTGATGGGCATTCCATTCAAATGGTGTGTGCGTGCCATGTCATGTGATCAATTATGTGGTGTAGGGCTTACCTGCCCCCCAATATTTTATTCAAGTTGGTGTTAGGATATAGTTCCGTTCCACCTTATAAGGGTACAGGTATGACTATTGTGTGTCACATGCCTGTTTACTTCCAGCGCTTGCTGGGAACTTCCGTTTGTATATTCCTTTTGTATTGCTGCTGTTTTGCTGGAGACGAAGGGAAGCAGACATGTTTTTTCCTTTGTTCCTGCTGCTGAATAAAATGCTGTAATATACTGCTTACACATGGCTCTGTCCGCCTCTTCTGCTGTGAGAAGATTTACACACTCTGCTGATAGAGCGTGCACGAGGCTTGCGTCCCTGATTGATGCCATTCCAAGGGAGACTGGTGATCGTCCGGCTGCCGGCAGGTGGCTGGAGCCAGCTGGGGGCCTGCCTGATGCCCCCGTTTCCCTGGCAGTATCCCAACAGTTGGCACCCCTGATTACAGTACAGTGGTACCTCGGGTTACATATGCTTCAGGTTACATACGCTTCAGGTTACAGACTCTGCTAACCCAGAAATAGTGCTTCAGGTTAAGAACTTTGCTTCAGGATGAGAACAGAAATCGTGCTCCGGCGGTGCGGCAGCAGCAGGAGGCCCCATTAGCTAAAGTGGTGCTTCAGGTTAAGAACTGTTTCAGGTTAAATACGGACCTCCAGAACGAATTAAGTACTTAACCCGAGGTACCACTGTAATTATATTAATTTTTTAGGCAAGTTTCCTTCCACATTACTTCTCCCGATTTTTCTCCTCGCTCTTGGGTGTGTCTGTGTGCACCCGATCCCCAAACTCACCCACGAGCAGCCACACAGAGAACCGGATCCAGGTCATGTAGTTGAGTTTCAGCATGAGGTAGACATTGATGAAAATGCTCAGCGCTGGAGTCAGTGGCACCAGAGGGAGCTGAAGAAAAAGAAGACCCAGGGAATTGAGAGCAGGAAAACGGGAAGATGCACTTAGTGGTCTTTTCCAGCAGGGCTGATTGAAAAAACACGGGGTGGGAAAAATGCCATCCCTTACATGGGTGGGTTAACCTTCTCTTAAGACTCTTTGCACCTCTTGTTCTCTGAATGTCCATTGATAACCGGTAGCCAGTGGTATCATGGTTTGCTGGTACCAGAGGTAGGATGAAAAGGAATTTGAAAACATCCCTGTTTATCCAGCTGTTGGGGGCTGAAGAATACTGTTCCTGGCAATCCTAAGATTTTTGGAAGGGAAGAATGTTTTTAACTACTATTAGATGTTTTAAATTGCCCTTGTTTTTAGAACATTTTAACTGTTTTAGAATTTTTATACTTGTTTTTAATCTGTGTAACTGATCACTTCCCTGGGCCTCTTTTCAGAGAAAGGACAGGGTATAAATTTAATTATTGATGTTATCAATGATGATGATGATGATGATGATGATGATTATAATTATTATTCCTGTCTGGAGAACTAGCATTGCAAAATTCAAAAACGTGTGAATTTTGACAGCAAGCTGTGTTTCGGTTGGTGTACAATACAATCGTATCTCCCGTGCATCTAACTTGTGCGATTTCAACCGTATGCAACTGGAGGCCAGCTACCGTATTTTTCGCTCCATAGGGCGCACCAGACCATAGGGCGCACCTAGTTTTTAGAGGGGGAAATCAAGAAAAAAATCTTATTTCCCCCCCAGCCCCCAAGAGCAGCGTACAGGCTGTGCGCAACCTCTCCCTGCCGGAGGGGTTGCGCACGGCTATGGCACAAGCCAAGACAGCGAGCGGGATGGATCCCGCTCACTGTGTCAGCTTCCTCTTTAGCTGCGCAACCCCTCCAGCAAGACTCTCCTGGCTTCAGTGAAAGGAACCTGAAGCCTCCAGAATGCAGCGGGAACTCGCGCTGCGCTCCGGAGGCTTTGTGTCACTTTTGCTGAAGCCTGGAGAGTGAGAGGGGTCGGTGTGCACCCACGCCTCTCGCTCTCCAGGCTTCAGCAAAAGCGGCACGAAGCCTCCGGAGCGCGGAGGGAGCGCTCCCTCTGCGCTTCGGAGGCTTCACGTTGCTATCGCTGAAGCCAAGGAGCCTGCATTCGCTCCATAGGACGCACACCCATTTCCCCTTAATTTTTGGAGGGGAAAAGGTGCGTCCTACAGAGCGAAAAATACGGTAATTAAAACGGAGCAAGTTAAACCTAAGCAAGGCAAGCAGCTTAAAAGCTCTTTTTCTGCACCATACCTGCTTGAAGATACTGGGCATCCCAAGAGTTTTTAAGCTCTCTTCTTTGCTCGCTGGGCAAGGCCGGCTCCGTGTGCCGGCTCTGGGAATATGGACAATACTGTTTTATTTGGAGGGTGGGGTTGTTTTAAATCATTGTTGAATGTTACATGTTAATTTAGATTTTTGTACATGTGGGCTGGAGTATTGTCTAGGGGCTTTCGTTGGGGAGGGTATTGTTCATTAGTGTGTATACATTAGCACTGTTAATCGTTTTGATTATTTTTATTATGTATTTTGTGCTCCGCATATTGCAGCTTTGTGTTGTGAACAGCCCTGAGATCTACGGGTATAGGGCAGTATACAATTAATAATAATAATAATAAATGCAAACGGTGTCAAATCTCTCCCCCATCTCTACCTGGAATGTCTGGGTGCTTTGCTGTTGCTGATGAACGCTGATGAGGACCACGCTGAACACGAAGGCCAGGCTGAAGAGGAGGACCAGCAAGGCGTAGCTCCAAGTGGGGAGGTGGAGCTGGTTCTGCCCAAACACCAGGATGGAGGATAAGCAGATTGCTGACACCATGAGGATGATCACGGCCACCGTGACCACTTCGCCAGGGTCGAAGTCAGCCAGGAAGCCCAGGTAGGGTTCAAAAAAGGCCTTCATCTGCCCCCCTTCTCGCCTGTTTTTTGACTTCTCCTTGCCCACCAGGTGGAGCTTATCTGAGAAAGACTCGTATTCCTTGGATTCTGTGGCACCAATGCTCTCGGTGGACGCCGGGGCAGAAGCCTCACTCCTGGCGGATGCGCTGGAAGCTTCCTCCGTCTTGACCCGCTGGAAGCGCAGAATGATCACGCTGGCAGCCACAAAGGTGTACGCCAAGAGGGTGCCAATGGACAGGAACTGGACCAAAGCCTCCAGGTCCAGGCTGAGGGCCAGGAGAGACATGAGGACGCCAAAGACCACAATGGCCACCACGGGGACCTGCGTCCGAGGGTGGACACGCGAGAAGACCTTGAAGAAGAGCCCGTCCTCTGCCATGGCGTAAACGATGCGAGGGAGAGAGAAGAGGTTGCTGAGGAGAACGGTGTTCATGGCTAGAGAGAGTGAGAAGAAAGGGAAAGGGCAGGTGAGCCAGAGAGATGCCACCCACAAGGCAGGCAGTCCCTGTTAAAGCTTGCTGGAGGAGCAGGACAGCCCTGGGCAGGCCCAGACGGGGGGTGGGGGGGTGGGGTCATATGGGCCACTTGGCCCGGGCCTCCAATTCCAAAGGGGGCCTCGGTCAGCATATTCACTTAAAATAATCCTTTCCCCTATGTATTTTTAAAAAGCGCTATTGTATATCTATATTTTCCATTTTGTCTTTATATGCAGATATGGTTCAAGCCTTGAAATAAAATTATTTGTCAGCATAACTTTTGTGAAAATTATTTATATACTTACTTATTTATAAGACTTCAGTTATCCCCAGGGTAAAACAAAGGGATAAAACATTATCTACCTGGCCCGGGCCGCTGCCTGGCTCTGCAAGGCCCTGGCCCTAGAGGGATGGAGTAGGGAAGCCAAAACAGAGGACCCACCCCATCCCTTAATGTAGCCGGCTAGCACCTTAGACCCATAAAGGCAAAAGGCATCCATAGGTCACAGCAGCCATCACGTTATGTCACCCAGTGAGCCAAGACAACAACAACAACTGTTATTATTATCTGCTGTCGCTCGAGGCTCAGGTGGCCTTAGTGGCCCAGTGGCCTTCCATCAGCTTTGGCTGGTAGCCCAGCTACACCCCTATCTGGACATGGATAGCCTAACTACTGTTGTCTATACTCTGGTAACCTCAAGGTTAGATTACTGCAATGCGTTATATGTAGGGCTGCCTCTGAAGATGGTTCGGAAACTTCAGCTGGTGCAGAATTCAGTGCCAGGTTGCTCATTGGGGCAAGATGGTTTGAACATATTACACCTATTCTGCTCCGACTACACTGGCTACCAATTACTTTCCGGACCCAATTCAGAGTACTAGTTTTGACCTCTTACAGCTTAACTTACCCCACACGGTTGTTGTGGCTGTTAAAAATGGAACTTAAAAAATGGAAAGCGTAATGCTGGTGGTCAACAAAATAGATTCAAAGACTCTCTCAAGGCAAATCTTTAAAAAGGTAGTATAAACACCGACAATTGGGAAACACTTGCCTGCGAGCGCTCCAATTGGAGAACGGTCTTTACCAAAGGTGTCTTGGAGTTTGAAGACACTTGAACTCAGGACCGAAGGGAGAAATGTGCTAAGAGGAAGGCACGCTTGGCAAACCCTCTCCATGATCAACTCCCGCCCGGAAATCTATATCCCCACTGTGGAAGGAAGTGTGAATCCAGAATTGGCCTCCACAGTCACTTATGGACTCACTGCTAAGACTGTGTTCATGGAAAACAATCTTACTCGGCTACGAGTGATCGCCAAAGAAGAAGAGGGGTTCTCCTAACAATTCTCAGCCCCCTTAACAAATGAGAGCTCCCAGAATGCTTTGGGGGGAAGCCATGTGCATTTAATGGGGTATGATTCTGTATGTGTGGCATGATTCTGCCGTCTCCCAGGCCAAAGCCCCCACCAGCCCTGCACTTCTTAAGTGCTTTTATCTGGCTGGAATGTCTTCCAAAACGGCATCAAAGCCTTTTTGCTAGCGTGGAGAGTTCTGTCCATTCCTCCACCCACTTTTGCCTCCGGCCCTGCCCACCAGTGGTGTGCGGCCCCCGGAAAGTCACACACGAGGGAATGCCGCCCTCAGGCTGAAAGAAAGCTCCCTCATCCCTGGTTTAGAAAAAGCCCACATGCTGGAAATGCAGCTCTGACTCACCGCAGATGGACCCGGCAGCCACGATGAAGCCAGCCCAGGAATAGCCCCTCTGGTAAAAGGCGTCGGCCAGCGCCGAGTCGGGATTCAAAGAGTGCCAGGGCACCATGAGCGTCAGCACCATGGAAACCAGGATGTAGGCTCCCGTGGCGAGGCTCAGCGAGATAGCAATGGCTCTTGGGATGGCCCTCTGTGGGTTGCGGGCCTCCTCGCTGCAGGTGGCGATGACATCAAAGCCCACAAAGGCGTAAAAGCAGGTGGCCGAGCCGGCCATGATCCCCGAGACGCCGTACGGAGCGAACCCCCCTTCGGCAGCCCCCCAGTTTTGAGGCCGGGCCAGGACGAAGCCCATGATGAGGATGAAAAGGATGACCCCCATGCTGATGGCAGAGAAGACGTGGTTGAGCCAGGAGGAGACGCGGGCGCCGAAGGAGATGAAGGCCGTGGCCACAAGGAGGATGCCAAAGGCCAAGAAGTCTGGATAATGGGCCAAGAAGGGGATGTGCCAGCTGCCCACATGAGTCTCTGTGAAGTTCTTGATCCGGTGGTCAAAGATAGCATCCAGGTAGCCACTCCAGGCCCTTGCCACAGCCGCTCCACCTATCATGTACTCCAGGATGACGTTCCACCCAATCAGGAAGGCCCAGATCTCACCTACGGAGACATAGGTGAACATGTAGGCCGAGCCTGTCTTGGGCACGTGAGCGCCAAACTCAGCATAGCAGAGGGCAGCCAGCAGCGAGGCAATGCCAGCGATGATGAAGGACACGACGATGGCCGGCCCAGCCGTCTCCTTGGCCACTGTGCCCGTGAGGACGTAGAGGCCGGAGCCCACCATGGCACCGATGCCAAGGAGCGCCAAGTCGACGGTGGTGAGGCAGCGGTTGAAGGACGTCTCCATCATGTCGTCCTCCAGGGTCTTGACCCGGTTGAGCTTCTGGCAGAAGCGGGCCAGGTCCGCCGAGCGAGGGAGGCGGGTCACCATCTTGCCGCGAAGGACGGAGGGGAAGGCAGAAGCGTCTCCGACTCCTGGGCAAAAGTGAGGAAGGAAAGGGTTGTGAAATCAGAGGTGCTCATCAGGGCTTTGACCAGCTGTAGAAGCCAGCTGGGGCAGAGATTGGGGCTGGAGGTTGGAAGTTGAATAGAAGCAAACCAGGGGCACTGTGCCTAAGTTCCTGCAGAACAGGTTTGGCTTTTTAAAATATCCTGTTTGATGGGCTAGAGTGTTCCTGTGCGGAAAGTTTTCCTTCCAAGCTGGTTGTGCGAGGCCCTGGGGGAAGGGGGAGATTGGAGAGGGAGCCCAGCACACATAGGATTTCAGTGTAGAAACTCATTTTCACTATCATAGCTTGCCTTCAGCATGCAGGAACAAAAGCACAAGAGACCCTCTGCCACTGCACACTTATACTCTTGTGTGCTGCCCTATATTCTGTACAGTGGTGCCTCGGGTTAAGTACTTAATTCGTTCCGGAGGTCCGTTCTTAACCTGAAACTGTTCTTAACCTGAAGCACCACTTTAGCTAATGGGGCCTCCTGCTGCCGCTGCACCGCCAGAGCACGATTTCTGTTCTCATCCTAAAGCAAAGTTCTTAACCCGAGGTATTATTTCTGGGTTAGTGGAGTCTGTAACCTGATGCGTATGTAACCTGAAGCGTATATAACCTGAGATACCACTGTACTGTGCGGGTGGCACTGTGGGTTAAACCACAGAGCCTAGGACTTGCTGATCAGAAGGTTGGCGGTTCGAATCCCCGCGACGGGGTGAGCTCCCGTTGCTTGGTCCCTGCTCCTGCCCACCTAGCAGTTCAAAAGCACGTCAAGGTGCAAGTAGATAAATAGGTACCGCTCCGGTGGGAAGGTAAATGGCGTTTCCGTGCGCTGCTCTGGTTCGCCAGAAGCGGCCTAGTCATGCTGGCCACATGACCCGGAAGCTGTACTACGCCGGCTCCCTCAGCCAATAAAGTGAGATGAGCGCCGCAACCCCAGAGTCGGTCATGACTGGACCTAATGGTCAGGGGTCCCTTTACCTTTACCTTACCACTGTACTGTGGAATACTTTTTTCCCTTTTCTCTTTACCTGCTCTGTAACAACCTGTCTTGCACTGGCTGTTCAACTTTATTTTTTAAAGGAACTATTAGCAGTTTTTAGGAATGCACACAGCCTTGGAAGCCTTTCCACTCACGGCTTGGTGTTTTGATATGAGGATGCATCTGTCTCTCACACACACCCTTCAAGACACTTAAATCCAAGAGGACGAGGTTGAAGGCCCATAGCTTGGTGACAGAACCTTTGTCTTGCAAGCAGAAGGCCCCAGGTGGCAGCAATCCCTAATGGCAGCATCTGCAGGTAAAACTTGGAACGTTCCCTGACTGAAACCCCGGAGAGCAGCTGCCAGTCAGAGTAAGAAACACTGCGCTAGATGGACCAATGGCCTGACTCAGCATAAAGAACGAAAAGACAGATCACAGACAGAACCCAATAAAAAGGGATAGCAATATAAGCAAGTACATGAGAAGCCAAGGCCACTGTGTAAACAGCAGAGCAATTCTCCAAACAATAACGAACACTCATTTTTTGTACTTCTTCAAATGTCAATTGCAGAAAGTGCATGGGCGGTGGATATTAACCCTTTACTGCCTCCATTTTTGTTCCTGGATTTTTTTTTCTTCCTTTCAAGGGAACAGCATTGGATTGAATTTCTGTCCTGCGCTTCTGTGCATCTGAGCATAAACAGGAAGGTTACAACTCTCCACGCACTGCGGTCCAAAATGGAAGAATTCTCCATTCATAGATGAGGGGCAGCAAATGTATTTAAAAGGCTATAATGAATATAATGCATCTGCTGTGCATGCAAGTTCAGTCGCCCAGGGCATCTCCGGGTAGGGCTGGGAGAGAAACTTCCCTAAAGCTGCTGCCAGTCCGTGCAGGCATTGCCAAGCTAGGTGGGCCCACGGTTCTGACTCAGTAGAAGACTGCTTCCTATATTCCTGTGAAGCTTGCAGAATAGCACGGACACAACCATACACACTTAACACCGTTTTGTTTTTTTTAGAAAGACTGACACAAAAGGCAAGGTCGTCATCCAAAGAAAGCTGTTGACCTGGGATTGGGGCCAGAAGATTGGAGACTGCCCCTTGGTAACTGGGGACCAGTTTGCCTGAAGAAAGAAAACTCTTTCCCAAGGGAAGAATCCTCAGCAATTATTGTGTGATGTTTAAAATGAAGTCAAACCAACCATTCATGTTTTGCTAGATAGGCACATGATAGGAGCTGAAGCTGACAGTGCTTTTCTGTAAGTTTGCTGGAAAGAACTCTGCGAGAGACACTTCCACAGTGCCCTGACAGGGGGTGGGCATTTCTATATATTCAATGCGGGTGGCACTGTGGTCTAAACCACAGAGCCTAGTGCTTGCTGATCAGAAGGTCAGCGGTTTGAATCCCCGCGATGGGGTGAGCTCCTGTTGCTCAGTCCCTGCTCCTGCCAACCTAGCAGTTCGAAAGCACGTCAAAGTGCAAGTAGATAAATAGGTACCGCTCCGGCGGGAAGGTAAACGGCGTTTCCGTGCGCTGCTCTGGTTTTGCAGAAGTGGCTTAGTCATGCTGGCCACATGACCCAGAAACTGTCTGCGGACAAACACCAGCTCCCTTGGCCTATAGAGCGAGATGAGCGTCGCAACCCCAGAGTCGTCCACGACTGGACCTAATGGTCAGGGGTACATTTACCTTTACCTGCGTGGGTATGTCCTCTTTTCCATCTCTTTCCACTTTTTCCCACTGTGTCAGCAATGTGAGAGCATCTGCTTAGTCTGAGCTCCAAGCTCAAACCACATTTTGAGCTCAACTTAGGTATGCCTTTGTAACTGAATTACCATTTTAAGCCTCCTGAATCTGTTACTTCTCTGAGTAAGTAAATGTTATATTTTACATTTTACGAAACTGTTTGTGTGATTATTGTTTGAGGGATGTGGGGAGGAGGAAATACCAGGAGAGTCCACTCTGCCTTAAAGCACTCTGGATTACTTAAACTGAAAAGCTAAAAGTAGACTATCTAAGCTTCCGTTCAAGCTACAAAGGGGCGGCACTCTGCTGAAATTGCACATGTGAAGGAAGGAAGGATAATACCTTATAAATATATCCTCTCCTAGCATCTATTCCTATCTCAACAATAATAGCAGCTTGGGTGGTTGGGGCTGCAGGGATGTCAACAAAGCAGGCATGAAGAAGACTGGGTGTAGAAGAAGGGGAGAAAAAACAACTCCATGGAAAAAGGGTGGGAGGTCGACAAGAAAAAGAGAAAATACAAAATTGTGTTTTGACTGCATATGTTAAAAATGTTGAAACAATTTTTTTTTTTAAAGCAGGGAATTATGTGCTTGGGGGCGTCATTTAGGGAATCACAGAAATAGAGTTGGAAGGGACCCGCAATTGTCATCAAGTCCAACCCCCCGCAACTGAGGAAGTGTTGCCACCTGCCCACCTATTAGACTACATGTGTTTATTTCTCAGGAGAAGCAAGCATATTTCTTGGATTATAAATTATGTGTATCTACGTGTATATTTATACACGTTAAAATGCTCTTAAAATTGACTCTTTTTACAGATGAATATTGAATATCTCTTTTTTTCCATATTCCATGTATTCTGCAAACTGTGAATTCCCTCCTCCCCACTGAAAAGGTCGCCCCCTGCCTCAAATCCCCACACTTAGGCATATGTTCACAAAAACAAAAACAAAAAACCCTCTGGGAAAATATGTCGAAGGCCTTGATGTCAAAAGAGTCTAGCCCTGAGTCAAGGTTGTGTGTGTGTGTGTTTTACATATCCCCAAGGGACCCCTCTGACATGCAGGGCACAATCTATGTCACATCTAGTTTGACCCTAGATCTAAAATGGTCCCTCTCCCCCCTTCCCCCTTGCCCCAAATTGGACAAGTGACGACTGGTGCCCACCGGGATTGGTAGGGCGGAAGGCAGGGAGCCCAACAGTAGGGGGCGCCAGAGCCAGTGACAGACAGAGCCAACTCAGGCTAGTTTTCTTCCCCCCTTTCTCCCTGCTAGGTTCTACAAAGGCAACAGGAAAGACTAAGGAGGAAGGAGCTGACAGGAGGTGCTGCCACTCCTTGGACTGGATGGCACTAAGAAGGCAGGGAGGTGAGGCTGAGGTTTGTGGGTCAGTGCCCCCCTTTTGCCTTAATGAACTGGTGAGCAGTGCTCCCTTTTTAAACAGGGGCGGGGAGAGGTGCTGGAGCTCAGAGCTGCCTCAGGTTTATGCCTTCCTTCCCCAGAAACTGCTGCCTTTGACCCCCGGTGCGCAAAGGGGTGTCAGCTCTTCAAGCTGACAGGACAGGAGCGGAACTCTGCACATGCTCCGATGCACCGCTTTTGCCACACCTCCCAGAAAACGGGGGCTTGTTTTGGATCACAATTTCAGGGCGGTGGACAGAAACGTCTCCGCTGGCGGTGGAAGTCAGTGGCAGAGATGGGCGTTTTGGGTAACCAACTGTGAGTATGGGAGGAGGAAGGAAAGCAAGAGGCTAAGAAGACTGATGTTGAAATTAAACACAAGTGAAGTCACACAGGAAGCCTTAGACCGAGTCAGACCGTTGGTCCATCCAGCTCAGCATTCCATACACTGGTTGGCAGCAGTCCTCCAAAGTTTCAGGTAGATTCTCCACCATCTTTACCTGGGAATTGAACCTGCATCCATCTGCATGCAAATCTGGGGCTCTGGCCGAGTGTTATTTTCCCCATTGAAGACAAACCCCCCATCCAATTTGAACCACAAGATTTCCCCTTTCCATTTTTTTGCCCTTGGGACAAAATACCTGTCCCCGTCCCCCAAATATTAAAGACAGGAGGAGGCCGCCTCGGCTCAGCACTTGCCCCACCCTGGACAGCTCCCCGCTCTCCCGAAGGCAGAGCAGCGCCTGGGTTAGTGGAAGCACCTGTGCGGATGCTCAGCCGATCCCAAAAAAGGCACCCGGGACAGCTGCTCGCGGTTAGACACCCTGAGGCAGGTGCTGGAGGTTAGGCTCCCGGAGGCGGACGCGGGCCGATGGCGCTGCCCTACGGGAGCCTCCGCCCAGTCCCGGGCCTCCTGCTGCCTCTGCTCCTCCTCACCTGCCAGGCTGGCGGATGCAGGCGCACCTGGCGCCGGCCGGGCAGCAGGTGGGACCCTTCCCGATGGGGATCGCCCTGCAGAGCCGTCCCGGGTCGTCGTCCACCCCCCGGTTGCTGCTCACCTGCTCCGCTCGCTGCACCCGGCGAAGGCCTTTCCTGCTCGGCGGCAGCGGCGCCGCTGCGTCACGGCCTTATTTGTTCTCCAGGAGAGGAGGGAGGGAGTTGCTTTTAATCCGCCCCCCCTCCCGCCGCCACCGGCACCAGCTGCCCAGGCGAGCCCGGATGGGACTCAAAAGGAAGGAGGTGGGGGGGGAGATGCTCTGAAGCAGCCCAGGTATTGGGGAAGGGGGGTGCTCCGCAAAGGGGGGGCGGAGATCCTTCAGGGCGGGGCTCTCTGCAAAGGGTGCCCATCCCACTCCAGCCCCCAAACCAAGGACAAACTCCCTACCTGCGGTTGCCACTTTGCCCGGGGATTCTTGTTTGCAGAGAAAGTGGCAGAAATCCAACCGGTGCAGCTTTCTCTCGCCCGCTCCCCTGGGGAATGGCGTGGGAGGAGGTGAGGAAGCCAGACGCTGTGCTTTTGAAACAGCCTTCTTGGTTATAATCCTGAGCTCACTGCCTGGGGAGTAAGCCCCATTGAATTCACTAGGCCTTAACCTATGATTAAGGTTACCAGATTTTTTTCAGTAATTCTGGGGACACTTTTCAACATCAATGGATTTTGTATGGGGACTGATTTGTAAATCCAGGGACATCCGGTAACCAAGGGTTAAGACTGCCTATGGGAAGTGTGTGAGGTGCATGGATTTCTTTAAACATGCCCTGGCCAAATTGACTCCAGTATGGCTACTCAAGAGTAAGCCCTGCTGTGTTCAGGTAAGCCCAGAGGCTCAGCCTTCCTTTTCCCTAAAGTCATCCCCACCAATGTTTGGGAGATGGGATGGTGGACTGCCTTTCCCCCTGAGGTGGCAAGATGGCTTTTAAAGCAGCTTTTAGGGTAGCCTTTGACAACCAACCTGGTCTCCTCGATATTTGGGTGACTGCCACCGCCATCACATGGGAGTTGGAGTCCAAAATGTCTGGAGGGCAACAGGCTGGCAAAGGTCAGAACATGCTTGGCAAACTGATGCTTTTTAGCTGATCAGTGCTACGTGGTTTGCTCTGTTGTGAATTTAGTGTTTGGAAGCAAATGTACAACTTGAATTTGTATACTGGATTAAGACCTATTTGGAGATAGTATGAGGAGTGGCTGAATAAACTTTGCATTGGTGTGGTCTCTACAATTTGATGTTTATTTTAAAATCATTTATATATGCCTATTGATTGTTGGCTAGGGAATATTTTCCTTTTGTCTGTGTAATCCCCCTCCCAAATTAGACAATTTCATGGAAGTGGATCTATCAATGTATATTAGTCTTCAGTTAAATGGTGCCCCCACATTCAAAGGCAGTCTACCTCACAATGTAGGCTGCAAACAGGGAGATCTTCTTCACATCCCACCTTTGAGCTCTCCAGAGGAACCCAAAAAACTGGATGAGACGTTCTGTTACCTACTCTGGCATAAAGGAAACAATTCTTCTATTTATCGATTTGCTTAGCCAAATAATTCTCTTAAGTGGTACAGAACCAAAACTGTAGATAAAGCACGACTACGATTCACCAAACATTCCCTGGCACTAGACCAGTCAGAGGGTCTTCTTAGTAGTGGTGCCTGCCCTGTGGAACGCCCTCCCATCAGATGTCAAGGAAATAAACAACTACAGTGGTGCCCCGCAAGACGAATGCCTCGCAAGACGGAAAAACCGCTAGACGAAAGGGTTTTCCGTTTTGAAGTTGCTTCGCAGGACGAATTCCCCTATGGGCTTGCTTCGCAAGACGAAAATACCTTGCGAGTCTTGAGATTTTTTTCGCTTTTCCCCCTTTATCTAATCTGCTAAGCCTTTAATAGCCTTTAATAGCCTTTTAGCAGCTAATCCCCTAAGCCTTTAAGCCTTTAATAGCCGCTAAACCGCTAATAGCGCTAATAGCGCTAATCCGTCAATGGGCTTGCTTCGCAAGACGAAAAAACCGCTAGACGAAGACTCTCGCGGAACGGATTAATTTCGTCTTGCGAGGCACCACTGTATCTGACTTTTAGAAGACATCTGAAGGCAGCCCTGTTTAGGGAAGTTTCTAATGTTTGACGTTTCACTGTGTTTTTAATATTCTGTTGGGAGCCGCCCAGAGTGGCTGGGGAAACCCAGCCAGATGGGCAGGGTATAAAAAATAAATTATTATTATTGTTATTTCCATCCTGAGCTTTGGCTAAAAAAATGTTTACTACGGAAATCTTTATAATATCTGTAATTCTCAACAGAGGTCTTGAAAACTCCCAAACTAATAGCAGAAGCGACTTGGCTGAGCTGATTTCTCCATTTAAGATACAACACCCCTCCAGTCAAAGACAAAAAGCATTTTCCTCAATATCAGCCATCTCCAATTGATGACCAGCAGGGGAGGCCCAGCTGTTGGTGCTTCCTGACTGGTACTGACAGGGCCTTCTCAGTGGTGGTTCCCAATTTGTAGAAAGTCTTCCCTGGCGAGATGGTCAAAGAAACCCTGCTCTAGCGGTGCCCAATCAAACACTGAGAAATTATCCTGCAAAGCTGACCTTGATTGGCAGCATAGACAGCCCCCTTCAGGGTGGACACACCAACCCACTGTCTTCAAGAATCTCAAAAATAAAAATCCACTGTTGCAATAAAGAGAGGTAGCCTTGCTGAGGGAGTGGACACTTGACGGCCTTCCCAGAGCCAGACTATTAACCCCCTGGTAAGCACTCTGAACCACAGGTCCAGTATCCCCACTCCGTCATCACCCCCAAACCCCTAAACTAATGCTGCTTACTGCCTTATTTCAAGCTCAGAATTCCTTGGTCACCACTGCAAAACATCAACCTTGAGATATACGGAAAATCCACAACAGCTATATGTGTGTGTCGTGTGTGCATATATATATATATTTTTAAAAAACAAGATAGATAATAAACAAACAAACAAACAAACAAACAAACACAAGTCAAACCGAACTTTGGGGCTTCCTTGGCTGTTAAGACAGCAGCAACCCTGCTTCCACCCCACACTGAAAAAAGGGGGCAACTCTCCTCCCCCACCCTACTGAGCCTCTTTTCTTCTGAGGTCTGGCAAGGGAACTGGCTGTGCCAGCCTTTATGTATCTATATAAAAACACTGAGTAATCTCGTTCAGCACTACTCCCACAGAGGATCGTGGCTAGAAAAGAGGGAGAGGGGGGGGAAAGCAGTTATTGTGCCCTTCTGTCCTTTGCTCAAGAGAAAGGCTTTCTAGATTGCGATTCCTTTTGCTGCAGTTTTCGGATCAGCTCCAGCAGATTCATCTGGAGAGTCAGCTCCTGTAAACAGAAAGCAATTGGTTGTTGTTTTTTTACACCACAAAGAGTCCTTTTCTTCCACCCACCCCCAAACGGTCAATATTAGGGTGCAATATGAAGTTATCCGTTGGGTTGGGAAGCAGCCAAAATGCACCAAGCCTTAATGCAGTCTCTCTCTTACGTAGCTGCTTGGCTAGTTGCTTGTGGAATCATCTCTAGACAACCAGGAAGGTGTCCCACCCCCTACTTTGAGGGGTCAAATAACTAACATAAACATGTAGGCCATGGATTTATTTGCAAGGCAGCTATATCATGTCAACAAACTTGACATGAGCCAACAGTGTGACGCGGCAGCTAAAAAAGCCAATGCAATTCTGGGCTGCATCAATAGGAGTATAGCATCTAGATCAAGGGAAGTAATAGTGCCACTGTATTCTGCTCTGGTCAGACTTCACCTAGAGTACTATGTCCAGTTCTAGGCACCACAGTTCAAGAAGGACACTGACAAACTGGATACATGTCACAGAGAACAGACAACTAAAATGGTCAAAGGCCTGAAAACGATGCCTATGAGGAATGCTAAGCGAGCTAGGCAAGTTTAGCCTGGAGAAGAGAGGTCAAAGGGTGATATGATAGCCATGTTCAACCATATAAAAGGATGTCAGCTAGAGGAGGAGAAAGGTTGTTTCTGCTGCTCCAGAGAAGCGACACGAGCAATGGATCCAAACTACAGAAGAAGATTCCACCTAAACTTTAGGAAGAACTTCCTGACAGTAAGAGCTGTTTGACAGTGGAATCTGTTGCCAAGCGAGTCGTGGTGGAGTCTCCTTTCTTTGGAGGTACTTTAAGCAGAGGCTTGACAATCCTCTATCCTCAGTTGTACACTTCATGTGTGCTTATTCCATTGTACTCTGGCAGCCAGTATGGACTCAATGTCCTTGTCCAATCTCTTCCAACATTCTTTATGATTGCTAGTGATTCCTTGAAGATATATACTAGGTATGGGGCAGCATCTGTGGAAAAACCCACCCCGTTCTACACACAGACCTGCGGGTTTGTCGTGATATAAAAGCCAGAGACGCCAGCTTTCTCCAGCGTGTTCTGCTGGTCAACAACTTTCTGATCCAGTTCCAGGACAATCTTCTCGTCCATCATCTGCTGCTCATCATGAATCCGCTGCTCCAGGGCCTGAGTTAAAGGTGGAAATGGGGGTGGGGTGTAAAGTGCAGAAAACCCGGCTGAGAAAGAGAGACATCTCAGAATCGAACGAGAGGGGGAAACACCAGCCAGTTCAACACAGCTCGCAGTGAAGGACTGCCTGCCATTGTGGTCACAATGGGCTTCCCTTGCCAACGAGCCAAGCTGTGTACTACAGAGGGAGGGAAATGCCCCAAAGCGGCTGCTAGCTAATCACTGCACAAGCACGAGAGGCAACCTTCAAATAGGGAGACTGCTCTCTCAAGAACATGAAGGCCTTACCTCCAGCTCCCTCTGCTGAGCTGCTTTGAGAAGAGGCAAGTTGTGAGGCTTGCAGCCTTGCTGGGCTTCTTTGTGCTTATACAGCATCTCCTGCTTGAGAACTGCGGAAGGAACAAGCAGCAAAACATTATGTTTTAGTATTGTGGGGGATGCAGAAAGGCTCTGCTCCAAGCTCCTAAAGACCAGTCCACTCCCCCCTGCCCCGGGAACTCTGCCAAACATGAACAACATCCCCAACTGCTCCATTTTTCTCTTCTGCAAAGTGTGTCGTGTGGGAGAACATATGTGCCTCTCTCTGGTCGTGCACAATAATTTGGAACAGTCACCAACCACTTCCTGATCCTGTACTCATCAGCTGGAAGACACCCCTTGTCTCACTCATTCAGAGGATGAGGAGAAAATCGCTTCCTGTATTTTAACCACCCCTGACTGGCGACGGAGAGAGGCTGTTTGATGAAGGCCTGGCCAATTCCTTCAAGGGATCGGGCTCCTCTTACCTCGGTGCTCGTTGTGGAGCTTGAGCCGCTGGTTGTAGAGGTTTCTTTCCATCAGGTGCTGGATGTCGAGCAGGCCCTGGACGATCTCAAAGACCGTCCCATCAATGAGCGCCATGGCCAGGTCACTGAGGATGGTATATGACAGCCTCTGCTGGGAAGAACTGCCAAGAAAGCACAGCACAGAGTCAAGGGAACATCGGGCACCCCTGTGCCACTCAGAAGTTGGTGTCAGGGTGGGAAATTTGTGGTCCTCCAGAGGCTGCTGAGCTCCAACTCCCATCACGTCTGTTGACTCTGGTTTAGGCGTAGAGATGCCTCAACACAAGGGTGGCTTGTGCCCACTGGGACTGGTAGGGCAGAAAGCAGGGAGCCCAACAGTAGGTGGCGCCAGAGCCAATGAAAGGCAGATTCAACCGTTAATGAAGGAGGCGGGGCTCGTTGTTAAGTAAGAAGGCTGGCCAATTGTGGCTGGCTGAGGGCAGACCAAGGTTGGTGGGGGCACTGCGGCAAAGCCCCCCATTTTTCCAGATGGTAAAGGTTAAAGGACCCCTTGATGGTTAAGTCCAATCAAACTTGACTATGGGGTTGTGGCACTCATCTCGCTTTCAGGCCGAGGGAGCCGGCATTTGTCCACAGACAGCTTTCCAGGTCTGATGGCCAGCATGACTAAACTGCTTCTGACACAACAGGACACTGTGATGGAAGCCAGAGCACACGGAAACGCCGTTTAGCTTCCCGCCGTAGCGGTACCTACTTATCTACTTGCACCGGTGTGCTTTCAAACTGCTAGGTTGGCAGGAGCTGGGACAGAGCAACGGGAACTAATCTGTTGCGGGGATTCGAACTGCCGCCCTTCTGATCTGCAAGCCCAAGAGACTCAGTGGTTTAGACCACAGCACCACCCATCCCTAATCTCCAGATGGACCAGACTGCCTCAACAATAGTTCATAACTATTTTCATAGCCAGCATGCTCTTTTAGGTAGTCCCTGAGATTATGATGAAAATATGCTAAAGAGGAGGTAAAGGTTTCTTGTCTCTTTTCAATTTAGAAACTGAAAGCAACTTGCCTTTTCAGCAGCATAAACAGCTCCAGCGGAAACATCAGAAATTTTTTTGCTCCCCTATGCAATATTTGAGGCTTTTGAGTTTTTAGGTTCTCTAATGGCACGAGAAAAGGAGAAAAAAATTATTTCTCCACCCCATGCATAAATTTATCCACCTTCGCCTATCCTTTGCCTTATTTGCTTCCCCTGCCTAAACAAAAAAGCATCAAATATCACACCTTTCCCCATAGGAGTGTTGCTGCAGCAGCCACAAACTTTTTAACAACAAATCTGCCACAATTAATATTTTTATAATATAGAAATAAATGATAAACCCGTTAAATCCTGAATGCATCCTCTGGTGGCCTTATGATGATTTTGCTGGGCCTTTTTCTGCAGAACTGACTTCAGTTATAAGTTGCTTTGAGGCGTTTTTACGTAGCGAGCAGCTAATAACTGTAATAGCAGTAGTAATAATAACAATTAACAGTTTTGTGCTTTTATGTTAGAATTGTGAGCTGCCTTGAGTATCACTTCTGCAGAAAGGTGGAGACACGAAACACTGCAAAAGTATTATTTATTATTTGATTATTATTTAAATATGCATAATAAATGCATATTAAGCATTTACACCTCATCTTTCCCCTAAGGAGCTCAAGATGGCTTCCTCCCCAGTTAATCCCCACAACAACCCTGTGAGGTTGGTTACTGGTCCTACGTCACCCCAATGAGTTTGATGGTTGTGCAGGGATTTGGTCTCCCGTGTCCTATTTTGATACTCTAACCACTACACTACACTAATAATTACAATTTGCTGGTTTTGTATTAAAGCAGCGAATTGCCTTGCACAGTTTCTGCAGCAAGGTGGAAACACCACCACCACCAACTTGCCACTTTGTGGTTTTAAAACGAAAACGGTAAGCTGCCTCGAGGGGGGTTTCTGCGGAAAGGCGAGACACCAACCATTGCAATTAATTATTATTACTACTGTTACTACCACTGTCTGCTGCTTTGCGGTTTTTCAGATTAACATTGTGAGCTGCCTCGAGTGCCATTTCTGAAGGCAGAAACACAGTACACTGCCATCATTATTATTATTACCACCTGCAGTTTTGCATTAAAATTGCGAGATGCCTCCAGCAGTTTCTGCGGAAGGGCGGAGATGCATACCAGAGCAGCGAAATAAGTAATAATAAACTATGAACGGAATGTAATTGAAATTAGTAAGATTTTGGAACGCAGAATTAAAGAAAACCATCAAACCATCCATTCTAGCATGCGGGGGCCCACCTTATCTACATTATACCATTCACTATTTGATCGATTGGTATTAGTAACGGTATTATAAATTGGTATTGTTATAATGAGGCTATTATTGGATTGTAATGGAAAACTGATAAAAATTATTATATCTGAAAGTAAATAGTAATAATAATTCACAGTTCAGTGGTGGTTGTTTTTTAAATATTGAAATCGTGGGCTGCCTCCAGTCCCGTTTCTGCAGACAGGTAGACGAAGATAATACTAATAATACTAATACTAATACTAATAATAGGATGCAATATTCTCCAGCAGCATCCTGCCCCCCTCTCTCTTCCCCCTTTTTTATTGGGGGGCTTTTCCTTCCTCAAGCCCCTCGGGTGTGGGGATCCAAGGAAGGAAAGCCGTCCCCCTGTCCGGCCCGGGCCCTTCCCTGCGCGCTGCCCAGCCGGCGGGGGTCCGAGGCGAGGCGGCCTCCGCTGCTTCTCCCCGCACCTGGGCAGGTCCTTGACGAGGGCCTGCAGCTCGGAGAGGAGCTGGTAGTGGCGCTCCTGCTGACGGGCCAGCCGGTCGCCCCCGCCGAAGCCTCCCAGTCCCCCGGCTCCGGCTCCTGCTGTTCCGGCTCCGGCGGCCAGGCTTTCCCCGTCGTCGTCGTAGGCGAAGCCCGCGCCGAAGCGCGCCATGGCTGAGGGAGGCGGCTAGGCCCAAGCGCCAGACTCCGCCTCCCCGAGCGCCTTCCCCTCGCGCGCGCTCCCTCCGAGAGGGGCCTGCCCTTAAAAGCCAGGCGCTTCTTGCCGTGCCCGCCCACGGTGCCTCTGGGCGTGGGCAGAGGGCTGTCCCTCTCTCCTCCGCCGAAGCAGAACCTGCCCTGAAGTGCTTCGCTTTTGGGTGTACAGAATGAGGGCTGGGTGCTTTTGAGCTTGGGCAGAGCGCCCTTCTTATCCTACCCCCCCCCCAAGCAGAACCTTAAGTGTGTTCTCTGGCTTTTGGGTCTGCAGAATGAGGGCTGGGTGCTTCTGAGCATGGACAAAGCGCCCTTCTAACCCGCCTTCCCCCAAGCAGACCCTGAAGGGTTTTCTCTGACTTTTAGAAGTGCAGAATGAGGGCTGGGTGTTTTTGAGCATGGGCAGAGCACCCTTCTAACCTCCCCCCCGCCAAAGCAGAACCTTTAAGCATTTTCTCAAGCTTTTAGGTGTGCAGAATGAGGGCTACGTGCCTCTGAGCATGGGCAGAGCGCCCTTCTACCCCCCCATCCGAACCTTAAGTGTTTTCTCTGGCCTTTGGGTGTGCAGAATGAGGGTTGGGTGCTTCTGAGCATAGACAAAGCGCCCTTCTAACCCCCCCCCCCCAGCAGACCCTGAAGGATTTTCTCTGGCTTTTAGAATGAGGGGTAAGTGCTTTTGAGCATGGACACAGCGCCCTTCTACTTCCTACCCGCCCCCCAACACAACCCGATGTGTTTTTTCTCCCTTTTGCCTGGGCAGAATAAGGACTGGATGCTTCTGAGCATGGCCTGAATGCCTTGACACCACCCCACCCCAAAAGCAAAATAAGCACGATGTACTTTTGAGCATGGGCAGAATGCTGTCGCCCCTAAAACCAAAACTGAACAATTTCTCTTCCTTTTGCGTATGCAGAATAAGTACATAATGGCTAAGTGTCTCTGGACACGAGCAGAGTGTTCTCACCCCTTAGCAGAATAGCAGGGTTTTGTGACATGAGGATACAGGAATGAATTATTTCTGAGCATGTACTCATAAGAAGTAGCATTTAAAAAAATAATCACGGCAAGCAGAGAGAGTATTTGAGCAGAGTTCTACTCAGAAGTAAGTCCCATTGAATTCCGTGGGGTCTACTCTTGGGTAAAAGGGGTTAGGACTGCATCCTATTGTGTTCAGGTTTGAGGCCTACCAGCCTATATTTATCACTCAGGCCACTGAGTGTTGAGCAACCTTTGCCCATGTGTCTACTTTGGCATCCCCTGGGCCACTGCTGGCAACCACAGGCTGTGCCTTTTTAACGCTCTCCTGCTGCCCTGGTGCCCATCAAAGTCTCCTTCCTCCAACTTGTGTTGCCTCTTGGAGTCATCCTGACTCCAAGGAAAAGCCTCTCCCTTTCCTTACCCACCAAAGGATATCGTAGCGTTGGAAAGGTTTAACAAAGTGCAACCCATATTATCAAGGGGATGAAGAAAGGTTGTGGCGTTTGGAACTTTTGAAAAGGTAAGAGCTGACATGGTAGAAGTTTATAAAATGATGCATGCTATCATTTCTCTCCTTCTAGAGGTGGTGGACATCCAATGAATGTTGGAAGATTCAGGACAGATTAAAAAAAAAAGTCCTTCATGCAACACATAGTTAACCAAGGAACTCTCTCCATGGATGGCTTTAAAATTGGATTTGCACATTCGTGAAGAGGGCTTTCAGTGGCTACTAGCCGCAATGACTGTGGTGGAATCTACACACATTCTTAAAAACACTGTGAATTTTTTTTAAAAAGTTTTTTTTGGGGGGGGAGGGAAAACATTGAATTTGCCATAGCTCACTGTTACCATCTAGTGTCACATTTGTATATGGCACACTTAAAACACACTTAAAATGCTTTATTTGCAGCTGTATAGCTGAGTCCTGTCTCTGTGGTCAGAGGCAGCAATGCTTCTGAATACCAGCTGATGGAAATCACAGGAGGGGAGAGCACTCTTGCGCTTGAATCTTGCTTGGGGGTTTTCCACAGGCATGTGATTGTCCACTGTGAAAACAGGATGCTGGACTAAATGGGCCATTGGCTTGATCCAGCAGCCTCTTCTTATGTTCTTAAACCTCTCAGATCACCCCTCTGACTCCCTTTGCACTTTGTAGACCACTCTTCCCTAATCCAGTGCCCCCTGAGGCTGATGCCCCCAAGCAACCAAAGGGCACCAGGTTGGGGAAATCTGCTGTCGGCTGTATCGAGTCTCCCACAATTCATTGCACTCCTCTCTCCCCCTCCTCTCCCCACAACCCCACTCAATAGCTACCAGATGTAGGTCCCAGGCGTCTTCCTAATTCGTCTGGCAAGAGCCTCCGTGCAGTTCTCGGCTGCCTGCCTGTCTCTGGGAAGGGCTGGGTTCCTTGTGGGAACCGCAGCGGTGCCCAGAGATGTTTAATTTGGCAAGGAGCTTGCGGGGTACCGCTAGAGTAACACTGATGCCTCTCGCAGGCCTTGTTGAGGTGCTCTTGGCAGGCCGGGGCAGAGAGATGGTGGTGAGACAGTTTGGCCTAGCAAAATGGGAGAAGCGTTTTAGAAAATGTGCTCAGTGCTGCGTCTTATTTAAATCCCCGGTATGAAGATCACCAGGGATGCGGGTGGCGCTGTGGGTTAAACCACAGAGCCTAGGACTTGCCGATCAGGTCGGTTTGCTTGGTCCCTGCTCCTGCCAACCTAGCAGTTCAAAAGCACGTCAAAGTGCAAGTAGATAAATAGGTACCGCTCCAGTGGGAAGGTAAACGGCGTTTCCGTGCGCTGCTCTGGTTCGCCAGAAGTGGCTTAGTCATGCTGGCCACATGACCCAGAAGCTGTACACCGGCTCCCTCGGCCAATAAAGCGAGATGAGCGTCGCAACTCCAGAGTCGGCCACGACTGGACCTAATGGTCAGGGGTCCCTTTACCTTTTATGAAGATCACCAAAGTCAGAGGCAGTAATGCTTTTGAATACCAGTTGCTGCAAACCACAAGGGGACTGGGATAATGCTCTTGTTCTGCTTGTAGGCTTTCCCCCCTGCAGGGCGAGCGCTCCAGCAATGCGGGGCCTCTCTGCTCCTCAAAGGTTGAACGGAGGCTTGTGCTAGCATCTTCACAGGCCCACTCACTCTGCACCTTTCAAATCTCAGAATGGATAGTTCCTTCTGGCTATACTCTGTCTCCACGACTGAAGGCAGGAATGCTCCTGAATACCTTGCTGGAAGCCACAGGAGGAGAGAGCATTCTTGAGCTTGGGTCTTGCCAGTTTCCCACAGGCATTTGGTTTGCCGCTGTGACAACAGGATTCTGGACTCGATGGGTCATCGGCCTGATCCAACAGAGCTCTTTTTATGCTCTCCCAGTGGCTGGCTTTTTTCAGGGGCGATGCCCCACCAGGAACCAAACAGACTTTGCTCACTCACTTTGGAGGCTCCTGCATACAACCAGTTTATACAACATTCACCTTGATTTGCTTGCACAAAGCAGAGAATGGAAAGGTGTTGCTGCGCTCCTGCGTCCTCCACAGCACATATTTTGGGTAAGGAGGCCAAGGCATCAGCTGAGGCGGCTCACGTGGGCCCTAATGAAAGCCAGAGCCTGCCATAGTGATGACATTGGGCTGTGATTTGTGCTCTCCTGCACAGACTAAACAGGCAGGGGGGGAAAAAAGGAACTTTGGCACAAGCCACATCTCAGCTCCAAATATAAACCAGGAAGCAGCTGACGGCTGCCCAGTCTCCAGCAAGGGGGTCTGTCCATCTTTTTCCGGTTTCAAATACTCATTGCCTCAGCTGGATTTGGTGGCTACAGAAAAGGGTGTGATCATTGCTCCGAATCTTGCTTATAAACCCAGGAAGGGACATGGAGAGCCCATGAAGGAAGATGGCAGCGTTTGGGATTTTTTTTTTTTCATTTAGAGAAAAGGCAAGCAAGAGGCGACTGGATGGAAGTTTATTTAATTATGCCTGGCATAGATAAAGTGGATAGAGTTTTTCTCTTATAATGCTGGAGCTCGTGGACCTCCAATGAAGCTGAATGTTGGAAGATTCAGGACAGGCAGAAGAAAGTAGTACTTCATGCAGAGCACAGCTGACCTATGGAACTCCCTTCCACAGGAGGCAGTGATGGCCACCAACTTGGATAGATTTAACGAGGTCTGGGCAAATTCATGGGGTAGAAGCCTGTCAACAGTCACCAGCTAGCTATGATGGCTATGCTCTGCCTCCACAGCCAAAGGCAGAAACACTTCTGAATGCTAGTTGCTTGGTGCATTTGAGGAGAGGTTGCTTGGAGTATTCTGTAGCGTGTCAGGGGTGTATATGTATATGGGTGTGGTGGGAAAGGCCATTTCTTAAGAGTTTGGTGATATACAGTGGTGCAGTGGTTTGGGGACTTGGGGAGTTGAAGCCCTGTTACTATTTCTGCAGCAGGGTCCCCTGTCTCCAGCATCCTAGAGCCACCCAATCAGCATGAAAGGGAAGCCTTTTAGCCACTGGGAGGAAGCCTCCTCACTCTCTTGTGCTGGCTGGAGCCCATCAGGAGGCAAGTCAGCCCCTGAGAATGGGCTCCTAGGGCCACTCCGGGGGAAGACATGCAGGAAGAACACTGAGTTGTTCTATACGCTCCAAAGCGAAGCATCTAGGAACCCTGAAAATGCACGGTGCTTCAGTTGCAAGAGAACAGCGAGTGCAAGTTCCGCTCCACACAGTAGAGCTTCACGTTAAACACTACTTGGGTCTCTCTGGGAGAAGATACTGGAGCACTAAAAATTATTTGCCTGTGCGTGTGCACAGAAAATAGCAAATCTATCTTTAAGGCAACACATGGAGATCTGCAATGCATCCCTAATTATTGGAAGAGTAGCAGATAATCTTGCATGGCTGTGACTATCATGAAGGTACCCTGCACACCTGAGCCTGCAGCTACTGGCAATATAGCCCTGCAGGGCTTTTATAGTTCTGTGAAGCTGAGGATGTGTATATTTGGCCACATACCTGCATTTGGGTCCATTTAACTCAGGAGTCACCAATCAGGGGCCCTCCAGGTTTCTGCAGAATACAATTCCCCATCTTCCCTGGCCATTGGGGTATGCTGGCTAGGGCTGATAGGGCTTGTAGCCCAACACTCATGGCGGTTGTCACTGGCTGTGGCTCTTCAGGATTTCAAAAAGGAGCCTAGTCCCAACATACCTGGAGACACCACTTGGTTTATGACCATAGCCTTCTAATAAAGGGCAGCTCTTCTTCTCGGGAGATGGCTCCTGGGTCGAAAAAAGTGGAAAAAGTGCATTCTAGTGGACCTGGACATGCTTATGCACTCATCCTTGCAGCAGCAGTGGGCTGCTGTAAGGCACCATTTGGAATGGCCAAACCAACATGGCAGTTGCCCCAGGGCACTGTGGGAGATTCAGCACAGCGGCTCTCGCCACCCCACCTGCCATGGTTCCTTGAGGGTGCTGATCTCAGGTGTGCTGGAGGGCCAGCCGACTCTTACCAGATTGCAGGGAAGGGCCCAAACAGTTGGCAGGAGAGTAGACAGCTGCCAGGAGAAGAGGTCAGGAAAGGCCAAAGAAAAGGCACCGAAACCACACACGGAGCTAGAAATACACCGTTTCTTTTTAATGGAGGAAGCTTTCAATGGAGACGCTAGACTTGTGTACCAAACTGCCCTTGTCGTAGCCAGGACAGGAGGCCTCTTATGGTGGCCAGAACCACTGATGCAAAAAAAGGGGGGGCAGGGCGTCCATCGAAGCCAGCTCGAGGCAGCACAGCTGCAAGGGAGGACAGTGCCCATATTGGCACCACAGGATGAAAAAGCTCCAGCAGAAGGCGTGCCCAGTCAGGTCTGGGATGCTATCCCAAGACTGGGTGTGCTGAAGCTCCAGGCCAGTGCGAGGCCCGCACACATGGCCAGCTTGAAAGAAAAGTTGCCTCCTGCCTCTATGCCCACAGAGCAGCCTCCTTTGCCAACCTGATGCCCCCTTGCGCACCTCTGGCCTGTATCTCCCATCAACTGCTAATGCAATTCTAGGCTGTGGCAAGAGAAGTCCAGGGTTGAGATCAAGGGATCTCCCATCAACTGCTAATGCAATTCTAGGCTGTGGCAAGAGAAGTCCAGGGTTGAGATCAAGGGAAGTCATAGCACCACACTATTCTGCCTAGGTCAGACCCCACCCGGAGTCCTGTGTCCACCACAGTTTAAGAGGGATAGTGGCAAGCTGGAATGTGTGCAGAGGTGGGCGGCCAAGATGATTGAGGGTCTGGAAACCAAGCCTTATGAGGAATAGTTAAGGGCATGTTCAGCCTGGAGGAGACTGGGAGGTGACCTGAGAGCCATCTTCAAATATTTGAAGAGTTGTCACATGGAAGATGGGAGCAAGCTTGTATTCTTCTGCTCAAGAGAGAAGGATCTGAACCAACAGATTTTAATGACCAGAAAGGAGATTCTGTCTCAGCATTAAGAAGGACTTTCTGACGGTGAGATCTGTTTGACAATGGAATGCACTCCCTTGGAAGGTGGTGGGCTCTCGTCATTGGAGGTTTTTAAAACACAGGTTGGATGCCCATCTGTCAGGGATTCTTTAGCTGTGATTTCCACAGGGCGTTGAATTGAATGACCCCCTTTGGTCCTTTCTAGCTCACCAATTCTATGATTCTACAACCAGCCCTGGTCAGCATGGGCCCATCACAGCCCAACATCAGGCGGATGTTTAGCTTGGGGCTTTATGTGAGCGATAGCCCAGGACGTTGGGAAGCAGGGCAGCAGATTGGCAAAGGTCTCTGCCCCGTGGAGCTTATGCCATGACCTTTTGCGACCACCATGCTCAGAACCTGAAAGCCAGCGACTCCATTGATGCAGGTTATAGCAACTTGGATATCCCTAGGGGAGAGAAGCATGGCATACGCAATTATAATACTGGTACAAATAAAAGCCACCCGACCCACCCTGCTAAGCCCTCCCCCTCCCCAAGCCCCAGGCGCCCAGCGCTTGGTCCACAAAATCCCTTTCCCGCTCCACAAAGGGGGGAACAAAATCAGAAGTGCTTTGGTTCTGCTGTCGGTGGGGGGTGAGGGAGAAGGCCTCTGTTGTCAATAGGGTCCGCGTCTCAGTGGGGGGAGCACACTCAAAAGAGTCTTTGCCAGTCTCCTGGCTTCCCCCGAGACAAGTTCTGTGCTTCCCCCGCAACCCCCAATCCTCACTTCCTTTGTTTGTGTGTGTGTGTGTGTGCAGTCCTCTCTTAGTAACATGGCCACCTTCTACTGCACGGTTTGAGGTGACGTGGTGGCCGCTTTGGGCTGCTGCTCCATGGCGGCTTCTCTGCTCTTCTTCCTGGGGGGCTTTTTGATGGGCGTTTTCTTGACCACCTGGTCCCCGGCCACAGGCGTCGTTGGCTCTTGGCTGCCACCGGAGCTGGGCTTTTCCGCCTTTCTGGGCTCGCCGGCTGGCGCCTCCGCCACGGGGCTGATCAGTTTCTGCAAGTTCGGGGAGGTCGGCAGCACGGGCTTGCTGGATTTCTGGCTGCCGGCGGCCACGGAGCGCTTGGCCTTCTGCGGCGGGGTGGGCTTCTCCCTCTGGGCCGGCAGGGGGCTTACCCCGTTCTGCCGTGTGCCCCCATCACCCCGGTTTAGGCTCTGAGTCTTTTCCTTCAGCTGTGCCGCCAGCAGCGTGGCTGCCTCTGAAGACAGGTGGGGGTGAATGACTTCGGAGCGTAGTTTGCTGTGACTGGGGCTTTTGGGGGCATCGCTCCCTTTCCGGTCCGGAGGGTAACTGCCCATCTTCTTGATCACGTTCTGGACAGCTCCGTTGATGTTCTCCATCTGCTCCGCGCTGGCCTTGTGCCTCTGCTTGAGCTTGGACGGGGACAGCTGCTCCCCGGACAGGGAGAGGGCCTTGCCTTCAGGGGAGCTCAGCTCCCTCGGGTGCTTCGGGGCTTTCTCTTTGCCCCTGGCGGCAGGCACCTTGCCATGGACCCCGGCCGACGTCTCGCTGGGGCTCCTCTTTCTCTTCGCCAAGCCCTGTTTGTGCTCCGTCAGGTCAGCCATCCCGATGGCGGGCAGGGAGTTGGACTGGTTGGAGCTGTACTTGCTGTGGATCCAAGAGACTTTGGGCTTTGTCGAGGGGTCTGGCGGAGGGGGCTTGGCTCTCTCCGGCGACGGGGGCTTGGCGGCACTTGCGTTGTCATCCTCGTCTCTGGACTGCTTGGAGAGGCGAGCGATCCGGGCGTAGAGGGCCCCGCTGACCGAGCCAGACCCGGAAGAGGAGCGCTCGCTGTCAGAGGATTTGAGCAAGGGCGTCTCGCTGCTGTCCGCTGGGATGGAGGGGCTCTCTTTCAAGACGGTGTACTCTCCGGCTTCCTCCTCACTGATGGGTGGTGCCACCTTCTCCACTGGGTTGCAGGGAGCGGAAACTCTGTCCTTGCTGTCGCCCACACTCTCTGCAGAGGGAAAGCAGGCGGGGGTCATTAGGGGTCAGTGTGGAGCCATGTTTTAAATATCCCACAAGGATGGAGGACTCTTGTGGCTCTCCAGGTGTTGTTGGGATGCTAGGGACTGACAAGTGTGCATTGAGGAAAGGGGGTCTGGAGTCTGTCTCAGGAGAGAGGGGGCAGTGATTTGTGGGGATCTGTATCAGCCAGCGGGCAAGAATCAGAGACAAGGGGAGATTCAGAGCTGGAGGAAGAGGAGGAAGTTGCAGGGCTGGCAAGTGAAGAGCCAGGTGCTTCCTCACCCTCTCCTGCACCCCTGTCTCCCAGAACCAGGAAGGGATTGAGGAGGGAAGAGCAGAGGCAGTTTCCACGCAGGCATAGTCTCCAGCTGCATGCATGCAGTCCATCAGGAGGTGGTAGTTAACTATCTGCTGTGTCTGGGGTGCACCTGTGACATGGGACTACAGATGGGATTGCTGCAATGTGCTTTAGGTGGGGCTGCTCTCAAAGACGATTTCAGCTGGTTGAAAACATAGTAGCCGAGTTCCTGGCTGGGTTTCTATTTAGATCTCATATAACCCCTGTTTCTAAACAGCTGCACTGGTTGCCAAGTTTGTTTCCAGGTCCAATTTATGGTGCGCATGCTGGTGTTTAAAGCCCAGAACAAACTTAGGCCCCAAATATCTGAAAGGCAAACTCCTTCCGGACAGAGCCTCTCAGTCGTTTCAGCAGAGGGGGCCCTCTTGGTAGTTCCAATAACCTCAGAAGCTTGCGGCTATCTGCAGTTTGGGAGAGGTTTTTCTCTGGGGCAACCCCTAAGTTGTGAAACTCTCATCCCACAGAGGTGCAGCTGCCACGTTCACTGTACAGTTTTTGTTGAGTGCTGAAGATGCACCTCTTTATCCTGACCTTTGGCACTTGAGACGTATATTTTCAGGACTGAACTTATTCTGATGACTTAAAACTATTATTAATCTTTTATTTTAAATAGCTGTGGCTCATCCTGGGCCCTCGGGGTAAGGGCACATAATAAATGATACATCATACCCCTGACTATGCTGATTGGGGATGATGGGAACTGGAGTTCAACCACATCTGGAGGTCATGGGTTTCCCATCCCTGGCATAAATGAAGTTATGAATGAATTATGGAGAGTGCAAGCTCCTCCCCACCTTCTGCTTGAAGGGGGGGCACTTGATCCATCCCCCCCATTTTGTAAGATGTGTTAAGGCAGCCTCTCTCAAACCAGTGGCACTTCTGCTGTTTTGGACTACAACTCCCATCAGCCATAGAGCTCAGGTCCTGCTTTTGGGCTTTTTAGGAGAGGCATCTGGTCAGCCACAGTGAGAACAGGATGCTGGACTAAATATGAGCCTTTGGCCTAATCTAGTAGCCCCATTCTTTGGCTGGGGCTGGTGGGAGTCCAATGGGGGAGTTGGGTGCCTCATTGGTTTTTTTCTACCTGTGGAAATAAAGGACTGGGATCCCAGGAGTTAATTTCCACTGGTGGGAAACTCTCTGCCTGGCAATTATGGTTTTCTGTTTTCTTTTTTCTCCCTCTCTTTTGGAGTCACGCATGTGTGGCCTTAGAATTCTTTAGTCATTACAGGGCTATTTCACGAAGGCCTGCTATTTGCTGCAGAAGGGTTGCGGTGGAGCTGGGCTCAGGCCAAATTCCTTTGCTCTGTAACGATTGCCAAAATTAAAGGAAGAGGGAAAAGAAAGGAGCTCCGCGGCTGGTATAGCAATTTAACCTCCTGGCTATGGTTAGGCTGCAAGATGGGAATGTGGACTTCAAGCATTGTAAGCACTGATGCACCCATCCCAGTTCCAGACAACCCCAGCTCTCTTTTTTAAGGGTTCTAGTCCTCAGTGCCGCAGATGAAAGCTTAGAGATGACATCAGGGTCTGCTGACGTCATCTTCAGAAAATATTCATTGCAATGAATGGGATAATTCCTTAGGTACAGTATGAGAGTCTTAATCTCAGGGTTGTGGGTTTGAGACCCATTTTGGGGGAAATAATTCATGAATTGGAAGGGGTTGGGCTGGATGGTCTTCGTGGCCCCTTGCAACTTTACAATTGTATGAGTCTCTGACTTAAGGTAGGAATGTAGGAAGCAGACAATTGGGCCCATCAAGTTCAGTATTGTCTACACTGACTCGCAGCTTCTTTGCAAGATTTCAGGTGGGGTCTCCACCAGCCATTAGGGATTGAACCAGAGACCCCGTGCAAGCAAAGCAGAAGCTCTACAAGTGAACCCTTCCCAATACTAAGTCTTATACTGAGTCAGACCATTGGCCCATCTAGTGCAGCATTGTCTGCACTGACTGGCAGCAGCTGCCCGGGTTTTAGACAGGGTTCTCTCCCAGCCCTCCCTCGATCAGCCACTGAGGACTGAACCTAGGCCTTTCTGCATGCAAAGCAGATGCTGTACCACTGAGCTACATCCCTCCTCCCCAAAGCAGCCGTATTCATTAATTTAAATGGGTCAACTCTGAATATGACATTATTAGCTACGGCTCAAAATATTTTTTCTACATTACAAATGTTCAGTGTGTCACTTGACTCATCACCTCAACACACACAAGGAAAACCAGATATAGTTATGCTCCGGTTATCTCCCGCTTAGACTACTGCAATGCGCTCTATGTGGGGCTGCCTTTGAAGGTGACTTGGAAACCACAACTAATCCAGAATGCGGCAGCTAGACTGGTGACCGGGAGTGGCCACTGAGACCATATAACACTGGTCCTGAAAGACCTACATTGGCTCCCAGTACGTTTCCAAGCACAATTCAAAGTGTTGGTGCTGAGCTTTAAAGTCTTAAATGGCTTCGGCCCAGTATACCTGAAGGAGCGTCTCCACCCCAATCGTTCAGCCCAGAGACCGGGGTCCAGCTCCAAGGGCCTTCTGGTGGTTCCCTCACTGCGAGAAGTGAGGTTACAGGGAACCAAGCAGGGGGCCTTCTTGCTAGTAGTGCCCTCCTTGTGGAACACTCTCCCATCAAATATCAAGGAGATAAATAACTTTTAAAATACATCTGAAGGCAGCCCTGTATCAGGAAGTATTTAATGTCTACTGTTTTACATTTTTTTATGTGTTGTAAGCTGCCCAGAGTGGCTGGGGAAACCCAGCCAGATGGGTGGGGTAAAATAATAATAATAATAATAATAATAATAATAATAAAAATAATAAAAATAATAAAAATAATAAAAATAATGATAATAAATTGTCCTGGCCTAAAGATCTAGGGTGATGTAGTGGTTTGAGTGTCAGACTAGGACCTGGGAGACCAGAGTTCAAATTCCCACTGGGTGCGACCTCTCAGCCTAACCTACCTCACAGGGTTGTTGTGGAGCTTAAATGAGAAGGGGAAGAAGTACAGTGTGTGCCACCTTCAACTCCTTGGAGAGGAATGGTGGGATATAAATGCAATAAATTAAGTTCAACTAAGTTTTTTACTTTGGAAGAAGCCATGGCAGCAGGGGATGCTGTAAGAAGGTGGCAATTTTTTATGGCAGATGCGCCCGTTGAGGCTCAAAAGTCTGGACTGCCATTGTACTGGGGTTCCCCAGAGCGCTGCCTTTCTGCCCTGCTCACCTTCGTGTGGCACGCAGTACACGGGGCCCTCATCCGTAGTGTCGAAGGATGAGAAGGAGCCCCGGGAGGACCACGAAGGCGACGGCTGCTCCACCACTGATGGGGGCTCAATGAAGCTGCAGTTCATGGTATTCTCCAGGTCATGATGAGCCACTGCAACACAGAGAAAAGGTTGAGAAAGAGGTTCTTGGTCTGCATCTGAAAAAAGCAGGGCTGGATTTAGGTTTGATGAGGCCCTAAGCTACTGGCGGTAATGGGGCCCTTTATATGTCCAGCTGTCCTTTGTCAACAACAAATTGTTGCTGTTTTTGTGCTGAACATATGGTAATTTATGGACCTAATAGGTATCTAAAGCCATTTGCATATAACAAATAGGAGCCTACACAACACAAAACACTGTTGCTGTACGTAGGTTTTATTTTATTTGTTTTTTAATCTTATATTTTGGAAATGTACATCAGTTTTATTTCCTTTAATTGGGGGGGGGGGGCAAGAGAGTGGGGCCCTAAGCTATAGATTGTTTAGCTTATACGTAAATCCAGCACTGGAAAAAAGCAATGAAAAGAAGAACAAGAGGGGGGAAAGTAGCCATGTTGGCTCAGAAGGAAACGAAATCCACACCCGAGAGACCAGATTCCCTTGATTATTAGGCCAACTGAAATCTCACCAAAAATTAGTGTGCAAGCTTTTCAGTTTTCCACAATTCTTCATCAGGCTAGAACAACGGTGGGGAACCCATAGCCCTTATTTTGTGTGTGTGTGTGTGTGTGTGTGTGTGTGTGTATTACTGATTTTTTTTGCTTTTTAATTGCTTTGAGATTCTGTTTTTGTTTTACAATGAAGCAGTGTACACACACACACACAATGTATATACTGCTTGATTGCAAAATAAAAAACAAAATCTCAAAGCAGTTAACAAAGAACAAAAAAAAATCAATAAAAAATATTTAAAGCAGCCAAAAATATTTATTACAGATGTGGAACGGGTATTATCTGGCACCTGTGACAACCACAGTTCCACAGATCGAAACAGTCGAGTGGGCCTATATGGGGGAAAGCAACCTCACAGGTAAACTGGTTCCAAGTTGTTAAGGGCTGTATATACTAATATTAACACCTTGAACTTGCCCAGGTAGCAAGTTGGAAACCAATGCATATCTCTGAGCACAGGTGTTATATGCTGATGAGGCCTCATACCCTCTGCTGGGCAGAGATGATGGCAGCTGTGGACCAAAACATCTGAAGGCCATCAGGTTGAGGAAAAATGGCCTATGGTGCCTTCAGGTTGATGCTGCCCGCAAACACTGTATCCTTCAAAGGTGTTTCATCTCTCATTTGGTTGCTGCTTTTTGCACCTCTTCCAACCAGAAGTTTACATTCAGTATTGGCAAAGTAGCCACATTGGATTTCCTTCCTTCCATGCATTCTAAGAACATCTCTTTAAAACCCCAAGAAAGGGAGGGAACCTAGAATATATCACAAACTCCTGCAACACTTCTTGGGTGGTTCCCCCTCCCTTTTGTACCAGTGCAAGGCATTTGGGATGGATGAAGAGCCCCAAAAGGAGAGAACTCATTCGCATCATGCTCACCCAGAGGCAGAGGCAAGAATTACAGGCCATAGATAAGCATCTATCTGGACCTCGCAGACACTGGCTTCCAAGAGAGTTGAAAGTGGTTTAAGGGAGTGGTGCTGTTTCTCACGGCGTGGAGACATGCACATCCGTCTCTTTTGACCCACTGCAACCTGCAGTTAATGTTTTTGGAATAATACACAAAACCTGCAGAACTTACTCAGCCAGAAGCAAAAGGGGGGTGGGGTCGGCGTATGCACCCATAAATAGCAACCTCTCATTTCAGCTGCTGATGGGAGTTGCAGTCCCTGATTGTTAATTCTTAATATTGTACTTCTTGGTATTTTATATTAGTACTTTGATAGGAGTTTCATTGACAGCATTTACCGTATTTTTTGCTCTATAAGACGCACTTTTCCTCTCCTAAAAAGTAAGGGGAAATGTGTGTGCGTCTTATGGAACGAATGCAGGCTGTGCAGCTATCCCAGAAGCCAGAACAGCAAGAGGAATTGCTGTGCAGCACTCCCTCTCGTTGTTCTAGCTTCTGGCTTAGCCAGGCGCAGCCTCTTCAGGGCAGCAGGGAGCCTTCATCCCGCTGCCCTGAAGAGGCTGCGCAGCTAACCCAGAAACCAGAACAGTGAGAGGGATCACTGCGCTCCCTCTCGCTGTTCTGGCTTAGCCGCGCTCTGTCCCTTCCCCCACCTCCCGCAAAAGCCCCCAAGAGCCGCGCTCCCTTTAAAGAGCCTGGGATGCATCCAGGCTCTGCTCAGCGCTCCCTTCAAAGAATATTTTTTTTCTTGCATTCCCCCTCTAAAAACTAGGTGCGTATTATGGTCAGGTGCGTCTTATGGAGCGAAAAATACGGTACGATATCTGTGTTAATTTTTAGATTGCACTGCTCGGTATTTTCTTGGAATAATAATGATTCTGGATTTTTACCAAGAGTATTTTCATTAACCTCCCCCCACACAATCAGAATGAATGCTCAGTGAAGACCAGGAATTGGGCTAACCTCCACAAAAGCTTCGTGCGACCAAATCAGGTTGAATGTTTGAATAAGCAGGCTGGCTTCGAGGAGGAACCATCATCCTAAACTCAAGATGATTAAGAGAGACCCAGAAGTCCTCAGAAAGAAAAGAGAAACTTTTAATTTATTCTAACAGCAGAGGGTGCCCTCTCCCTTTCTGGCTAAGGACTGCCTCAGGAGGGTTTATGCCGCCTGCTGAATTTGGCTGTCCTAGGAAATGAGAGGGTGCACACAAGGCACTGAAGCTTATCCACAAGAGATAAGAAAATTGGGCTGAAGGGGATGTGAGGTCAGGGGCAGCAATGCTTCTGAATCCCAGTTGCTGGAAACTATAGAGCAGGATATATTGCGCTCCTGAATCTCAACATCAAAAAAACTAAGATCATGGCCATTGGGCCCATCACCTCCTGGCAAATAGAAGGGGAAGAAATGGAGGCAGTGAGAGATTTTATCTTCTTTGGCTCCATGATCACTACAGATGGTGACAGTAGTCACGAAATTAAAAGACGCCTGCTGCTTGGGAGAAAAGCAATGACAAACCTAGACAGCATCTTAAAAAGCAGAGACATCACCTTGCCAACAAAGGCCCTTATAGTTAAGCTATGGGTTTCCCAGTAGTGATGTATGGAAGTGAGAGCTGGACCATAAAGGCTGATTGCCGAAGAATTGATGCTTTTGAATTCTGGTGCTGGAGGAGACTCTTGAGAGTCCCATGGACTGCAAGAAGATCAAACCGATCCATTCTTAAGGAAATCAGCCCTGAGTGCTCACTGGAAGGACAGATCCTGAAGCTGAGGCTCCAATACTTGGGCCACCTCATGAGAAAAGAAGACTCCCTGGAAAAGACCCTGATGTTGGGAAAGATGGAGGGCACAAGGAGAAGGGGACGACAGAGGACGAGATGGCTGGACAGTGCTCTTGAAGCTACCAGCATGAGTTTGACCAAACTGCGGGAGGCAGTGGAAGACAGAAGTGCCTGGCGTGCTCTGGTCCATGGGGTCATGAAGAGTCAGAAACGACGAAACATAAACAACATATTGCGCTCCAGTCCTGATTTTGGGTTTCCCATTGAGACATCTGGTTGGCCACTGTGAGAACAGGATGCTGGGCTAGATAGGCCATTGGCCTGATCCAGTAGGCTCTCCTTATGTTCCTAACTGATATGCAGAGGCACACTGCCTGCAACAGTGTAGACAGAGCACAGCCGTCATGGATAGGCTTTTCCTCTGAATTTTTCTAGCCCTCTTCTAAAGCCATCCAAACTGGTGGCCATCCCTGCTTCTTGTGTGAGCAAACGCCATAGTTTAACTCTGTGCTTTGTGAAGAAAAACAACAACACACTTTTTTTTCATCTGTCCTGAATCGTCCAGTGTTTATCTTCATTGGATGGGTCCTGTATGGTTCTGGCATTATAAGAGAGGAAGGAAAACTCTCAGCAGCTGGCATAATGATGGATTCTGCCGAAATGGCTAAAATGACCGGAAGAATCAGAAATCAGGAAGATCAAAACTTTAATAAGGAATGGGGGAAATTTATAATTTATCTTAAAAACCATCGTAAACAGTTAAAATTGTTAGTAGGATTGGGATATCACTTGTAGTTTAAGGCCGAATTCTGGACACAATGGTGATGTAAAAGACTTGGATCATCATACAAGATGCAGGAGGAAATTATTAATAATAGGACCCACAAAGGGGAGGATGGAAGTTCAGGAGATTGCTTGGAATCTTGTTTTTATGATTTACGTTTGATTATATCTCTGTGGAATTTTAATTTGGGGGAAAAAACAAACAAATAAATTTAATGGAAAACTCCCGGCAGCCACTTTAGAGTGAGAATGAAGATGCTGGGAGAACAAATCGCCGCGCACTCGCACAATAACATGGCCGCTGAGCCTTCCCCTGCCGCATAACGCTTTGCAAACGAGACTGGGACCTGCCTGCCTGAACAGCCCCTGGGCCAAGGAGACCCCAAACAGGGCGGCTTCTGTGCAGAGTGAGCCCCCCAAGGGATGCAGAGTTTCCTGTAGCTGCTCAGCACTCAGACATCTGGTTCTGGGTGACTCGTTGCCAAATAAATCATGCCAAGAGCGGCTGCAAAAGCGCCGCGCTGCTTCCTGCGGGCCTCTCGCTTCCAACCAGCGCCACCCCCCCTCCCAGCCACAGCGTTTCTCCCCACAGATCCCCGTTTTCACTGGCCTGCCTCCTGGGCCCGCGCTAGTCAGAGGAGGTCTCAGCCCTTGTTTCCTTAAAGTTAGAGAAGAAGGGCAAGGGCGGGTGGTGGGGGCAGGATAGCAGTACATCCGCTTTGCATGCAGAAGGTCCCGGGTTCAAATCCTGGCATCTCCAGGTAAGGCTGGGAGAGACACCTGAAACTCTGGAAAGCTGCTGCCAACCAGTGTCAACAATACTTGGCTAGATGGACCAATGGCGTGACTCAATGTAAGGGAGCTTCCTGCCTCCTTATCGACATAGATATCTCCAGACTTGCCATATGTTCACAAAAATTCTTTGGATAAGATACTTAAGTTTCCTGTAAATATATATTTTTTCATCAGGCTGATGTTTTTAGTTTCCTCCGAAATATTTATTTCTGTTGTCTATGGCTCTGGTAACCATTTTTGGTTAGATTACTGCAATGCATTATATGTGGGGCTGCGCTTGAAGATAGTTCGGAAACCGGTGCAGAATTCGGCAGCCAGGTTGGTCACTGGGGCAAGATGGACTCTCGAGCACATCACACCAATTCTGGCCCAACTGCTCTGGTTGCCAATTAGCTTCCAGGCCGAATTCAAACTGCTGATTTTGACCTATAAAACCTTACGTGGCTCAGGACCCCAATACGTTAAGGACAACCTCCCCCCATACAAACTGGCCTGGACATTGTGTTCATCATTTGAGGCCATTCTTCATCTGCCTCCTCTATGGGAGGTCCGGTGGGCGGCAACACAAGGAAGGGCCTTTTGAGTGGTGGCTCCCCACTTGTGGAATGCTCCCCACAGGGAGGCTTGCCTGGTGCCATCATTACAAGTGCCAGGTGAAAACATTCCCTTTCTGCCAGAGCTTTGGTTTTTAATTTTTCTGCAACCTTCTTCAGTGGGTGGAATGTTTTAATCCTGCCTTGAAAAAACAAGAATGTCTTTTTAGATTTTTCTATGCTTTGTTCTATACCGGTTTTAATGTATGTGCTTGTTTCTATATGTATTGTAAGTTGCTTTTGTAAAAAAAAAAGGGGGGGAGCAACTGATAAATTTAATAAATAATGTAAACCTATAGTTTTCATAATATTAAATTTCCATTGTTTTTAATATTTATACAGCAGTAGGCATCCACAATCCTTTTAACTCTTTTGGTTTTGTGCCTTAACTTCCAATGAAGAACAGTTTCAGCATTTGGGACTTTTTAATTTAGAGAAAAGCCAAGTACGAGACGACATGATAGAAGTTTAGAAAACGATGGAGAAAGTGGAGAGCGAAAATTTTCCACAATGCTAGAACTGGTAAAAGGTAAAGGACCCATGGATGGTTAAGTCCAGTCAAAGGTGACTATGGGGTTGCAGCACTCATCTCGCTTTCAGGCCAAGGGAGCTGGCGTTTGTCCACAGACAGCTTTCTGGGTCACGTGGCCAGCAGGACTAAACCACTTCTGGTGCAACGGAACACAGTGATGGAAACCAGAGCGCACAGAAATGCTGTCTACCTTCCTGCCGCAGCGGTACCTTTTTATCTACTTGCACTGGTGTGCTTTTGAGCTGCTAGGTTGGCAGGAGCAACGGGAGCTCACCCCATCGCAGGGATTCGAACCGCCGACCTTCCGATCGGCAAGCCCAAGAGGCTCAGTGGTTTAGACCACAGTGCCACCCGCTCCTCCCCGCTAGAGCTGGTAGACATCCAGTGAAGCTGAATGTCGGAAGATTCAGGACAGACAAGAAGGACCAGCTTCTTCACACCTAGCATAGTTAAACACCCTCCCACTGTAAGCAGTGATGGCTACCAACTTGTATGGCTTTGAAAGAGGATTGGATAAATTCATGGAGAATGGGGCTTCCATCGCCTACGGGACAGGATGGCTATGGCTCTGTTTTCCACAGCTGGAGGAAGTAATGTTTCTGAAGATCAGTTGCCAGGATCTGCAGGAAGGGAGAGAGCTCTTGTGCTTACAGGTTTCCCAAAAGAGGCATGGTTGGCAACTGTGTGAACAGGATGCTGGACTAGGTGTGACTAGATGCACTGACTTAAGCCAGCAGCCTCTTCTGATGCTCACCCTATGGCATGGTCCATAGTTGCGGCACCAATGTTGAAGCCTTGTTGCTGGATTTGCTGTTCCAAAGAGAAGGCTGGCACCATCTTCCATTTCCTGCTCAGGGGAGGAGGAGGAGGAGCTGTCGGGCAACCCACCACCTCCTTCTCCTCCTCACTTCCCTTCCTCCTCCTGGGGAAACCGAAAGGCCTTCATAGTGAAAGCGCCAACAGATCAAAAGCAGCTTTGAAGGCCACAGGAGAGCTGACCCGCTCCGGGCAGAACAAGCAACTTCCTCAGCTACTGCATAAACAGAGACTTCCTTCGCCGTCAAACAGGAAGGTTAGGCCTGTTCAGGAGTCTGCTTCTACCTCACAGAGCCAGGGCAAGTGGGCACAAGATCTGGGAAGGGCACTCCAGGGCAGACCCTGTGCGAGCCTGGAGGTGGGTGGTGTTTATGCATTGAAGGGCATTTTTTTAAAGCTCCCAGGTGCTTGCAGCTCATGCTTTTTTTGGCTTGCTACGAGCGACGAGATAATCACCTCCCCCCAGTGAAACCTCCATGTGCCAGGGCAGTCTATCTTGGAACACCAGACGCTGGAGACAAACACAGGAGGGCTGTTGTTGCACACAGAGGAGGTCATAGTGTGTGAGAGGGAGAGGCAGGCAAGTTGCTCTCTCACGCAATAATCTTGCTTGGGCTGCGCTGCTCAGCTCCATCCCAACAAGGGGATGTGGCAGCCCTTTCCGCCATTTTGAAAAAGAACTTTTGGTCAATGTGTTGAGACTTTCTAGCGGGATAAGAGCGTGCCTTTCTGGATGCATCCCATGGCAGGACAAAAGTACAGTGGTACCTCGGGTTACATTCGCTTCAGGTTACATACGCTTCATGTTACAGACTCCGCTAACCCAGAAATAGTACCTCGGGTTAAGAACTTTGCTTCAGGATGAGAACAGAAGTCATGCTCCGGCGGCGTGGCGGCAGCAGCAGGAGGCCCCATTAGCTAAAGTGGTGCTTCAGGTTAAGAACAGTTTCAGGTTAAGAACGGACCTCCGGAACGAATTAAGTACTTAACCCGAGGTACCACTGTAATCTCATTTCAGAAAATGGCCTTGACGATACCTAATGGTAAAAGTCCGGAAACCTAAATCTATTATAAGTAGCTGTATGAACTAATAAAAGTAATTCATGTGCTGGTTCTGGGCACCCAGGAGGCATGCAAGATCCTGCGCCTCCTTGCTTGGAGCACTAACACACAGAAAACCCACAATGTGTTGCTCTATCTAGCTTAATATTGCCTACACTGACTGGCAGCAGCTCTCCATGGGTTTCAGGCAGGGAACATTGGAGGTGCCACTGGTGGCTGAACCTGGAACCTTCTGCATGCAGAGCAGACGCTCAGCTACTGAGCTGCTACGGCCCCTTCTGCAGATCGTGGGCTGGCTTCTTAAAAACTGTGCCAGTTTTGCAGAAAGAAAGGAGGGGTGGGGAGGGAAGAAATGGAAACCTAAAAGGGGTGAGTGGGAGAGATGGTCCGCTTGCCCTGGTCTCCCAGTGGCTCCAGTCTGCAACCCACCCCCCCGGCCCTTGACTACAGCTGCGCGGGACCTCAGCCCTCCGCAGTCAGGGATGGATAAAAAGAACATATGGCGAAGCCTGCATGCCAAGGCAAACAAAGGAGCCTGTGACCAAAGCATTTCATTCCAGTGAAATAACAGCCCCTCTGGCAGTCGAGCGAAGCCGCGGGAAGGAAGAGCAGCCTCCGAGAGGGTGTCCGCAGACAGGAGAGAGCGAGCAAATGCAAATCGACTTCTTCATGTCACAGGGTCTCGGCTGCGAGGGTGGGTTGTCTGCTTTCCAAAGTGGGCGCGTCCCCTGTGGGGTAGTGGGATTCCCTGGGGGTGCGTGTGTGGCAAGGAGGGGCAAAGGGATGCCGGAGGCGCAAATGACTATCACAGAACCATAAAGACTAGAGTTGGAAGGGACCTCCAAGGGCCATCAAGTCCAACCCCTTGACTTTTCCTCTACGCCAGACATGTCCAACCGTCCGTCCGCGATCTACAGGTAGATTGCCGGAGTGCTCCAGGTCCATCGCTGGATTAAGAAAAGTTATCGCCTGTTTGCTCCTGATCAATCATGCCGTGCCCCACCCCCGCTCTATGTCCCACTGCCGCTGCTACAGCTGTGAAAACTTGTCTTCCCAGCGGCGGTGGCATAGTGGGGGAATGAGGGAGGGCGTCGGACTGTTTAGTGATTGATTTAATGCAATCCCACCCCCGCAAATAGCTCAACAACAAAACCTCAACCACTCTTGTCAATCCTTCCTAAAAGGCTCAGCAACTCTGGGCAATGCTCCCCCCCTAAAAAGCTCAACAAATCTGGTCTCCCCCCCAAAAAACCCTCTTGGCAATGACAATGGGTAGATCATTGCCAGTTTTATTATACAGTGGTACCTCAGGTTAATAACTTAATTCATTCTGGAGGTCTGTTCTTAACCTGAAACTGTTCTTAACCTGAGGTACCACTTTAGCTAATGGGGCCTCCTGCTGCCACCGCCATGCAATTTCTGTTCTCATCCTGAAACAAAATTCTTAACCCAAGGTATTATTTCTAGGTTAGCGGAGTCTGTAACCTGAAGCGTCTGTAACCTGAGGTACCACTGAACTGGGAGTAGATCGCAGTCTCTAGAGAGTTGGACGTGTCTGCTGTATGCTAAAAACTCTCAAACTCTGCAAGCTTTCCTCGCCGGGGAATCGCTCCATCCCTTGATGGTTTTGGTCAAACTTTCCTGAACCTTTTCCAACTCGACCTCAGCCAGGTAGCCAGGAGGTGAAGTTTCCCACACCTGGTGCTGATGCTGTTTTCCTGCATGCATCTTCATCCTCATCTAGGGGGTCTCACACACGCTGGGAGGAAGTGTGGAACTGTTCCTATTGCTTTTTCTTTAGTTTAGGTAAAGGTAAAGGGACCCCTGACCAGTCCAGTCCAGTCACAGACGACTCTGGGGTTGCGGTGCGCATCTCGCTTTATCGGCCGAGGGAGCCAGCGTACAGCTTCCGGGTCATGTGGCAGCATGACTAAGCCGCTTCTGGCGAACCAGAGCAGTGCATGGAAACGCTGTTTACCTTCCCGCCGGAGCGGTACCTATTTATCTACTTGCACTTTGATATGCTTTCAAATTGCTAAGTTGGCAGGAGCAGGGACCGAGCAACGGGAGCTCACCCCGTCGCGGGGATTCGAACCGCCAACCTTCTGATCGGCAAGCCCTAGGCTCTGTGGTTTAACCTACAGTGCCACCCGCGTCCCGTTTAGTTTAATTTAGCAGACAGCAAAAAGCATTGAGGAGAGGGGGCGGGGAGGAGCAGAGCTGCTCTGAGCTGGGCTATCCGCTCTTGCATAAATGGTCTTTCACCCCTTTGGGAATAATAATAATAATAATAATAATAATAATAATAATAAATTTATAAGCTATCCATCTGACTCATTGCCCCAGCCTCTCTGGGCAGCTTCCAAGAAATTAAAACACAGTAAGACATCGAACATTAAAAGCTTCCCTATACAGGGCTGCCTTGGGTGTTGGACTGTATAGTTTTTTTTATTTCCTTGACATCTGATGGGAGGGCATTCCACAGGGCGGGTGCCACTACCGAGAAGTCCCTCTGCCTGGTTCCCTGTATAGTTGGGGGTTGGACTGTATAGTTTTTTTTATTTCCTTGACATCTGATGGGAGAGCATTCCACAGGGCGGGTGCCACTACCGAGAAGGCCCTCTGCCTGGTTCCCTGTAGCTTCGCTTCTCGCAATGAGGGAACTGCCAGAAGGCCCTTGGAACTGGACCTCAGTGTCCAGGCTGAACGATGGGGGTGGAGACGCTCCTTCAGGTATACCGGGCCAAGCCCGTTTAGGGCTTTAAAGCTCAGCACCAGCACTTTGAATTGTGCTTGGAAACATACTGGGAGCCAATGTAGATCCTTTAGGACTGGTGTTATATGGTTCCAGTGGCTGCTCCCGGTCACTGATCTAGCTGCCACATTCTGGATTAGTTGTAGTTTCCAAGTTGCTTTCAAAGGAAGCCCCATGTAGTGTGCATTGCAGTAGTCCAAGTGGGAGATAACCCGAGCATGTACCACTCTGGCAAGACTGTGGAGGCACGTAGGGTCTCAGCCGGCATATCAGATGGAGCTGGTAGACAGCTGCCCTGGATACAGAATTGACCCAGAAGCGCCTCTGTCCAAACCCAGGGTCCTCTTCGCTGATTCCGGCAGAGGCAGCAGTCAGCAGCTCCAGCCTCCAAAGTCAGCAGAGGCCAAGAGGGGAGCCTCTCACTGCCCCGTTTATACAAAAGCCCCAAGCAGCAGGGAAGTGCCAGGAAATGGGGAAACACAGGCCCATTCAGCCTGGGCCTCTGCTTCACAGAAGGAGCCTCTATTCAGAGAAGAGGGGGGGAGACTCAGCCCAGCGGCGCTTCTGTAAACACAGCGCTTGTTATCGTTTCAGTGGAGAAATGGTTGCTGCTGCTCTGAGCCGCAGGCTTTTCAGCGCCAGGGATGTACCACTGTGCTCCCCTGACCGAGATGGGGGGTGGATGGGGAGGCAGCTCTCAGAAAAGCTGAGTGCAAAAGAATCCTGACCAGCTTGAAATTGCTTAAAAGACGGGACAGGATCATGTTTCCACCAGAGCTGAGCCAAAGATTTCACAAAGTTTAATATTTGGAGCAAAGACTGCAGCAGAGAGGTCCATTACCTCCCCCTTTTTTTTGCACATTTCCCATGCCTGTTTGCAAGCCATGGTTTCCCTGGTCTGCTGCTGCTTTGTAGACATTAACCCCTCCCCAATAAAATCTAGAAAGAGCTTCCTCACTGCTAAAATCCCAGCCAATCAGGGACCACATAGTGATCACGTTGACATCACAGTGCCAAGCAGCCTGTTTTATGGTTGTATTCTCACCCATATTTAAAACACGGCTGCCTCAACTGTGGTTTGTTCAAGCCAACAAACCATCAATCGCCTCGCAGACCAGCCATAGTTTCTGTTACCAAACCCTCTTGCCTTGTGCCTCTGTAGCTTGATTGAGTATCTTGGTGGAGCAAAAAAACAACAACCCCAACCCCCCCCCTCCACAGTCAGTTAAGGCTGACGATGTACTCTGACATAACACAAAATCGTAGCTAGGAACAAGCCATGTTTTGTGAGATAACAGCAAACCATGGCTTCACACTGTGGTTTGTTGCAAAAAAACCCCCCTGATTAATTCTACCAGGCTGGGCTTAGCCATTCAAAGACACGACACAGGGGCGCTGACTGAACTGTCAGAATGGATCCTGACACATTTGCAAACCTAGTTTAAGCCTCTGTGTCACCGTGACAAGAATTCTGAATCTCACACGCCTGTTCATCATTCGTTTGTCTACACCGGGATCGTGATGCCACACAGTCAGACCTGCAAACCATGGTTAGCTATGGGGCCCTTAACAGATGTGGGGAACACATAATAATGGAGCTTGTGGGGGGGGGAGACAACCGGAGCTGGGACTTACCTACAACCTTTGGCAGCTTCTGGCGGCGAAGAGGGATGCGTGGAAGTTTCATGCTGATGCGGCTGAACCTCCCACAAAGACGCCTTGGGGATTTCTTATGGGGTGGGTCCTGGTTTGAGCTGCAGGGGAAGATGTGCATTTTGGGTTAGACTCCTGGCAGAAGTTAACAGCGTGGATGCAGATGGACTGGGACCAGGGTTGTCCTGGTGGGTAGCATGACGAAGGCCCCCATCACTTTGCTTTACTGTCCTCTGTTAGGGTTGCCTCCTCTTTCTGCATTGCAGAAGCTTGGAGTAGATGCTCCTCCAAGTCTACAATTCTTTGATTCTCCTGGCACTGTGTCTGGTCAACATGGGCAAGCACAATGAGGAAGTAGTAGAGTCTTGAGGTGGCAGAAGGGGCTATACTACTTCCAGCCTTCTCACATGTGAATCCTTCCTATCCTCTTTTAAACCCTTCCAATTTGTCAGACATCACTGCCTCCTGTGGCAGGGAGTACCATATCTTTGTAAATTTATTTATTTGGTTTTTGCAAATTAAAATTTTTCAATCACATATCAACATACAATATATAAAAAAAACAAGATTCCACAGAATCTCCTGGACTTCCCTCTTCCCCTTTGTGGGTCCTGTTGTTAGTCCTTTCCTCCTGCATCTTTTATAATAAACCAAATCTTTTTGCATCTCCATTATACCCAAAATTCACCATTAAAATACAAGTGGCAGGGAGTACCATAATTTAAGAAGCTACGCGAAGGACTCAAATTTTATCTGTCCTGAATCTTCCAACATTCAGCTTTGTTGGGCATCCGCGAATTCTAGGTTTTTTTTTAACCTTTAAAGCCCTATATGGCCTAGGACCCTCGTACCTACGGGACCGCCTCTCCTGGTATGGCCCACAGAGGAACTTACGGTCTTCAAACAAAAACATCCTGAAGGTCCCAGGCCACAGAGAGGTTAGGCTCGCCTCAACCAGAGCCAGGGCTTTTTCGGCTGTGGCCCCGATCTGATGGAACACTCTGTCGCAAGAGACTAGGGCCCTGCGGGACTTGACATCTTTCCGCAGGGCCTGCAAGACAGAGCTGTTCCACCAGGCCTTTGGTCAGGGCACAGCCTGACTCCCTCCTTTGGCAATCTTCACAGAACTTTGGCCCAATGGTTGCCATCAATTGGATTTGAATTACTTTTATAATGAAATGATTTTAGAATGTTGTACTATTTTATTGTTGTTAGCCACCCTGAGCCCGGCTTCGGCTGGGGAGGGCGGGATATAAATAAAATTTATTACTATTATTATTATTATTATTGTGATGAGAGAGGGAGGAAAACATTTCTCCGCCTGCCATGTACAATTTTATTCATTATCATGTGGCCTCTTGCTCACCTTTTCTCTAAACTGAAAAGTCCCAAATGCAGACACCTTAGGCAGAAGCAGACCAGACCCCCTCAATCACCCTCCCTCCTGCCCAGCCTTGGTAGCCCCCCTGCCAATGGGCTCAGGGTTCCCAGCACTGATGCTTACTCCCGGGAGTGGTCTTTCTTGCGGCAAACGCAGCAGCAACACAGGAGGGAGAGGAGGAGGAGGAGGAGGAAGGCCAAGAGGGCACCGGCTCCAATGACACCCATCCGCTGGTTAGCCTCTGAAATGGAATCAGGAGAGAAACAACACCCCCCCTCTTGTTTTATTTTATTTAATGGAATTTGTACATTGCTCCATTGTAAAAAAAAACAACTCTCAGCAGTTCCCAGAAATAGAACATGCATTGAAATGATTGATCAAAGTCAGAGTTACAAATTAAGCAGAAACAACAGCCCCCCCATATTAAAAAATATATAGACATTATAAAATAAAATTAACCTATTAAAATGCATGTCAGCTTTACACATCCAGGTAGGCTTGCTGAAATAAGTAAAATAGGTTTTTGGCGTTGAAAAACAATAACACAGTGATGGCAGCTACCTGATTGTAAAGGGGCAGGGAGTTCCAAAGTATAGGTGCTGCCACACCAAAGGATTAACTCCTTGAACATGCAAAACAGACACTGCAGTTCTAAGTGGTTCGGCAGGCATATAATTCCAACTGCTTTCAGTTTCTCAATCTTAAATTCAGTTCTCCACATTTCCACATCAGTTTTTTTTTTAAATAATAAGAAAGTCCTCATGCAAATTCAACAGCATTTTAGAATGTCTTTCTACTTAAACTACCGTATTTTTCGCTCCATTATGACGCACTTTTTCCCTCCTAAAAAGTAAGGGGAAATGTGTGTGCGTCTTATGGAGAGAATGCAGGGGGGAGGCAGGCAGGAAAAGTCCCCAAGAGCCGCACACAAGCTCCGCACGGCTCTTGCGGGCTTTTCTCCAGGAGGGAGAAGGGACTGACGCGGCCAGTCAGTCCTTTCTCCCTCCTCGTAGAAAAACCTGCAGGAGCCGTGCACTCCTTAAAGGGTGCGTGGCTCCTACGGGCTTTTGCGGGAGGTGGGGGAATTGCCATAGCCGCGCGCACCCCCTCTGGCCAGGAGAGGCTGTGCGCAGCTATGGCTTCTTTAGCCGTGTGCAACCTCTCCAGCTGGGAGAGGCTGCACGCGGCTATAGCAGAAGCCAGGACAGCGAGCGGGATGGATCCTGCTCGCTGTCTTGGCTTCTTTGCTCTTTGGGGCTGGGGGGGGGCGGAACCCGGGCTTCCCCCGGCAGCCCCAGAAGTTCTGGGAGAATCGGACAGACTGCGCGCAAAAAAAAAAGAAAAAGATTTTTTTTCTTGATTTCCCCCTCTAAAAACTAGGTGTGCCTTATGGTCCGGTGCGTCTTATGGAGCGAAAAATACGGTACATTTTTGGACTCAAAATTGCCTAACGTGCATATTTTGTCAAAACAGTCCCCCCTAATATGATGCATTTTCCTGTGTCACCTTCACGAACTTATGCATTTATCCGACTTGGCTGGAGAACTGCATTGCAAAATTCAGAGAAGGGCAAAAATTTGTAGTGTTTCGACTCACCTATTATTATTATTTTTTAAATAAAGGGTGAATTTAGTTAAGTTTGGATGCAGATGGAATCAGTTTTATCTCTCATCCCTAGTTAGGTAGGAAGGAAACTAGTCCCGAGCTGTTAGCCTGCAGAGGGAGCCTTGCCATAGAACTCTGCAGACTCCAAATTTCCCAATGGGAACAGTTCGGAACTAGCAGCCCAGGACTCGACTCAGCTGATGGATGCTGGCGATGTCTGTTCCCCCAAGCCACTTACCCATGTGGCAAGATCCGGTCAGTGGGTCGCAAGAATCTTCGTGGCACTTGCAGGATTCTGAACAGTTCACTCCATAGTGACCAGTTTGGCACGTCACGTTACACCTGTGGGATGTGATACATAAGTAGCAGTCAAGTACAAGATTCCTTGTTTGCCTAGAGTGGACATGCAAAGGGGATGTTTGTTCCAGCCAGTCGAAAACTTCCTGTTTCCTCCTGGGCTGGGACATACTTCCTTTTGCATATGACTAGAGGTGGGCGTGACCTTACCTGTGCAGGTAACAAAAGCACAAGGCACATAGCACACACTCTCTCTTTGACTTCCTCTCTTCATTGGAGCAGCTTTTTTCAGAGGACAAAGAGACTATCTCCATATGGGATAGACTCACATGTATACAGTGGTACCTCGGGTTACATACGCTTCAGGTTACATACGCTTCAGGTTACAGACTCCGCTAACCCAGAAATAGTACCTCGGGTTAAGAATTTTGCTTCAGGATGAGAACAGAAATCGTCCTCCGGCGGCGCGGCAGCAGCAGGAGACCCCATTAGCTAAAGTGGTGCTTCAGGTTAAGAACAGTTTCAGGTTAAGAACAGACCTCCAGAATGAATTAAGTTCTTAACCCGAGGTACCACTGTATATCTGTAACTAAATCTGCTTTCCGGGATCCAACTGTGAACTGATGATGATGTGAGTAAACTTCTTTTATATACCTTAAATAAGATTGTGGCGTGTTTATTCTTTTAATAGGGAAATAAGGGATCTTATCAGGAATCTATATTGAGAAGCTTAAACTAGCTTGCAACCAGCTACCCACTGTGTGTTTAAAGGGGAATGTTAAAACTCTGCTAAGTTATAGAACTTGCTAGCTCAAGTTAAACAATATATCCTCTCCTACTTCCCTGAACATTCCCACAACACCTGAGGAAGGAATTATCAGGTGAGTGGGGGAAAAGAGAGAAAGAAGGCAGGCAAGTCACCCTTTGCTCTCCCCTCCAGAAGCAGGGGTGGCTATTAAATCACCCAAGGGTGTCCTAATGGAAAGCATATTGGAATGTCGTCGTTTCCAGCTGGTGCTGAAAGACAAAATAAGGGTTAGGAGAGACAGAAGGAATTGGAATGATAAGACCATGCCTGGCCATGAGGACTAGAAACATGCTGAATTTCAGAAAAGAAAACTGATAAGGCCACAATCCAGCCTTCAAGGTCTATGATCACCTGTCTAAAGCTGACCAGAGGCAGCATTATTCTCAATTTACAATGGGGTGGAAGGTTCGTAGGCTAGGAAGGACTTGCTCACAAATTTATTGACAGCTGCACGAATTATGATAGCTAGGAAGTGGAACGGGCAAGCAGACTATAAAATGGAAGAATGGTATGAAGAGGTGTGGGATATAGCTATTGATGATAAATCAACATGTGCCATTAAGGTAAGATGGGGGGAATAAGCAGGAGAAATGATTTTGAGGAGATACGGAGGGTGTTTGTAGAATTTGTACTGTTAAAACAGAAAGGGGTCAAACCATCGCAAGGGGTGTTGAAATTTTGGGAGGTTGGATGGTTACAATGGAATGGTCTTGGTGGTGGTGGGGCATTTTTATTCTTATTTATGTATGATTATTACTTTGTCAAACATAATAATAATAATAATAATAATAATAATAATAATAATAATAGTCTATGATCACCTGCCTGTGTGTAGGAACGGGTTACATCCCAATTAAATGTGTGTCAGTTCAACACTAGGCCACGGGTTGCTCCCTTTCTCTACAGCAAAGCTATGCAAAGACAGCTGACAAAAAATGAAAAGGCATTCTGGAGAGGTGCTGTCCGTCAGTGCAGACAGTATTGAGCAGGTTGCGTGTGAAGGCCAGCTGCTGGGAATCAGCAGTGGGGAAGGGGCTGCCCTCGTGTTCAGGTCCTGATTTTGGGCTTCCCATAATGGGTGTCTGGCTGGCCACTGTGAGCAGAGGATACTGGGCTGGTTGGGCCGCCGGTGTGATCCTGGTGGGCTCTTCCAATGTTTTTAGGGATCAAGGTTCTGACTCAGTATAAAGCAGCTTCCCATATCGCTACGATTCCTTTATTGTATCTGGTTGGCGCAACATCTCACAAAAGGTTGGGTGGTCACCTGCCAGGGTGCGATTGCCACATTGTGTGGGGTTGGGCTGTGTGGCCCGTGGGTTTCCTTTCAGCTCTGCAATTCTGTATTTCAGCTAAAGGAAGGTCCAAGCTGCAAAGCTGCTGGCTGAATGTCAGATGAGAGCAGCTGCTGCCATTCCACAGCCATCAGATTCTGTCAGGGATTTTCATGCTTCTTGAACATCCAAAGCTCTCCTGCTGGCTAGGGTCCCTGCCTCCCCGGTGCCACGTGCCTCTTGGCAGAGAAAAGGGTAGGGGCCACTCACGGCCCGCAGAGCAGCTGCAAGCAGGCCTGCTCTAAAGGACTTCTTCGCACAACGTGGAATTTATTTGCAGAACCTGCTGTCACAAGAAGTGGTGACGGTCAGGAGTCCAGGTGGTTTTCAAAGCAGGATATGCTGTGGGCTAAAAGGATGCTTTTAGTCCAGGGATGGAAAGAAGACAAAGTCCCTACCAGAGAGGAATGGCAAACTAAATTGCTGGAATATGCAGAAATGGCAAAAACGACTGGAAGAATCAGAAATCAAGAGGACGAAAGCTTTCACAAAGAACGGGGGAAAATTTACATTTTATCTGTAAGCAAATGAAAACATCAGCAGGTTTTTAACAACACTTGCAACGTTAACAAAAGCTTTGGATAATAAATTGAAAAAATAGAGGAGGAGATAATAAGCAGTTGAAAAGGATAACATAAAGATCCATGGAGGGAATTGGGGGGGGGGGGAGTCTGAGAGTCAAGAGAATCTTGCATTTTGAGTGTAATTGTGATATTGTTGGAATTTTGTAGTTGTAAAATCAAATAAAATGTTTATATATATAAAAAACAAAGCAATCTTTGCTCACCCGGCGCGCACCGGATGTTCTGGACTTTGTCTCCCATCAGCTCCAGCCAGTATGGCTGTATGGTGCGGGGTTGATGGGAACTATAGTTCAGAACATGGTGCTGAATGGAGAGCTGCTGCCAGTCAGTGTGGACAAAACTGAGCTGGGTGGACCAATGGTCAGATTTGGCAGAAGGCAGGTTCTTATGTTCCCATTTAAACCAGGTTTTTATTCTGAACCATGAGGACTAGAATCTTGGGGAGGCATCCAGTTAAATAGAGCTGCTAACGCAGTATTTCCCAAACTTGGGTTTCCAGCTATTTTTGGACTACAACTCCCAACATCCCCAGCTAGCAAGACCAGTGGTCAGGGATGATGGGAACTGTAGTCCAAAAAACAGCTGGAAACTCATGTTTGGGAAACACTGTACTAGTGCAAAGATCTTTGCTTGCACAACAGAAGTTCCTCTCCCTCTCCTCCCTCTTTGCCACCCCAAATCTGCTCCAGAGGGTTGAAGGAACACCCAAAACAAATTTGGAGGGTCATCGGAAGAAGGACGCTCAGCTAAAATGGAAGCAGGTCTATTTAGATGGATATTGCCCTTTATTTTAAGAGGAAAGAGAGTAAGCCCCAGGGTCTTGTGTTATTGTTGTTGTTTGTTCTAGAAAGGGGCAATATATATATGAATTCTGATCAATAAATAAACAAAACAGCAGCTTGGCACAAATTCTGTTCAGTGCAACGGCTGCATGACGGGAAGCAATGAAACCATCCGTAGGAGGTCTGTGAACTATCCTTTAGCTTTTTGTGATGGAAAAACAACAAAAAGCCCAAATCGAAACAAAGAGCCCTCTTCAGACAAACGGGACACTTTGCTCTGTGTTCCTTTCCAAGGAAGCTGTGCACAAATCCCTGCTTCCAACTTTCGTGGTGGAGAGGAGAGAACCGCAAAAGGAAGAGAGGAAGAGCTTTCGCTTGCAAAACAATCACACCACGGAGCCCGTTTGAACACACAGTCATTCTCAGTAGCCAGCAAGCAAGCTGATGAGTAACTCCTGACCAAATCTTATTTTTAGCCTCCTCAGGGCTTTCCATTTGCTGACGCAGCTCTGAAGCCACGCAGGTTCCTCCGTTTGCCAGGGCTGCTGTGGGCAACAAACATCAGCATCTAGCCTAGTGTCAGCACTGACTGGCAGCCACTCTCCAGGCAGGGATTCTCGCCCAACCATACCCGGAGATGCCAGGGACTTAACCTGGGACCTTCTTTATATAAATCTTCCCCGTCACTGTGTAAGGCAGCCTTATACTGATTCACATCATTGGTCCCTCTACCTCAGTATCGCCAACTCTGACTGGCAGAGGCTCTCCAGGGTTTCAAGCAGCGGGTGCTCCCAGCCCTCCCTGGAGGTGCCATTGGGGATTGAACCCTGGTTCTCCTGCATGCAAAGCGGATGCTCTAACCACTGAACAATGCTCCTCCCGAACGCTAGAATTGCACGTGCTGGATACGAGGACTCTTAACATCGCACAACCACAAATGGAACGGCTCTCATCCGGTGACAGACAGATGACTTTTGGCACATATACTAAGATCTGAGAAAGTGGGGGAGTTCCCATATACACTTCCAGAGAGAAGTGCTTGCTGTGCTGAAAATATACCAAGTATTTGTCAAGAAATGGAAAAATGCAAGCAAGGCCCCGCTGCAGATTGGAGCTGACAGAGGAAGTGATGAGTAATGGTCTGAAGGCAAAACTTGCAGAGTGGGCTGTGCTAACAGAGTTAAGGAAGAAGACAGCGAGACGCCCCGGTGGAACTACCCCCCCCCCAAAAAAAAACCCTGGTATGGTTCACTGAGCCCAAATTGAGCCTTGGAAACAGACTAAGCAGCCAAATGTAATCAGGCCAGCTCTCGGTAGAACAGCAGCAGCAATAAAAAGCTGGTTTCTCCCTTAATTCCCAGGAGACGAGAAATCCAGATCTGGAGGCAGAGAGGAAGAACATGATGCCGTTTTTGAAAATGTCTTTTAAAAAGATTTATATAATTGGGAAATGACTTGGGATTCAGTGGGCAAACTTGCAATTTGCAACTTTGCAATGTTTCCAGCGCACAGTTAAACTGCGGAACTCACTGCTACAGGAGGCAGTGACACTCACTAACTTGGATGGCTTTAAAAGAGGATTGCAGGATAGGGCTATCAGTGGCTACTAACCATGATGACCATGCTCTGACTCTGCAGAAATACTTCCGAACTTAAAAATGGTAAGCGTAATGCTGGTGGTCAGCAAAAGAGGTTCAAAGACTCTCTCAAGGCAAATCTTAAGAAATGTAGTATAAACACTGACAACTGGGAAACACTGGCCTGCAAGCGCTCCAATTGGAGAACAGCCTTTAACAAAGGTGTCATGGGTTTTGAAGATGCTCAAACTCAGGATGCAAGGGAGAAACGTGCTAAGAGGAAGGCACGCTTGGCAAACCCTCACCGTGATCAACTCCTGCCCAGAAACCTATGTCCCCACTGTGGAAGGATGTGTGGATCCAGAATTGGCCTCCACAGTCACTTACGGACTCACTTTTAAAAAATGGAAGACAATCTTACTCGGCTATGAGTGATCGCCAAAGAAGAAGAAGGATGCTGGACTAGATGGGCATTGGCTTGATCCAGCACAGCTTTTCTTATCCTCTAAAAAGGTAAAGGGACCCCTAACCATTAGGTCCAGTCGCAGACGACTCTGGGGTTGCGATGCTCATTTCGCTTTATTGGCTGAGGGAGCCGGCGTACAGCTTCCGGGTCATCTGGCCAGCATGACTAAGCTGCTACTGGTGAACCAGAGCAGCACACGGAAACGCTGTTTACCTTCCCGCCGGAGCAGTACCTATTTATCTACTTGCACTTTGATGTGCTTTCGAACTGCTAGGTTGGCAGGAGCAGGGACCGAGCAACAGGAGCTCACCCCGTCACAGGGATTCGAACCGCCGACCTTCTGATCGGCAAGTCCTAGGCTCTGTGGTTTAACCCACAGCGCCACCTGCGTCCCTCTATCCTCTTATCCTCTAGAAACTAAGAAAACGGCACCGGTGATTTTCTGGGGGACACTTTGCTCTTCCGAGTCATCTTTAAATGAGTGCGAAAGAAAGCAAAGTGCAGAGGGTCAACTGTGAAAACACTTTCATTTCTTTCCCTGGGTTGGTGTTTGTTGGGGGGGGGGGAAATCACGAGATTTTTTTTTTAAAAAAACCCCCAAAACAAACACATTATTATGGCCTGGGAGGAAAAAGCCCAATGGCAGCACAACTGATTCTATAGGGCGCTTTTTGTTTAACTTTTCACTTTTTTCTGGTTACCCCTGACCCACACCAAAACCTGGCAGAATAGACTTAAGAACATAAAGGCATCAGAAGTGCCTGCAGGATCAGGCCAGTGGCCCATTTAGTCCAGCATCCTTCTCTCGCAGCGGCCAATGTTCTCATACATGGAACGGCTTTTCCTTTCAAAATTGCTTTGACGTACCTTATGAGAAGCAATTCATAAATGGTGTCAAATAAGTGATAACTGTTTTGTGAAATATCAGCCGAACAATTGTAGAAAGGTTTTTTTTGTTTTGTTTTGTTTTTTTACAGTGGTACCTCTGTTTAAGAACTTAATTTGTTCTGGAGGTCCATTCTTAACCTGAAACTGTTCTTAACCTGAGGTACCACTTTAGCTAATGGGGCCTCCTGCCGCCGCCGTGAGATTTCTGTTCTCATTCTGAGGTAAAGTTCTTAACCTGAGGTACTACTTCCGGGTTAGTGGAGTCTGTAACCTGAAGCGTCTGTAACCTGAAGCGTCTGTAACCCAAGGTACCACTGTGCTTCATTTAGTTGAATTTGTAATATTTAGCATTTTAAACTTATTGTACACAGATTCAAAGAGTTGGAAAGGATCCTGAGGATCATCTAGTCCAACCCCCTGCTATGCAGGAATACGCAGCTGTCCCAAAATGGGGGTCAAACCTGCAATCTTGGCATTATCAGCACCACGCTGCAACCAACTGAGCTATCCAGGCTGCTTCTTTGTGAAGCAGGAGGCAAGTCTGTACAGGAATAATCAAAAGAGCAGGATGGAGGCCCTGCACTGGGGTGCTGAGTCACTTACCAAATTCCTTGGAAGCCTGGCCGGCAGAGGCAGCGCCCCGACTCGAAGTCGCACGTGCCATTGAAACAGTCGTTGCAGACAAAGGCGCAGTTCTCGCCGTAGGTCCCATTGCGACACTTCGTCTCACACCTGGAGGAAGTTCAAGATGGTGAGCGGGCAGTGGGGGGCAACAAGAAGAAACAGCCACTCTCAGAACAGCTTTCAGCACTACAGCTGTTGTACGTTTCTGAGCGCAATTCAAAGTGTTGGTGCTGACTTTTAAAGCCCTAAACGGCCTTGGTCCAGTATACCTGAAGGAGCGTCTCCACCCCCATCATTCTGCCCAGACACTGAGGTCCAGCGCTGAGGGCCTTCTGGTTGTTCTCTCACTGCGAGAAGTGAAGCTACAGGGAACCAGGCAGGGGGCCTTCTTGGTAGTGGCACCCAGCCTGTGGAACGCCCTCCCATCAGATGTCAAGGAGATAAATAACTATACAACTTTTAGAAGACATCTGAAGGCAGCCCTATTTACGGAAGTTTTTAGTGTTTGATGTTTTGTCACTTTATTATTATTATTATTATTATTATTATTTGATTGGGAGCTGCCCAGAGTGGCTGGAGAAACCCTGCCAGATGGGTGGGTACATACAAACAAGCCATACTGCAACCAACCAAACACAACCAAGCAAACCCTGGACCCTCCAATCTCTCACAACACCAATAAAAAGATAACTATATAAATAAAGGACCGACCCACGAGACGCTGACATAAAAACCCTGCACAAAGACTATGCTATAGAATGAACAGATAATCATCCCCCAACCCCCTCTCTCTTCTCTCTTTCCCCCCAAAATCTATGACAATAGTGCCCCATTCCAAATGTAAACAGATTGTAAAAAAGACCCAAGATCTGAACGTGGAGGTGCTATACTGTGTGTACTTTTCCTTATTTGTTTGTTTGTTTTGTATCCGAAAAATATTTAATAAAAACTTTTTTAAAAAAAACCACAGCTTTTTGCTTCTGCTTCTTAGCTTACTGACACGGCTTTTTCACATTACCATCTCCAACAGTGCATTGCCTTGACCACAAGCGGGTGGAGAACAGATCAGGATCTGCCGTTAGATCTCTGCCTGAATTGCAGTAGATTAGTAAGTGTTTCCAGCTCTTGATAACAGCAGCAGCAACATTTATATATTCCTAAATCGGGCTGCCGAAATTGAGAACCAAACGTCGGAAGATTCAGGATGGATTTTTATTTATTTATTTTGAAAGCACTTCTCCCCGTGCAGCACGTAGTTAAACCGTGGAACTCGCTCCCACAGTGACGTTGGGTGGCTTTGAAAGAAGAATGGACAGATTCATGGCGAATTTGGATAGCTATTAGCCATGACGGTTATGCTCCAACCATGGAGGCAGCAATACGTCTGAAGACCAGTCACTGGAAACTGCATGCTGGAAGGGAGAGTGTTCTTGGGCTTGGGTCCTGCCTGCCTTCTTGGCTACTGTGCAAACAGTATGATGGACTAGATGGGCCTGACACTCTTTTTATGTTCTTAACTCTAACTAGGAGTGGACGTTTGTATCTCCACTTGAGTACCCAGCTTTGGTACTGAAAACTAATTGTTGGGCTCAGAATGTGCTCAGAGCAACTCTGCACTTGAATCCTCTCTGTCTTTTAAGGTTATGCTGAATCAGGCCACCTAGTCCAGTTTCCTGTTCTTACAGGGGCCAACCAGATGCTTCAACGGGAAACCCCAAACCTGCTCCCCCCCCACAGTTGGCATTCAAAACCATCCTGCCTCTGACAATATGCATTTTGCACCAGGTGTTTCAGAGGTTGGAAATCTAATATAAAACAAAGTAGAATTGGCAAGCCTGAAATCTGCCTGCCATAACCATCAGGCAAGCAAGTACAGAGTGTTGGCATGCAGAGGGCCGGGAGGCCAGCCATTCCTTTCCAGCCGTCCCGCTGCGAAGACCATCACCTCTGCTCCAACGTAAATCAGCAACCTGGGCTTATTCAGCCAGGGCACACAATCAGCAGATCGAACTGTGCACACAGAATAGGTGTGAGGCTTGTGGAAGCATACTACAACTACAGATTTATTAATCATAAATCAGGACAAAGAAACATGTCGTCTCTCTCTCATGTCGTCTCAGAGAGAACAGCTAAAAGCAAAAGCTATCCACACAACAGAAGTTCCCAGCATACTGTGCTGGAATGTAAACAGACATTTGACACGTAACAATTCCATGTCTGTTCCTGAAGGTGGAATGGAAATGTCAACACAGAGATCATTATTACTGTTGTTGTTATTGTTATTGCTCTACCACTGCACTGTGGTAATAAAGATGGAGGTAGGGCAACTCACAGCCTGGTGCTCTAAGGGCCCTTGACAAGCCCATGCCAAACTCCCTTGCTAGACTCACCTGTCCCCGATCCAGCCAGGATTGCAGTGGGAACACTTGCCGTTGATGTGGTTGCAGGTGTGGCCGTCCTTGCAGGGAGGGCAGGTCTGGTCACAGCCCTCCCCGTAGAAGCCTGCCGAGCAGATCTGGTCGCACTTGGTGCCGTTCCAGCCAGCTTCGCATGCCAGGCAGCGCCCGTCCGCAATGGTGCAGGGCTGAAGCTCCTTGCATTGCCCACACCTGGAAAAGCCACAGAGAGGCAGGTCAGTCAGGAAGGAGATCAACAAAGCCCTGCAAAGCAACTGGTCCTCCCCAAGTGTAGCAGGCTGGGGTCACAGGGGGTGCAAGGCCTGTTACTATTTCTGCAGCAGGGTCCCACCCTCTAGCATCCTAGAACTGTCCAATGAACATGAAAGGAGAGGGTTTTTTTAGCTACAGAGAAGACGCCTCCCCTTTTAGTACTGATGGGCGCCAATCAGAATTTAAGGCGGTGAGTCAGCCACTGAAGATGATCTCCTAGGGCAGTGTTGGCCAAACTTGACCCTCCAGCTGCTTTGAAACTACAACTCCCATCATCCCTAGCTAACAGGACCAATGGTCAGGGATGATGGGAATTGTAGTCCCAAAACAGCTACAGGGCCAACTTTGGCCACCACTGGCCTAGGGTGGCTCTGGAGAAGATGGATGGGGTGAGCCAAGGAGGACTTGTTCTGTGCACTTCAAAAAGCTAAGCATTTAGGAACATGGAAACCCACAGTTTCCAGAGATTGGGCTAGATAGGTACCTTTTATCACATGTGGTGGCCGTGTAGGTAATAAAAGCATTCTGGGAAATGATATATAATGAACTGAAAAAAATGTTTAAAATAACTTTTGTAAAACAAAACAAAACAAAACCCAGAAGCTTTTATATTAGGAATTGTAGGTACCAAGATGGCAAAAAAGCAAAAAAGACTTTTTATGTATGAGACAACAGCAGCATGGATGCTACTAGCCTAGAGATGGAAGTCCCTACCAGAGAGGAATGGCAAATTAAGCTGTTGGGGTACCCCAAAATGGCAAAACTGACTGGAAAGCTCAGAAACCAAGAAGACAAAAACTTTAAGAAAGAGTGGGGGAAATTTGCAACTTATTTAGGAAGCCACTGTAAGCAGATAAAAACATTAGCAGGATTTTAATAACACTTGTAATGTAACAAATGCTGTGGACAAATATGGAGAGATATTAATATATGGATTGCGAAACAATATGTAGCTGAAGATGGACCCACGGAGGGGAGGGGGGAAAGTCAGGAGTGAGAGAAATCTCAATGTATGGTTATCTACTTGGTATTGTTATAACTTTGTGTTTGTAAAATCAAATGAAAATTATTTCAAAAAGAAAAGAGAAAAAAAGATGGGACCTTTTTGGCCTGAACCAGGTACAAAGCTCTTCTCACATTCTAGTTTACAGGAAAGCTAAATAGTAGTAGTAGAAGAAGAAGAAGAAGAAGGGGAGGAGTTTGGACTTGATATCTCGCCTTTCACTCCCCTTAAGGAGTCTCAAAGCGGCTAACAAAACCAGAGCACTGATCCACCTTTCGGTGCATGAGTTTCCGCTAGGCATGATTTGCAATTTCGCCACACATGTTTCGCAGGGGACTCTTGGCTGGGGGATTGGACCAGATGATCTTTGGGGGTCTCCTAAGGTTCTATGAGGGACGCGGGTGGCACTGTGGGTTAAACCACAGAGCCTAGGACTTGCTGATCAGAAGGTCGGCAGTTCGAATCCCTGCAACGGGGTGAGCTCCCGTTGCTCAGTCCCTGCTCCTGCCAACCTAGCAGTTCGAAAGCATGCCAGTGCAAGTAGATAAATAGGTATCACTCCGGAGGGAAGGTAAATGGCGTTTCCGTGCGCTGCTCTGGTTTGCCAGAAGCGGCTTAGTCATGCTGGCCACATGACCTGGAAGCTGTACGCCGGCTCCCTCGGCCAGTAAAGCGAGATGAGCACCGCAACCCCAAAGTCGGCCACGACTGGACCTAATGGTCAGGGGTCCCTTTACCTTTACTAAGGTTCTATGATTCTATGACCGCTGCCCCCCTGCCTTACCTCCTCCGGCAGCCTTGCCCGTAGAATCCGGCCGGGCAGGGCTCCCTGCAGAACTTTCCCCGATATCCCGGCTCGCAGGTGCAGGTCCCGTCCAGCTGGTTGCACTTGCCCATGTGGCACTGGCAGTAGCGGTCGCAGCGAGGGCCGAAGGTGCGCCCCCGGCACTGGCACCGGCCCGTGAACTGCTCGCAGGGCGAGTTGTTGCAGGAGCACTGGTTGTTGCAGCTGCGGCCCCACCAGCCCGGCTGGCAGATGCAGGTGCCCACCTGCTGGTCGCACTGGGAGTTGAGGCTGCAGTAGCAGGCGCTGGAGCACTGGGGGCCCCACCAGTTGGGCTCGCAGGTGCATTTGCCGGTCTTCTGGTCGCACTTGCCGTGCTTGCACAGGCAGGCGTTCTCGCACTTGGGCCCCCAGCGGTTGGCGTTGCAGGTGCACTGGCCCGTCACGTCCTCACATTGCCCATTGGGGTGGCACTGGCACATCTCCTTGCAGTCGGGGCCCCAGAACTGGCGGGGACACTCTGTGGGGGGGGGGAGGGATGGGGGAGGATGACGACAACAAGGTTAGCGCAGGGGCTGGAGGAGCGGGAACCTGTTTTTTTTTAAAAAAATCGAGACCGAGGGCCGCATTCGCTCCTTCTGAGGGCCACATGATGTGGTGGGCAGGGCCACAGGCCAAAGTAGGCGGAGCAACAGGTGTAAATGTAGAGGTGTGTACAGTGCGTTGTATACTGGGCATGACTAAGCAAGGCCTGTGAATTTCAATGGGTCTACTCTGCGTAAAACGTGGATGACTACCACCCAGTAGGAGAGTCTTGTTTAAAATATATTTGATGTAGTTGTGTTTTTATGAACAGTATAATAATATTAATAATAATACCCACCCATCTGGCTGAATTGCATAAATCGTCTTATTTAGAAGGCAATTAATAAATCAATGATAATGATAATAATATAAAACATTCAATACAGCCCTTAACATAAAGGTTTTGTTGTATATATATTATGGAATACGGCTTCATATACAGTGGTACCTCTAGTTGCAGACACAATCCGTTCTGGAGCGCTTCTTTGCATGCGCAAAGCGTGCAGAACGCTTTTGAGTATGCGGCGAAACCCGGAAGTGTTTGCCGCAACCCGAAAATCCACAACATGAAGCGAACGCAACAAGAGGTATGACTGTATGTGTCATTTCAATTTTTAAATGTTCAGTATATGCATATTCAACCTTGAAGAATTGAAATGTCACAGGTCAACTCTGAATAGCCCTTTTATTTTATATTTAACAAAAATGAGATACCATGTACCAGAACAGAAGGCCTCTAAGCCGTTTACAGTGGACCGCTTAGTAAAACCACAAAGGTGCTAAAAATACTGTCAATTTAAACACACACACACACACACACACACACAGCTTCCCCTCCTCATTTAATTCCCACCAACCACCCTGTGAGGCAGCTCAGGCTGAGAGGCAGTGACTGGCCTTCAAGCCTCTCCTGGGTCCTAGTATGGCGCTGTAACCACTACACGGCCCTGTCCTCTGTACTCACTGGTTTCACAGTTGGCACCAAAGTAACCATGGCGGCAGCGGCATTCGTTGGGCCTCACGCAGACCTCATTGTCCTTGCAGGTGAAGTTCCCCTCGCACGCAGCTACGAGGGGGAGAGAAAGAGAGGGGATAATTGAGAAAATGGGGACATGTGGAACTGACGGCTGGCGGGACACCCGTGCGAAGAGGGTGGGAGCCTCTCCCCCACCCTTGCGCACCCAACAGAGGTGCCACTAAGCCAGAGACCCCCTAGCGGGTGTCAGCAGGTGACTAACTTGGCTGGAGTGTCAGTTCAGAGAGGGATGAAAGGCAGCTAATTGGAAGAAACACACCAAACAAACCTTGAAGGAATGCCTACAGAAAAGGATGCCGGTTCGCCAGCTATGACCATTCCTACACTGGCATAGCCTGGCCTCAGCTGCCCATGCGCTAGTCACCTTCTGCTTGACTACTGCAATGTGTTGAATGTGGGGCTGCCCTTGAAGACGGCCTGCAGGCTGCAGCTAGAGCAGAATGGGGCGGATAATGGTGCATATTCTTGAAGGGAACATGCATCGCTAGTCCTGAAAAGGCTGCACTGGCTGCCGCTGAACTACCAGGCCCGATTCAAGGCCTAGTACGAGCGTATCAAGTCCTAACTGAATTGGGGCTTGAGTACCTAAATGGGTGCTTTCCCCAATATCAACCATCTTGGACCCTACGATTGGTAGGCGAGGCCTCGTTGGTGCTACCCAGTTGGCACTGACCCCCTGACAAGACCTTTTCAGTGGTGGCTCCCTCTGTGTGGAACACCCTTTCTGGTGAGGTGCGCCTATCTCCCTCAGGACTGGCATTCAGGAGACGTTTTAAAACATTCCTGCTCACTCAGGCATTGGGTGTCTGCAAGAAACTGTTCCTGACAAACCTTGAGAGAATGGCTTTAAACCTTTCGTAATAGCGCTTTAAACTGTGTTTAGAATGCTATTAGCAGTGCCTAGGTTTTCAAGAACGTATTAGCGCGGCTGGGTCTGGGTCACTCTGGGCTCCTGAGAGAATTAATTACCAGAAACAAGTTTACTTGGGAGTATGTCACATTGTGTTAATTGAGGTTTGCTCCCGAATAAGTGTGCACAGGACTGTCTTCCTGACGCTGGAGTCTCTGTGGAGAAACTCCAGCAGATAATAGCAAAGATGGACTGCAATGAATAAATGCAGGGGGTCAGACTAGATGGCCCCTGGGGTCCCTCCTTCTGACTCTTGGTTAAAAGAAGGTAGCTCACTTTGGGCAGACAATGCAGCGTTTTAAAATGCAAACTAAGAGAGTGACAGGGACAGTTTTGGAGGAAGGTTTTTAATTTGATTTGGTATTCTAACTTTTGTCAGTGTTATAGTAGGGTTGTAATTTTTTCTAGATATGACTGTTTTATAAACCACTTTGAGGCATTATTTCTTTTTTTACTATCAAGCAGTGAATCAATTTTATGAAGCAAGCAAACAAACAAACAAAAAACCTGAGCGAAAAATAAAATAGGCTTTGGGGTGGTAAAATGGCTCCAAGTAAAACCAGGTGGGGTGTGTCAGAAGCTAGAGAGTTTTTAGCTTCTCTGGGTTACTTTGAAAACCAAACACAAGACTTTTTTATTTTTTACCTCAACAGGTTAATAATAGTGGGGTAGGCAAACAAACACCACCCTATTTGTAGAAATCGGATGGTTGTTTGGGATGTGTTTCGTTTACAGAAGAAAAACCGAAAATGGAAAGTGGTTGAAATTTGGGGGCGCTGTTTACTATTGCTCAGCCAGGTGACAGGAACCTAAAAAGGTTGTGTTGTAGGGCTAGTTCACTTACAGCATCATCAACCTTCCTTCATGAGGGCATGGGTCTTTAGCAGGCTGCACACTGAAGATTTCCAGACTAGGTCACTCATGGGACGGGAGACTGCAGGCAGAGGCAACCCCCCCTGCCCCAATACAAATGGAAGAGGCTGCTGAGAACACCATCCTTCCTTCAGGTTTCCAATTCAAGCCTTTGCTTCTTAAGAACCAGACTAATCCCTGAGAAAAGTGCCTCATTTTCCCGCCTGGGAACCACCACTGAAAGGACATTGACAGGTACACAGTCCCCACATGGGAAGGAGGCAGAAGGTTCCAGAAAGCCCAAAGACGGACAGCAGAAAGAAATCTAGAAAAGCACAGAGACATTATTAGGCGGCAGCAGGCTAAGAGTTTAGCATGCACACAGGAAGATTTTTTAAAAATAAAAAACCCCCACAGAAACCCAGAGAACACCCAGTTCCCAACACCTGTGAGATGGCAGGCAAAGCACTTACTTACCCCATGGACGGTGGAGACACTACTCTGGCCCCAGCGGAAGTGCTTTGGGTAGGATCCGGCCAAGGCGCTACAGACATGCAAAGGAGGAGTTGAGGGAGGGGGGAGTTAGTCAGAAGAACTGTGAGGTATTAGTTGGTTATTCAGCCTTTTAAATACACAGGCAAAATGCAGAGGAGCATCGCTAGCTTTCCCTTGTGGCAACGGTTTCCAGAGGGGGCGGCAAAAAAGAAGAGTCCTGGGGCACATTAAGGACTAAGCAATTTGTGACGGCACAAGCATCTGGGGACTGCTGCCCCTTTCATTTGTGAAAACTTAAGCCTTTTTTTTTTTTTTAACCAGCCTTCAGCTGTTTTGGACTAGAACTCCTATCTGCCCCATCAGAAGACCCTGCTGGATTGGGCGAATGGCCCACCAAGCCACGGCAGCTAGACTGGTGACTGGGAGTGGCTGCCAAGACCATATAACACCGGTCCTGAAAGACCTACATTGGCTCCCAGTACATTTCAGAGCACAATTCAAACTGTTGGTGCTGACCTTTAAAGCCCTAAACGGCCTTGGCCTTGTATACCTGAAGGAGAGTCTCCACCCCCATCGTTCAGCCTGGACACTGAGGTCCAGCTCCAAGGGCCTTCTGGTGGTTCCCTCCCTGTGAGAAGTGAGGTTACAGGGAACCAGGCAGAGGGCCTTCTCGGTAGTGGCACCCACCCTCAAGGAAACTACAGTGGATGCTTGAGTTGCAAACGTGATCCGTGCAGGATACACGTTCGCAACCCGCAGTGTTCGCAACCTGCAGTGGCACGTCTGCGCACGCGCAGGTTGCGATTTGACGCTTCTGCGCATGCACGGCAGCTGAAACCCAGAAGTAACCCTTCTGGTACGTCCGGGTTTCGGCGGTCCGTAACATGAAAAAACGCAACCTGAAGTGTCTGTAACCCAAGGTATGACTGTATCTGACTTTTAGAAGACATCTGAAGGCAGCCCTGTTTAGGGAAGTTTTTTATGTTTGATATTTTCTCATGTTTTTAATATTCTGTTGGAAGCTGCTCAGAGTGGCTGGGAAACCCAGCCAGATGGGCAGGGTATGTATGTATGTATGCATGTACCGGTATGTATGTATGTATGTATGTATGTATGTATGTATGTATAAATAAAGGAATCGTAGAATTGTAGAGTTGGAAGGGACCCTGAGAATCATCTAATCCAACCCTCCGCAATGCAGCTGTCCTTACGGGGAACGAACCTGCGACCTTGGCATTGTCAGCACCAAGCTCTAACCTCCTGAGCTATCCACTTAGTCCAGCACCTTGTTCTCACAGGTCCCATAGGTCTGTGGGAAACCCACAAGCAGGACCTGAGTGCAACAGAAACTCTTTCCTCCTGTGGTTTCCAGCAGCTGGTATTCAGAAGCATTGCTGTCTCTAACTGGGGAGGCAGAGCACGGCCCTTGTGGCTGGTACCCATCAATAGCCTTTTCCTCCATTAATTGGTCAGATTCTCTTTTAAAGCCATCTAGGTTGCTGCCCATCTCTGCCTCCTGTGGGAGGGCGTCCCATAGTTTCGCTCTGCCCTGAGTGAAGGCCTTTCTTTTTTCTGCCCCGAACAAACATCACCAGAGGAGGCAGAAGCCCCTCGGCTTACAGCAGGTCTGCTGCCGACCTGGAGATTTGAACACTGAGCTGGACAATTGCACAGATGCACGTGCGCACGCACACACATATATGCACACACACACACACACACACACACAGGCTGGCTGCTCCCGAGGCCAGGAGGCGGCCGCTGTTGATCAGCACCGAGAAATATTACTCCACAGGAAAAGAAGGGGGGCCTCAGCCAACTGGAACGGCGGCGGATTTACTAGGCCTCCAAAAATAGCTCCTCCAAGTTTCCCAGCAGCGCCTTGGGACTCCAAGTCCCGAGAACTTGTGCAGCCTCCCTCTCCCCGCTCGGCCGAGTTCTACAAAGGATTCCAGCCGGAACCTGGGGATGCCAAGTTCCAGCGCCGAGAGGGGACCTTCTGGCTACGGACAACAGAGAACAGTGAAGGAACGGTGGAGAAACTGCTGCTTCCTTTCTTCCAGCTTTTTGCCTGGGCAAGCGACAACTCTGCTAAGAGTGAACGGGGGGGACGGACCCTGCTCCCCCGTACCCGGGCTATTCAGGGGGCATTTGTTTATTTATTGTACTTCCACCCACCCCTTTTGTCCAAGTGGCTCAAAGTGGCGTACCTGGATCTGCTCCCCTTCCTCATTTAATCCCCAAAATGACCCCAAGAGGCAGCGACTAGACCCCGAGATCACAGGCTTCGTAGCCAAGTGGGAGGATTCGAACCCTGGTCTCCCAGGTCTTAGTCCGACACTCAAACCCCTACACCACCACTGGCCTTGCCTCGGAGGAGCCTGATTTAAAATAAGGTGTATTGGGGGATTTGTTTACAGTGGTACCTTGGGTTAAGTACTTAATTCGTTCCGGAGGTCCGTTCTTAACCTGAAACTGTTCTTAGCCTGAAGCACCACTTTAGCTAATGGGGCCTCCCGCTGCTGCTGCGCCGCCGGAGCACAATTTCTGTTCTCATCCTGAAGCAAAGTTCTTAAGCTGAGGCAATATTTCTGGGTTAGTGGAGTCTGTAACCTGAAGCGTATGTAACCTGAAGCGTATGTAATCTGAGGTACCACTGTATTTACTGCATGAATAAATTGCATACATGGAATTGTATCTCACCTTCTTTTCTCCCAGGAGCTCAAGGTGGTATGCTGGCTCCCCCCTCCCCACTCCTCATTTAGCCCCCACAATAACCCTGTGAGGTAGGTTAGGCCAAGAGGCAGAGACTGGCGCAAAGTCGCCCAGTGAGCTTCATGGCCAAGTGGGGATATGAACTCCCAGGTCCTGGTCTGACACTCTAACCACTACACCACCGCTGCCTCTCACATATCCTCGTTTGTTCCCTCAGGTGGTCAAGAACCAGGGCTCCACGCCACGCACTGGCAAAATTCAAATTCTGCAGCATGAAAAGCTAATTCTTCAAACTGCACCAATCATGTGAAATTTATCCACTTTCTACCAGCAATCAGGGTAAGAAGCAAGGAGCTAGAGAATACAGGGCAGTGAAGCTGCCCCTCCCCCCATGTAAACCACCGAAAAGCTTCCTCTGCAACCTATCTGTCTCCTGAGACTTCTCCCAGGTGATGCCCTCAAATTTCCAGGCAACTCTGGGCAGTCATGAGGACTACTAACTTGATTAAACATGGCATGGAGAAAACAGATGGAGCAGTTTTGTGTGGTTAGTGGATCAGGGGGACTAGGCTATTCCCCTAAATGTCTCCAGTAAGTATTAAAGCATAGCGCCTCCTTTCCCAAAGCCCGGGAAGCTTCTGCCCACATAGGGAGGGAGGTGCGATGCTCATGCGAGCAACATCCCCTCACAAGCTGCTGCCTCTGGCCCTCACTGATCCTCTGTGAAAAATTTCACTGCATACCACTGAGATAGAGAAAAGTTTTCCTCTCTGTCTTGCAACACTTGAACTCATAGGCACCTAGTGAAGCTGGGCGTTCTACCAAAAAACCATATCAGAACGTCGCCATTTTTAGATGATGGCAAAAAGCAGAACGTGGGTTAGGAGAGAAAGAGGGAAATGGAGCAATAAAGCCATGTCTGGCCATGAGGACTGTAAACATGCTGAGTTTTTGAAATGAAAGCTGACACACCCAGGGTTTTCGTCAAGTTGCTAGAGTCTGCATTTCAAAGCCCAACCCAACCTTCATGGCATGGCTACAATCCAATTCCCCCCCTCCCAGCCAGAACTCGCCGGAACTGAGTTCCAGCACCTCTCAGGTGGGCACCATTGCAAATATAACAAGGGAGGTGTTAACGGTGAATTCTGGCACCTCTTTTTTCTAGAAAAGGAACACTGATGATCACCGGCCTGTGTGTAGGAAGGCATTAAAGGTAAAGGGACCCCTGACCATTAGGTCCAGTCGTGGCCGACTCTGGGGTTGCAGCGCTCATCTTGCTTTATTGGCTGAGGGAGCCGGCGTACAGCTTCTGGGTCATGTAGCCAGCATGACTAAGCCGCCTCTGGTGAACCAGAGCAGCGCATGGAAACGCCGTTTACCTTCCCGCTAGAGCGGTACTTATTTATCTACTTGCACTTTGACATGCTTTTGAACTGCTAGGTTGGCAGGAGCAGGGACAGAGCAACGGGAGCTCACCCTGTCACAGGGATTCGAACCGCCGACCTTCTGATCGGCAAGCCCTAGACTCTGTGGTTTAACCCACAGCGCCACCCGCGTCCCATTGTAGGAAGGCATTACATCCCAATTAAACAGCATGACAATCCAACACAAGGCTACAGGCTGCTTCCAATTCTCTATAGCAAAGCTGTGCAAAGACAGAGCCATCGGAAAATTTGCAAAGGCATTCTGAAACCCAGGAGAGCTGCTGCCAGTCCGTGCAGACGATACTGAGCAGTAGTAAGAGTTGACATGAGAGAAGATTGTTAAATTTTGCATGGCATGGAGAAAGCTACCAGAGAAAAGCATTTCTCATTCTCTCCTGACTCTAGAAGTCATGGGCAGCCAGTGAAGTTGAATGTTGGGAGATTCAGGACAGACCAAAGCAAGGGGTTCCTCACACAGGCTCTTCTTTGGCCCATAGCTCCCATCAGCCCTGGCAAGCACGATCCAGTAGCCAAGGATGATGGGAATTGTAGTCCTACCTGGAGGGGCAAAAGTTCCCCACACTTGATATGAACTACCGTATTTTTCGCTCTATAAGATGCACCCGACCATAAGACGCACATAGTTTTTAGAGGAGGAAAACAAGAAAAAAAATCTTCTGAATCTGAGGCACCTCCTCTCCTTGCGCTATGCATTCGAGCCCTCCTGTGCCTTGCCAGGGGCTGCCACTGCTGCTGCTTCCAGCACGTCAAGGGGCTTGCGAGGAATAGAGCCAGGCAGCCGGCTTAGGGGGCAGCCGGGCTCTCGGGTAGGCTAGAGAGAAGCCCAAGGCAGGTGGGGAAAAGAAGAGGAAGAGGAAGGAGGAGGGAGGATCAGGCTAAGGAGCCGCCGGTCTGTCTGCCCATAAGGCTCCCTTCCGTCCCTCATCTTGCTTCGCTGGGAAGGCAGCACAATATGAGGAGCTGGGCAGCTCTCCCTCTTGCTCTGCTGGCTTCAGCGATAGCTGCGCAGCCTGCATTCGCTCCATAAGACGCACACACATTTCCCCTTACTTTTTAGGAGGAAAAAAGTGCGTCTTATGGAGCGAAAAATACGGTGCATGAAAATGAAACAGGCAAAGTAGATGGAGAGAGAGAGAGGGAGGGAGAGAGAGATATCGGTGGAGACAAGCGAACGGCATCTCTGTTTTGTTCTGACTCGGGACAAGGCGGCTTCCGGGGGACCCTCAAGAAGGAGGGCATCAAACTGAAGGCAGCTGTACATGCCAAGGGACCATTGCCTAGAGGCTCTTGGGAGATGGAAGGGAAAGGACTCCCCTCCTCAAGGTGAAAAGGGAAGGGGTTATTCCTTCGGGCAGCCTTGAACCTGCTTAGAGATGGAGGAGAAAAGCGGGGGAAGGCTCGCTCTTACCTATCAAACATTCCTCGCCCTGTTGCCTCCATCCTGAGCAGCAGACGAATCCAGCAGAGCTGTAGGCAGAGAAAGAGAGAGGGTTAGAAAAGGCTCGGCATGGGAGGAAAAAGGTAACCTTCCCCCCCCCCCAGTCCAAGGGCCGCACTCCCCCAAGGGTGACTTTATGGGGGCCGCATGTCAGGGGTGTGAAGGGCCAAACGCACATGAGCCAGGGGCAGTCTAGTGCTTAAGAATGTCAAACTAGGACCTGGGAGAAGCCAAGGGTTCAGATCCTCCAACCAGGAGATATAAATGCAGTAAACAAATAAAATAGCAGGGGCAGAGGAGCAGATGTGGTTCTTTATGCTGCATTTGGGGGCTGGAACCCTCGTCTCCCAGGCTATAAAAGGTAAAGGGACCCCTGACCATTAGGTCCAGTCGTGACTGACTCTGGGGTTGCGGCGCTCATCTCGCTTTATTGGCCGAGGGAGCCGGCGTACAGCTTCCAGGTCATGTGGCCAGCATGACTGAGCCACTTCTGGCGAACCAGAGCAGCGCACGGAAACACCGTTTACCTTCCCGCCAGAGTGGTACCTATTTATCTACTTGCACTTTGATGTGCTTTCAAACTGCTAGGTTGGCTGGAGCAGGGACCGAGCAATGGGAGCTCACCCAGTTGCGGAGATTCGAACTGCCGACCTTCTGATTGGCAAGCCCACAGGAGCTCACCCCGTCACGGGGATTCGAACCGCCGACCTTCTGATCGCCCAGTCCTAGGCTCTGTGGTTTAACTCACAGCGCCACCCGCGTCCCTTCTCCCAGGCTATAGTCCTCATTTAATCTCCATAACCACCCTGTTCCTTAAATGTGCATAAGGGAAATTCACCTTTAATTGGGAATGAAACTGAATTTTTGCTGCATTCCGAGTCAGTCCCAGGGGCTGTTTCCAGATCTCAAAAAAGGTCATGTGAAACCCCCTTCCCAGATTGTGTCTGGGTGCACACCCCAATAAACCTCTTACAATGCTGATATAAAGAACTGCTCATTTCACATAACTGGCATCAAGCTGGTTAAGCGACAAGATTCCCGCCAGCTAATGCCCACAATGATGTCACTGGCTCCCTCTTGAATTACGCAGGCTGCATTTTCCCACTCAACATCGAACGTATATATTAAAATCACATGGTGAGCCCCACATCCTGACCCCATGATGTTTTGCTATCCCAGAAAAAATATTCTTAGGGGAACCAGGACAGAAGTGGATGACCCAAAAGCAAGTGGTGTGGGAATTTGGGGGTGGGGGGGGAGGGGATTCCCAAGCAAATTAAGATAGAGTAATTTTTGAATTTGCATTGGAAGATTTCCTGACACCTTAGAAAAAGATCTCATGCAGCATGTTGAATTTAGTAAACAGATGAAAGATTGACTAATATGCCATTGTTTTAAACCCTTGGTGTTCACAGCTCTCTCTGATGCCGAAAACAGAGGGGGAGGTGAAAACTCTTGAGGATTTAAAGAAAATTAAAATGAAAGGAGGCTGGTACTGTGTTTGAAACTGCCATTTGTTCATTGCTACTAATGAACTTCGCATGGGACGCGGGTGGCTCTGTGGTCTATACCACTGAGCCTTGGGCTTGCCGATCAGAAGGTCGGCAGTTCGAATCCCCGCAACTGGGTGAGCTCCCATTGCTCGGTCCCTGCTCCAGCCAACCTAGCAGTTCGAAAGCACATCAAAGTGCAAGTAGATAAATAGGTACCGCTCCAGCGGGAAGGTAAACGGCCCTTCCGTGCACTGCTCTGGTTCACCAGAAGCGGCTTAGTCATGCTGGCCACGTGACCCGGAAGATGTACGCCGGCTCCCTCGGCCAATAAAGCAAGATGAGCACCGCAACCCCAAAGTTGTCCGTGACTGGACCTAATGGTCAGGGGTCCCTTTACCCTTTACCTAATGAACTTACAAAATGGATTTTCCCCAAATTTTGGAAAATTATTTTCCATCCAAAAGGAGCACTCCTGGCCTTCCAGAATTCCTGAGGGGCACATCTGGGAGGATATGGAACTGCAGGATTGAACACACAACACAGACTGGCAGCAAGCACATCAGTGGTGGCTTGGTATGTACCATATTAAATACTGTACAAGCAAAACACAACTTATTTATTTATCTGTTGTGTTTATAGCTCACCTCTGTCTCCACGGACTTCAAGGTGGTGCACATGGTTCTTTCCCTCTGCAAACCCCCCAGATAATAGCTTAATTGGTTACAGCGTGGTGTTGACAATGCCACGGTTGCAGGTTTGATCCCCGCATGGGACAGTCTCATTGCAGGGGGTTGGACTAGATGAACCTCAGGATCCCTTCCAACTCCATGATTCTAATTAACACCTCGCAACAACTCTGTGAGGTAGGCCAGGCTGAGAGGCAGTGGCTGGCCCCCAAGGTCACACCCCATGAGCGTGGTGGCGGAGTTCGAACCCTGGTCTCCCAGGTCCTAGGCAGACACTCCTACACAACACAAAAATAACTCATCTAGGAAAGAGATTGCAGGGTGCTCCCAAATGACCCGTTTATTGAGCATTCATCCTGATTTTCTTGTACAACGTTTGCAAAGAGTATACGTGCCATTAGCTCTTTACTGAGTGATCATTCTGATTTGTTTGCAGGGAGGTAATAAATAATAATAATAATAATAATAATAATAATAATAATAATGATGTATTATTTATACCCTGCCCATCTGGCTGGGTTTCCCCGCCACTCTGGGCTGCTTCCAACAGAATATTAAAATACAACAGTCTATTAAATATTAAAAGCTTCCCTAAACAGGGCTGCCTTCAGGTGTCTTCTAAAAGTCTGGTAGTTGTTTTTCTCTTTGACATCTGGTGGGAGGGCGTTCCACAGGGAGGACACCACTACTGAGAAGGCCCTCTGCCTGGTTCCCTGTAACTTGGCTTCTCGCAGCGAGGGAACCGCCAGAAGGTTAGACGATGTTGCATCAAAAGTGTTATCCCACAGCTTTTTTTTAGGGGGAGGAGAACAGAGGTGTTGAGCTTTTTTCTGAAGATCACGCGGTCGACCAGGTGCAGCCCGCAATCAACTGGTTGGACCGCCCTGAGACCTTCAGGTATAGGGCGGTATAGAAATAATAATAATAATAATAATAATAATAATAACAGTCTATAACACTCTCTTCCAGGAAGGTTACTGAAAACTGAGAGGAAATTGGAGGGGAGTATGTGGGACCAGCTTCCACAAGACCTCCCTGGCTGATGAGTGCCCTCTCATCAAACATGTGCTGTAATGTGGGGAGGGGGGTGTAGCCCAGAGCTCTTTCTCTGAATGGAGCCATTATCCAAAGACCTGCGTGCACACACAAACACACAGGGATGGATGACTCTTGTCAATTTTTGGTCTTTTCTCTTTCTCAAATCTTAACCTCAGCTCTCCATATTTCTTCAGCCATTTGCAATTTAAAAAAATATATCATGGAAATCCATCAACTTTTCAGTCCAAATTTTCCCTTAATAATACACGTTGTTTGCCAGCCATTTCTCCCTGAACATAATGCGATTATTTGGAAGTGAACTTCACAAACACGGGCATAATTTAACCTGAATATAACACATTTCCAGCTGTAGAACTGTACTGCAAAGTGCACTATAGTGTGACTTTTCAAAGAGTGGTTTGTGTAGCCTTTCAGAGAGTTCAGGAAGATTGCCTTTAAATGGGACCCAAACTGGCACTGTTACAGCCACCAAATAATACCCATACCATGACTTTTAGTGTTTTAGCACCCAGACATTGGAACTCTCTGCCTCTTGATATCAGGCAAGGAGATTTTGCTGTCCTTTTTTTTTCACCGCCTGCTTAAAGCATTTTTGTCCAGCAAAGGCTACCCAGACTGCCCTCCAGATGTTCTGGCCTACAATTCCCATCAGCCCCAGAATCACACTGCCATGCTGGCTGGGGCTGATGGGAGTTGTAGTCCGTAAAACATTTGTTAGGCAACAGGTTTTGGGATAGCTGCTCTAAGCACATGAATTGTCTGGAGCACCAGAATGGAAAGCTTCCACTTTTCCATACAAAAACCCACTCCCCAAATATTCTGCATTTCGACAGCTTAACAAGGGGGAGAGCTCAGTTGCCGTTACTGCTAAACAACTGGAAGTCCGAATGTTTGGGCACTCTAAAGAAACACGAAAATCTACTAACAGGTTTCAAGTTGAGGCAGGGTGGTGCTGCAGTTAGAGAGTCAGACCTGCGAAAGCAGGGTTCAAATCCTCACTCAGCCACCAAACTCACTGGGTATGAGGCCAGTCACTGCCTCTCAGCCTATCCAACCTCGCAGGGTTCTTATGGGGATTAAATAGGGGCAGGGAGAGCCATGTACACCTTGAGCTCCTTGAATAGGCAAGAATTAAACACGATAAATGAAATAAGCTCCTTTCTGATCTCCCCTAGAGTTAGAGGCAAATTTTGATACTGGGGTTTGAGGTTTGGGCTGCCATACATTTAAAACAGCCATCTCGCAAGAATCCCAGGAACCGTAGTTTGTTAAACGCGCTGGGAACTGTAGCTCTGTGAGGGGTAAAGGTAAAGGGACCCCTGACCATTAGGTCCAGTCGTGACCAACTCTGGGATTGCGGCGCTCATCTCGCTTTATTGGCCGAGGGAGCCGGCGTACAGCTTCTGGGTCATGTGGCCAGCATGACTAAGCCGCTTCTGGCAAACCAGAGCAGTGCACGGAAATGCTGTTTACCTTCCCGTTGGAGTGGTACCTATTTATCTACTTGCACTTTGACGTGCTTTTGAACTTCTAGGTGGGCAGGAGCAGGGACCGGGCAACGGGAGCTCACCCCGTGGCGGGGATTCGAACCGCCGACCTTCTGATTGGCAAGTCCTAGGCTCTGTGGTTTAACCCATAGTGCCACCCACATCCCTCTGTGAGGGGTAAACGATGGTTATTTTGGGTCTGTGTGCTTTAACTGTAGGGAGAATCTTTTGGGGCCCTTCAGCCTGTGAGCAGCTACAGTTAATCTGGCTTTGTGGATCCCGCTGTTTGATGAAGCCCCCCTCGGAGGGCGCCCACCCAAATACCCTAAAAGAAGAAGAAGAAGAAGAAGCTAAACCACATTTCTGCCCCTCTCCCATCGAATTTTGACCAGCTTTTCCTTTTATCACAAAACAGACTTTGTCTCGGTCAGGAAAAACAAGGACCAGAGAGCGTTTCTGGGGTGTGTGTTTGTCTGTGTTTTGGGGGGGGGCGGTTATGGTAAAAGCGCGAGAGAGAAACCTCATCCAGAAATTCCACAGCAGAGCCTGCAAAGCCCTCTCGCCTAAGCGAGCTTGTTTGCAAGAGTTTAAATCGAAAACAGATGTACCGTCTCTTTCCATCGGGTTTTAAGTTACACTTGGAAGGGGGATGGCGGGTGGGTTTCTCCCCCCTTTTTTTGGCGTGCCGTTTTGTTCTTTGATGGAAAAAATGGGGGGTACCTGTCAAGAAAGGGAGGGGATCCCCTGAAATGTCAGAAATGGTTTCTTGCTTCTGTTGCCATAATTTTTATTTGGGGGAGCAGCTCTGGCACGATATGGCTCTCAGTGGGCAATGTGCCCTGTGTGTGTGTGTGTGTGTAAAGCGGTTACCTTGGCAAGATGGGGGAGGAAGGGGGAACCGAAACCCCCACATCTTGAGACCGTTAAGTATAGGATGGGGTTAATCCTCTGGAAAGCGGTTTTTGCTGGAGGGTTAGGGGAAAGCAGAGGCTTCCAATGAGAGCCTGTTGCTGCTGCTGGTGCTGCTGCTGGCATCATCCACAGCCTAAATACAGGGTTCCAATAGACTGTCTCAATTAACACCCACCACCCCGAGGGCCCCCTTTAATCCCAGTGAGGTGGGGATGGGCTTCAAGTTAACCTCCCCCCCCCGCCCATCCTTTCAAGCAAGCCTAAAAGTGACCATCGCATACCTAAAAGACGGGATTCTCTCAACTCTCGAGGGATGCCCCCTCCCGAGAGGAAATTGGTTCAAGCAGGCACGAGAGGTCTCCAAGCGACGAGGGAAGGGGTTTGGGAGGAAGCTCTCGAAAATGCCTGAAGGAAATCCACGCGGGACGACAGTGGGAGTGGGGAGAAAGCCTGTCCAGCCAGCATGAGGGAGGGAGGGGATATGGACCCCTTGTTTGCACCCCCCCTTTGGAAAGGAGCACACAACCCAGCTGACATGATGGGGAAGGGGGTGTGTGTCACCCACCTGTCCCAAAAGCCACCAGCACTGCCTCGTAGCCCAGCAAGGAGAACTCAGCAAACTTTTTTTTTTTTTAAAGGGGGACGTAATGGCAGTCGGGAGGCCCTCCATCAATCTCCACATCTGGTTCAAGAAGGGACATCTTCTCTGCCCTGTCTCTCCTCCCACACACGTAGCATGCCAAGAGCCTCTGGTTGCTGGGGGTGGGGGAGAGAAGCTTGCGGGACGGGTGGAAGAAAGAGACCCCCCTCTTCCAGGAAGTTTGGGGGAGCGGGCATCATGTACGGAAGGGATTAGAAGGCATATCCTATCTCCTTAGAAAGGCCGGGGGCCAGATCTGGTGCAGCATCACACCGGTGGACCAGGATTCTATCCACCCAGCCCCAGTAATAAAGGAAAAAGCAGTAACCCTGAGCCATACTGAAGACACCCGCGCCCCAAATGAATGTCTAACATAACACAATAGCGCCCCTGCGCCTCTTCCAAGGGCGCGGACGCACGAGACGAAACGAAATCCAAGCCTTTGGCTGCTTCAAACGAGGCGGGTAGGGGGAAAGTGGCTTCCCAGAAGCGCCCCAGCGCACCCCATGGAGCAGAGCCCTCTCCGCGCGTCTCCATTCCCCGCGCGTAAAAACTTGGCAAGGGAGGTCTCGCTGGCGCGCCCCGGACCTCTCTCCCCGCGACGGCTCGCTCTTGCTTACCCCGGCGCCGGGCACACGTTCCTCCCGCGGGGATTCAGCTCCTGGGCGGCCGCCGCCGCCGCCCCACAACCCAGCAGGAGAAGGAGAAGGAGCAGAAGCGAGAGGAGGAGCGCGCTGCAGCCGACGGCGGCGTCTCCATCTCCGGCGCGCCGGGCCCTCCGCGGCGGCTTCTCCATGCGCTCTGGGGCCCTTCTCGGGCAGCCTGGCTCCCCAGCGGCGGCTCCGGCTCCTCCTGGCTGCTGCCTGCTGCAAAAGCCCGGCCGGAAGCTGCAGTGCGAGCGCCGCCGCTGCCTCCTGCTCGCCCCTCGCGGCGGCGGCAGGAGGGGCGGCCGGCCAGCCAGGAAATGCCGCATTGGTTCTCCCTCCTCCCGGGTCAGGCGCTCCGGCGGCGGAGAGAGAGGGAAGGAGATCCAGGGACGGAGGCAGCTGCTGCTGGTCCTGGCTGGAGGGCTGCAGCTCCGAAGGAGGTGGCTGCGGTGGGGGTCCTTATTTGGGGGCCTTCAGTGGGGTGCATAGGAGCCAACTCCTAGCCCCCCCCCAAACTAATAGGCATTGCCATTCAAATTGTGTGTGCGCGCCACGTCTTGTGATCGATTATACAGGGTGGGGCTTACTCCCCCCCCCAATCTTTTATTCAAGTTGATTCCCCTGGTGTGGTGGCGTCCTGGTGTGGGGGGCGGGGGAGGCCCAAGCGCAGTCTTAAACTCCCTAGTTTAGGATCGCACGGTTTGATTCACCGCCAGTGGTTCAGGCCACCTCCCCAGTCGATTCCCTAAACTCATCCCCAGTGCCCGCTACCCTATAAAAAGCGTTATTCAGGATAGCAGTTTGCACGAAGGAAGAGAATAACGCAATGAAATTTCATACAGTAGCAACTGGTTTCGTTGAATGAAAATCCAATTAAAACTCTTCAGTTTAATTGATTCAGCAAAACTGATGAACTTGATACAGTCATACCAGCTTTTCACAGTCATTTGCACCTGTGGCATCCTCTTGCATGCAAGAAGTGGTAGGATGCTTCTGTTCAGAGAGCAGGATTCTTCAGCCACTAAATGCACCTGGGTAGAGATGAATGCTTTCATACTCCTCCTAGAGCTGGAAGGGGTGCCAAGGGTCATCTAGTCCAGCCCCCCTGCAATCACAGCTAAATAAGCCCTGATAGATGGCCATCCAATGTCTGTTTAAAAACCTCCAGCGAAGGAGAGTCCACTCTCTTCCAAGGGTATCCTTTCCATGGTCAAACAGCTCTTACCCTCAGAAAGTTCTTCAGAAAGTGTCAGAATCTCATTTCCTGTCATTTGAATCCATTGGTTCGGGTCCTCCCCTCTGGAGCAGGAGAAAACAAGCTTGCTCCATCTTCCATGGGACAACCCTTTAGATATTTGAAGATGGCTTTCATATCACCCCTCAGTCTCCTCCAAGCTAAATATATCCAACTTCCTCAACCATTCCTCATAAGGCTTGATTTCCAGACACTTTTATCACCTTGGTCACCTTTCTCTGCACACATTCTAGGTTGTCAATATCCTTCTTAAACGAAGGTGACAGGAAACTGAAAAGTGAATACAGTCATACCTCTGGATAAATACGCTTCAGGTTGAGTGCTTTTGGGTTGCGCTCCGTGGCGACCCGGAAGTAACGGAGCACATTACTTCCAGGTTTCACCGCTCGTGCATGCGTAGACGGTCAAAATGATGTCACACACATGCGCAGAAGTGGCGAAATGCGACCCCCGCACGCGCAGTCACGTCTTATGTTCTGCTCGGGATGCAAACGGGGCTCCGGAACGGATCCCGTTCGCATCCCTAGGTACCACTGTAGAGTAGTACCTTGGGTTACAGATGCATCAGGTTACAGACGCTTTGGGTTACAAACTCCGCTAACCAGGAAGCGTTAAGAACTTTGCCCCAGGATAAGAACAGAAATCACACTACAGCAGCAGGAGCCCCCATTAGCGAAAGCGCGCCTCAGGTTAAGAACCGTTTCAGGTTAAGAACAGACCTCTGGAACGAATTAAGTTCTTAACCCAAGGTACCACTGTAGTGATGGAGACAGGAGCAGCTCACTAGGGAGGGCATTCCACAAATAGGGAACTGCCACCAAAACGGCCCTGCCACAAGGCAGCGCTCACTGGGGAGACCACCAAGCCTCGTGTCCCAATCATAGGATGAAATTTGAACTGGCTCACTGTTGCGTATTGTCTGGTTCCTCTTTCAACATCAGCCAGCTTGCGTGCTTCTTTCAGCTCTTCAGGTGCCAAAGGACTCAAGCTTCCATCCGTCCCAGCCAGCATGACCAATGGTTAGTGTCAGGTGGCAGTGGATCCAACCCCCATGGCAGGTCGCCAGGAACGGATAAGACAAGCAAAAGTTCTTACCAACTGCTTTTTATTCAATATTCACAGAGAGAGGCTTGGAAATGCAGTCTCTTGGAAATAATGGCATTGCCCTGAGTGAGTCTCCACTAACTCCCTCTATCTCTTCATGCGTCATCACTATGGGTGCTGAGAAGTGCCCTTTGCCTCTGAGCCCTTTGCTCTCCTACTTTCAATGCTTGCCGGTTTCTGGGAGGGAGGGGCGGTCTGCAATGCTTTCTAAAGACACTGTCTGCTGTTCCCCATCTGGTGCTTCTTCTCCCTTCTCTCCCATTATTTCCCAGCTCCCCCCACCCATTATCTGCCTCTGAGCTGTGATCTCCCTCAAAGCCCTGTTTTAATTCTGAACTGTCATCTTCTTCTCTGAAAGGGTCAGGCTGGGCAAGCGGTCTCTAGCATTCCTCCTCTGCCCAGTCCCTGACAGTTAGGGATGCGGGAAAGTTGAGTCCAGCAGCATGTATAGGGCCACAGATCCCCCACTGCTCATATAATGCCAGATGGATGTGTGTGTGTGTGCATGTGTATGTATAACAATATAATCTCTGTTGCAGGGAGTTGTGCTCTACTGCCTATAGCTCAGTGGTACAACATCTGGTCCTAGGTTCAATCCCTGGCATCTCTGGGTAGGGCTGGGAGAGACCACCTGAAACCCTGGAGAGCTGCTGCCAGTCAGTGTAGACAATACTGAGCAAAATGGACCAAGGGTCTGCAGCAGCTCTCCACTGGTCCATATAGCTAAGGAATGTCTATGTGATGGATAGCCAACATAGCATCCTCCAGATGTTGTGGAATGCCTCTTTCACCAGCCAATAACCAGGTACGATGGGAGTTGTAGTCCAAAACATCTGGAAGGCTCTACGTTGGCTGCGCCTGGTCCACACACAGGACTCTCGCTGGCACTGTGAACGGTGCAGGGCTTTTTCAAGTCTTGCTGATGTTGTCACGCAAACCATTTATGATCGCTGTACAATAAAATTGGAACACGCTTGATCTCCTCTGCCCTCTGCTGGACAAGATTTGTAACTTTAAAAAATGAAATGCTTTGAGAGATTTTGCTTTCCCGTTAAGGTGAAGGTAAAGGGACCCCTGACCATTCGGTCCAGTCGTGACCGACTCTGGGGTTGCGGTGCTCATCTCGCTTTACTGGCCGAGGGAGTCGGTGTACAGCTTCCAGGTCATGTGGCCAGCATGACAAAGCGGCTTCTGGTGAACCAGAGCAGCGCACAGAAACGCCGTTTACCTTCCCGCCGGAGTAGTACCTATTTACTTGCACTTTGATGTGCTTTCGAATTGCTAGTTTGGCAGGAGCTGGGACCAAGCAACAGGAGCTCACCCCGTCACGGGGATTCAAACTGCTGACCTTCTGATCGGCAAATCCTAGACTCTGTGGTTTAACCCACAGTGCTACCCGCGTCAGGCTGCTTCAAATAGGGATCTTCATTGCATACCACTTTCATTTGTAATGTTTCAGTTCCGATACTTTGCAATACTCTGGCTGATGTTTTAAGATCATGGTGCGGGAGAGGCCATGCCAGCCCTCATCCAACAACCAAGGAGCAGTATCTGCTCCAACATTCACTTTCCTCTTCCCTTCACATCCCCTTTTCCTCTTGTATTATGTCTCTTCTATAGTGAGCTTGCAGTCAGGGATTGTTATCTTCCACATGCACAACACTGTAGAAAATTTTGGACACTTTATGTTAAAAGTGTCAAACAAAAACGCTGAGCCATAGCCAACATTATCTGTCTGGTAGTGCAAGAGTCCTAGCATTAGGGGATGGCAAGGCTTAATAGCTGAAGAAGAAAGGAATCCAACACAACAGCTGCAAGAGCAGAAGCTTCTTCTGTATCCATCTTTGGTTATGCCTTTTGGTTTCCCCTTGTGCAAAGGCATTCCATCAACACAGCACATATACCATTAATTGAGGGCTGGATCAAATGCAATCCCAAATCCCTGTGCTCCTGTTCCCCCCCCCCCTTCCATCCTACTCTCCCTCTCCCCGATCTGTTCCCCCACCTCTCAAGTCAGCCATCATTCCATGCTGTTGAGATCTTAGGAAGCTCTTAGCATGGGTTCCCCCATTTTTCTGTACATTTTTGGTACTTTACCTTGTGCAAAACGCCGCCGTCGCCAGTACCTCTCTAGTGGCTGGGTACTTTTGGTTGCATAAGCGGAAGTTCACATTAATATGCAAACAGGCATAGCTTGAAACAAAAGGGTTGCAGCATGGAGTGGTTTCCAGTCACACTGTTCCATCCCCTCTTCCCATTCATTCGTTCATTCCATTCTTATCCTATCCTGCAAGGAACTCAAGCTGGTATAGGCTTCCACCTCCCCATTTTATATGGGATGCGGTTGGTGCTGTGGTCTAAACCACTGAGCCTCTTGGGCTTGCCGATCAGCTCCTGGCGACCTAGCAGTTTGAAAGCACACCAGTGCAAGTAGATAAATAGGTGCTGCTGTGGCGGGAAGGTAAATAGCATTTCCGTGCACTCTGGCACTCATCACGGTGTCCCGTTGTGCCAGAAGCGGCTTAGTCCTGCTGGCCACATAACCCAGAAAGCTGTCTGTCGACAAACACCGACTCCCTCAGCCTGAAAGTAAGATGAGTGCTGCAACCCCAGTCGCCTTTGACAGGGGTCCTTTACCTTTACCCCCATTTTATGCTCACACCAATCCTGTGAGGTAGGATAGGTTGAGTGAGCAATTGGCCCAAAGTCATCCATTGAGCTTCATGGCCAAGTGGGATTCAAACTCTGGTATCTCAGCTTCTAGCCTGAGAATTAACAACTCTGGCTCCTCAATTTATCAGTATTCTGCTTGTCCTTTTGAGTACTTCTCTCTCCCTTTTAGGTGTTTGTGTGTACAAATGTTGGCAAATTCCAGCACATTAGACCACTAGATACCAAGACCTCAGGAGCATGCAAGGAAGCTCAACAGTGGAACAGGCAAAACAAAGTACTTCTTCACATACCACCTAGTGAAACTATGGAACTCACTCCCACAGGATGCAGCCATGGCACACATGCTGCATACAAGGCACAAGTGTTTTTATTTTGCAGCTTCCCCACAATGGCAGCGAAGTGCAAACTGATATTTCAGCATGCCTCCCCATTCACATTTATCCCATTTCTGCTGGGTGAAAGCACAACTGTTGCCAATGACTTGTTTGCAATATTAAGCCAACCTCACCCTGCTTGCAAATCTGGAAGCTCGCTCAGTGTGCCAGAGGCCTCAGAGAGGCAACGGGTGGGAGAGAGACCTGCCGACAGGAGTAAGAGGCCCAGGCTGCACCCGTCCCCATAAGCGTATCAGAAAAGCCTTGCTGGATTAGGGCAAAGGAGGTCTGTTCAATTCAGCATCCTGTTCTCAGAGTAGCCAGCCAGAAGCCTTTTATAGAACTCCCACAAGCAAAACAGCTGTGAGGCAGCAATGCTTCTGTATACCAGTTGCTGGAAACTGCAGGAGCGGGGAAGAGACGCAGTTGTGCTCAAGCCTTGCTTGTGGGTTTCCCACAGGGATCTGCTTGGCCACTGTGAGAACAGGATGCTGGACTAGATGAGCCATTGGCCTGATCCAGCAGTCTCTTCTTATGTCCATAAGTAGTACAACAGTGCTTTCTCCACCTGAGATTCCCAGCCAGCCTTTACTGCCCCTGAAAGTGCAGGCAGAATATAGTCACTGTGACTAGTAGCCACTGATCGCCGTGGTTCTCCTGGGATAAACCTGTTGAGGTTTGAGTTTTATGGATGCAAAGCTTTCTCAAAAAATGCTTGCAGCTATTGCTTATCTGCTTAGTCTGTGAGACTCAAGGTCAATGCTCAGAGGCAAGGTAATCAATCTACCACTGAGCAGTTCTGTATTCTTTTCTATGTCTATCATGTTTTGCTTTTGTAGCAGGGTGCACTCTTTTGAGTTGAGGTTTTGTACCTTACTGGGGAGATCCAGCAAGACCTTTTACGCTTATAGTAATAAGACTATTACTATAGGGATGCGGGTGGCGCTGTGGTCTAAATCACTGAGCCTCTTGGGCTTGCCAATCAGAAGGTCAGTGGTTTGAATCCCCGCAACGGGGTGAGCTCCCATTGCTCTGTCCCAGCTCCTGCCAACCTAGCAGTTTGAAAGCACACCAGTGTAAGTAGATAAATAGGCACCACTGCGGCAGGAACGTAAATGGTGTTTCCATGTGCTCTGGTTTCCATCACAGTGTCCCATTGTGCCAGAAGTGGTTTAGTCCTGTTGGCCACATGACTTAGAAAGCGTCTGTGGATGTGGCGTTTGCCTCCTAGGTGCGTCATAAGGAAAGGATTAAATGAGTGTGATGTGATTGGCCAGTGGGAATGCAAGGGTGGAGTAAATATTAGAGTGGGAGGTTTTGAAAGTCAGTTGAGGTTTGGGAGTTGAAGAAGGAAGAGGGAGGATTAGGTGTGGGTTGGTAGAGTTGTATTGTGACAGAGTGTGAGAGGAATTGTCAGGTGGAGTCAGATAGATAGTTGGGAATAATCAGTTTGAAGTTGTTAGGAACTAAGATTTAAGAAACTGACAAGAAAAATTAACTGAAACCATAAGCTTGTTCCTGCATTTAAAAATAAACTTGATTATTTGTTTATGTTAACAACTGCCTGGACTCCGTGTGTCCCCGGGAGAAATGGGGTGGTGGCAGGGAAGAAAGCAACTGCAGTGGTGGCACAGGGTCAATAGACCGTCAAACGTCCGGGGGCCCTGTGTGATCGCCACAGTGGACAAACGCCAGCTCTCTTGGCCTGAAAGCGAGATGAGCGCTGTAACCCCATAGTCGCTTTTGATTAGACTTAACCATCCAGGGGTCCTTTACCTTTTACCTAAACTATTACTGATGAATTCTGCTGCCTTCGTGTCTCTCTCTTTGAACTCAGCACAGGAATTGCAGTCCACGCATCCAGCTATTCTGCTGCTTTCTGCCCATGCTCTGGAACTGCTGTACAGAGGCATGGGGACAGGGATGTGAGACTGGATTTGCACACCAGCCCTGTCAAAGCCTGGGCTCACATTCAGGAGGGCTGGGAGTCCTTTCCCCACCAACGCCCATAACATTAACATTGCAACAGACCGAAGAAACTTTAGTCGAGTTAATTTTATTGAGCGACAGCCATCTCCATCTTAGGTGCTACAGAGCCTAGGGTTAATCCCAGAAGTGGCGAGTGGTGCTCAGAGGTGATCCTTCCTATCTCCCTACATTCCCACATACACGTAAACACTCAAAATCCATCAAATGGCAAAAGGCAGGGCACCTTGGTGCCGGAACAGAAACTTCAATTCTTGCATGGCAAGGGGGAACTACAAGGTTCACCCGCTCCTCTTATGTACAATCCCAGCAAACAACACACCCGGACTGCTGTAATGTCCACTGCCAACTGGGACAGCACAGTCACTTTGTTTTTTTTAAAGAACGGCAAAATGGCATTGGATGCTTTCAAGCCTTCTTTACCCCGCTGGCGCACCTTTGCACCAACGGTTCTACCCTAACCCACCTCCCCAAGGAAGTGGGACCCGGAAGGCAAGTCTACGGTAAAGCTGGGGCCGAGAGAAGGGTTCCCGCGAACAACCGCCTCTTCAGCTCCATCCAGAGCAGGTCTTGCTCCTCCTTGGCTCTTGCCATGAAGCCTTGATTCTCCTGGGCTCTCCGGGAAAGGTAAGGGAGGACTTCGTTGACGGGCCCATAAGGAACGTACTTGTACACAGGGTACCCCGCCTGACCTGAAGAACAAAAGAATGGGAGTTGGTGCAGGCACAAGACCTCAGTACAGGCCCATCCACAGTGCTGGATGAGCAGATTCGAGGACAAACAGAGCTTCAGGAACGCTGCATTCTATGCTTAAGGCAAGGGTGTGGAACTGGCATCCTGCGAGCCTCATCAGGCTTGCCAGACTTTTGCCCCACAAGCTGGGTATCAGGGGTTTGCAAAGTTATGTGTGTAAACTCTATTTTTTCATTTTTTTTTTAAAGTTGGTAGTTTGCTCATTCCCTCCATTTCTTGGAGAAAAAAAAAATACAGTGGTACCTCGGGTTAAGAACTTAATTCGTTCTGGAGGTCCTTTCTTAACCTGAAACTGTTCTTAACCTGAGGTACCACTTTAGCTAATGGGGCCTCCCACTGCTGCTGTGCCGCCGCTGTGCGATTTCTGTTTTCATCCTGAAGCAAAGTTCTTAACACAAGGTACTATTTCTGGGTTAGTAGAGTCTGTAACCTGAAGCGTATGTAACCCGAGGTACCACTGTATTGAAGTACAATTCACTGTATTGAAGTACAATTCAAAGAAGAAGCTGATCTACCAGAAATGATATACAAGAAATACAGTTGCACCTTGGCTCCCGAATGCCTTGGCAGTCGAACATTCCAGCTCCTGAACTATCGAAACCTGGAAGTGAGTGTTCCGGTTTTCGAACGTTCTTTTGGAAGCCGAACATCTGACGGGGCTTCCGATTGGCTGCAGGAGCTTTCTGCAGCCAATCAGAAGCCGTGCTTTGGTTTTTGAACCAAACAGACTTCTGGAACGGATTCTGTTCGACTTCTGAGGTATGACTTTAATGTAGAAATAATGGCAGTGGCACCTGCCTGAAAGGTGCCGGAACTCAGTTCTGGCGAGTTCTGGCTGAAAAAAAGCTCTGGTTTAGGGGAACCCTTGGTTCACAGTGACAGTTCTCTAACTTGGGGGTCCGTGAATACACACATGCTCACTTACCAAGAGGGAAGGTGATTTGGTCACACATGCCCAGGAGCTGCCCAAAGTAGATCTTGTTCTCTGAAGGGTGGATTCCGAGATCTGCCATCCTGCATAAGGGAAGGGAAGAGGGGCAATTAACGTCTATGCAAAATGCTGCCCCTTCAAGAGGCTTTGCTGGCCTGGGGGGCTCCCAGCTGCCAAGCGGCACAGGGGCTACAATGTGTGTGTCCCCCCCAATCCCCAGTACCTGCGAAGTGTGAACTTGACTGTGTCTTTGTTGTGGGAAGCCACCATCACGTTGGCCTTACGGCTGTGCCGGATCTCCTCGAGGATGTAATCCAGGCATCTGCAAGGAATCACAGTATTGTAGAGTTGGAAGGAAACCCCAAGGGTCATCTAGTCCAACCCCCCTGCAAGAGGGGATTGGAAATCATGCCATTGCTCATGAGCCTGCCTTTTCCCTCCTGTGGCTCCCAAAAATCTGAAGATGCACATCACAGGAACACCAGAAGCTGCATTTCCACAGACCGTTGGGGTACATCTAGTTCAGTACTGCCTGCACTGGCTGGCAGTGGCTCTCCAGAGCTACAGGGAGGAGACATTCCCAGCCCGACCTGGAGGCGCCATTTGAGACTGAACCTAGGGCTGCCTGCATGCAAAGTTGGTGCTCTACCGCTGAGTCTCAGCCCTTTCCCTAAAAATAAGATTCTAGTCCACATGGTTCAAAAAAGAGTTGAATCAAATCGGAAACTGCCTTATACTGACTCAGATCCATCTAGCCCCGTACTGTCTACACTGACTGGCAGCAGCTCTCTGGGGTTTCAGGCAGATGATATGCCCAGCTTCAGCTGGAGACGCCAGTGGGGAATGAACAAAATAATAAGCAAAGCATAAAAGGAAAAAGGATTGTGGAGGGAAGAGGAAAGCGAGCATTGGAACGGCAAATCCTCTGCCTCTGAGCAACAGGCCCACCTGTGGTACATCTCGCTGGTCGCTTGGTAAGTCGGATTGATTGGATCCTCGTAGCCCACTTCGGCTGCCCGGCTGCGCTCCTGCTTCATGTAGGCGCCTCTCACCAGCTTGGCACCAAAGTGCCAGCCTTCCCGGCGTGAGAGCTCCACGTCCACCGTCACCGTGTCGTAAGCATCCTGCTCACAGGGAGGCAATACAGAGAAGATGCCTGACGTTGAGTCAGACCAACCACTTTGCCTACAATCAGTACTTTCAGTATTGCCCACACTGACTAGCAGCAGCTCTCCCAAGGTTTCAGGCTGGGGATTGAACCCGGGACCATCTGCATGCAAAGCAGGTGCTCAACCACTGAGCTAAGATTCTGGTCCTCATGGTTCCCAATCAAAGAACAAAGCTCCTTTAAACTGAGTCAGGCCATTGGGTCCCTCTACCCTAGTGTTGCCTACACAGACTGGAAGTGGCTCTCCAGAGTTCCAGGGTCTGCCGCACAGAATCTCCTGCATCAGCCGCAACCTTGCACTGATCCTGAGGATGCCACCCCCATCCACACTGTGTGCAAGAGCAAGCCCTCTCGAACCCACTGCCTGCCTGGTGCCTCACCTTCAAGTAGCACTGGTAGGTGTTGAAGACGGAGGCTCTCTCCTGGTTGAACTTCCGCTGCATCTCCAGGGTGAGGCGGCTGATGGCTGGCTGGAAGTAGGTTTGCTCAGCATCCACCATCAGCCTCACGCCCGTCTCTACGGCTTTCTGGAAGCAAGCAAGGCGGTGGAGTGAGTCACAGAGGACATCACCAGAGGTCAGTTTTCTGCTACCTAACCAAAGCCACTGTCAGAGATGGTGGAACCTTTCTGGCCCGGGGCCGCATTCCCCTTCTGAGCAAATTTCTGGGGCCACATGCTATTAGGTAGATAAATACAGTGGTACCTCGGGTTAAGAACTTCATTCATTCTGGAGCTCTGGTTCTTAACCTGAAACTGTTCTTAACCTGAAGCACCACTTTAGCTAATGGGGCCTCCTGCTGCCGCCTCGCCGCCGGAGCACGATTTCTGTTCTCATCCTGAAGCAAAGTTCTTAACCCGAGGTAATATTTCTGGGTTAGCAGAGTCTGTAACATGAAGCGTATGTAACCCGAGGTATCACTGTAGATTGATAGATGTGTGTGTGTGTGTATGTATGTATAATTAAATTTCCAAAAACTTCACACAGACATAATTTTTCCTTTCCTTTTGTCGACTCCCCATTCCATTTTCCACGGTGTGTTTTTCAATTCTTCCTGCTTACTGCATCCTACCTTTCCTCTTTTATATTGTAACAACACAACAATCTCTCATTCCTTCTGTCGCCCCTAGTTCAAATCCTGCTCATGAATTCATCATCCTGTAATATTTAAACAGTCTGAAAAAGGCTTCAATTCTTCCATAAAGCAATCGCTGTTAAGTTCTCTTATTTTAGAAGAGTTTGGATTTGATATCCCGCTTTATCACTACCCGAAGGAGTCTCAAAGCAGCTAACATTCTCCTTTCCCTTCCTCCCCCACAACAAACACTCTGTGAGGTGAGTGGGGCTGAGAGACTTCAGAGAAGTGTGACTAGCCCAAGGTCACCCAGCAGCTGCATGTGGAGGAGCGGGGAAGCGAACCCGGTTCACCAGAATACGAGTCTACCGCTCTTAACCACTACACCACACTAGTTGTTAACTTGGCTGATTTCAGCATAGTCCTTTACCTATCCATTCTTCTTTGGCGGGAACTACTTCATCTTTCCATTTTTGTGGGCCGTGTGCTATTTTTAATGGGCGCCTGCTTCTCCACCTCACCCAAACAGCCCACCTCTCTCTCTCTCTCTCAGGCAGACCCAGGGAGAAGAGAAGAAAGAGCTTAAAAACCCTCCCCAAATTGTTACCTTGGCGAGAACGTCCATCCTCTGCAACATTCGCTTCATTTGGCGCTCTTCCTCCTCAGTGAAGCGAGAGAGAAGTGGCTCCAGCTGCCCTGTCTGGAAGAAAGGAAGACACTGAGGATGTGGGGCAGATTTTTTTTTTGGGGGGAGGGCAGGGGACCCTCATTGTACCCACAGAAAGAGGATTGTACATGGCAGCAAATCACTCTGCCACTGAGTCTAGGTTCTGAATAAAGCGATTTTTTTTAAAGGTATCAGGATTCATAGAATTGTAGCGCTAGAAGGGAAAACACGTATACTCAAACCATTGGAAAACCCAAAGAGCTTTTAAGTGCTCCACCTTGCGTGGGATTAATCTGTGCAATTTCAACCGTGCAAGGCTGAAATTGCTCAGGTTAAATGAGTGTAAGATGCAATCATATAGCACAGTTTTTTGGATCTAGGATACCCTAAGGAACCCTTGTATATCCCAGCTTGATCACGGAGATGATCCGCAGCGACATAGCTAGTTGCTCCCTGTGTTACCGAGGCCTGGCTGGTCTTGGCCACAAGCTGGGTATCTGGTTTTGCCAGTCCAGTGTTGTGGAACACTCTCTTAGCAGAGGCACACTCCTTGCTTGCATCTCAAATATTTTTTAATGCAGTTGTCTAAAATCTCCCGAGTAGCCAATTTAATTTTGGGACTGCTTTGCATTGCTTTTAAATGTCTTTATGATCCTGTACACCACCCTGGTGTATTGTGAGACAGCAGTATGTATGCATTATTATTAATAATAAAATATTAAGCATAGTTGTACCTTGGATCCCAAACTCCCTGGAACTCAGATATTCTGGCTCCCGAATGCCACAAACCTGGAAGTGATGGTTGCAGTTTGTGAACGTTCTTTTGGAACCCGAATGTCTGACAGGGCTTCCACGGCTTCTAATTGACTGCAGGAGGTTCCTGCAGCCAATCAGAAGCCCCGATTTAGTTTTCAAACGTTTTGGAAGTTTAACGGACTTCCAGAATGGATTCCATTTGCCTTCCAAGGTACAACTGTAGTAGTACTAAATAAAAGAGAAAAGTGGTTTTGTAATTTGCTGGAAGCCACAGAGTGGCTGGAGCAACCCAGTCAGATGGGTGGCATATAAATAATATAAATAATACATACATACATTTATTTTTATTACTATTATTATTATTAACAACATCTCATAGGTAATTGGATAACTAGCTGCACTTTCCAGAAGCAACTGAAGACTTGATCCAACAGGATTTCCCAGCTGAATAAACGGGTCTACAAGCATTCAACTTCTTAGGGTTTTTGTCTTGCTTTCAAACTATGTGCCATTTTTGTCTTTTAAAAGTTATCAGAAAGCGATTAATATATCAAAGACAATAGCAATAATAAAGAGCAACTAAGGGACGCGGGTGGCGCTGTGGGTTAAACCACAGAGCCTAGGACTTGCTGATCAGAAGGTCGGCGGTTCAAATCCCCACGACGGGGTGAGCTCCCGTCGCTCGGTCCCAGCTCCTGCCAACCTAGCAGTTCAAAAGCACGTCCAAGTGCAAGTAGATAAATAGGTACCGCTTCGGCGGGAAGGTAAACGGCGTTTCCGTGCGCTGCTCTGGTTCGCCAGAAGTGGCTTAGTCATGCTGGCCACATGACCCAGAAGCTGTACACCGGCTCCCTCGGCCAATAAAGCGAGATGAGCGCCGCAACCCCAGAGTCGGCCACGACTGGACCTAATGGCCAGGGGTCCCTTTACCATTTAAGGAACTGATTAATGTGCTTTGCAGCCAAAAGAGGGTGCCAGCCAGGCACCAGCTCTGGGATCAGCCCTGCTGCTGATAGCTGCTACCCAACCTGGTTTTTCCCTCAGCTGGAGAGGCGAGATTAAGGCACAGCTGGTGATATAGAAACTGGATGACTGTTAACATGCATAGGCAGATCTAGTGCAGCCTTGGCCAACCAACTGGTCTTCAGCTACTTTGGATTAAGCCTCAGCCACTTATGGCATATGATAAGGAGTGACAGAAGCTGAAGTCCAAAATAATAATTTATATACCGCCCATCTGACTGGGTTACCCCAGCCACTCTGGGTGGCTTCAGACAAATTAAAACACAGAAAAACCTTTTCTCTATCCACTTCCTCTGTGCCATGCATAATCATATGCTGCCTCTTCCTTGCCTTTTCTCTAAACCTTGCCTTTTCTCTAAACCAGCTATTCCCAAACTTGGGTCTCCAGCTGTTTTTGGACTACAACTCCCAGCATCCCTAGCTAGCAGGACCAGCTGTCAGGGATGATGGGAACTGTAGTCCAAAAACAGCTGGAGACCCAAGTTTGGGAAAATTCCCCAAACACTGCAAACTTTGCTCAGAGTGGGAGACGCTCCAACTGTCAATCATTTCAGATGCCCCAATGATCTCGCGGCTTCATTTTTGATAGTGGGGAAGATGACAGGAAGGGTTACTTTTTCCAGCAACCTAAGGGACTTATGTATGTTCCCCACCCCCACCCCTCCTTGCAAGCCATTTACCTTAATGTTTGGAGTAAGCAAGAGTTTGGAGATTTCCGTCCGGGAATCAATTAGGCTGTTCCAGTCGAGCAGGTCCACTGTTCTGGGGGTGAAGGGAAGAAAGAGAAGGAAATTGTTGCACGACCAGGCTTTGGCAGGCAGGTAACTTAACAATAATTTTATTATTTACATGCAGTCCATCTGACTGGGTAGCCCCAGCCACTCTGGGCAGCTTCCAGCAAAATATTAAAATACAGTGGTACCTTGGGTTACATACGCTTCAGGTTACAGACTCCGCTAACCCAGAAATAGTACCCCGGGTTAAGAACTTTGCTTCAGGATGAGAACAGAAATCGTGTTCCTGTGGTGCGGCAGCAGCAGGAGGCCCCATTAGATAAAGTGGTGCTTCAGGTTAAGAACAGTTTCAGGTTAAGAACAGACCTCCAGAACGAATTAAGTACTTAACCTGAGGTTCCACTGTACTTTTTAGGAGGGAAAAAGTGAGTCTTATAGAACAAAAAATACGGTAATATAGAACATGCAGAGTTTCTTCCATCATGTGGTCCATCCAGCTCAATATTGTCAACACTGACTGGCAGCAGCTCTCCAGGGTTTCATGCAGGGAGTCTCGCCCAGCCCTCCTGATTGATTTCTGTTCTTATCCTGAAGCAAAGTTCTTAACCTAAAGCACTATTTCTGGGTTAGCGGAGTCTGTAACCTGAAGCGTATGTAACCAGAGGTACCGCTGTAAGGGGAAAGGTGTGTTCGTCTTATGGAGCGAAATCAGGCTGCGCAGCTATCCCAGAAGCCAGAACAGCAACAGGGATCGCTGCTTTCGCTGTGCAGCGATCCCTCTTGTTGTTCTGGCTTCCGAGATTCAGAATATTTTTTTTCTTGCTTTCCTCCTCCAAAAACCAGGTGCGTCTTATGGTCTGGTGCGTCTTATAGAACGAAAAACACGGTAGTTCCCTACCCTTGTGCTGACATTTTCAAGATTCATTCTAACCCCTTTGTGTTCATGTCCCCAGACGTGCCAGCCATTCCCCACTGCCCCAGAAACAGCCCAGCAGATTCCCCAACATGTGTGTTGTCCTCGCCACTGCTCTACAAAGCCACCCCCATAGTCTTGTTCCTTGGACTCAAGCGAGGGGGCTTACCCTGACACGCCCAGCTTCTCGCCTGTGAACCAGTGCTGACTCTCCGCCTTAGTGGCAACCCCCAGCTTGGCCAGTGCTTCCTGCCAAGAAACCAAAATGAACCCATTTTAATGGTTAGATATGAATATTTAAGACATTGTTATGCTGTTTATCGCTCCCCGAAAGGGATTCCAGAATAGCTTGACAAGATCCATGATCGGGCTTGCAATCGTTTAAAAAAAGAGGAACTTGGGGGGGGGGGGGAGAGGCACAACACAAAAGGAAAAAGGATTGTGGAGGGAGGAGGAAAAATGAAAACAAGGCACCACTTCTGAAAATTACAAGGTTCTATCTGATGTCAGCCTTACTCAGATACCCACTGAAGATAATTTCAGTGGGTTGACTGAGCAACCAGCTGGGGTGGAAACAATTCAAGCATCTCCCAAGTCCTGTGTCATAAATTTATCTCCCCTCACCGTCCCCTCAAACCTTCTCCCTCACACATGGTGCTAAGAGCGGCTTTGTAGGGGTGGACTTTCGAGCAGGGAACAGACACAGCTTCTCAAAACCAAGTTGGCTTTGAATAAAGAGAGCTGGAAGGGTTTTGCTGCAGATCTCCAGAGCCCCACAAGAGCTCCCTCTTTCATCAGAGACTCACCACAGCTCTGCGCACCAAGATAGGAATGTGAAAGCCAGCGGTGAATTCCAGAAATAGTCTCTCCTGCCTCCCCCCTCCGCTTCTTTTACAGAAGAGGAATGAACCCCCTGCCAAATCACACCCAAAGGTTTACTATAGTTCAGGCTCTTGATTCTATCTAACAGGCGCCTCCAGGAAAATACTACAGATGGCGCATGGCGGCCGAAAACTACTCACACCCTCCCACAATCAGGTTTTCAGAGATATGATGCTTCTATGCGTGGAGGTATGATTTTGCTACTGGAACTAATAAGGCAGCAATAATCCATCTGCTCTAGGTAAGGGGATCTCAGCTTGTTTCAGGTTCAAGTTTGCTCTTTGTCTGAAGCCAAAGAGAGCATGCTTTATCGCAGCAAAGGAAGAATGGATACAAAAACGTATGGAATATGTAGAAATGGCGAAGCTTACCGGAAGAATAAGAAATCAAGGTAACAAACTTTTTATAGAAGAATGGAAATGGTTTTTGAATGTTTACAGATAAATTGTAAACAGATAAGAACATTGGCAGGATTATTGTATTAACCTGCAGTTTCATAAGAGTATATATTTAAAGATGTACGGTGGTACCTCGCAAGACGAATGCCTCGCAAGACGAAAAACTCGCAAGACGAGTTTTTTGAGTTGCTTCGCAAGATGAATTTCCCTATGGGCTTGCTTCGCAAGACGAAAAACGAAAACGTCCTTTTTCTTAAAACTGTTCAATGCATTCCTATGGGAAACCGTGCTTCGCAAGACGAAAAAACTCGCAGAACGAATTAATTTCGTCTTGCGAGGCACCACTGTATAAATGAGCAAATTAAGTTAATTTGGATATGCAGAAAATATTAAAAATAAATTTAAGGAGCCGCAGAAAGAGGGGGAAGGAAGTCAAGTTTTGAAATGTCAAATTGATTGTAAAATCAGTGAAGTGTACAAACCTGGAAAGTAAGTGTGTGTGTGTGTGTGTGTGTGTGTGTGTGTGTGTGTATGTGCATGCTTTTTCTTAGCGTTTTTAACGTTTTGGTTTTAAATGCTTCGGCTTTTTAAAAAATGAATAATGTTTATTGTATTTTGCTTGGTGCCCAGTTATTTGCCATGTGGCACTTGCACGCTCCGCCCTGGGATCCTCCAGTGATGGGCTGCCTGATCAACCCGGCCAATAGAATCACAGAATTGTATAGATGGAGGGGACCCTGAGGATCATCTAGTCTAACCCCCTGCAATGCAGAAATATGCAGCTGTCCCATACGGGGATCGAACCTGAAACCTTGGCGTTATCAGCACCACACTCTAACCAACTGACCTAATAAATGAATGAATCAGAGGTTCAAGCATGAACAGGCCTTTTCTGCAACCCGAAGTCCTCTGGATGTCTTGCACTACAACTCCCACCAGCCCCAGCTTCACATGGCTGCATGATGCCAGGGCTGATGGAAGAAGCACAGTACCGGCTGGGAGCTGTAGTCCAAAATGGCTGTGCTGCCTGGGGGCTGATGGGAGTTGTAGACCAACAACATCTGCAGGGCACCAGGGCTGGGGGAAGTCTGGCCTAGCACCTTTCCAGAGAGGCAGTGAGGGCTGGATTTTGGAGCCGAAATGCTGCCCCTGATCTCAGCCCCGTTTTGTCCGCAGAGAAATGAGGCAGGGTCCTCTGGAAGAAACTCCATCAGCCCCCGCTGCTCCCCCCAACCATCCCACCAGGGACCAGAGCACGAAGACTCACCTGCAGCTTCTCCACCTCCAGCTTGGTCTCCAGGGCAGCCAGACCCACCTTGCCCTGCTCGGCGGCCAGCTGGTGGAAAAATCGCCTCCATTTCACCAGCACCTCTGAGAACTGCAGCTGGAAAAAGAGGGAGAGAGAGGAGCATGTCAGTTACGTGCTGGCATCAGCAACGTGGCCTTTCCAGGGAAAAAATCGGAACTGCAAAATTTCACATGCACATTTTGTCGGTTCTGCTTACCAGGAACTGAGGCCTCCCCAGTGCGGTCAACTTAATGGCAGAAAAGCCGTCTTCCGAACTGCCACCTGCCAAAGAAAGGCAAAGCATGGTCACCCTCTCTGCCCCTTCCTCCATGAAGACGCGGGCAGCACCCTGTGGGGGTAGCCGGCATTTCGTCCTCAAAATAACCCTAAGAGGTAGGCCAGGCCAGGTCGAGATTAAAATCCAGAGTCTAGCAGTCCATATCGGCCTCTTTTAGCCACAACATCACATTGGGCTGCTTTGTGTATCACAATTATGAAGACGTTGTGTTTACTGCAGAGACGGCTAGCCGTTTTGTGGACAGCGAGCCACATTCAACGTTAGCCAGCCCTCTGGGGGCTCCAAGGCAGCCGCAGCTGGAGTGACCACAGGCAACGCCATCTCAGCTGATCCGTGCAGATCAGCTGCTGGGTTTTTGCATGCCTCCTATGTGGCGTTCCCAAAGCAAAGGAAGGATTGGACTCTGATTAACAGAATACACACGAGGCTTGACCAGCAAGACTCTGGGAGGGGTGCCAATAATAATCCCTCTCTCCACACCCTGTGGCCCAGATCGTTTTATTCACAAAAGAACTTTTTACACAGTGTTAGTAAGAACCAATCAGATTTTGTCTGAGCATTTCAAAAACCCCACGTGGAACAAAGTCAGATCAGAAGAAATTTTTCTAACTACAAAGAAACTTATTTCCTACTTGAGCATGCATGTGTAGTTCAGAATAAATAAAAGAGGAAGCAAGGAGGAATGCTTTTAGGAAACTACGGAGGTCATAAACAGCAATAAACAGGAGAGAAAGGATGGCAAGGAAAGATTAGGCATCTTTATCACCTCCATGTGAAACTATTTCCTGGCCCTAAGATTAACAAACTACATCAAAGTAACCTACTACCTTTATGCACTGAGGATTTCTGATGAAGCAACTGGCCTGTGTTTCAGAATGCTTATACGTGCCTGTCAGGTGTAGAGAAATCAGAGATGCAGAAGCTTGTGGGATTTGATCAGAAACTATTGTCAATGAATCAAACCCAGTCAATGCAATGCTTTCATCGTGGACACAATGGCTCGATGCATATTTTATAATTCCTCATAGTAATCCCATCTGATCACTACATCCTAAACCAGGACTTGTTTGGTGGTCCTGGTGCAAGGTAGGTGTGATTCAGCTATGTGTGCTTATACACTGCTTGTTCATTGGGAAGAGCAAACCACGGTTTACTGTGATATGAAAAAAATCAACTCCTCGGCTCTCAAAAGGGTACCCAAGCATGGCTGATATGAAGTGGAGTTTACACCATAATATAGCAAATTTGATTTCTGGCTCATCTCCCCAAGCAACCCGTTGGCTGTCCAACTAGGCTGTTGCAAGAGTGAGTGCAGGATTTATTATGTTACTGTTTCCCAGAGGAGCTTATCCTGCCTACCAGAAGCCTCAATGCATCGCAGGAAGGTGTCCATGTGCCGGTCGCATTTAGCTTCATCTGCGTAGAAGTAGGTGCGGGCACTGATGACCCCATCCCGCCGGTCGCCAAACTTGCGGTGCACACTGTAGCGCTTCTCTCTTTGCTCTGGGATGGGGAGAAGAGAGAGACAGGACAGGAAGTTAGAGCAAGTGGACTACTGCAATGCGCTCTACGTGGGGCTGCACTTGAAGACAACTTGGAAACTTCAGCTGGTCCAAAATGCAGCCACTGAATTACAGACTGGGGTTCCATTTGGATCTCATATAACTCCCTGTTTGAAAACAGCTGCACCAGTTCTTTTCTAGGCCTCTTTGACACTTGAGGTATACGTTCTTAGCACCCCCTTAGTCTTAGGGTTGTTAGTTGTTTGAAATAGATGAAAGGCCTTTGTTTGGTGGCGGCATAGCTACTCCACTTGCCAAAAAGTCGTGGGGCTGCCTCTGCCAATCAGTGCTGATACTACCTAGCTAGATAGACCTTTATGTTTTGAGACTACAATTCCCATCATCCCTGACCACTGGTCATGTTAGCTAGGGATGATGGGAGTTGTAGCCCCAAAACATCTGGAGGGCTGAGTTTGCCTATGCCTGCTCTACCCCAAAGGAAATACAAAAACGAGGTTGTTCCATTTTTCTGCCCTGGGAAAATTTCACATTAATGAAGACCCGGGGGGGGGGGCGGGGGAGTGGGAAGCGATCTGGAGAATCAAGACACTTGGCAGGGGAAGGAAGAGAAGGCAAACACGAAGGACTAGAAACATGAAAGCTGCTTTACTTACTGCCAGTCTCCTTCTCAAATGCAGACGTACAGGAGCTGAAACGAAAAGATGAACACAAGCCTTATTTCAGCAACCAGAGGCAGGCAAACGGTAGGTCTCTGCGTGGCTTGCAGCAGATTTCTGACACCCAGTTGTTTAAACGCAGCCTCCCCTCCCCCAGCTAAACTGCTGCCTCTTCCAGATGTTGGACTCCAATTCCCATTAGCCTCAGCCAGCACAGCTGATGGTCAGGGATGATGGGAACTGTAGTCTGACAACATCCAGGGGGAGCTAGGCTGGCTAAAGCCTACTGAACGTTAGCAAGAAGGTGGCTCCCTTCACCCCTTTTCTAAGTTAGCCTGCTGAGATTAATAAAGCTTGGTGGGAAATCCAGGAGTGGATTTTTGCACGATGGGACTGGGTGCACAGCTCTGGTGTGGATCACTTCTCATCCACTTGTGCTTGGAGGACCTTGTGGTTCTAATGAAACAATAACGTAATAAATCCTGCAAGCCTGAAGTGTGCTCGCCCCTGTTCTTTGCAGACTCGCCCCAGGCGACTGATGAGTCACTGCAAATAGCAAGTCCAGCCAAGCCATGCATGGGAGGGTGCAGGCAGGCTTTACACACTCTGGGCTTCGCGTGGGAGCAGCCAGCATGCTGCTGTCAGTGAAAGCCACAAGTGCCTAACCAAGGTCATCAGCAACATGCAAATCTAGCATGCTCTGAGCTGCTACATTTGAGTTGCAATCGTATAGCCCAGGCTATAGGATTGCACAATAAGAATCAGCTGTTGCACAGTTTGTGCACTGAACTCCTCTGCTGTGCAGTTTCTAAACGCGGCTGCCCCATGGTGCAATTTGTGGACAGAGAATGCTAGATACAGCCCACTAAAATCAAGCATGGTCGGGGATGCACTCATCTAGGCTTTGCAAACAAAATGACAACTCTTCCCCATCCCCATTTAACTTTTCTCCTGCTTGCTCAAGCACAAAAGTTCCCAAGTGGCCGGGATTCCATGTGCTCGCAGCCAGCTTTTCCGCTCTGCAGAACGAATTCCAGAATGACAGGAAGTGTGTGTGTGGGTGGGGGGCCCTGCAGTTATGAAACAGAAGGGAAGAGTTAAAGGAACCAGCGAACTCAAGTTCACTGGATGGAAGCCTGCCTTACAGGGAGTTTGCAACCCAAGCACTCGGCAGAAACCTGACCTGTTCCATTATTGTAAGGTTGTCCCTGTGACAAGGATTAGCGAGGCTGGCTGAGCTCATAAGCTTGTATCGAAGCAGAAGGGAATTTCGGACGGTGGGAGAAGAGGAAGGGAGGGAGATTTTAGAGCAAACTTTAGTAAGGCAACATGGAGCAGTTTAGTGAAAGAGCACAAACTCTGAACACAAAACGTCTTGGGTTCATTCCCCAGCAGCTGACACTAAGCAGCCTTATACTGTGAGTCTGTGACAAACCACTGGCCCGTCTCAGTATTGCCTAGACCAGTTTTTCCCTAACTTGGGCCCACAGCTGGTTTTGGACTACAATTCCCATCATCCCTGACCACTGGTCTTGCTAGCTAGGGATGATGGGAGCTGTAGTCAAAAAACAGCTGGATCCCAAAGTTTGGGGAACACTGATCTATACTGACCAGCAGGAATGATTTTAGGTGGAGATGAACGGGAAGGACAGAGGGAGAAAAACTTATCCCTATGTGCTCTCCATGCCATGCCCCATTTAAAAAACTGTGCAGCAGCACACAATTGCCTCAGCCTCCCTGAATTTGTCCAATCCTCTTAAAGCCACCAAGCTGGTGGCCATCACTCCCTCTTGTGGCAGGGAGTTCCACAGTTCAACTATGCAGCACATTAAGAAGTCCTTACTTTTATTTGTCCTGAATCTGGGATAGCTCAGCTGGTAGAGCATGACACTCTTAACCTTAGGGTTGTGGGTTCGAGGCCCACATTGGGTGAAAGATTCCTGCACTGCAGGGGGTTGGACTAGATGACCCACAGGGTCCCTTCCAACTCTACGATTCCAGGATTCACCTTCCTTACATGTGTCCTGGTTCTAAAGAGGGAGAAAAAGCTTTTCTCTATTCACTTCCTCCATGGCATGCATGATTTTATAAACTCCTCTCCTGCTGCCTCTTACTTGCTTTTTCTATAAACCAAAATGTCCCCAAAGCTGCAACCTTTCCCCTCCCCACAGCCTCCCCAGCAGGGGCTCTCACACAGCCTCCGCACTTGTTACAGGCAGCTGCTCTGTTTGCATAAGGGACCCGCCTTCCCATCAGCAGACCAAACGAAAGGGGAGGCTTGCCCCTATCCAATCACGCTGCCCGAGTGTTTGGATTCCCTCCCCTCCTTTTGGCAAGCCCCAAGTTGCACATTGCGTACCAAGCAGAGAGAGAACAATCCACCTTGTGACGCAAAGGCAGCTTTGGTTTCACCATGGCCTCCTGCCAAACAGCTATGGCAACTGGGTTCATAGCCTCATAGAGTTGGCAAGGACCCCAAGAGACCCCCAAGCCCAAGCCCCTGCAAGGCGGGAACCACAGCTAAAGAATCCCTGACAGGTGGCCACCCGACCTCTCTGTTTATAGGAGAGTTTGAGGTAGTCCTTTCCACTGCCACACAGCTCTAAGTGCCAGAAAAATATTCCGAACGACAGCCTCTTATCTTGCCATTTGAATCTGCTGGTTTATACCCTCCCCTCTGGGAGCATCAGAAAACAGGCTTACTCCATCTTCTGTGTGAGCTTTCCAAACTGTGCGTCGGCTGCAGCATGTAGCCGTGTCATGCGAACGCTCCCTGCATTCCTCCCGGGGCTGGAAAGGGGCTAGTTTAACCTCCGGTTTGTTAGGAAAACCGAATTGCTGTGTCATAAAATGATGCACGTCTGAAAAGTATGGAAGGCTGTGCTCTAGTTTCAGGCACTGAGCAAACATACCTGAGAATGGCAAGGATTGAACTTGCACACTAAGCAAGTGCTCTTACCCCTGCCCCCCACCACACAGTGGTACCTTGGTTCTCGAACGGCTTAGTTGTCGAACAAATCGGCTCCCGAACGCCGCAAACCCAGAAATGTTCCGGTTTGCGAACGTTTTTCGGAAGCCGTGCCTTGGTTTTCGAATGGTTTCAGGAGTCGAACGGACTCCCGGAATGGATTAAGTTTGAGAACCAAGGTACCACCATACAGACTACTCATCCATTGAGCTCAGCACTGCCTACACTGACCGGCAGCCCCTCTCTCAAGATTTCAGGCAGGAGACATTTCTAGCCTTGTAACCTGGAGATGCTGGGGACTGAACGGGAGACTTTCTATGCACAGAGCAGATGTCGTATCACCGAGCTACGGCACACCCCTGTTTTAAGCTCTCCTGTCAATCATCTCTTTGGCATGGCTTGTGTTTCCAAAAACAATCCACGCAAAGCGTATTCGTTTCCCTCTCCACCCTGCCTGAAGCCTCGAGATATGTTTGCAAGGAAGATAAGTTTGCCGAGAGAGACAACGCACAGGAAAGGGAGCAGGAAGAAAGGGGTAGGTATGAACTTGGCCGTTGCGCATTGCTGAAATAGTTGACTTGTGGATCTCTCTTCCGGCACTGTCCCCTGGGCAGCCCCAAACATGCACACCACCTGGATTCCATCATCACTCAGCCTGTCTTCGGCTAAACATCCCCCCAAACCGGTCCTCCTCCTTGCTGTGGGGCAGTTTCAACCCGTTGCAGCTGCCTGCAGCTGGGGAAACCACCTGCCAAAACCACTCCTATCTTTCAGCAAAGGTGACAGAGCAAAGCAGCTGACCTATCCCTTGCAAGCAAGTCAACACTTGGAAATTACATAAGCCACTTCTTCCCCCCAACCAAGGACACACACACCTCTCTCATGCAAAGCCAAGACCGCTTTACTTTCCTGCCCTCTGCCTCCTCCCTCTCACATTTCCTTCTCATGCAATGCAACACGCCCAAGGAAGGAAGCTCCCGTTGCAACATAGTAAGTGGCTTGAGCCCAGCCACACACAAACACCCCTCCAGCTGAGCCGCCACAAAGCAGTCTCTCACTCACTCCAGTTCCTTCTTCTCAGCTTCCTCTGTGGTCAGGTCCTCTTCCACGCTGTAGTCCAGCACGGAGCCCACGCCGCAGGCGCTGTAGCGCTGGATGAGAGGCTTGATGGCCTCTTGGTCCTCGCCGGCCACAAACTGCCCGTAGAAGGTCAGTTTCATCAGCTTCTCAAAGAGCCACTGGCCCAACAGCTTCCGGCTGAAGCTCATCAGCTGTAGGACGCAGAGTCAGGGGGTTAAAATGGAGGAGGAAGCAGAGAGGCAACTTTGCTCTAAAAAGGGCCCTGCTAAGCTTTCGAAGGCGTACTAGGAGTCATTGGGGCTGCCGCCACAGCAGGGCTGGCGGCTTCCAAGAGCATTTATTTTCACAAAAACTGACATGCAAGCCATCTAACTTTTTCACTTGCACATAGGTCAGGGAAAGAGCCGATAGCATTACTTCACAACCGCTCAGGAAGAAAAAAAAAATTCAGGACTTTTTTTTTTTAAATAACATTGCAAAATCAAGGAACTGATTGTCTGCATGTGCTTCTCTGTCCTCATCTACTTTTCTTTTTGTGTCATGACTTTTTAGATCATAAACCCTAGGGAAAGGAGCCGCACAGCTTTTATGCATTTGTAAGCCCCTCAGTGGGGTTGGGTGGGGGCAGTGACTGAAAGGAAAGGTGCAAATGCTTTGAACCAACACATGTATTTTAATATAAACCTACAACATTCAGGGTTTTTATTGTTCCCCATTACCCACTTCTAACAAGGCAACTTGGGACACGTCTTATTGCATTTGTATCCCACCTTTTTCTCCAAGGAGCTCAAGGTGGCAAACATGGTTCTCCCCCGCCTCATCTTATCCTCACAACAACCCTGTGAGGTAGGTTATGCTGACAGGAGCAGGCTGGTACCGTAAGCTTCATGGCCAAGTGGGGATTTGAACCCTGGTCTCCCCTCTTGCCACTGGAGGCTGCTCTGGTAGGGCAAATGCAGGTGCTGTCCCCCCAATCTCAGCTGCCGCCACCCCACCTTCCTTTCGACTTACAAGGAGCCCGAGGGGGGGCTCTACCTGCCATTGGCTCTGGCACCACCTACTGTCGGTCTCCCCACCCTCTGCCCTACCATTCCTGATGGAGCATCAAAGGGCAATCAGGTTCTCATGGCAACAGCCTTTGTGTGGGAGGCATCAATTTGCCCTTAGGAGAGTGGCCGGCAATGGGAAGGAGAGAAAGGGAACGAAAGATGGAGAAGGAAGAAGGGTGAAAACTTGAATAAAATATGGGGGGGGGGAAGCAGGTAAGGCTCGCCCCGTATAATCAATCACAAAATGCGGCACGTGCACACTAGCTAAATGGCAATGCCCACCAACTTTGGGGTTGCCCAGCGCCTTCAGGGCTCCTACGGAAAGAAAGAAGGAAGGAAGGAAGGAAGGAAGGAAGAAAGAAAGAAAGAAAGAAAGAGGAAAAGAAAGGAATTGACGAAAAGAGAGCGGAGAAAGAGATGAATAAGAGATGAAAGGAATTGGTAAGAGAAAGGAAAGCGAAAGCAACGGAGCGCGTATCCTGCGCGGCGCCCCTCGCGCGACCGCCTCCTCACCTTGTCGCCGTGCTCCACCAGCGGCTCGAGCGAGCAGAGGCCGAGCACCAGGAGCCCCCGGGCCAGCTCGCCGCTGCTCTTGCTCCGGAAAGCCTCTTGCGCGTCCGCGAAGTCCACCGCGGGGGGCGGAGGCAGCGGAGTCGGCGGCTGCTGGAGGCGCGCACCGGAGGATGAGGCTGGGGGCGGCTGGGCAGGGTCAGCCAAAGGCTGCTCCGCAGGTGCCGGCGCCGGAGCAGCGGCCGTGGCAGAACGCGGACAGCTCCGCGAGGCGAAGGACTGGGCTGCGCGCAGCGCCAACAAGGCGCCTTTGGAGGTGCGACAACGCCCGGCCATGGCTGCTGTAAAAGACGGCGCCACAGCCCCGGCGAGTTTAAATAGGCTCCGTCGTCCTCTGGCAACGCCCACCGCGCCATTCCATTGGCTGGAGCCCACGCTGGGGGGGGACACCGCCCTCCGGTGCTGCGCCCAACCGCTTCTGGTTGCCCACCCGGCAGCTTCCTTATTGGTTAAAGGAGACTCGCCCCTCCGCGAGACCACGCCCACCGCGAGCCTTCTGTAGCGCAACAGACCCGCTTGACGTTTGCTGCGCTTCACGTGAATCTGGATTAGAATGCGTAGCTTTAGGACCGGAACCCAAGCAGACTCGCCTCTGGCATCTGCCAGGACGTCGTCACCCACCTGGGAAACTGCACTCCTGCCTCATAGGGAAGGATTGACAACACGATCTGTGGACCAGGGAAGGAGCTGCTGTTCTGATGTTTGCTTTCTTCTTCCCTCCGCGGTCCCTTTTCCTTTTGTAATATGTCTACTGAATCGAGAGCCTGCGGGTAGGGACTGTTTTGTCTTCTAATAATAAATGTACTGTGTGTGTGTGTGTGTGTGTGTGTGAGAGAGAGAGAGAGAGAGAAAGACCAACCTTTTTTCTTCAAAGAGCTCAAGGTGGCCTACACTCTCCCCCTCCTCATTTAATCCCAACAGCAAACCTTGTGAGGCTGAGTTGCCCTGAGAGGCAGCGACTGGCCCAGGGTCACCCAGTGAGCTGCCTAACCAAGTGGGGATTTGAAACCAGCTCTCTACCAGGTCTTAGTCCCACACTCTAACCACTACAGCGCACTGGTGACTTGTAATTTAAAGGTAAAGGTAAAGGTAAAGGGACCCCTTCCCTGGAAAAGACCCTGATGTTGGGAAAGATGGAGGGCACAAGGAAAAGGGAATGACAGAGGACGAGATGGTTGGATAGTGTTCTTGAAGCTACCAGCATGAGTTTGACCAAACTGTGGGAGGCAGTGGAAGACAGAAGTGCCTGGCGTGCTCTGGTCCAGGGGGTCACGAAGACTCGGACACGACTAAACGACTAAACAACAACAACCACAAAGGGACCCCTGACCATTAGGTCCAGTCGTGGGCAACTCTGGGGTTGCGGCGCTCATCTCACTTTACTGGCCGAGGGAGCCGGCGTACAGCTTCTGGGTCATGTGGCCAGCATGACTAAGCCGCTTCTGGCAAACCAGAGCAGTGCACGGAAATGCTGTTTACCTTCCCGTTGGAGTGGTACCTATTTATCTACTTGCACTTTGACGTACCTTCGAACTGCTAGGTTGGCAGGAGCAGGGACAGAGCCACGGGAGCTCACCCCATCATGGGGATTCGAACCGCCGACCTTCTAATCGGCAAGTCCTAGGCTCTGTGGTTTAACCCACAGCGCCACCCGTGTCCCGACTTGTAATTTAGGTGACTCATAAATGCTGTTTCATTCATATGGGCTTGCCACCAGCAGCTGACCAGGTTCGGCTCTGGCCAAGGGCCGCAGGCTCCCACAAGGGCCCCTCACTGACCTGACCTAGCTGTGCTGCCTCTTACTGTCTGACAATACTCAAGTCTTGCTCATGGGCTTCCCATTGGGGCATCTTGTTAGCCATTGTACAAACAGAACACTTGACTTGATACGTACAGTGGTACCTCAGGTTAAGTACTTAATTCATTCTGGAGGTCCGTTCTTAACCTGAAACTGTTCTTAACCCGAAGCACCACTTTAGCTAATGGGGCCTCCCACTGCTGCTGTGCTGCCGTTGTGCAATTTCTGTTCTCATCCTGAAGCAAAGTTCTTAACCCGAGGTACTATTTCTGGGTTAGCGGAGTCTGTAACCTGAAGTGTATGTAACCCGAGGTACCACTGTAGATCCAACCTAGATCTAACCCCTGCACAGTCTCATCAGGACTGACCTTAAGGCAATTGGAGCAATTGGGCCAAATTGGGCGCCGCCGGCTGCTCCTAAGGGGGCCCCTGCCCCAGGGCAATCTAGTTGGATTTTATTTATATCTATAAGATTTTGCAGACTTTGGCTGTGAACTGGGGCCCTCCAAAAAAAAAATAATAATTCAAGTTGCGCCCCACTGCTTCAAATTGGGCCCCACCGGCCAGCCCTGAGTCTAATAGTTGCTGGGCTTGAGTTGCCCTGCCCTCACATGAAGTCTTGGGTTTGCAATTTTGGGAGAGGGGAGACTGCGGCACTGGGGAGCGGGAGGGGTGGCAAGGCCCCCAAGATTTAGAGGCCCTAGGCCTCAGCCTACTTAGCCTACACATAAATCTGGTACTGCTTGTGGGGGTGCCTGCTTCGTGCCCCCTCAAAAAACTGCACCTGGGGTCACGGCCTCTCTGGGCCCTCCACGCTACACCCCTGCCATCTAGTCTAGCCTCCTGGTGGCCAATGAAATCCCTGTGGGAAACCTGCAAGCGGGATTCCTCCTGTGTCTCCCAGCACCTGTTATTAAGAAGCATGTCTGCCTTCAGCTGTGGAGACTGAGCATAGCCATGGTGGCTGGTGGCCATCGATAGCCCTCCCCTCCATGAATTTGTCTAATCCTCATGTAAGCGCTTTTTATATGCAATAACAGCAGCAAGACTATTATTGGCCCAAAAATGGAAGCAAGAAGAGTTACCGACGATTGAAGAATGGAGGATGAAGTTAATGGACTATGCAGAATTAGATAAACTAACAGGAAGGTTTCGAAACCAGTGGGACCAGAAATTCACGGAAGACTGGAGTAAATTTACGGACTATTTGAAAAGTAATTGTGAAGAACAGACGACGTTTGTAGGGTTGCAAGAAGTTTTGTGAGGAGTATTATTAGAAGTATTGTAAAAATGGACAAGGGGGAGGATGATTTGTTAAGAGATGGAAAAGTTAAGAAATGCATAAGAAGTGGTTAAAACGGTGGATCATCAGAGGTGCTGATGGAAGTCTAAAAAGATTGTATAAGTGATAAGTTTTGTGGTACATTTTATAATTTATATGTTAAAATTAATAAAAAATATTATATAAAAAAAGAATTTGTCTAATCCTCTTTTAAAGCCATCCAGGTTGTTGGCCATCACTGCCTCCTGTGGGAGGGAGTTCCGTAGGTTAACTCTCCTCTTAGCTTCTCCCCCCACTGCCATTACTACCTTCCCCGCCTGCCCCACTGTGTCAAAGCTGGCAAAAGGAAATGCAGGCGTATTTGAGCAGGAGGTTATCTGTGCTCCTGGCTCTCGTATCGCAACACCCTTGGGAGGTGGAGAGGAGATAAGGGAGGAAATCTCTTTGCACTGGCGTAATCTGAAGGTCATTCTGTGAAGCAACCCGGTTAGGTCATCTCAACAGAGAATCAATATAGACCATTTTGAAGTCTGGTCTGGAAAAGGTGTCATGTCCAGCCTTGACCCTATTAAGCAGACAAAAGCACTTCAGACTGGTTGGTTCCAGAGAATGGAGTATACAATCATGCCAGACGGGAGATAATAAAAGGTGTTAGTGAACTCTGGTTCATGAGGGCAAATAGAAGCACCGCCCCACCAATTTCAGCCTTGATTCTGCCAAGTCCACCTGCATAATGGCACATCCATAAGTGTCGTCTTCTTCTTCCTCTTCTCCTTTTTCTTCTTCTTTTTCTTCTTCTTCATTAGATTTACAGTGGTACCTCATGTGTCATGTACCACCTGTAGATCATTTTCATTATATTCTCTCTTAGGGCATTACATGCCGTAAACTTCATACCTGTGGTCCATAACTGTTCCCAGTCAGCCATCATAATATTATGTCCTACATCTTGTGCCATCATAGTTGATTTCACCATTTCATCCTGAGTATTCCATTTCAACGGCAAGTTATACATTCTTGACAAGTTCTTAGTTTTGGGATCTAACAGTTCTGTTAAACCTGAAACTGTTCTTAACCTGAGGAACCACTTTAGCTAATGGGGCCTCCTGCCGCCGCCGCGCTGCCGCCGTGCGATTTCTGTTCTCATCCTGAAGCAAAGTTCTTAACCTGAAGCACTATTTCTGGGTTAGCGGAGTCTGTAACCTGAAGCATCTGTAACCTGAAGCGTCTGTAATATGAGGTACCACTGTAGTCAAAACAGAAGCAACAAAACACTAACCTTTCCCCCCCATTTAAAATACTGTAGAATATTAATCAGCCAAAGGCCTGGTTGAAGAAGAACGTTTTTGCCTGGTGCCTAAAGACACGTAATGAAGGTGTCCAGCGAGCCTCCCTGGGAGAACATGCCACAAACAGGAAGCCACTGCAGAAAAGGCTACTTCTCATGTTGCCACCCTCTGGACCTCTCATGGAGGAGGTACGTGAAGAAGCGCCTCAGAAGATGATCTCAGGGTCCAGGTAGGTTCATATGGGGAGAGGCGGTCCTTGAGGTATTGCAGTCCTGAGCTGTTTAAGGCTTTATAGGTCAAAATCTATATAATTATAATCAGTGCTTTTTTCTGGGGGGACGCAGGGGTACGCATACCCCTAAGCGGTTTGTGAATCTAAGTTTGGCCTCATTGAGGGGCAGTATTTCAATATGAGTAGGAAAATATGAGGAAAATGAGAGTACCCCTAAACATGTTATTTAGAAATTAAGAACTGATTATAATTAGGGGTGCACTGCAAGGATCCATGGTGGGTTTCCATCACCATTAATTTATTAAATTTGTTTACCACCCTTCATCCATAGATTCACAACATAAGAATACAATATAAAACACCCAAGATGACCAGGAGTGCACTTGGAGGCTCCTGATTGTTGATTTGCAGGGCATGATTTGGTACTCGAACGGCTTGACTCCCGAACAAATCAAATTCTGCAAACCTGGAAGTAGGTGTTCTGGTTTGCAAACGTTTTTAGGAAGCTGAACGTCTGACGTGGCTTCTGATTGAGTGCAGGAAGCTCCTGCAGCCAATCGGAAGCCACACCTTGGTTTTTGAATGGTTTCAGGAATCGAACGGAGTCCCGGAATGGATTATGTTCGAGAACCAAGGTACTTACCTTTTCCTGCTCACCTCATGCTGTATGTGACAGGTGTACAGTCACATCTCGTGTTGTGTTTGCTTCAGGTTGAGCGTTTTCAGGTTGCGTCCCGCGATGACCCGGAAGTACCAGAAAGGGTTACTTCCGGGTTTCGCCGCTCGCGCATGCGCAGATGCTCAAAATGACGTCAAGCGCATGCACAGAAGTGGCAAATTGCGACCCGCGCATGCACAGATGTGCAAACGCAGGTTGCGTTCTGCTCATAGAATCATAGAATCATAGAGTTGGAAGAGACCACAAGGGCCATCGAGTCCAACCCCCTGCCAAGTTCGCAATCCCATTCGCAACCAGAGGTACCACTGTCTGTTGTTTTAGACTGGAAGCTAAACAGAGCGTGCTGAAGGCCAGACAGAGGGGTCTGGACCATTTCGACTCCCAAGCCTGAGGTTTGCCCACCCCAGTATAAAGGGCCGTGCAGATAATGTGATGCAAAGGATATTGAACTTTCAGCAAAACACCGTGATTCATTAACCAACCCTGGCGCTTCAGAAATGCAGTGCTAAATTTCTAAATGTGCATTCCTGTGCCGAGAAGTGTGACATGTCCCTCTGCTAGACTGGCTTCCCGAATCCCCTTGACCCTTACCCTCGCATTTCTAACCTCCTCACCTTTGCTGTGATAAACGTCAAGGGCTAAGCTCCTTACTGCCTGCTGTGGAACCCGGCACATACTTGCACATGGCTCCCCAAATCAACACAGACTGTGGAAACTTCACACTGGACTTCAAGCATCTGGTATTGTGTGCCTCCCCATTCTTCCTCCAGACTCTGGGGCCTTGGTTTCCAAATGAGATGCAAAAGCTGCTCTCATCAGAAAAGAGATTTGGGGAGCCATGTCATCAGCTGGTGTTGGTCCACTGTGCTTCATTAAGTCCAGGGTCCACGCAGCTGTCTACCAGGAGATTTTGGAGCACTTCATGCTTCCTTCCGCAGACGAGCTTTATAGGGATGCTGACTTCATTTTCCAGCAGGACTTTGGCATCTGCCCACACTGCCCAAAGTATCAAAACCTGGTTCAATGCCCATGGGATTACGGTGCTTGACTGGCCAGCAAACTTGCCTGACCTGAACCCCATGGAGAATCTATGGGGCATTGCCAAGAGACAGATGAGAGACATGAGACCAAGCAATGCAGAAGAGCTAAAGGCTGCTACTGAAGCTTCTTGGTCTTCCATAACACCTCAGCAGTGCCACAGGCTGATAGCATCCATGCCACGCCGCATTGAGGCAGTAATTGATGCAAAAGGGCCCCAAACTAAGTACTGAGTACATATGCATGCTTCTACTTCTCAGAGGTCCAATATTGCTCTATTTGCAGTCCTTGTTTTGCTGATTTCATTTAATATTCTAATTTTCTGAGATTGTTATTTTGGGGTTTTCATCAGCTGTACGCCATGATCATCACAATGATAACAAATAAAGGCTTGACATATCTCGCTTTGCATGTCATGAGTCTGTCTCATATATTAGTTTCACCTTTTAAGTTGAATTACTGAAATAAATGAACTTTTCCACAATATTCTAATTTTCCGAGTTTCACCTGTAAAATGATGATGATGATGATGACTTTGCCCTTTCCTTTTTACCAGTCTCCTGCTCATCGCTGACCAAAGCAGGACTTGCTGTCTGTCTGCACGGACAGCAAGCCTTACTTGCCAGGGAACAACCAGAAATGCACTTTAAGGCTCCATATTGTTGCTTTGCAGTCACATTTTTACCTTTACCGGCCCACCTGAAGTCACATAGGAGAGGTGGGTGTGGTTTTGGAAAAATGGCCTCGTGGGCCAAATTAGAAGCTCTGCTGGGCCTAATTTGGCTTGCAGGCCGGAAGTTCCCCACCCCTGCCTTAAGAGTAGTTTTTACCAACTGGTTGCCTTCCGGCTGGTTTGGACCACAACTCCCATCACTCCTGGCCAGCATGGCTGTGCTGTCATCAGCCCTAGGGAAATACAGCTGGGGAGCCGTGGTTCAAAACATCTGGAGGGCACCAGGTTGGGGAAGGCTGGCACAACCCTTTCAAATGGGACCTTCTGCTTCCTAGGAATGGAATCTAGAATCCTAAGCCACAGTCTAGAGAAGAGCTTTCCAAACTTTCCATACTGGTGACACACTTTTTAGACATGCATCATTTTGCGACACATTTTGCAGGTGGTGCTGTGGGTTAAACCACAGAGCCTAGGGCTTGCCGATCAGAAGGTCAGCAGTTCGAATCCCCACGTCGGGGTGAGCTCCCGTTACTCGGTCCCTGCTCCTGCCAACCTAGCAGTTCAAAAGCACGCCAAAAAGTGCAAGTAGATAAATAGGTACCGCTCCGGCGGGAAGGTAGACGGTGTTTCCGTGCGCTGCTCTGGTTCGCCAGAAGCGGCTTAGTCATGCTGGCCACATGTCCCAGAAGCTGTACGCCAGCTCCCTCGGCCAATAAAGCGAGATGAGTGCCGCAACCCCAGAGTCGGTCACGACTGGACCTAATGGTCAGGGGTCCCTTTACCTTTTAATGTAGTTTTACTAGCAAACCGGAGGTTAAACTAACCCCTTTCCAGCCCCGGATGGAGCGCAGGAAGCGTTGGCACAACACGAATACACACCGCCACCAATACACTAATGTGTCAGGAGTGGACACACAGTTTGGAAAGCTCTGCTCTAGTGTCAAGAATCAGCCAAGGTAAGATTAATTTGATTTGGGTGACGTCTAGTGGTCAGAATGTGAACATCAGCAAAGGGGGGGGGGGAACAATTTTCACAAATGGGTAGAGAGGGAGTGATATCTTTGCAACTCTTTCCACCTGAGAGAGGAAGAACAGGAACAGCTATCTCCAATTGAGATATTCACTCTTGATTAGGAATGTCACCTTCGGATAAAAGGCTGTTAAGACCAGGGGTACATGGGGCTGCCCTTGAAGACGACGTGGATAACAATAACAACAACAACAACTTATTACTGTATTTATACCTGAAATATACTCGGAGTCCTGCAGTGATTTCATGCTCTTTATTGCAGCTTGCAAAACAGTGATTGAATTTCCCCCCAAACCTCAGGCCTTTATATACATTATTTACACAATGAGTCCCATCTGATTGGCTGGTTCTGCTTCCCTCCTGAAGCCTGATTGGTCTTCTCCTGCAAGCCAATCAGTTGTTGCATTCTAGGATCCTACCTGCCTATTGTTCTAGGATCCAAGCTTAGTACATAACAATACCCCACCCATCTGGCTGGGTTTCCCAAGCCACTCTGGGCAGCTTACATAAAAAATGGTAAAACATCAGACATTGAAAACTTCCCGATACAGGGCTGCCTTCAGATGGCTTCTAAAAGTCAGATAGTTGTTTATCTCCTTGACATCTGATGGGAGGGTGTTCCACAGGGCAGGCGCCACTACCGAGAAGGCCCTCTGCCTGGTTCCCTGCAACCTCACTTCTCGCAGTGAGAGAACCACCAGAAGGCCCTTGGAGCTGGACCTCAGTGTCAGGGCTGAATGATGGGTGGTGGAGACGCTCCTCCAGGTATACTGGGCTGAGGCAGAAACATCATTTGGTCCAAAATGCACCAGCCAGATTACTGGCTGGGGTTCCATTTAGACCTCCTGTTTTAAAACTGCTGGTCTGGTTGCCAGTTCATTTCTGGACCCAGTTCAAGGTGCTCAACATTGGTGTTTGAAGCCCTAAATGACCCAGGTCCCAAATATCTGAAAGGCCACCTGCTTTCCTACAGACCCTCTTGGGTGCTGAGATCAGTAGACTGAGGCCTCTTGGTTGTCCCTCCACGCACAGATAATCTGGGTGGGTGAGGGTAGCAGCCTGAGACAGGACCTTCTCTGTGGTGGCCCCTAAGCTGTGGAACCCCCCTCCCCACAGAGCTGAATCTAATACCTTCTGGTGAATACCTTTTACCCTGCATTTTGACACTTGAGGCATATATTTTCAGGATCCACCTTTTTATGATTGTAAGCTGTTTTAATATTTGTTGTGTTTTATTGTTGTAACCCACCCTGGTACCTTAGGGGGAAGGACGGGTAATTAAATAAGAATAAGAGTAATATTTTTCTGGGGGGGCTAATTTCATATTATAACTATATACTGCATGAAGAAGTCCTTTCTTTTGTCTTTCCTGAATTTTCCAATGTTCAGCCTCGTTGGCTGACCGTGAGTTCTGGTGAGAAAAGTTTTCTTTTCTGTATTTGCTTTATCCATGACCATTCATTGCAATTTTTGTTTACTTACAGCAGCATTTCCTCCTCCCTGGTGTGGAGACCAAGTTGATTCCTGAGGAAGGGATTTTGCAATATTGGGTGGGGGATTTTTGGGGGCAACATTTAGCCATCTTAAGCAGGGCCGGATTTAGGTTTGATGAGGCCCTTAGCTACTGAAGGTAATAGGGGCCTTTATATGTCCAGCTGTCCTTTGTCAACAACAAATTGTCGCTGTTTTTCATGTTGAATATATGCTATATGGTAATTTATGGACCTAATAGGTATCTAAAGCCCTTTGCACATGTTGGCATGCAACCAGTCCATGCAGAATGTAGGCACCCTATATATAGAAATGAGCAAAACAGTGATATATTAGGGAGCAGGCTAGCAGGTGGGTCCCATTACTTACCGTATTTTTTGCTCTATAAGACTCACTTTTTCCTTCCTAAAAAGTAAGGGGAAATGTGTGTGCGTCTTATGGAGCGAATGCAGGCTGCGCAGCTATCACAGAAGCCAGAACAGCAAGAGGAATTGCTGCTTTCACTGCGCAGCGATCCCTCTTGCTGTTCTGGCTTCTGAGATTCAGAATATTTTTTTTCTTGTTTTCCTCCTCCAAAAACTAGGTGCGTCTTGTGGTCTGGTGCATCTTATAGAATGAAAAATATGGTACATCATAGGAGCCTATACAACACAAAACACTGTTGCTGTATGTAGGTTTTGTTTTATTTATTTTTTATCGTATATTTTGGAAATATACATCCAGTTTCTTTTCCTTTAATTTTTTTGGGGGCCCCCAAGAGAGTGGGGCCCTAAGCTATAGCTTGTTTAGCTTATACGTAAACCCGGCACTGATCTTAAGCCAGGGATGGTTGGGCAGAAGGCGGATGATTTTGTGCTGTGACATCAGCAATGCATCTCCTAAGCCAAAACCCGATTCCTCTTTCTGCATCCACAGCACCTTTCCCAGAAAATCCCCAGCTAAGTTTCAGACAACTATATTATGGATATCTTGGGAATCAATCACAGTTTCTCCTTCTCTTAAAAAAATAAAAAGAAGAATTTTGATTCTAGACTGATCTGCTGCTGCAAGAGGCTTCAAGACTTGAGTAGGAGAAGGTTTGGGAAGGGAGGAGAGGCATCCTCACCATACATATTTCATAGGCTGTTTGCTCTCAGCCTGACGCGGCAGAAACCTGCCTCCCTCCCCCCCCCCCCCAAAAACAAGCAATGTCTGGCAGATGGTGAGAAGTTCCAGGAATCCCACCTGGGAGAAGGAGATGGATGAGGCAGAAATGCCTCCCTTTGCATTTCAGCAGAAATGTCAAGCATGCCTGGAAAGTACAGTGGTACCTTGGTTCTCAAACGCCTTGGTACTCAATCACCTTGGTTTCCAAACACTGAAAACCCGGAAGTAAGTGTTCCAGTTTCCGAACGTTTTTCGGAAGCCGAATGTGACTGTCAGCTATTGTTTCCAGGGCACCTGCACCAATCAGAAGCCGCGCCTTGGTTTTTGAACATTTGGAATGGATTAAGTTTGGTGTTTTTGTTTTTGCTATTTATTTTGTGTGAACCCAGTTCAGCTACTGATGGACTGATTGTGTGATTGTGGAGATGGATAAAAGCCCCCCCATCCAAACAATGACTGTCATCAGCGCAGGTAAGAAAATTTTTTACTTTTAATTTTTAGCATCTACAATACTGTCTTATTTATTTTATAGTACAGTACATCGATTATTGCTTTCATTTTATGGGTCAACAATCTCGTTAGATAGTAAAACTCACATTAAATTGATGTTTTAGGGGTTGTTTTTAAAAGTCTGGAACAGATTAATCCGTTTTGCATTGCTTTCTATGGGCAAGCACACCTTAGTTTTGGAACGCTTTGGTTTTGGAACGGACCTCCGGCAGGGATTATGTTTGAGAACCAAGGTACCACTGTATGTGCATGCGCTCTCTCTGTCTCTCTCTGTCTCTCTCTCTCACACACAGTGCGACTGCATTTGGAATGATGTGCACAGTTCTGGTTGCCTCACCTCCAAAAGGATATTGAAGAAAAGGTTAAGAAAAGGGTAACCGGGGCAGAGGTGACAAATCTACTGCCCCACAGGTCAGATCAGCCCCCCAAAGCCATTCCTAGCAGCCCATCAGCTCCCATCTTCGAAGCCACTCGCACGCTACATTTAAACTGCGGGACTTGACATCTTTCTGCAGGGCCTGCAAGACAGAGCTGTTCTACCTGGCCTTCGGTTTAGACTCAGTCTGACCCTTATGTTTCCCTCCCCTTCATGGTTTTGATCTATGGGCTACTTTTAAAATGAGGCTGCATTTTAAATTGCATTGTAACCTGTATTTTAAATTGTTTTGTTTCCTTGTTATGTTTTTACTTTAATTTAGTGGTGTTAGCCACCCTGAGCTTGGCTCTGGCTGGGGAGGGCAGGGTATAAATAAAATTTACTATTATTATTATTACAGTGGTACCTCGGGTTACATACGCTTCAGGTTACATAAGCTTCAGGTTACAGACTCCGCTAACCAAAAAATAGTGCTTCAGGTTAAGAACTTTGCTTCAGGATGAGAACAGAAATCATGCTCTGGTGGCACAGCAGCAGCAGGAGGCCCCATTAGCTAAAGCGGTGCTTCAGGTTAAGAACAGTTTCAGGTTAAGAACGGACCTCTGGAATGAATTAAGTACTTAACCTGAGGTACTACTGTATTATTAAAGCACTATCATGCCACTTTTAACAGTCACAGCTTTCCCCAAAGGATCCTGGGAGCTGTAGTTTGTTAAGTGTGCTGAAAGTTGTTAATGGATCCCCTCTTTCCTTCCTAGAGCTACAATTCCCCGTGATCCCTGGGAAGAGGGGTCGATTGTTTAAACCACTGTGGGGGAGAGACAAATGCCATTTAAGAAGGATGCTAAAGATTGGTAATGTCATTCAGGAATATCACCAGCAGGTGGCAGCATTGGAACAACTATAAAAAATCCATTTTATTTTTACAAATAGTGGGTGGGTGGCTGGGGTGGGGGGCGTTGTAAGGTGTATTTTTTCCCTTAGAAAAAGATCCTATCTTTGTACTTGTCTCTCCCCCTGTCCCTCATGCCTCCGCTTCCAGCTTTACACTAGTTTCTCTGTACATTGCATATATTATAGCATGTTCTCTTCTGATGTCCCCAATTTCTAACCACCTCCCTCTCCCGCTGTTACTTGTTAGGATACCCCCTAGTCCCCCCCAAGAGCTACAATTCTCATAGTTACCTGTGAAGAGGCAACCACTATAACCACTATACCATAAAGGTAAAGGTAAAGGTACCCCTGACCATTAGGTCCAGTCGTGACCGACTCTGGGGTTGTGGCGTTCATCTCGCTTTATTGGCTGAGGGAGCCGGCGTACAGCTTCTGGGTCATGTGGCCAGCATGACTAAGCCGCTTCTGGCGAACCAGAGCAGCGCACGGAAACGCCGTTTACCTTCCCGCTGGAGCGGTCCCTATTTATCTACTTGCACTTTGACGTGCTTTCGAACTGCTAGGTTGGCAGGAGCAGGGACCGAGCAGCGGGAGCTCACCTCGTCACGGGGATTCGAACCGCCGACCTTCTGATCGGCAAGTCCTAGGCTCCGTGGTTTAACCCACAGTGCCACCCGCGTCCCTTCCAGGGAGGGAACAGGTCCCGTAACAACATCCAGTTCCCTTAACATACTACAGCTCCCAGTATTTTTTGAATCATACTCCTTTAAATGTATGGTGTGAATGTGGCCTCTGTTATAGGAATTTTAAGGTCTTATATATATATAAAAAATAAATGTTCATAAATGTACAAGGCGAACACATACATAAGTATATAAACCACGTGTCTGAAATAGTACAGGAGAGCAATCCTGAAGCCATTTTGACTCTCCCAAATTGACCTCAAATATTTCTCTGCAAGGAGGAAGGAAATAGGAAAAGCTTTCCAATTGTCTTTGGACTGGAGGGGCTTACACCTCCCTGCAAAAACAGTCTGGCAAGTATTTGTTAAACTATCAATAGGTGTAAGAGATGCAGGAATGAAAGTGTTTATCATCTCAAAGGAATGGCCAGGCTACCCTGAAAATGCAGTCAAGCAAGGCATTATTCTGGCAGACAGGAGAGAAGCAACACACTCAAATTTCTGCTGGGGACCGCCTCCTTGTGTGATATATGTATGATGTTTCGGGGAGTGGTCTTTAGCTACAGGCAATTTCAAACGTTTATATAAAAGCTTGGACACCACTGTTCTGGGTTCCTCCTCTCTCCTGCGTGTGGTGAGTGGGGACCCTGTTGCAACAGTTTAATAAAGATCAGGCTTACTAGCTGCTTTGCTTCTCAATATTCTCTGGTTGGCCTCTGTTATTTTCTCCTATAGAAAACCTACATAAGGATGCTATACGGGCTTTTGGGTACCCCATAAGGGATAAAGGAACTGTTTTTTCTTATAACAGCCTCATATTTCAACCTGATAACAGCCTGATATTTCAACATTACCACAACAGGCAAACCTTTACCAGGGAGAATGGCTAATCGCTGCATTCCCATCCCTGGTAATCATAGAACTGTAGAACTGAAAGGGCACCCCAAGGGTCATCTAGTCCAACCCCCTGTAATGCAGGAATCACAGCAAAAGAATCCCGGACAGGTGTCCAACCAACCTCTGCTTAAAAACTTCCAAGGAACGAAAAGTCATTACCTTCATAAAATGGAACATACTCCCTTGGAAGCTCTCCTTCCTTGGGAGGACTTCCAACAGAGGTCTGATGGCCACCTGCCAGGGATTCTTCAGCTGTAATAACAATAATAATAATAATAATAGTAATAATAATAATACTAATAATAATTTATTATTTATACCCTGCCCATTTGGCTGGGTTTCCCCGCCACTCTGGGCTGCTCCCAACAGAATATTAAAATACAATAGTCTATTAAACATTAAAAGCTTCCCTAAACAGGGCTGCCTTCAGATGTCTTCTAAAAGTCTGGCAGTTGTTTTTCTCTTTGACAACTGGTGGGAGGGCGTTCCACAGGGCAGGTGCCACTACCGAGAAGGCCCTCTGACTAGTTCCTTGTAACCTCACTTCTTATAGGGAGGGAATCGCCAGAAGGCGCTTGGCACTGGAACTCAGTATGTGGGCTGAACTATGGGGGTGGAGACGCTCCTTCAGGTATACTGGGCTGAGGCCGTTTAGGGCTTTCAAGGTCAGCACCAACACTTTGAATTGTGCTCAGAAACGTACTGGGAGCCAATGTCGGTCTTTCAAGACCAGTGTTATGTGGTCTCGGTGGCTGCTACCAGGCTAGCTCATTCGGAGGGGTTGGAGTAGATGACCCCTGGGATCCCTTCCAACTCAATGATTCTGTGATTACCAGGAATCTGTGTGCAGACCACAGGCCTCACCCCCCAGCTCCAAAACTCTTGACATTCTCTTTCCGTGCCTCCCCTCATGTAGCAGGTGGGCCTGGAGTCTGGGCAGACAACCTGTCTTGCTGCAGCCCAGCCGGTGAGGCTTCCCCCTGCCCGCCAAAGGAAATGCCTGCAAATCTATAAATAAGCAATTAGCGCTTCTTCTCCCATCAAGAGGGGCATGCGGTGGGAATGCGGGCGCTCCCCCCCCCGCTAAAGATCCTCGCTGGCGGAACAGACAGCTGCATCTGTGCAGCGTTTCGCAGCCGCTTAATATTCCCCAACAAAAGTCCTTCCACAATGAAAACTTTAATTGCATTAATCTTCCAATGGCTGCACATTTCCAACCTCCCTCCCAACCCAAATCCACATCTCTGCTTCTCTTCCCCTGACAACCCGTTAAACTGAATCTCCCTGCTAATCGCAGCTGCCAAAGCACAATAACGATCTCGCGCTGGACGTGCGTTTGCTAATTAGACAAGCGTGGAAAAATAGCTGCTGGCGGATGAGAGTGAGGGCCTTTCATCTTGGAAGAGGGCCAGCTGTCACCCTTCCACTACGTGACGTCCGGCTTCAGGAAAACCGCCTTGTATGCAGTCAGATCAATGGTCTCTCTAGGCTCAGGGCTCATCCACACTTAGCTTCCGGCAATTTCTTGGCACAGATCCATACTTTAAAGCTCTGCATCTGAGCGCTTCCCCCTCACTGCTTTCTGCAGGAAAACCTGCTCTTTAAAGCTGATTTGGAACCAACGGCTGTTTGGGTTTTCTGCAGAATGCTGTTGTAATAAACAGAAATCTGCCCTTTTCCCTCATGGGGTATCCAAGAGCCCATATAGAGTCCTTACATAGGTTCCCTATTGGTAGGAGAAAATAACAGAGGCCAACCAGAGAATATCGAGAAGCAAAGCAGCTAGCAAGCCTGATCTTTATTGATCCGTTGTAACAGGGTGCTCCCCTCACACGCAGGAAAGGAGGAGGACCCAGAACCCAGGTGTGTCTGCCCTTATATAGACATTTTAAACTGCCCGCCCTGGAGTTCAAGACCACCCCCAGAAACATCATACATCCATCACAGAAGGGGCGGTCTACAGCAGAAATCTGAGTGCGCTGTTTATCTCCTGTTGTTGTTTATCTCCTCTCTGGCAGGTTACCCGTTAATGCTTCCTTGATTGGATACCCCGGGGAGCCTGGCCAGTCTTTTGTCATGATAAATACTTAGTTCCTGAGCCAGGTCACAGGCTCACACCCTATTCATATCTTAAATGTGCCCTTAAGACAGGATTTGTGAAGGAAAAGACAATGGGGAGGCTTTTCCATTTTCCTTTGACCTTGCAGAGAAAACATTTGGTCAGTTTGGGAATCAAAAATGGTTTCAGGTTGATCTTCCTGTGCTGATCTATGTACGTGCTTGGTTGGTACATTTATGAACATTTATTATTCATCTAAGACCTTAAAATTCTTATCACACTCTTTGCTCCGATTCAGCTGCAAAGAGCGGGATTTGCAGAAAGCAGTAGGGGGGGAAAGCCTTTGGATACAGTGCTTTAAAGGGCAAACCTGTGCTTAGAAATGTGGCACAAGGTGGTAGAGATGTACACTAGTAAAAGCTTTCTGGGAAATGATCTACAATGAATGAAAGAAAATGTTTAAAAATACATTTGTTAAGAAACCAGAAGCGTTTTTGTTAGGTATAATAGGTGAAGAGGTACCAAGAGAAGATAAAAGACTTTTTATGTCTGCAACGACGGCAGTGAGAATGCTACTAGCCCAGAGATGGAAGGAAGGAAGAAGTACCAACAAAAGAAGAATGAAACTGATGGAGTGTGCAGAGATGGTGAAACTGACGGGGAAGATCAGAAACCAGGAAGATCAAGTACAGTCATACCTCATGTTACGTTTGCTTCATGTTACACTTTTTCAGGTTGTGTCCCGCAGTGACCTGGAAGTATCGGAAAGGGCTACTTCTGGGTTTCACTGCTTGCGCATGTGCACAAGTGCAAAATCTCACTTCGTGCATACGCACAAGCGCCAAATTGTGCGGCACACCTGCGCAGATATGGTGCTTCAGGTTGCAGGCTTTTCATGTTGCGAACAAGCCTCCGGAACGGACCCCGTTCGCAACCAGAGGTAGTACTGAGTTGTTAAAAGACTGGAGTCAATTTTTAATTTATTTAAAAGACCACTGTAAACAGTTAAAATCCTTGGCAGGGATGTAATGACACTTGTAACGTGAAATAACTATGGTAATTATGGATATATATATATATATATATATATATACACACATATATATATCAGATGGATAACGGTAAAAGATGCAGAAAATTTAATCATAAATATGGAACCCATGGGGGGGGGAGGGAAGGAGGTCCGAAGCCTCAAAAGAACCTTTTATTTTAATGTTTGAAATAGTTAAAGTTAAAATGTATAAAATTGTGTAAAACCAATAATTTTTTATTTTATTTTAAATAGAAACGTGGCACAAAGAGGAAGTCTGGATGAGCCCTCAGTGCTGCCTACAATGACTGGCAGTGGGTCACATGAGAACTGAAGAGGAGTGTTATGTACTGAAGTTCTCACCCTGGGCCAGCAGGGGGATACTGTAGATAGTTCAGGTCCACATATGCAAATAAGGGATCGAAAGTGATGTTCAGTGATTGGATGGTTACAGAAAGCTGTTACAGTTACGTTGTACTGGAGCTCTATATAAGCAGGCTGGCTGAGCTCTTCAGTTCAGTTCTGTTCTGGCCTGTGAATAAACAAGAGCTGTTTGGAGAATCGCTGTGTCGTCTGATATGTTCACCCACAACTTAACAAGGAGCCTGCAGGATCAGGCCAGTGGTCCGTCTAGTCCAGCATCCTGTTCTCACAGGGGCCAAGCAGATGCCCTGATGGGAAACCTGCAAGCAGGATTCAAGCACAAGAGCCCTCTCTCCCCCTGCAGCTTCCAGCAACTAGGATTTGAAAGCATGGCTGCCTCTGAAGGTCCTTACAAATCCCTTGAATCTGTTTCAAGTCACCACACTTCCACGTTCTCGGTCAGAGAATCAGCTAACAGAAAGACCAGCCAACCCCCAGCTGCTACCACACCATTTATTCCCGTTGATATGCATTTACAATGCGAATGCAATACAAATACTAACAACGTCCACCAACCTGGACTGCTTCCAAGGAAGATTAGAGAAATTCACGGAGGAGAAAGCTAACAAAAGCGATGCTTCTGAATACCAGTTGCTGGAAAACGTGGAAGGGGAGAGCTGCTCTCGCACTCAGGACCTGTTTTCCTTTTGGGACATCCGAGTGGCCACTGTGCGAACAGGATGCTGGACTAGGTGGGTCATTGGCCTGATCCTGCGGGCGTTTGTTATGCTCTTACGTTCTTAGTTGGCAGGCACCGTGTGTACATTTCAGGAAATGACTGCAGGGTAAACGGGCGAGGATTAAATTTGTATGATACGTTGTAAGAGGCGTAATTATTAACTTCATTCAAAGGGTGCAATTACGCTGATAAATCTCACCGGGCCGCACTGATCAGGAAAACAGATGAGCATATTTGCGTGTCCCTGTCTCCTCCGTCCCTCCCTCCTTTCTTCCCATCCGAAATGGGTTGAATTAGTTAAGTCTTGGGAAGAAAATGATTTGCCTCCTCCCTTAATGGTAATAAATTTTGTCTCTCTCTAATATAATCGCTGTTGTGTTGTTACTGCCTGTGAGAAACCATTTATCGCTTGCAGTTTTCTCCCCTGAAAGAGACAGGTTGTGACCTTCGTGAAGGTTAAAACTAATTAGAGAAGCAATTCAGGTCTGGTCCTGGAAATAAATTCTAACAGGTTGCTGGGTGGTTGTTACAGCAATGATTCAGTGGCAGACTCTGTTTCATTGCATTTGAAGCAGTTTTAAAGCAGGAGGGGAGCTGGAGGGAGGGGGGCAAAGGGACCTTGCATTGGGAGGGAGCTCTGGAAGAAAAGGGCTCAACTCCACCTTTGACCTGAGGCGGGGGTGGCAGGATCTGTCAATTTTACTTTCTCACAATTTCTCATTTCCCCAGTCTTAAGCTCCCCACATTCCCTCATTATTTTGTGATTCTTCTTCAAAAGCATGTAATGAATATTTGTCAGATTTTTATTATTGCTATTATTGCTATTATTATTAGGTAAAGGTAATGGGACCCCTGACCATTAGGTTCAGTCGTGACCAACTCTGGGGTTGCGGCGCTCATCTCGCTTTATTGGCCGAGGGAGCCGGCGTACCCGGGTCATGTGGCCAGCATGACTAAGCCACTTCTGGCAAACCAGAGCAGCGCACGGAAATGCCGTTTACATTCCCACTGGAGCGGTACCTATTTATCTACTTGCACTTTGACGTGCTTTCGAACTGCTAGGTTGGCAGGAGCAGGGACCGAGCAACGGGAGCTCACTCTGTTACAGGGATTTGAACCGCCGACCTTCTGATCGGCAAGTCCTAGGCTCTGTTGTTTAACCCACAGCGCCACCTGTGTCCCATTATTATTATTAGTGTTCATTTATTACCTGCCCTTCATCCCAAGGTCTCAGGGTGTGCTGTTGTGTGTTCAAATGTTTCCCAAGGGAAACTCAATTCCTGCTCCCCGCCCCCCGACCACCAACATTAACCCCATGATCCCAGGAGACAACAGAAGAGTGTGCCTTCACAGGTAAAGTCAAACCATTGGAGAGTTACAGTGCTTGTTGTGGCTGCTGTAGAGACTGATAGCGGAGGAAAGACATGTTTTGTTGCAGCTGGGGCAGATGAAGGCATCCAGTTTTGCTGCTGCAGATGCACTCTGGGGTTTCTTCTCTCTGCACTCCTCCCAGTGATCATTCCTTCTCTGGTCACTGTTGTCTCCAGGCACTGCAGTCATCTGCAAGGGATTGCCAAACCTTCATGCCACGTTTGCAGACATCTTTGTAACACAGAGTTGGTCTGCCAATTGACCTGGTGCCAGAAGCCAGAAGCTCCCCAGAGAGCATGTCCTCAGAGATTCTGCCACCTTCCATTCTGTAGACATGACCAAGCCAGCGTAGACGTCGCTGAGACAGGAGTGTGATCATTCTGGGAATGTGGGTTTGGGAGAGCATGTCACGGTCCGGTTCATGGGTGATCAAAGTCCCAGCAGGGGACGTCAGGACCGGGGGCAAGGTGGGAGCAGGAACGGGGGTCCAGAAGCCAGGAGTCAGGAAGCCAAGGGTCTGAGGGTCAGGAAGCAAGGAGTCACAAAGTCAGGGGTTCAAGGTGTTGGTGCTGACCTTTAAAGCCCTAAACAGCCTCGGCCCAGTATACCTGAAGGAGCGTCTCCACCCCCATCGTTCATCCCAGACACTGAGGTCCAGCTCCAAGGGCCTTCTGGCGGTTCCATCACTGAGGTTACAGGGAACCAGGCAAGGGCCTTCTTGATACTGGTGCCCACCCTATGGAACGCCCTCCCATCAGATGTCAAGGAGAATAAAGAACTATCTGACTTTTAGAAGACATCTGAAGGCAGCCCTGTTTAGGGAAGTTTTTAATGTTTGATGTTTTATCGTGTTTTTAATATTCTGTTGGGAGCTGCCCAGAGTGGCTGGGGAGGTCCCTCCAGATGGGCAGGGTACAGTGGTACCTTGGGTTAAGAACTTAATTCATTCTGGAGGTCCGTTCTTAACCTGAAACTGTTCTTAACCTGAGGCACCACTTTAGCTAATGGGGCCTCCTGCTGCCGCTGCATGATTTCTGTTCTCATCCTGAAGCAAAGTTCTTAACCCGAGGTATTATTTCTGGGTTAACAGAGTCTGTAAACTGAAGCATCTGTAACCTGAAGCGTCTGTAACCTGAGGTACCACTGTATAAGTAATATATTATTATTATTGTTATTGTTATTATTTCTGATGCAGCACGTGTGAAAAGGCATTCAGGTGTCGCTCCTGGGGGTATAAATTCCCCATGACTCATTTCCACAAAGCAGCGTGCTTCACATGTAACCCTAGTAGACCTTCATCTTTATATTGGCTGTTAGCATTCTCCCATACCCTTTTGGAGAGGCGAGCCACTGCCGCAGCTGCCTTGCTAATACACATGTCCAGCTCAGCGACGATGGAAAGGTTGCTGGTTATGGTGTAGCCCAGGAAGACAAAATCGCCTATCACCTCAAGCCAAGCATGAGGTCACAAGTGCTGATGAGTGGAGTGCTGGTGACGTCCCGAAAGGGGTGGACTTGGGTCTTTCAAATTTCAGTGGCACCCTGTGCAGGGCCAACCTTGCCTCTCGCCTTCTTTTCTGCTCAGTTCCCCACATCATAGTTGGAATTCCCCATAGTGGTGCTCCCCACGGCTTGGCGCCCAATGCAGCAGAACTGGCCGTGCTGCCCTAACTCCGCCTCTGGTCTTGACCCAGGATATTGGTATTCATCAGGATGATGGTGAGGCCGAACTCCAAGCGGCTGATGCGTCTCTGTAGAGCTTCCTCAGAGTGTTCTGTCGAGGCTGCGTCATCTGCAAACAACATCTCAGGCCGCAGAGAGGGTTACAACATTAGCACATTTACTACACGTTTCTCTCAATGCACGCCTTTTTACAAGCAATTTTCTCTAATATAGTTTATTTTTGTATGTTATCTGCACTGATAGATGCATTCTTACACACATTTCTACCTACACGCACACATTCTGTGTGTCGTTTGCCTTAATATAGTGTATTTTTTTGCATGTGACACCAATGGCTGGGAGTTGCAGCAGGGGACAGTGCTGCTGCTGTTATCAGGTTCTGCTTTTGGGCTTCCTAGAAGAGGCATCTCGGTAGCCACAGTGAGAACAAGGTGCTGGACTAGATCATAGAGTCATTTAATCACAGAGTTGGAAGGGACCCTGAGGATCATCTAGTCTAACCCCCTGCAATGCAGGAATATGCAGGTGGCCCATACGGGGATCGAACCTGCAACCTTGGTGTTAGTAGCACCACGCTCTAACCAACTGACATGGCCCCTTTTTGGTCTGATCCAGCTGCAGGGGTGTTTTCCAGTAATTTGCCAAACTTTAATTTGTTTTAGACCTTTTAAAATTGCAACAGCCCTTCCTCGGACCTTATGGGGAAGGGCAGGTCATCCACCAACCAACCAACCAACCAACCAACCAACCACAACAGCAGAAGAAATTTCCATTCTAAGAGCATGAAAAGAGCTCTGCTCATCTAGTCCAGCATTCAGAACTAACCTGGGCATGCAGCCCTTTCACAAAAAAATCCATGCCTGGTCATCCTTCTTCATTTCAGCAGCTGGATTTCAGTGGAGAAAGTCCTTTGATTGCTTCTGCTATGAGAGTGTAGGGAAGTGATGCCAATCACTCTGAGATCTACCAGTACATCCTGATTGACTTTCTGCCTACCCAAAGCCTAAAGTAGTCTTTGCAAACCTTTTGTAGTCCAAAACTACTGGAGGACTGCAACTTCCAGCATCCTCGGCCAGCACAGCTGGATGATGCAGGTTTTTCTGACCACAAATAGGGTTGCCATATGTCCTCTTTTTCCAAGACATGTCCTCCTTTTCAGGTCTGGTTGCCATATGTCCCCAATCCTCTTGGCAGAAGCACCCCAAGGCATCCCATGGGCAGCACCCCACTCCTGCCCACGTGGGGGAAGAGCCAGCTGCTGTTCCCTGGCACGGCACACATGGTTCTCCAGACCGGATCAGCTCCTCCAAGTGGATGTTTAAGCAGGCCTGTCTGTTTGCTCGAGGGATTGGAGCCTGACATGATAGGAAGTGATTTAATAATAGCAATATTTTCTTCAAATATTTGCACTGTGCTTTATTTCTCCCCGAGCAGAGCAGGCAAGGAAAAGAAGTTGTCCTTCAGATCGCGGGGACTTTCCATTGTGGGTTGCGTTGAGGCGTGGCCAGCCAGACTTGGCTTGTCGGCACAGTTCGCCTTCATGTCTGTACCCCCCCCACCCTCTCACTTACCTGGAGTGGGACATCACACAATATAGCATAGTGGGGAATGTGGCTGTTGCACTCAGTTCCTGTTTGCGGGCTTCCTTAGGAGGCATCTCAGTGGCCGTTGTGAGAACAGACTGCAGGAATAGAAGGCATACCCTCCCACATTTCTCCAATGAAAATAGGAACATCCTATTCTATAATAGGGACGTGGGTGGCACAGAGCCTAGGATTTGCTGATCAGAAGGTTGGCGGTTCGAATCACCGCGACAGGGTGAGTACCTGTTGCTTGGTCCCTGCTCCTGCCAACCTAGCAGTTCGAAAGCACGTCAAAGTGCAAGTAGATAAATAGGTACCGCTCTGGCGGGAAGGTAAATGGCGTTTCCGTGTGCTGTTCTGGTTCGCCAGAAGTGGCTTAGTCATGCTGGCCACATGACCCAGAAGCTGTATGCCGGCTCCCTCGGCCAGTAAAGCGAGATGAGCGCTGCAACCCCAGAGTCGGTCACGACTGAACCTAATGGTATGGGGTCCCTTTACCTTTACTTTATTCAGAATAACAATAGCAATTTTATTATTTGTACCCCACCCATCTGATTGGGTTGCCCCAGCCACTGTTGGAGGCTTCCAAAATACACGGTGTGACCGGAAAGTTCGGTAAATGGTCACAGAAATGGGTTTCTGGTGCCAATTGTATGTTCGAATATTTCTTGCTGTCCGATTTTGGTGACCATTCACCAAACTTTCCAGTCACACCTTGTGTACAAAAACATTAAACCTAAAAAACTTCCCCTATGCAGGGCTGCCTTCAAATGTCTTCTAAAGGTTGTGTAGTTACTTATCTCCTTGACCTTGAGGTCGCATAACTCCATACCTTCCAACATTCCTCTGATGGAAATAGGGAAGTCCTAAGGAAAAGTAAGACATTCTGGGATCAAATCAAAAACTTGGACAGCTTCTGTAAATCTGGGACTGTCCCTGGAAAATAGGGACACTTGGAGGGTCTGAGATGGGCCCCCTTTTATCTGATCCAAAAAGACTCTTCTTAGGTTTTTATGGAAGCTCAAAGTCCATAGGCAGTCCATCTAGATGCCTAGTTTCTTAGGGGCATTTGGCCACTGTGAGAACAGGATACTGGACTAGATGCCCCTCCCCCCGCTCCTGGTTGGCTCAGGCAGTGGGGAGTCTTCTTACGCTCTTAAGTCCATGGTGGCCATATTATGATACTCAGTGGTCTCTGTTCTTCAGCATAAGAGCCCTTGCACTACTAGGTGGTGGAGTTTAAAGGTTATGCAACAAAGGAATCCACAAAGTTGTGCTAAAGAAGTCTGTTGGTCAGCAGCAGATTCTTGTGGTGCTACATCTAATTCTTATTCTGCAACAGCTGATTACTGTGGCGCAACAGCCGGCTCCTGTGCAATCCACTGCACAATCCCTCCCTACTTATAATTATGCAGGGATGTGGGTGGCGCTGTGGTCTAAACCACTGAGCCTCTTGGGCTTCCCAATCAGAAGGTCGGCGGTTCGAATCCCCATGATGGGGTGAGCGCCCGTCGCTCTGTCCCAGCTCCTGCCAACCTAGCAGTTCGAAAGCATGCCAGTACAAGTAGATAAATAGATACCACTCTGGTGGGAAGGAAAACAGTGTTTCTTTGTGCTCTGATTTCCATCACGGTGTCCCGTTGTGCCAGAAGTGGTTTAGTCATGCTGGCCACATGACCTGGAAAGCTGTCTGTGGACAAACACCGGCTCCCTCGGCCTGAAAGCGAGATGAGTACCGCATCTCATAGTCGCCTTTGACTGGACTTAACTGTCCAGGGGTCCTTTACCTTTTTTACCTTTTACTTATAATTATAGGCAACCAAATTATGGCCGACTCTACCTGACGAGATGTTGTTCGGCTCCGCTTCTCCCCCCACCCCCAGACAATTGTGGTTGTAGTTGGAGTTCATCCTCCTATCCTATGTTGATAAATCTGGGGTTGGAATTCTGAACATGAAGTCAGCTCCATGTCATTCTCGCTTTGCTTCAGCTGCCACGTAATTGTTGGCAGCACTTTAAAAAAAACCACCAGGGAGCTCTTTGGAAACCACATGCAAAAGGAAATCAAGTTTCCACTCTGGAGTAGGAAATTGAAAAGGAGGTGGTGGGGAGCAGGGGGAGGAAGAGGGGAGATGTTTATGGAACATTTTCTCCAGCTCTCCTTCGATGGCGCAAAAGTGTGGCTGTCACTCACAAACTATTAATTTTAACTTGTTACTTTGTTTTGTGTGTGCGTGCGCGTTCATTTCCTCTGCTTGCAAACACCAGAAGACAAGGGAGGATTGGCTGCTAACACCAGCGAGTGCTGCTTTATCCAAAGCATGGGTCATCCAATGAAGGAAGATTCAGGACAGATTTTTTTTAAAATCCTTCTTTACGCAGCACATAGACAAACTGTGGAACTCACTCCCACAGGACACAGTGAAGGCCACCAACTTGGATGGCTTTAAAGATGGTTTGGGGGTGGGAAATTCACAGAGGATAAGGAGATCCATGGCTACTAGCTGGAGTGGCTATGCTCTGGCTCCATATTGAGAGAAAGTGTTGCTTCTGAATGCCTGTTGCTGGAAACCGCTGGAGGGGGGAATAGGGGAGGGTGTTCTTGTGATCAGATCCTACTCAGAGGCTTCCCTCTGAGACTTCTGGTTGGCCACTGTGAGAACAGGATGCTGGTGTCAGTCTTCAGGGAATCCAATCCCTCTCCCGGGGGCAGCCAAAACACAGAGAAACAAGAAGAGTCCTCACCACGTAATTTATTCAGTATTCACACAGAGAGACGGAGGAAGGCAGTCTCTTTCAAATAATGGTGTTGCTTCGAGTAAAGTTCCACCCCCTCTGTCTCTCCTATTATACGTCATCCCTACGTTGGCGGATCTTTGCTTTTTGCCTCTGAGCTTTCTGTTCTACTACAGTGGAACCTCTACTTACGGATGTAATCTGTTCCGGAGGTCCGTCCGTATGTCGATCCGGGTCGCTGGTAGAAGTGTCGTGCGCAGGTGCATTCAGTGGCAGCACGCTTCTGCGCATGCACAAACAGCAGAAGCTGCTTCTGCGTGTGCGCGAATCGGGGTAAACCCAGTATTTACTTCCGGGTTTGCCGCGGTCGCAACTTGGGTTGGGCCCAGGTAGAGGCGGTCGTAAGTAGAGGTTCTACTGTACTCTCAATGCATGCTGGGTCCTGGGAGAAGGGGGGTCAGGAATGCTTTCCAAAGACACTGAGTCTGTCAGCTGTCTCTCCCCTGGTGTGTCTTCTTCCTGCTGTTCATCTCCCAATATTTCCCAGCTTCTCCCCTCTGCAGCCTCTAAACTATGTCCTTCTGTAAACCACTGTTCTAAATCTATACTGTCCTCCTGTTCTCAGGAGGGTTCAGGAGGAGGAGGGGTGGCCCCCACCATTCCTCCTCAGTCCAGCATCTGACAGCTGGACTAGATGTGCTCCTTTGGCCTGATTCAGCCAGGTCCTTAATTCAGCCCAGAGGCTGAACACAGTTCACAACCCTTGCTTCACAGCCTAGGGTATTTATTCATTTATTCCCATTTACACCCCACCTTTTTCTCCAAGGAGCTCAAGGTGGGCCACACCATTCTCCTCATTTAGTCTCTGCGACAATCCTGCAGGGTAGGTTAGGCTGAGAGGCAGTGGCTGGCTCTCCAGGACACACCCAGTGAGCTTCATGGCCAAGTTTGGATTAGAACCCTTTCTTAGTCACACTCTAACCACTACACCACGCTGTCTCCGGGCTTTCCCTCCCCTGACTTCAAAGGCTGTTTACCATTGCTGCGATATTGCCACGCAGACGCTAGGTGTCCCACTTGCCATTTCCTCGTGCAAACAGACGTGGCCGAAACCACCGGTGGAATGCTAAGATGGGTTTGTTCCAGAGAAAAGAAGAAATGGACATTGAAAAATGGGTGTCAGATGTTCAGGACATAGAGAAATATTGTCTCCTGATAGGGAACACCCCCCCTTACAATCTGAGAACCCATCCATCACCAAATAAATAAAAATTATAATCAAAGAACAGAGTGACTCGGAAACCTGGAAGGCAGGTGATAAACTCACTTTCCGCGAGAGGCGATAAATCAGTGAGCTAAACTTTTTTATTCGCTGTTAATGCCCAGGAACTGAGGCCCCGGGTAAGCGGAATAGACAAAACTGCGTTGCAAGAATGGGGTGCCAAATGGTTTTCCCCGCCTCCTTCCTATAATTGGAGGCGGCATCCCTGAACAGGCAGCGTCGCTCAATGGACACCATCCAAGTGCTGGAAGGTTTGTGGTGTCACTGCTGAGCCTAATGGGGAGTTGCAGGGAAGGTGTTGGTTTTTTTTTGCAAAGTAATAGCATTGTTGAAAGCAGTTAGGATCAAGGGTGGCTTGTCAGCGGTGTGGCTTTCAAGGCAGGCTGCAGAGCGCAGAGGTTTCCTTCTCTGGACTGGATGCTGTTCATTGGCCCAGGTGCTCCTCTCCCAGGAAACAGATTTAAAAGTTAGCAAAATAGGAAACAGAGAATCAGGCTTTCTGGGAGGTTGATTTAACAGGCTGACTTAAAAAGTTGGGATATAAATGCAATAAACAAACATATAAAATTCAGCAAGTGGTGGATTATATTCCTTCAGACCAGACCCTGAGAGTGACACTGAGGTCCAGCTCCAAGGGCCTTCTGGCGGTTCCCTCCCTGTGAGAAGTGACGTTACAGGGAACCAGGCAGAGGGCCTTCTCGGTGGTGGCGCCCGCCATCAGATGTCAAGGACATAAACAACTCTCTGACTTTTAGAAAACATCTGAAGGCAGTCCTGCTTAGGGAAGTTTTAATGCTTGATGCCTTCCTGTGTTTTAATGTGTTGGAAGCCACACAGTCAGATGGGCAGCAGCAGCAACAACAACAACAATGATAAAAAACCAGAAAAGGGGGTTATTTTGTCCACAGAAGCAAGAAGACCAAGGAAGAGGGGAGATGGAGAGAAGGTAGAACTTCTCAACTCATATTTCTGCCTTGGTCTTCTCCAATGAAGGGAATTGTGTTTAGTCTGGGGAAAGTACACTAACAACCATATCCCCCTGATTCATTGATCAGTGTTCACAATCTGGGAAAGCATGGTGGTAGTGTAGACTTCTGCCCCCTACAAGAAAAATTGTAGATATGGTGCTCGTCATGCCGAAGATAGGGCAGGCTTTTTCTCTGCTGCTGTGCACACACAGGGCTAGAACCCTGGGTGGACATTGTGGGGAAGGAGATTTCCGTTTGATGGCAGGAGAAGCTTCCTAGCAGTTAGAGCTTTTCTGACAGTGGAGCAGTCCACCTCAGCAGGCAACGGCCTCTTCTTCCCTGGTGGTATCTAAGCAGAGGCTGAATAGCTACTTTGCCACCTGTTCTGTCAATGCACCCTACATGGCAGAATCCGCAGTGAGCCGGGGGTTGCTATAGATGTCCTCTGGGGTCCCACCCAGCCCGATAATCCTGCAATCCCTTCTCTGCAGCTGGCAGTGCATCCGATGGAGACAGAAACTATCTTTTCTCTCTGTGTTGCACATTTCCCGACTTATTAATAGGAGGAGGAAGCAGCTGATCCGTTGACCTCAGATTCTCCATCCACTGGCTAATTGAGGCTCCGGCAGCAGTCCGTGGCCCTGGGGCGTTGCCACGAAGGGAGTAAATGATGGAGAAGAAGCTGCAATTTCCAGGGATTGGGGAAGTGTTCTTCGCCTCCTATTATAATGTGCGAACAATGGTCAAGTGCCTGAGTCCCCCGTCAGCAGACGCAGCTCTGCTCCTCACCCTCCAGAATGAAACGGATTACAAGTGTATCATTAATACACCGGGCCCCTGACAGTGCTCGACAGATTTAATTTTGGTGCCGAGATGAGTGGCACTGGGATTCTCCCTCACCTCCACGCTGGAAATGAAAAACAGATTCCGCTCGCAACCAGTAAATATTGGGGGCTTAAGCAAATAGAAAGTCAAGAAGGAAAAAAGCAATTTTCCTCCAGCTTCAGTCTCAATATGTCTAATGTGAAAGGTTGTGTGCTGCCTGATGGATTCATCTTCAATTATATCATGCCTTTGAATTTATGTGGCCTTGGCTCTTTAAAAGCAGATAGAGAGGGAGAGAGAAGCAGAGTGCTGAGATCGAGCAAGGCTTTCAGGTAACCTAGGGATAGACTCCACATGGAGCTGCCCTCAAATGACTCAGAAACTTCCCTTGGCCCAAAATGCAGCTGGGCTTCTGTTTAGTTCTCATCTAATTGCTGTTGTGCTCAAGTTCTGCTCCCATTGGAACATGTGGCTGGTCACTATGGGGCAGGATGCTGGACTGATCCATCAGCAAGACTCGTCAGTAGTTCTGCTTTATACTTTTTACCTGGATGTAACTTTTGAAGCGTGGTGTATTATTTGCTACAAGGAAAACATCAGCAAAACAATTACACGGGAGGGATGAACAGGTTGAGATAAGGGAAAAATTCTAGCTGCTTTTCTCTCCATCTCATCACCCCCCCCTTTGCTGCATCTCTCCTATCTCTAGATCTCTGCCTCCTTCATTTAGGGGGGGCTTCGTTTTTTTCAAAGGGAAGACACACTATGAAAAAGAGAGGATGACTGGGTGCAGGTGGGAGAGGGGTAGAGGTGAGCCTTGAACGCTCGACATCACCCCCAGTTACAGGAAATGATAATGATAAAACTCAACCTGATCCTTTCAGAAAAAAAGGTTGATGGGGCCATAAACAACTCAATCCCATTAGTTAGGAGAGCTTTACAGCTCCGCCTGGTCAAAACTTCAGGAGCAAGAGCCACGGTTCAGAGACCCAATGGCTGACCTCAATATGCGCAACCATGTCTCAGTTTTATGGGTTGGGATTACAGCTTGCGGACGGCTGAATTGGAAAGCCTGAAAAAAAGCAGAGTGCTCAGCAGAAAGGAGGAGGAGGAAGAAGAAGAGGAGGAGGATGCACAGGTGGTGGTGGTGGTGGGATGACCTCTTAACTGCTGCCCCCCACTGCCTACGACCACTGGAATGGGGGAGCAGTGGCTGAGTCAAGAGGTCTATCTTCATTCTCAGCTTCAGCTTCACCTCCACCCCTCAACCACACGGTGGTTATAATGCAAGTTGAGATCACCCTTATGCTGCTCGTCTAGTCTAAGGGGAAGGGGAGGCTGTCTAGTCAAGAGACCACCCTTCTCCTCTGTCCGGTGCGATTGTGCAGGGGGGAAGGGCCACCCCTCTACATCTCTGGGGTCACAGGGCAGGGGGAGACTGCCAGGTCAAGAGGGTGACCCAACACCACTAGGGCAGGGGGAGGCAGCTGGGTCAAGAGGCTGCCATTGCATCATCTGGCTCTGGTCTGTCTCCACAGTGGCTTCCGAATACCAGTTGCTGGGGAGCCTGAATCCTGCCTGTGGGTTTCTCTTTAGGTCATCTATTGGCCCACCATGAGAACAGGATGAAGGACTAGATGGGCCACTAGTCTGATCCACCAGGACTTTTCTTGGTGCTATAGGGAGCTGATAGCCCCCACATCTGTCTACTTTGCCCTAATCCCCTATGACATTTGCCAGCTGCATTCAAAAGTGCTTTTAAAGAGAGGAGAGGGGGAAGGAGCTATGCTATGGAAGATTTAGGGAGGCCGAGACTTGGCCACTTGTTCATGATGATTACTGCTGATAGTGGCAATAGGCCAGTTATACATAGTTCTGCTTTCAGTTTTGGGGCTGGCTGGGGCTGATGGGAGTTGCAGTCCAAAGCGTCAGGAGGGCATCAGGTGGCAGAAAGCTGTGCTACCATCCTGACTCTTCCTCAGCCACATTATTTCGCCACTCCAAATTCCCTTCCTTGGACCCTCCTCCTCCTCCCTCCATTAATAATCAAACTCTCCCAAGCCTTAAATCATTGTTAAAACCACCTGGTTAGAACTCCCCACCCCCCTTTCCCAGCCTGAAACTTCGAATAAAGAATCCCTGTTATAAATAATTGGGTACAAGCATGAATACTAAGTGGCTTGGCATATTTCACAGGAAAGGGATAATGGGGGATCTGTCTGCTCCTTGTCTTGCTTAAAGCACAGAGAAATCCCGGGCCTCGTAGATCAGCTAGGTCCAACAATTCCCTCTCATGTTCTTCTGTTTCACAGCATGGGAAAGGGGAATGAAGGAAACTTCTTGAGGGTTTCCCACAGGCAACTGGTTGGTGACTGTAAGAAGGCGATGCTGGACTAGGACCCATGTACCTATGGGACCGCCTCTCTCGGTATGCCCCGCAGAGGACCTTAGGTCCATAAATGACAACATTTTGGAGGTCCCAGGTTGCAAGGTGGTTAGATTGGTCTCAACTAGGGCCAGGGCCTTTTCAGTACTGGCCCCGACTTGGTGGAATGCTCTGTGACAAAAGACTAGGGCCCTGCGGGACTTGACATCTTTCCGCAGGGCCTGCAAGACAGAGAGCTGTTCCACCTGGCCTTTGGTTTGGACTCAGTCTGACCCTTATGTTTCGCTCCCCTTATGGTCTTGATTTATCGGCTGCTTTTATTGGTGTTAGCCACCCTGAGCCCGGCTCTAGCCGGGGAGGGCGGGGTATAAATAAAATTTATTATTATTATTATTATTATTATTATTATTAGGTGGACCATTGAGCGGATCCAGCAGGCTCTTCTTAGTTCTTATGTGTTGTGGTCAGTGCTCCCCTCCCCCCAAAATAGGTGCCATATCTCACCATGAAGTTGTTACAGTAAATTGCTGGGCAACTCGGGGCAGCCCTGAACAGATGCCGGTTTGACAACGTTCACTGCCCGCAGAGGTGCTAAAAGCTGTCTCCCTAGCTGGTTTGGGAGTCAATCTTAGTTCTGGTGCAGGTCAAATAACTGCACCACTGCCTCCCTTATTCTCTTGGATTCAGGCAGATGGCTAGGACAGCTCGGAAGGGTCCTGGCACAAACACATGTGCAGGCCATGGTAGAGACTTGGCTGGAAGGCTTAAAGCCCCCTGCCGCTACACAGGAGATGGGGTGAAAGAAAAGAAATACAAATTGGCCCTGCCCTGTAGCTTGACCAATTGTAGCTAGGAGCTAGATCTAAAGACAAAAATCGGGTTGGGGGGGAGCATTGGCTTACAATGGTTTCCTTCTGAGTGGTGCCAGACCTACACTCCAGCATGCTCCAGCTGGCAAAAAAAAAAGCACTGGTTGTTGATTTATAGTTTGCTATTCTACATTTTGTGATTGTGTTTTAGTTTACATAACCCACCATTTGAGGGCTACTTGCCCTCCTGCCCAGCCACTATGATCTCTACAAGGGGACCTCCTGGTGGTACCAAGAGCTCGCTGGGTCCACCGTAGCAGGGCCTTCATCGTTGTGGCCCCTTTGGCATGCAATTTGTAACAGCTGCAGATAGGGCGTGCTCAATTGTCTCAGGCTGAAGAAGGCCTCAGCATCTGCTACCTAGTACTTGAAAAAGTGGAGAAGTTGAGTATTGGTGAACGTGTGCACTAAAGGAGACTTAAATTCTGTGCTAAGGTAATCTAAATTCTGTGCTTTAAAAAGAAGAGAGAGTTCAGTTCTGGCCATGGGGAGAGATAAGGCGCTATGCAAGCTTCTGAAAGCACTCCTCCCATGCATTTTGCATTTTATACAAAAACTCCACCGGCTTCCGAGGACCCTCTCCCCTCTCCAGTCGTCGTTTGCATACTTTCAAACATAGCTTCACAACATTAAGGACTAGAAACTTGCTCTATTTTTTTTTTTAAAGGGGGAAGATTCTCATGAAGCTGAATCCCCAGCTGTGAGCTTTCTGTGCTGCTGGAGAACTGTGGTTCACACACAACCTTGCCGCCGGGTATTTAAATTCAGGAGGCTTTCAAGTGGATTTCCATATGAATGAAGCATTACCACAGCTAGGAGGGCGCTGCGGAAATGATTGCCCGGACGGCATCGCTGGCGCGATAAAACGCTGCTCATGCATTTTCATCCTAAGGCCACCTGCCACCAAAGACAGGCTTTCCATTGCTTCCCACCACATGCCTGATATCCATCTCTGGAATATATTGCCACCTCGATAAGGCACCGGTCGGGAGGTGTGGGTCCGTGTCTCGAAGCTGCAGAGATACTGCCTCTCATGCCCCAATTAGGCAGTGTCAGACGAGGGGTTATTTATACCCTGGAGTGCAGGGCGTAAATCTCCTCTACCATTGCTTCTCTGTGGGCTCCTTTGCACTGCCACGGAACACACAGGACTGGACGCCATTCCTTCCAATCTCTCCCCTTCCCCTCCTCATTAATTGTTGTCCGCTCTGAGACACCCCACCCCAACCCCCCACCTGCAAACACTGCTAATTTCCCCACAAACTTCCTCTCCAAGTTTTGACATTATTAATTATTAGTTACTGATTGCATTTATATCCCGACTTGTTTTAGTTCAAGGTGGCGTACGTGGTTCTCCCCGCCTCATTAAATCGCTGGCCGTGGTCCTGAAACGCGCACCTAGACCCCTGTCCAAGGTCCTGATCTCACATCACCTTCCTTGATTTCTGCTGCTCCAGAGGGTAGGGCCCGAACCAATGGATTCAAATGGCAAGAAAGGAGATTCTGACTAAACGTTATGACGGACTTTCCGGTGGTAAGAGCTGTTCGGTGGTGAAACAGACTGCCTTGGAAGGTGGTGGATTCCCCTTTGTCAGAGGTTTTTTAACAGAGGTTGGATGTCCCTCTGTCAGGGATCTTTCAGCTGTGATTCCTACATTGGCTGGGGGTTGTACTACTACTACTACTACTAGCACCACCACTACTACTATATTATTTATACCCCTCCCATTTGGCTGGGCTTTCCCAGCCACTCTGGGCAGTTTCCAACAAAATATTAAAATACAGTAATGCATCAAACATTAAAAGTTTCCCTAAACAGGGCTGCCTTCAGATGTCTTCTAAAAGTCTGGTAGTTATTTTTCTCTTTGACATCTGGTGGGAAGGCGTTCCACAGGGCAGGTGCCACTACTGAGAAGGCCCTCTGCCTGGTTCCGTGTAACTTGGCTTCTCACAGTGAGGGAACCTCCAGAAGGCCCTCAGAGCTGGACCTCAGTGTCCGGGCAGAACGATGGGGGTGGAGAATGTGTCCTTTTATTTAAAATGCATCTCTGGGTTATTTGTGGGGCATAGGAATTCATTCATTCCGTCCCCCCCAAATATAGTCCAGGCCCCCACAAGTTCTGAAGGACAGTGGATAGGCCTCCTGCTGAAAAAGTTTGCTGACTCCTGGAATGATCCTCATGACCCCTTCCAACCCTACAGTTTTATGATTCTACGATAGAAGGATAGAAGGTAGAGAAAAAAGGTTTTCTCCCTCTCTCAAAACCCTAGAATCCAATGGGCACCCAATGAAGTTGAATGAAGCTGGAAGATTCAGGACAGACAAAACTCTTTCATGCCATACATTGTTAAACTGTGGAACTCACTTCCACAGGAGGGAGTGATGGCTACCAGAAGTGCTCTTGTGCTTGCGAGCTTCTTATTGGGGCATCTGGGTGGCCACTGTGAGAACGGGAGATGGGCCACTGGCCTGATCCTGCTGCCTCTTCTGATGCTCTCAATAGGCAGAGCGATCAGTATCCTGCTGCTCACTGTATTCCTTTAAGTTCTCCAGTTCCCCATATCGCTCATCTGTAACAAGAAGCAGATATTTATTGACACGTCTTCCAAGGATCCTCTGGATTTATTGAGCTGAGAGGCAAATATTGACAGCTCTACGTCCCACTGAGACATGGAGTCGATTTGCATATTATTTCTTCCCTCATTTGTTTTCGTTCGAGATCAGTGAAAACCAATCTCGCCCCGAGCTTTTCGGCAGCCTCGTCTCCCACCCCCCTCGAAGCTGAGAGAGAAGAAGAGGCCAATTTTATGACCTTTGCAGATTTAGGAAAAGGAACTTTTGCTAAGCGGGTTTATTTAGAGATGTTTGTCAGGCTCAGCAGGGCCCATTGTTATTGCTGTCCTCATTATTTTACTAATCTGCCCCAATTTGCAATGAAAAGTGTTTTATTCTTCATATCTCCAAAAAGCTCTCTGTAGGAGTTATGGTTCTGTCCGAGGGGCACACAATCCCCTACCGAGGACTGAGTCTATTCAAAACACACACACAAAAACACAAATGGAAATTATGAACCTCTTTTTTTCTTTTACATGGATGTATTTTAATATAAGATGCTTAGAGAATGTAGTTATTCGGAGGCATCATATAAATACCCCTGAGAAATGCATGATAAATAAACCTGCGTAGTCCAATGTCTTTGTTATTCTGCATAATTTAGGCAGGTTTTGCTATGCACAGGAGGTCAAGAACAGCAAAGCCCCCTCCCCAACTAATGGAAATGTAATTCCATCATCTCTGCCTGCACTTTTCCATGCAGATCTCTGCAACCTTAAGGACTGGAAACTTGATTCTTTTTAAATACAAAATGAAATATGAGTTTCCCTGAAAGCTGAACTCCACATCAATTCCATTTCCACAGCACTGCTCTGGAATTATTAGGACAGCTTCCATAGGCCTGCATATATTGACCATTTGTTCTGAGTTATTCTCCTGCTAGTACACAATTGACAAAAGAGTAGATTTGATCGCACTTAAAAATCCCTCCAAACTAAAATAAAAAAGCACCAAGGTATTAACAGAAAAAAGTACTTAAACAAGATTCAGTCTTACCTACTAACTTGTGGGCTGGCATGGAAATGCCTTTTCATTAACCACTATAACCACTATACCATAAAGGTAAAGGTAAAGGTACCCCTGACCATTAGGTCCAGTTGTGGACGACTCTGGGGTTACAGCGCTCATCTCACGCTATAGGCGGAGGGAGCCGGCGTTTGTCCACAGACAGCTTCTGGGTCATGTGGCCAACATGACTAAGCCGCTTCTGGCGAACCAGAGCAGCACACGGAAATGCCGTTTACTTTCCCACTGGAGCGGTACTTATTTATCTACTTGCACTTTGATGTGCTTTCGAACTGCTAGGTGGGCAGGAGCTGGGACTGAACAACGGGAGCTCACCTCGTCACGGGGATTTGAACTGCCAACCTTCTGATCGGCAAGCCCTAGGCTCTGTGGTTTAGACCACAGCGCCACCAACATCCCTATCCACTATACCACACCGACTCTCAAATAATAATATAAGTAGATTTGCCTTGAGAAGCTGGGTTGAAAAGCAGGTTATGATTTTTAACACTAAAACAAACAGGGGAATATGTATAGTTTTTTTTTTTTTTAACTAGAAGCACAGGGCGAGGTGGGAGGTAAAGGGCCAAGGAACAGCAAAAGTTGTTGAGCTTATTTTGGGAAATCATAGCTAACTATACCCCCCAGAAGGGGACATTATGGGAGGCAGGCTTCTCCTGGGGGCGCAGAACCTCCCCTGCTCCCCCTGGCTATGCCCATGGCGACCACTCCTTCCCCTTGGCAGCATCTCTGCTTGAAACTGCACCCTCCCCTCTGCTCCTTAGCAGTTGCTCAGCAAAGACCCGGATTCTGGGCTCTGGGTCCCTGCCGAATCCTGCCCAGAGAGTGTAATTGGAAATGTCATAGAAAAGAAGCGAGCCTGGCAAAGGAGTCTCTGTGTAATGCAGATGCACTTCCTTCAAAGAACGCCTCTTTAATGAGATTGAATTCTAAGGAGAGAGATAGGCATGCATGAGAGAGAGGACAGTTACTATAGCAGATATTTCAGCACAAATGCCAGAGAAGAAAGAGAAATGGAGCATTGTGAGAAGCCTTTGTGTTATTGCCAGGCTCTCCAGTTTCATTGAACTGAAAGTGAGGCTGCATTGAAAGAGATGAGAGAGAAGGCAGAGGAGGTGGTGGGAGTGGGGGCGGGGGGAGAATTGACAGCTTCTCATCCCCACCCCCATTTTATTTTATTATTATTTTGCCCACTAAAATATCACGCTGCTTTTCTTTAAACTTTGTAAGCTAAGTGGGGATGTTGGAAACACAGAAGGTATTCTGCACAATAGCCCAAGCGTGAGAGGCCCTTTCCTCCATAGTACTACCACATCAGGGGAAGAGTTCAGTGGTAGAGCACCTGCTTGGCATGCAGAAGGGCCCAGGTTCAATCCCAGTGGCGTCTCCAGGACTGGGAGAGACCCCATCTGAAATCCTGGAGAGGAACTGCCGGTCAGAGGAGAAAATACTGAGCTCGAAGGACCAACAGCTTGACTGAGTATAGTGGATTGTTGTGGCTCAATGGAAGAGCACCTGCTTGTAATGCAGAAGGAGCCGGGTTCAATCCCTAGTGGCATCTCCAGGTAGGACTGGGGGAGACAAGGTCTGAAATCCTGGACAGCTGCTGTCCATCAGTGTAGAATTTCAACAGGGGAATTTTTAATCTTTGTTGGAAGCCGCCCAGAGTGGCTGGGGAGACGCAGCCAGATGGGCGGGGTACAAATAATAAATTATTACCGGTATTCTTCTTTTTATTATTATTATAAGGAGGCAAGGCTGCTGCCCACCCCCTTTATCCTGAATTCCTGAATGCTCAAGTCTAACTTTCAGGCTTCCCATAGAGGTGTCTAGTCAGCTGCTGTGAGAACAGGGTGCGGAACTAGATGGGCCATTGGCCTGATCCAGCTCTGGGCACCATAGTTTGAGGGGACATTGACAAGCTGGAACGCATGCAGGGGTGATCAAGGGACTGGAATCCAAACCATATGAGGAACAGTTGCAGGAACTGAGCATGTTTAGCCTGGAGAAGAGAAGACTGAGAGGTGATATGATCTGAAGGGTTGTCATGAGGAAGATGGAGCAAGCTGGTTTTCTCCTGCTCTGGAGGGTAGGACCCGAACCAATGGCTTCAAGTTGCAAGAAAGGAGATCCCAGCTCAACATTAGGAATAGCTTGTCAGTGTTTGAAAAAGAAAAAGGTTCTGACCTCCTTTTTACTCCTTTGCCCCCTCCTCAGACCCTAGTTGGCGCAAAGAGTCCTTAAGAAAGAGTACTTTGCGGAATGCTGCTTTTATTCTTAAAAGGTCTTCTTCTCCAACCACAACTGACAGCTTTTACACACACCAAACGCAACCAGCTTTCTACCAACCAACCAACCCACACCCAACACTAACAACTGACCACTCTATATATACAGGTACAATTTGGTGAAAGGTTGCATGAGTCATTGTAGGCCGCTGACTCATGCTGACTTAGTTCTTTTAGCATTAAAGAAACAGCGGCCAATTTTTAGCCGTGACATAGCTTTCTGGCAGGAAGAGCTCTTTGACAATGGAATGGACTTCCTCGGAAGGTGTTGGACTCTCCTTCCTTGGAGGCTTTTAAACAGAATCTGGAGGGGCGGCATATCTGTCAGAGATTCTTTTGTTGTGATTCCTCCATTGCAGGGGGTTGGACTAAATGACTCTTCCAACTCTATGATTCTGTGACTCCTGACATCAAATTTGCAGGCATTCTGGAGGGTGCAGTGGGAAAAGGAGTTGAGGTTCTGTGTGACAGAGTGTGCTGTAGGGAATGTATCCGAGGGAAAACACAAGACATTAGCTTGCTGGTTTTCTCATTTGGAGGAAATGTACCCAGTGGCCCCAAGAGGCCTTGCGATTCATCTTGGCCAGTCAAGGGAGAGGCTCAGAGGATGGAGGCTCCATTTACCGGTTGGACTAGCAAGCAGCGCATGAATATTCATGTCTGAGGTTCTCGCCTGAATAATGATAGCATCCTTAGCCCGATTAAGTGGGGCATGCAGATACATTTGTTAGCCACTTTTGAGGTAACACCAACCCCTGCACAGGGCACATTAAGTATTCCAGGGATCATGGAAGGAAGGTGGTAATTAAGACATGATATGCAACGGGATCTGCTGGAGAGCAAACACAGGGGAGAGGCAATTCTGGGCTTCTGAGCAAGAATTTCTCATTTTGCTGCTCAGTGCTCTAAGTTTGGGAGACATCTTTTTTATATATAAAAGGACATAGGGGCAGGCAAGGGGAACATGATGAGATATGGGCAGACATGGACTGGGGCAGAGGACAGCAAGCAAAGCTTGATGGGGGCTTTCCTGGAGATGAAGGTGCCCATTACTAGACAGGATAGATAGACAGACAGACAGACAGATAGATAGATAGATAGATAGATAGAAAGACAGACAGACAGACAGACAGACAGACAGACAGATGATACATAGTGTATAGGTACCCCCCCATTGTGAAGATTGCAAAACTTTTCTATTGTGCAGGGAACATATAAAAATATACACATTGAGATTAAGATAAAATATCCAAAATATTGGCTAGGTACCTCTTAATACCCCTTTATGGATCACTGCCTTGTCGTGGCGAAGGGACTTGAATAACTCAGAGAAGCTATGAGCAGGGCCACCCAAGACGGACAGGTCATAGCCGAGAGTTTAGACTAAATGTGATCCACCTGGAGAAGGAAACTGGCAAACCACTCCAGTATTTTGCCAAGAAAGCTCCATGGACACAAAAAAGGAGAAGCTTTGAGAAGAAAGTGAGAGTTTCCAAGGCATGCTCTGGTTCATGGGGTCACAGAGAGTCGAAGATGACTAAGACGACTAAACAACAACCTCTTAATGCAGTTATTTTGCATGGTTAAAATGTGGAACCCGCTGCTGCAGGAAGCATCCAACTTGGATGGTTTTGAAGAGGGTTGGACAATTTTTTTAGGGAAGAAGGCTTCTGAGGGTCACTACTTGCAATCGCTATGCTCTGCCTCCACGGTCAGAGGCAGCAATGCTTCTGAATACCAGTTGCTGGAAACCGCAGGAGGGGAGAGATGCTGTTGTGCTGGGGTCCTGCTTGCAGGTTTTCCCACAGGCATTCAGTTGACCACTGTGAAAACAGGATGCTGGACTAGACAGGCTATGGCCTGATCCTCCCTGCAGACTATTCTCACGTTCTCCAGATGTGGTTGGTCTAAAGGTCCAGTGATGTATGTGAACTGTTCATTGAGTCTGCCAAAGTTCACCCCTTCACCAATTGGCATTTCATGGAGGATGAAACTATCAACGGCTGCTGGCTGCAATGGCTGTGCTTTGCCACCACTGTCAGAGGCAATATGTCTCTGAAGGCCAGTGGCTGGGATCGTAAGTGGGCAGGGTGCTATGGCACTCAGGTCCTGCTTGCAGGGTTCTCCTTGGGGCATCTAGATGGCCACAGGTTGCTGGACTAGATTGGCCCTTGGACTGATCCAGCTCCTTATGTTGGTGGGCTTGAACCCACAACCCTGAGATTGTCATGGACTGGCTGGATGCAGAGGAGAGGTGGGAGACACCAGCCCAGGAACCCCCTGGGGAACTCCCAAGGGAAGAAGGCTCTGAATCAAGGGATTGGTCGTGGGACGGCACAGTAGTGAGTGGCTAAAAGGGGAAGAGGGAGCAGAGTGGGAGGAGGAAGTGCCGGTAGAAGAGGTGACAGGGTTTAGGGAACAGGAAGAGGCTGTGGCAGAGAGCAGTTCAGACTCTGAGGCTGAAGCAGAGGCTGGAGGGGAGGGCGGCCAAGAGGCAGAGCGGAGGCAGGGAGTCTCCCCCTCCTGCTGTGACCAGCTCCCCTCCCCGCTGGTCTCCTAGAACTTGCAGAGAAATAAAACAGGCAGAGCACAGGGCGGGACCTTCAATCCTCACAGCTGCTTCATTGGGGCAAGACCCATTTGAGACTACTAGCCTTGAGTTGTGGTTGTCTCCTTAAATTCACAGTGAGTGAACTTCATTGGCCTCGAGTGAGTTATCGCTTTGCTGATGACCTAGGCCTGACTCCAGCCCTAACACTCTACCAGCTGAGTTATCCGAAGAGTGTGCCATTCGGGAATGTTATGTTTGTGGCTGTAAGTGGTTTTAAACTGTTGCTGTGCTTTGGAAGTTGGAACCTACCTTGGAACCTTAAAGGTAAAGGGACCCCTGACCATTAGGTCCAGTTGTGGCCAACTCTGGGGTTGCGGCGCTCATCTCGTTTTATTGGCCAAGGGAGCCGGCGTACAGCTTCCGGGATGTGTGGCCAGCATGACTAAGCCGCTTCTGGCGAACCAGAGCAGCGCATGGAAATGCTGTTTACCTTCCCGTCGGAGCGATACCTATTTATCTACTTGCACTTTGATGTGCTTTTGAACTGCTAGGTTGGCAGGAGCAGGGACCGAGCAATGGGAGCTCACCCCGTTGTGGGGATTCGAACTGCCAACCTTCTGATCGGCAAGTCTTAGCCTCTGTGGTTTAACCCACAGCGCCAGCCGCGTCCCTCCTTGGAACCTTAGGGTGAAATAAATAAGTAATCTGGAGGTACCCCATCCCAGATCTAGAAGGTGCTGCATGACTCACTTGCCACAAAAGGTTTTGATGGCTCCATCCCTTAGAATCTGCAATGGTTTTGCAGGGCCATCCCAAGTCATCCATTGCCCAGAAGGTAACACATTGTACTTGAACTAGAAGCTGAATTTTGGTTGCACAGTTGCTGACAGGAGTGAGGCCTTGTCAGTGTAGAACACCTGGTGCCCATTTGCTACTGGGCCGAGTTCAAGGTCTTACTATGAGTCTATAAAGTCCTTAAGAGCTTGGGACCAGTTTGTCTATGAGGTCACCTCACCCCATATTCGCCCCCTCAACCACTTTGATCAGTGGAACTGGCATTGTTACAGGTGCCACAGGATACCAGTTCTGCATCTGCAAGAAATCAATCTCTTAGTGTGGCAACACACGAACTTTGGAACTCCCTGCCTATTGATATCGAGCAGGAGCCTTCACGGAACTCTTTTTGGCACCTGTGATAAAACGTTTTCGTTCAGGCAAGCCCAGATGTTCAGAAAGCTGATGCAAGCTTCAGCTGAGATGGCTCAGCTGGTAGAGCATGAGACTCTTAATCTCAGGGACATGGGTTCGAGCCTACCTTGGGCAAACAATTCCTGCATTGGAGGGGTTGGACTAGATGACCCTTGTGGTCCCTTCCAACTCTATGGTTCTGTGAAGTTTTAGTTTGTTGTTATTTTAAATTTTTGAAACTTTTAAATTATTGTTGTTAATTTTTCTTGTTCATAATTTTATTGCTTTATCTTTTTTTTGCAAATCGCTTTGAGGGGATTCCTTTTAAAAAAACCCACACTAAACAAGTGGTGTATGAATTTTATGGAATAAATAAATGATAAATAATTGGATGAATGCCCTTTGCATGGTGCCCTAATGACCCTCCTCTTGCTGGGTCATGCTGGTATCTGCAGGCAAGGTGTCTTGGGCAACATGGTGCAGCTGTCTCGCCTCGGCGTTTGGGCCCAGCCTGATCTGATCTGACAGAAGCCGAGCCCAGATTACATTCCAGACTGGAGGTTAGTGTGATTTATTATCCCCCAAGCCCCTTTAACACGACAGAGCTTGCAAGCCGGTCCCGCAGAAAATGGCCTGCGTTTCCACCGCTCGTATAAATCATTTTACAGCGGGAGGAATGCAGGAATGGAAAACGTTAGCGCAGAATAAAGAATCCCCCAGGTTTCTCGCTAGTAAGCAGCAAGACAAGATAATCAATTTCTATAAGACAAAGCACCGGAGTAAAAAAAAAAAAAAAGGAGGGGCAGTTTGAGAGGGGGAAGGAGAAAGGACAGAAATAAAAACGAAGCAGCAAAACAAATCAAGATACACAGCTCTCTCCCCCCACCCCTCAAATTTGCTGTAAAAATGCCTTATCTTTGCATTGGCTGTCAGAAATGAGAAGCAGTTAAGAGAGAAAGGGGAAGAAAGAGCTCAGGAGGGAGCGAAGGAGAGATCCATTGGGGCTGGCAGGCAAAAGTGCTGTCCGTTTTGCCCAAACACGGTTTGAAGCCTGCCAACATTTTTTAAAAAAACTTTTTCACAAGCAGGGGTGGAGCAGGAATCCGCTCAGTCCAGTTTCTGCCGTCGGCGGAAGTCAGAACTTCTACTGATTCAGAGAACGTTCGCCCATCGAGTCCTGCATCGTCAGCACTGGCTGGAAGGGGTTCTCCAGGGTTTCATGGGATCGGAGAACCGTAGAGATGGAAGGGAACCAAAGGGACACCTAGTTCAATCTGCGGCACTGCAGGAATCAGAGCTAATTTCAGGCAGGGGACGTCTCTAGCCGTCCCTGGAGATGCCACCCCTCTGGACCTCTCAAGGAGGAGGCACATGAAGGAGGCCCTCAGAAGATGATCTCAGGGTCCGGGTGGGTTCATATGGAAAGAGGCGGTCCTTAAGGTACTGCGGTCCTGTGCCGTTTGAGTAAGAATCAGAATCCTGTTCTCATGTTTTGGAACAAAAGGATGGTTTAAACAGGAACACAGGAAGTTGTCTTATACTGAATCTGACCATTGCAGCAGCTCTCCAAGGTCTTCTCCTTCTCCTTCTTCTTCTTGTTTCCCAACCCCTCCTGCAGATGCCATTTGGGATTGAACCTGTGATGCCATGCAGATGCTCTACCACTGAGCTAAAGGCCTTCCCAAAGAAGAGCATAGGAAAACACCTTACAATTGGGTACAGCTGGTCATGACTACAAAAGGAGGAAAAGTTGCAGTTTGAATTTTGCCTGCAGACAGAAAACACCTACAAGCTTTGTTGTTTGTTGTTTTTGTAATAAAACCTTTATTTGATTGTTTTACACCGGCCTTGTGGTGTCGTGGTTCTGTCATCTGCCACCAGAAGAAAAACCCCCTCTAACATGCAAGGCAGCTGTTCTCCCACCTGCATAGATTTCTGTCTCTTCGGCCAACTCACACCACTCACTGCCTCTGGGCCAGTTTCATGGGGACCTCGCTGTGACGGCTCCGCAACAATTTCCATTTCAAGCCAATGATTTTGCAGCAGGATCCATCCCCACGGAGCCTGCTCAGCAGCTACAAGCGCTAACAAGGTAGAGTTAGCCTTCTCAGCAAGCTTTCTGGGCATCCTAGAGGTGGCGAGAAACATCTTTTCACCACGGCTAACCCTTTCAAGGATGCAGGTGGCGCTGTGGGTTAAACCACAGAGCCAAGGACATGCTGATCAGAAGGTCAGCAGTTCGAATCCCCACAACGGGGTGAGCTCCCGTTGCTCGGTCCCTGCTCCTGCCAACCTAGCAGTTCGAAAGCACGTCAAAGTGCAAGTAGATAAATAGGTACCACTCTGGTGGGAAGGTAAACGGTGTTTCCGTGCGCTGCTCTGGTTCGCCAGAAGCAGCTTAGTCATGCTGGCCACATGACCCGGAAGCTGTACACCGGCTCCCTCAGCCAATAAAGTGAGATGAGTGCCGCAACCCCAGAGTCAGTCACGACTGGACCTAATGGTCAGGGGTCCCCTTTACTTTACCTTTAACCCTTTCAAATATTTCAAGTTGGAACCACTCACAAAGCCAAGGACCCGTCTATACTGCACAACTGGTTTAAGCCTTACAGATGCTTTCTAAGCAACCCTGGGAACTGCTCTTTTGTGAGTCCTGGACAATTCCTGGACAATCTGGGAAGGATGTTAATGCAATTCAGTTTTTATTAAATGCAGTAAAGTAGATAATACTCCTTGCATTACAACAGGCTGAAAGCAGCACAAGCTTGAGCATTATCATCAAACTTATTATCCCCAAACATTACAAAAATACCCATTTTCCCATAAACCTATTAGGTTGGCTTATAAGCATTCTGTTACAATAAGTTCATTTAATCATTGTTACTATAGAGTGGATTTCCCCCCAGACAATTCACATATAAAAGGAAATATGCTGCCCCCTCTCCCCCCAGTTTTTAGCTATCTTCTCAGCAGTTATAAGATTGAATACCAATTTTTTGGGTCTTTTTCTGGGATAACAACCTTCAGATAGCTGAGGGTCCATTTTTTAGGTTCTAAGGGTGTGTGTGACAGCCCAACATGTCGGAAATGTGAGACGAATAATGTGGTTATTGGCAGAAGACGAACTGCAGCGGAACGGGAACAGTTTTGCATGCATTGGATATCGGGCAGAATGGAAAACATGCAGAGCTAGTGTGGCTCTCGTACTGCAAGGTAGGAAAAGTGTGTGCTAACATTCCATGTTGCATGGAAGGACTCATGGCGTTCTGAACATAAGAGCCTACTGGATCTTTGGTTCATGTAGCCCAACCTCCTGTTTTCCCAGTGGCCAATCAGCATAGCTGTCAACTTTTTCCTTTTCTTGCGAGGAATCCTATTCGGAATAAGGGTATTTCCCTTAAAAAGGGGGAAACGTTGACAGCTATGCCAATCAGATGCCCCAATGAGAAGTTCACCAGCAGGACCTGACCTCAAGAGCCTTCTCCCCTCCTATGGTTTCCAGTGAATGGCATTCAGAAGCATCGCTACCTCTGACTGCGGAGGAACAGCATAGTTCTTTACTTTCTGGTTGCCTACATGCTACGTGGGCACATTTTTGGGCATCACAAGATTGCGGCAGTGTACATGAGCTAGAGACCAGCCTGGGCACGGAAATAACACAAGGCCAAGAGGCAGCATCCTGCTCCAGAGATGCTTCAAAGCTGGATGAGTGGCGTTTGCAGCTAATTGGATCCAGAGGCCGTCAGTCATCTGGGGGTTCATGTGTTTGAGCTCGCCTCCTTTCCCCAGAATCTTTCTTCCCTCTCTTGGAAGGCGAGATCCCTGAGAAACCACTCTGGGGCCTGTGCTCCCTTTCATTCCATTCAGGCTCTCATCTTTTATTGCTGACTTTGCCCTGCTGCTGTATTTTTAGGCTGGCCAAATGCGGCAGACTCTCCTCTGCCAAATTGGCCCCTTCCTATTGTCCGCTATTAACAAGACTTTCCTCCCCTAATTGGAAGTCTCTCTCGTTCGCCAAGCCAGACTGTTGCTTTGTGATTGTAGGAGATGCTCTCTCTCTCTCTGTGTGTGTGTGTTCGTGTGCTATGCTGTGTGCATAAGGCAGAAATTTGTGTCTGAAATGCACCATAAATTCTCCGGCTGTCAACCCTGCTCTAGATAAGCACTTTGAATGCAAAGATACTGAAATCCACTCGACTGCAGACTTTCCCCGCTTGCGTCACGCCAAACCCCCACTTAAGGGGCACTTGTGAGGCAGCTCAGCCTTCAGGGCTGGGTGAAAGCACTGAACAAACCACACTTGGGTCCTCTGGGGATGGACTTTGACATTCCAAGTAGGGGTAACTTCTGGAGTGCCAGAAGCAGAAGGCGCTTGCAATGGCCTGGGAATCGGATTCAGAGGCTGAACCTGAGGAATCCCAGCCTGCACAGGAGTCCCTGCCTCCAGGACCAGCTGAGGCTTGAGCCTGAAGGGTCTTCACCTGTGCTGGATCCTCAGGTGCAGGCATCAGCTGAGTCTGCTCTGGCTCCTGAGGTGATGGAGGACCCATTGCCTGCAGGTGCTCCACTCTCAGCCCCGTCAGGGGAGGCTGAGGTTGCCTCTGGGTCCAGTAACCGTTCAGCCTCTCCTGAGCTGCAGAGGCTCAAGGCAGAGAGGCGGAGGGAACTAAGTTCCTGCAGGAGGAGTGCTCACCTCCAGGCCAGGAGAGGCAAATCACCTATGGACCGGGATCGCCCTATGCCTCGGGGCAGATAAAAGCCAGCCAGCCCAGTCCCAGGTTGCGGGAGCAACATTGTTGGTAACCTGTTCCTGCCTGCACCCTGCCCTGCTCTTCTGCTAGAGTTCCTGAACACACCCGACTCCTTGCCTTGGACCCCTCTTCTGCCTTGACGGACAGCCTCCATAGCATACCCTCAACCTTGGCCTGGACTCGGACCACGCCGCACGGTAACCCCCTGGGACCAGCACAGCGCTCCTCTGTTGACCAAGCAAGGAGAAATGGAACACAAGGACAAAAAGGAGCTGCTTTATCCTGAGCAGGCTGCTGGTCCATGTAGCACAGTATTGTCTACACTGGCTGGCAGCAGCTCTCAAGGGTTCCATTCTTCCCTGGCGCTACCTGAAGATGCTGGAG